CTCTGGTATGTCTTACTACAACATGTTCAGTGTTGGTCCTTGGTCCTGCTGCACTGCAACCCATACAAACGTGGACAAGGAGCAGCGGCCCAGAACCAGACAGCACGCACGGTACAGCGCTGATGGAAAGCGAAACCATTTTGCCTCTGTAGTTACATCAAGTCTGCTATTGGCCATGCAGAGTGTCCTGACTAGGCAATTCGCCGTGGTCGTCATAGAAGAAAGAACCAATACGTACTAACTTGCAAAGCATGGGCTTAACAAAAAGATGGCGATCCTGCTTTTACCCTCTGGCAAAGCTCGACACCGTAGGAGTAAGGGGCGGAATACAACAAGTTTGAACAAGCCAAGCACAGAGTTGAGCAAAGGCCGGCAGTACCGTCACATTACAGAGTAGTGGGATTACCGTTTCTCATCTCACCAGACAGAATCATCCCTGCCTAGTCATGCTAGTCTATGCAGGATTCAGCTTCCATTGCTACCACCCCTGCTGATCCCGCAGTCCTGATCCATTGCCGGCTGGTGTTGACGCGAAGTGGGTTTCTAGAAACCGCGAGGACTAGGACATGGGGTAAGACCACCGCCCACCGTATTGGGATCTGTGGTGTAAAACGGAAGATTTGGGAGCCAACTACATACCGTGCCTGGTAACAAGTTGAAGCCTAGTACCAATGGCTCGGGCACAGACGGTGACCTCTTACCCGCCGCTTTGTTGCATGGAGTTCTATACGCAAACAAGTACTCGTGCGAGGAAAGAGAAAGGAGGAAACACGACACAATCCCAACCAAGGCAAGAAGTGCATCTCCATCTCCATCTCCAGCTGAGGGTCCTCAAGGTTGGGCCCGGATGACATATCATTCTGGGGCCAAACACCCCCGTCGATAACGCGAAGGCGAAGGCGAAACAATGCTCATAAAAAGCCGAGGGTCCCGCTCATGAGTTGCAAATGAGCTTCCTATATCCGTGAATCGTTCGTTCAACTTCAGCCCTACATAACTACGTCCAACACACCTCATCTCAAGTGGCCATCACCTGCACTCGAGTCACATATTTATTTGTTCACGCGCTTGTCTAGTCACTGGTGTCTTCGCTTTGACATCATATCCATAAGGAAGTTCGAGCTGCTCTGGTTTCTATTATAATATCCCCCCCTTCCTTCGTGGTTTGCATCTTATAATCCAAACCGACACCTCTCAACGATATCTACTTCAGCTCCCAGCCGTACGCCACAGACCCTTTTCACCATACTGCCTGGGAACCACACTTGGATACTACGAGATAAGACTTACAAAGTTGTGGCATAATGCGACCAAACACCAACTCCAAAGTCAATACTGAATCGTCAGAACTTGTCAACTTCGCCGAGGGTGTCTGCGCGCACAGCACTCTGCATGGTTGCTTTGCAAAAGCTGACAAGTCAAGCAAGGATAATCTCTGCACAATGTGTGAGGGGAAACAATGTCCTTGAATCTTACTTATCTCACCCCTTTTTACTTGTCATGACACAAAGCATCACAATTAGGAGCTATCATGGTTGTCTTCGAGCCTGCCATCCTTTGTCTCATACCTGCAAGTCGATGTAGAGATGGGAATGTTACCGAGAGAGTGGAAGTGGTGCTAAGAATGGGGCTTAGTACCGGCGTGATGGGTCGGAATACGCGGAGTGAAAATCAGGTAGGGGGTGACGCCTTGGCCACCCTCCCGAATACTCATGTAAGACATGGTCTTGGTAAGAGCCTAGACATGATCGTGGCTCCCACGTGCCGAAGTACAACACTGGTTGGATTCGCAGGAGGCTCGGAAGTTATGACGCAGGACGCAGGACGCAGGGCACAGGACGCAGGATGCAGGAGGGAGGGTAGCATTCGAGACAAGGCATGGGCATTAGCATCAACATCGGCATTGACATCAACTTCAACTTCATCCAAGCGGAGAATCTCTAGTTAATTATGTATGGGATGGGGGATGTACTGTTTTAGCGAAGGAAGCATGATTATACACACAAGTTCATAATACAACACAAGAGAAGAACAGCATCATTTACGTCGGCGATTAACGGACAGCACAGTGATAGCACAGCATTAGATGTTCGTTAGCCGCCGTGTCTCACATTAAGTCCGCACTAAAGCCATATAGACGTCTTTAAGAGCGGCCCATCATGAATCAGCAGCGAGCTAAGGTAAGCTTCAGTGCCAATGAACATGTCCAGAGCCTTAGCGCAGTCTATCACTGATGCTGTCACAGGCAAGGCTAAGGGCACTAAACTATTAAGTGGCAAGATGAGAATTTTCTCTGTAGAACTAAAAGGTCTCACGAAATGACATCGAGGTGGTTTGACTGGCTGATGTCTTGATGGCTAGTTTGCCAGATCATGATGTGATATGGATAACACAGTGATCGTTGTCCGGAAATGTCATGAGTGACATTCCCAAAGGGAAGTGGCCATTGACGACAGCGGCAACATGTCATGCTTGACTTGGCAGATACAGTAAGTAGTAGTATCACTGCAAAAGGCGGTATTTCCGCTCCATGCAAGAGGCTGCAGTTGACGGTTTGCTCCGGGAAGAGGACGTAATTACATACAGAATGCAAGGCAGGGCATGCTCATGCACATGCACATGCATATCTGAAAAGACCATGCTGCATATTGATAGATACATATTACAAACCCCTCCGAACGTAACCTGTGATTAGTCTAAGGAACAATACTTTACTGTAATAAGCTCAGTTGATGGATGATACTCGTTTCCAGCGGCCGACCCCAAAAAAGGCGATGTTTGCGAGGTACAGTTCACTGGGGGAGGGGGGAATAACAGTACAAAACATATGATCTGATATGTTTTTATTACATACTCACTTCTTTTTTTGTTAGTCTAATAAAATCAGTCTACCCAAGAATGTAACAAGAACTAACTTGGTTTTCCCCCATTGAGGCGTTAGGCTTCCTTCCGGCGGACCGGAGAGTGTGGGCCGAGCCGAATGAGACGAGATCTTTACTATCAGTGAGTGTGTACGAGTATAGACGGTTAGTTCATGCTGGGAAGTCTAATTTAGTCTGCAGGGCTTGTAAAGGAATGAATATACGGTGGGCTTGGAGGAGTTGTTCCCTTTCAAGTAAACTGATCGCAGGTACGGATACAACACCCACTCTTCATTTGCTTGGTAACTACTCCGTAATTTGCATGTGTTTGTTTCTTTGAACCAGGTGCTGAGATAAGCAGATACGTACCTAGTCTTGTATAGGTACTAAGGTACGTATCCGTACCTTTTATCCGTATACATCTTGTTCTTTTCTTCTTCTTCCTCTTTCTAGACCCGAGATTGAATCATCAAGGAGAGAGACAGAGAGAGGGAGGGAGAGATAGAGAGGGTACACAGCCCGCCAATCTATATGCATGTCTCCAAATGCGGCTCAGTGAGATCTACAGCAACCTCCTCTACGGCGTCTAGCCACTCAACGCACCGTTACAGATGCAAACCGCCAGAAACGTATAGGAAGTTACCAAAATAGGCAATTCCTTTTGAGCAGACTCTAACAACCCTTGTCAATCAGCTGTGCATGCTCTGATGTGCTTGCTTTGTAGAGGCTGCAGAGGCTGCAGAGATTGGTCCCAGTAGCGTGGGTGTCAGTCAGTAAGTAGTACAGTGAGTGGGTGTGTACAAGTTCCGACAACTTCCTCTCTTCTAAAGCTTATATAAGACGATATAAATTATGATAAACTCTTTCATTCTATGTAGTATTACACATAGAATCTTGTAATTATTATATCATTTGTATATTCTTACTACTATATGAGTTCCTAATTAGATCGTTATCTGAATTTTTGCACGGGGCTGTAGTGAGTTGACTTGGAACGAGAGGGTGTGATGCCACCAACGACAGGCAGTTAAGACAAAGTGTTGCTACCAGGCACTAAACAGGTTGATCGTTGCTGCAATCAGTAAAGCCAAAGAACCAAGACGCTAAGTTGGATGATGATTTTTTACTGGTTTTTTTTTATACTTGTTTCCCACGCGAGCAACGGTCACTTAAGTTTTTCTCTCCGGGCTAGTTAGCTTGTTGAGGCTTGACTCAAGCCACTTTTTGAACGACTGAACTGACAAAAAGAAAGTTTAATTGACTCCATCAAGAAGCAAAAAACTACAATGATAACTACTACTTACACACTACATTAGTACTCTGGTACACAACTGACATATTGACCTAACATGCTCAATTCCAAGTGTGGTTACACGCATCCGCTCTCCTGCACGAGACACGAGACTCAGTCAGTCAGTCATGCGTCGCATAGAGAGTTGCCTGCATGCCTACGTGCTTGCATTGATAAAGAGAGACATACATACTGACGCAGATGTATGCGCAAGCGACATGTTACAGTACCTGCGATACGAATATACTGTACCTCAGTCATCGCCTCCGATTCCACCAACTACCACCAACTACACTCTCCAATCAAGCCATGAAACACAAGTCTCGTGCCCTTTCAATACGGCCGCTTATTCAGCCCATGTGCACGTAAGAAGGAATCAGCTTGTCCAAGCAGGCAGTGCATCACATATACATGCACATCCACGAAGCATGAGTAGTAAAAGTTGCCATGTGCTGTCGTAAGATGATGTGAACTCAATTCAACGGCTCTATCAAGATGTAAATAATTGATGTTCTAAGCTCCCCAACTCTCCGAGGCTTCCGCCTCACAGCACCACATGCGTACGTTAAAAAGTGCTATCGACACATGATGCATTCGTAAAACTCCGCGCTGGGCATTGCGTATTCCATGCGTCTCATCCAATGTCCTGTCCTGCAAGGAATCAAATGGCTACACAGTAGCCAGTCTTGAAAAAAATAGATTGCCTCGCCACAATAACAAGAATCGCGCCTTTCGTCAAAATCTCCAAACTTCCATCCCCTGAGAACAAAAAGGTATCATAAAAGAAGTAAACAAAAACTGGCTGTCAAAGGACAGATTAGATCATCGAACCAAATGGAACGACACATCTAGAAAAGAGCAACCATGGCAGCAACCATGGCAGCGCCAAGGAAGCCTGAAGAGACAATGAGGCCGCTGGCACCGGCGGTAGGCACGGTTGAGGGGCTGGGGGCCTCATAGCCAGGCTTTCCAGGGCTGCCGGGCACATCGGTGTTACTGCTGCCAGGAACAGGAACAGGAAGCTTGGTAGGGTGAGAGCCGGGAGCGGTAGGGCCAGCCTTGGTGGTGGTGTTACCAGCAGGGTAAAAGGTGGTCTTGGCAGAAGGAGCCTTCTTGGTGGTGCTGATGATGGTAGGAGCCACGTAGTGGCTGGTGGTGTTGACGACAGGCTCGTAGATGCTGGTGGTAGGAGGAACATAGATGCTGGTGGTAGGAGGAACGTAGATGCTGGTGGTAGGAGGAACGTAGACAGAAGTAGTTGTGGGCTCCTCAGGCGCAGCAGTCGAGGTGGTGAGAACAACTTCAGTTGACGTGGTGGTACGCAGAGGGCAGTCGGTCACGGTAGGGTTGCACTGAGTAAGAGTGATAACCCGAGTCGTAGTCGAGGTGAGAGTTGTGGTGTCCAGAGGAGGAGCAGCAGGAGGAGCGTAGTCCTGGGCAGCGGCGACTGAGGCGCCAGCGGCGGCAATGAAGAGGCTGGTGAAGTGCATTTTGAGTATTGTTTGTCTGAAGAGAACTGTAGTAGCCTTTGAGAAAAAAATTGAAGAGTGCGGGGCACAAAGAATGTCAATATCAAGAATCTGTTAATGAGAGTATAGCACAAGGCTGGAAATGATTGTCAGGATAAGCAACGTGGAGAGGGAAACGGGAGAGTAACAAACGAGCGGATATCGAGCGAAACTTGTAGTTTTCGCGCAACAGCGGGACACAATCTCTGCCAACCATGGCCAGCATCCGACCCCTGCCTGTCTAACCATCAGAGCCTGGTGCGCTGTCACCTTGTTCACTGACCGATTGATGAAGGCCCCAGTTGCTTTGATTGGCATTGTTCCCCGTCCCAGTTCCTGGAGCTTAATATGACTTAGCCCCGGTATTCAAAATACGTGCTACCACACAACGGTACCTTGTATTAAGAAGTCCAAGCTGATTGGGTCCAGTAAAGACCACAACCCGGTTGAGGATCGGGCAGAGCCTTAGCAACTGCACCTTTGGCTGGTGTGTTCCTGAGCTAGAGTGCTCATCCCAGTCTAGCCTTGTCCTAGTCCAGGTCCTGGTCCACTCTTCCGGGTTCCCTTGCCAGGAAGTATTGTCGGCTGCTGGCAAACTGCTTTCATTTGCATATGCTGGTCCAATCAAGTATTGCCAGACTCACAGGGACGTGTTTTTCAGTAGTCAGCGCAAAGGGCTTCTATTTTAGAACCTCCCCTCTTTGCGCGGTTTTGTGTGAGTCGGTAGAAATCGGTGTGTGTGCGTTCCCACCAGTGTCGACAAAGCTTTTAGCTCTCATGTGTCAATGGACAATGGAGAAGGAAAAATCCATTCTCTTTGGTCTTTGTGCTACTTGGACGGCCTTGTCTAACCCACCCACGGAGTTGACTGCAAAATTTGGACACATTGCTTGATGCACAATCTCCCAGACCCATGGTGAGGAGTGGGCGTCTCATTCAATGTCCCACGATAGCGGCGTGGAAGACAAGGCTATGAAACGGCTGACTACAGCGACTCTGGCAAGAGAATTGGTCCGCTATATCCGTACATAGGTGAGTCTGGTGAATAGGAGTCCCAAGCGCAACTCAGACAAAGTCCTCGTGGCCACTTGGCTTTGAGTGACTGTCGAGAAAAGTCGCAAATACCTCAGTTAAAGTTCGTGCACAAAGCTTGAAACCCTTAGAAACGCCCCCAGATCTTGAGCCAGCGCTTACTGGTAACGACTTCAGGAGCGACGGCTAGCCAGGGGCGGGCCCTTTGTTATTGTGAGCGGCACGACTGGGGCCAAAGATACCGTGGTAGGCTCAAAGCTGTGAATCAATACACCGCATCAATAGGGGCAACAAGAAATAGGCTGTAGGCAAAATAAATGCAACTGGCCGATGCGACTCTAAACTTGGATCTTGTCTCCCGCTCAAGATCATGCTAAGATGCCACTATCATCGGCAGCATCAATAAATAGATTTGGGGTGGGGGTCAAGCCGAGCTTAGCAGCCTCCCAGCAAATGATTGTGTTTGTTTTGCGGTTGCACACGCGGGCAGTTGCTGGTGCTGGCCGCTTGGCTGCCCTTAGCTCAATCAATGGCTTGGTCTCAAATGGAAGAGGAAGAAGTTTCAGGGCATGTCACGAGAAATGAATTGCGCTTCGCTGTCCATGCGTTGGTTGTTGATAGACAATCTCGGATTCAGCTGCAGTGCATAGGCGTAGGCATCTGTTGATGGCGGCGAAGAAAGAATAAGACCTATCTCTATGCCTGCTTATCACAAGCAGGCCCGTCTCATGCTCATTTCGGGGGGCTGAGAAGCGCCTTGGCTGTAGTAGGCGATGTTAAAGGTGATGTTAAAGGTGATGAAAGGAGAGGCTTATCTTATCGGCAGCAACAAAACAGGAGAAAGAAAGGAGAAAGACCCAAGAAAGAACGGAACTACCTAATGGAAGGGACAGCTGACGACATTCACGGTGGAGAAGCACCTTCCAGCCTCACTCAAGATACGGGTTGTTTAGCCGCCACAGCGAATGTCAGTTGCAATATGTCTCTGTAAGATACGGACGGATACCTGCAATTATGATGACACTGTTGAAGTCTCTCCTGTGTTTGATCCTAAGGTTGTTGTATCATGGAATAGTACTAATCTATAGTACACGATAAAGACTTGTTACTAGGTATGCTATCATTCTAAGAAACACCCAAGGAAAATACAAAAGAATGCTGATATCTAGACCATTTGGTTGCGGAAACAACAAAATATCGGTTGACCAAGGCTTCTAAACGTTCCATTCTTCTATTTCCCCTGCATTCTTCTTCAATTAGGGGACTTTTCTCCAACAACAGGTGCATCACAAGTGCCCCGCCCCCGCATCATACCTGCAAGTTACTATGCTAGGGGGGTCCATTAAGGAGTTGCCTTCTCCTATTTCTGTAGGGGGAGGTACTCTCTCTGCTATTTCGCTACGCAAAAGTACATTAGCTGCTTACGTAGCTCCAGCGCGTCAAATACCACCGTTACCTTGCCAGTTGTCTAAGAAATCCAACACCATCCATTTACTCCACCAGACGATGCAAATCCCCTGACGAACAACTCACTCTCGCACTCTCTCTCTCTCTTACAACAGCAAATCATATTAAACCACAAATTAATTCTTAATCCAACATGACGAACTACTTAAACGACCCTGCTCTTTACATCTATACCTCTCTCACCGCCGGCTCCTCCCATATCGTTACGGCCACCTCACGTCTGGAGACCATTTTGCGCGCCAACCGGGTTCCATTTAAAGCTATCGATATTGCCACCGATACAAAGGCTCGCTTGCTCTGGGGCCGAAGAGCCGGTAAAGATTCGAATGGCCGAGCGAGGAAGCTCCCTGCCTTGATACAGGAGGGTTGGGTTGTGGGAGTACGACAGACCTCCCCCGATCACTACTATAGCTTGTATAACTGATGCACGTGGCTTCTTATAGGATTACGTCGAGGTCGAAGACTGGAACGAATATGGCGAACTTAAGGAGCATGTCAAGATCCACTTCGATGAATTCACGATCCCCTCCATCAACGACAAACTCCCTGAGCCTCCACTAAAGCGACCTCTCGACCTCACTGGCGGTCTTGGTGGTCCCTCTTCAGCAAACCCCCCTAATCCCATTGCCAAAGCTGTAGCTGCGGCGGCGGCGGCGGCTGCGGCCGCTTCAAAGTCTGCTCCTACCGCTCCTCCACTGCCAGCAGCCAAGAATTCCACAGAGCCGAAGAAGGAGGAGAAGGTCCTTCCCGTCAGATCAGTTGCCGAGGAAGCTGCGCAGAAGGCTAAAGACCTTCGCTTGAAAGCTCTACGGGAAAAGGTCCATGGTAAGGATGGCAATAAAACCAAGAAGGATGAAAAGCCCAAGCCGGAAGAGACTGCTGTCAAGGAAATGAACGCTGTCAAAGAAGAGACAGCCGCGAAGGACGAACCGGCTGCGGAAGATGAATCAGTTGTGAAGGATGAATCACCTGTGAAGGATAAATCAGATGTGGAAGATGAGTCAGATGTGGAGGACGAACCAGCTGCAAAGGACGAATCAGTTGCAAAGGACGAACCAGTTGCAAAGGACGAACCAGCTGTAAAGGACGAACCAGCTGTAAAGGATGAGGCGCCGAAGGACGACACACCCAGGCAGGATGAGAAAGCTGTAAAGAATGAGTCGGCTAAAAAGGAAGAGAAGGCGAAGAAGGATGAGAAGAAGACTACGAAAGAAAGGGCCAAGTCTGATGACAAAACAAAGAAGGATGTTAAGATCAAGAGAGATGACAAAACTAAGAAGGTTGAAAAGTCAAAGGCGGTCGACAAATCCAAAAAGGTCGAAAAGCCTAAGAAAGACGATAAAGCCAAGAAAGACAAGGAGGCCAAGGATAAGGAGCCCAAGGACAAGAAAGCCAAGAAGGACGAGAAGCCTAGAAAGGATGACAAGTCGAAGAAGGAAAAGTCAACCACAAAGGAGGCGCCAAAGACCAGCAAAGGCTCCAAAAAGACTCCGACAACTCCAACCAAGAAGACTTCAGCGAGCAGCGGTAAAAAGATTGATAGCATCCAATCCCCAACTTCTGGATCATGGGCTGAGTCTGATGCGGCGCGGAACGCTATCCAGAGCCCTACGAGCGGTACTTGGAAGGAGGGCCACTCCGGTCCGGCCTCCCTGGCGCAGGCTAGTATTGCAGATGTGAGCGCGGAAGATGCCAAGGCTGCTGGGGCCAAGACGGCAACAAAGGAAGAGCCTGAGTTGGAAAAGAAAGCTGGTGAGAAGTTGGACGATGAGTCTGATTCTGACTCGGACACAGATTCAGAAGACGAGTCAGAGAAGGAGAGTGAAGATGAGAAAGACGAGGAGGAAAGTGACGAGGACAGCGACGACGACGATGATAGTGACGAGGAGGAAGAGGAGCCTAAGAAGCCTGCGACAGCCAAGGCCACCGTCAAGCAAGAAAAGCCTACGGAAGAAACAAATAAATAACAGAAACGCGTAGCAGAAATTTTGCTTCGACGTTCTAGATGGGGAAAGAATAGTGTACAGTCCAGTCGCAACTCAACCGATATACCACCAAGATGTTAATACCAATACAAATACCAAGCTCAACTATCCAATCTTCCTTCAGCTGCTCAACGTACAAGAGATTATATAATGCTGTAATGGCCCACACCGACTAACTAGTAGAGGCCATCGTCGTCACTGGCTGTTCCATCCTGGAATCCCATTGGTGCCTTCCCCTTCCCCTTAGATCTTCCATTGGTATCATCTGTCTCGTCCTCCTCGTCGAGTTCGTCATCGCTCGTCAACGCAATTGCCTTGCCTTTGCCTTTACTCGATACTGAGGCAACTGCCTTCCCTTTGCCCTTGGATGACACTGATGCCCCGGACACAACACGCTGAACTGCAGGTGGTTTGAGTTCCTTCTCTTTCTCTTTGACTCCTTCGAAAGTAGCACGCACATGCTCATAGTGAGCCAATTCGCCAGCACTAACACTAGGCACGAGCTCATCGTTGGCAGCAAGGAAGTCTTCTTCCTGAACCATGACGGCAATATCCTCTGGAGTAGCATAGTGGTCGAAGTAATAAGCTGTTGAAATAGGAAGTTGAGTTTCTGGATCGGCATTGATGGCGCGGATCTTGTTATCCACTGCTGTGGCCTGCCGTGTGACGGCTTTGAGCATGGCATCACTGCACAGGGCATAGAAATCTGCACCAGTATAGGTAAAAGGAAGCTTCGCTGCCACAGAGGCGAGAGAGACCGAAGGATGAAGGGTGAATCTATGAGTAGGTTAGTTATGGCAGGGCTGATCCAAGAGTATTTTTGCAAACTTACTTTCTAGTGAGGGCTTCCAATATGGTTTGCTGCTTGTCATTGGTATCCGAGACACCTAAATAGAGCATTTTGTCGAATCGACCAGGTCTCAGAAGGGCAGGATCTAAGAGATCTGGTCTGTTGGTTGCGCCAATAACGAAAACACCGCCGCCGCCGTCATCACCCATCCCGTCCAGTTCTGCCAGGAGTTGAGAGACAATACGATCCATGACACCACCACTATCGCCTTGGTTGCCTCGCTTAGGCGCCACCGAGTCCAGCTCATCAAAGAAAACAACACATGGCCGGGCATCGCGAGCACGCTGGAACACGCGTCGAACGTTGGCTTCAGACTCTCCGATATACATGTTGAGAAGCTCAGGGCCCTTCACACTGAAGAAGTTGAGACTGTACTCGGTAGCAATTGCTTTTGCCAACAACGTCTTTCCAGTTCCAGGGGGGCCGTAGAAAAGAATTCCCGATCGCTTCTTCATACCCTTTGCGAAAAGCTCGGGACGTTCGAGAGGCAATTGGATAGTCTCGGTCACAGCCTCTTTGACGTTGTTCAGACCACCAACATCATCCCAGGTGACATTGGGGATCTTAGGTGCGCCAATGGAATCAGAGAAGTTCTTGCGCGCAGCCTCGACAGCAATCTCGAAATCTCCCTTTGTCAGGCAGCGGGCGAGAGGGCCACCCGCAACCTGCACATCTCGTACAGTGATGATCGTGTTGTCATGAGTATTCTTCGCTGAAAGCTGTTCCAGTCGCGATTGCTGAGCGATAGAGGCACGCTCAACAACATCTACCAGGTCACCAGCTACAAGTGCAGCGGTCTTGAGAGCAATTGAGTTAAGGTCGATGGACGGCTCGAGGCTGACGCCTCTGTCGCTGATGATAGATTTGAGAATGGATTCACGCTCCGCTTCGTCGGGGGCTGTCATTTCCAACTCGTGAGTAAACAATGCCCGGACACCGTCGGGTACCTTATCAACCTCATTCGTGGTGGCGATCAATACCCGCGTGTCTTCCAGGATCTCTTTGATCGTTGCCTCGATGCGATCTGCGGTGAGAGCTTCGGCATGTTTAATAAGAAGAGCACAACAGTCGGAGCCGCAACTCATGGCACGCTCTGCCCTCGTTCTGAGGAAACCCTCAGTTTTGACATCACTTCCGCTGCCGCTTCCCTCACTGAGGATATCATACGCATCGATTGTATATGTGTGAAGACCCATATCGGAGCAAGCGCCGGACGCCAAAGATGACTTGCCAATGTTTCGATGTGTCGAGGTCAACAGAATTGCAACAGGAGGCATCTTCAGATGAATGGCTCTTGCGCTTGTAGCAGCCGCGATCAACTCCCGTAATTGGCGCCGGAGAGGTGAGACGTATGGCAGTTCGGGCTCCTGAATTGGAGGCGGAGTTGACTCTGAAGCCTTCTTTGGTGTCTTCTTAAGGCCAAGGTAGTATTGCCATGTGCTCTGCTTGATACCGGGTATCCGACTTGTCTCAAAACCTGAGCCATGCATGGCTACGGATGAACTGTCGATGCATGCAACGGAGCCCCAAAAGGCTTCAGCACTTCCATCCTCGTCTTCGTCCGACTTCTGGATCTGAATATGTCCGACCTTGAACCATGCTACGCTGTCAAATGTTGTAGGCTGCTTTCCAGCTTCCTGGCCACCAGCTGTAAGTGCCATTACATCATCCACTTCTGAGCCCCCTGCCCCAGGCATTTCCTGAAGTGTGCGACCAAGCTCAGCGTCGACTGGGACAGCAATGAGATCTCCATTTCGAACGAGACGAATCTTTTGTGCAAAGTACCGCTTCAAGCCACCAAGAACAGCGGTTTGAAAGGCTCGTTCGGCGGAGATAGGAGTTCGAATATGATGAATAGTGATATCTCTGGCATAGGGAGGTCGAGCTGCGCTAGTAAATCGAGGAATTGTCCCCTTTCCTTGATAAGATGCTTTTTTCAAGGGCGCGAGTCGTAGATAGGGGGCATCATCAAGATTGGCTAGGAGAATGGGAGACGCATAGGCTGTGGGACTGGCGGGTCGCTGGATTTGTGATTCGAAAAAAGACAACCTCCTCTCTCCGTGTTTAGCACTAGGTATTCTAGTCATAGGCCGTTGCGAATAGCCTTCAGGGAGACCATAAACGCGAACAGGTCGCCACTTAGCAGGTTCTGACTCAACTTGTCCAAAACTGCCGAGCCCGAACGCGCCGAACCCATTGGTGGGAGGTTCTTCGGCAGCTTCGATTCTGACCCAGTCACCAGAGAAACATCCAATTCGGCTGAGCGATGTCACGTCGACGTAGATCCGCGCTTCCTCATCGTCTTCTAAAGATGGCTTTGGGTGTAAAATGTCGGTGGGAATCTGCTCCATCAATCCTTGTGCTTTGAACAGACGACCTCGAGGTCTATCTGGTCGAGCTGTGGTAGCGGTAAAGTTGGAGAAAACAGACCCAGGTGTTGTGATTCCGTTGGTCTTTCTACCACGAAGCGTTCCAACTGTCATTGGTGTCCCTGGCTGCAATGTCGACACGCCGCTAGCATTCGTTGTTGGCAATGTTGGTGCTTGCAGAGAGATCATGTCATCCATGGAATCATCCGACAGTTCATCCTCATTGTCAGAACCAGACAAATCTGGCTCAGTTTCAGTAGCGGATTCCATATCCTCCGTCGTCATTTCTGATTTATCTCGATCCTCGGCCGCAGAATAGAACTGATCCGTGCTGGTGTCGTCTTCATCCTCAGGAACGCCATTGAGCTGCTGACTTGCTGTCATGGAAGCAACACGCCGGATCTGCTTGGTATGGACACGACCACGCATTAGAATGATTTTGGTCGACTCCGTCAAAACACCCTGAGAGACAGGCTCGCACAGCATGATCTTTCCAGGATTAGGAGGCACGTGAGTGAGAGGGTGTGGTGATAGAGGAAGTGGAAATAGATCGCCTGCATGTACGACCTTGAGGCTACCCAAAGCAGCTCTGAGAGAGGTCACCAGGCGCCCATCGGCTGTCGAGTTGGGGTTGTTCTTCTCCTTGGAGTTCGCAGGGTGGTCTCGAAAGAAGGTCCCCTCTCCATTTTCAAGTCTCTTGGTCAATTCGCTCTCCAAGCTCACGAAAACGGTCTCCAGAGGTACGGGCGCGACATCAAGGACCAAGATTTCGATTCCGCCACGACTGTGGCTTGATAGCTTGGATGGCGCGACTTGTTGCAGTGTAACAGCGAAGCTCTGGAGAGAAGCTGAAGACGGCGAGAAACGGACGGTCGAGGGCGCGAGCGCGGAAGACTCTATTATCGGTACGATTGACCACGGACTGTCGATGGGGTTCGCGTTGGGTGCCCACGGAGCGATCGCAATATGGTGGATGTCTTCGGTGGCGCCTTGGTAGAGTTGAGCTGGATCCCTGTTTTAGTGTACGTTCACATTGAATGGTGCGCTCAACTTACCGTTACCTAGATTAGGGAAGAGGTCGCGAAAGATGTCCTCGGATACAATGCCGACATCGCTCTTGATGTGGTCGTCAAGCACGAGCTTGGCAGAGATAGCAGGTTTATCCTGACGACGCCTACGGTTCCGTCGCCTTGTCGAGGTGAGAGCTGACCGCGAAGACGACGCCATTTCGGTTACGACTGAGGCTTTGGGAGATGTTGGTATATGTTTTGGAGAAGAAGTACGGGGAAGCTCGAAACGCAAACGCGGGGGATCACTGCATCGCTTTTGGAACTCAATTGATGAAATGACAAGGGTTGGATGAACAGGCAAGGAAGAAGAATTCTGGGTATACAATTATACAAAAAACAGAAAGGAACTCCAAGGTGACGAAGCTATTCTGAGGTTAAGAGTAAGAAATTGGCTGTGGTTTCTGCTTCGGCAGCGGCTCAAAGCGACCGAAGGAAAGACAGTGCCTGCCTCGGCTTCTACCTGGTTAGGTAGGTTTGGGGTAAGTGCGACACGGGGTCGCTGCCGCCCCGAGGTACGTACCGAGACCGAGCTGTCTGTCCGTGTCCGCGTCCGTGAGGTGAGCTCCCCCGAACGCGGAGCATGCAGCACAAGCACGAGACAAGAAACGGGTATCAGTCAGCAACTCCAGAGTCCAGACTCCAGACTGGGGTAAAAAAAGCCAAGTCCAGGGTTAGTGGATGAGTGGCATGAAAGACCCTTGAATGATGGGATAAACAAGATCAACAACACCAGCTGAACGCAGCTTATCTTGAACAATCCCCATGGCACACTAGACACGGTCATCGTTGGATGATACTCTGTTTCAGTACAAAAGTGTAACAAGGGCAAAGTACGAGGCGATGTGATCATAATTATGGATGAGATTGAAATGGAATGACAAGCTGCGCTGCACATCTACTATCCACTTCACGAATGCGCTCATAACCTTTTGCCAGCGAAAAAGATGGACGAAGAGCAAAACTATATGACCAAATCATCATATACGTAGCCCTTAACTCTTGGGGGTGCAAATTAAACTATGCAGCTGAGAGCGCAGATTAGTTAGATGATCTCCTCAGCCCCCTTTCAGGCAAATAAACAGCGGTCTTCACATGCTTTTCAGCAAGGATCTTCGCGCTTAAAGTTACAGTTCCCGCCACAAATCCGGCTATCTGGCCAAAACTCTGCCCTCCATCAATACCCATGACGCAAGTATTGGATTGTTGATTCTTAGTGCCCATTCAAAATTGATTGCACTGTCATGCTTGTCACTTTAATGGTTGACCCACGCCAGGCCTCTTCGGTGACATTCAACCGTTTCCCCCCTTCATTATAAACCATCAGGCGAGTAAAGGCTCGGTCTGAATCTCTATCATAATTTATGATCCAATTTCTTCATATCACGCCAGTCACTGATTCACCGCATATCAACCGAGAACAGAATCAATAATCGGTCTGCCCGTACAGCGAGATACTGGGTTAATACCGTTCGATCCATATCCCTTATGATCCCACCCTCTTTTTTCTATACTTGACCCATTCTTACACTGGCGATATCCGTCTTGGGATTTATATTCCTAGTTTCCCATATAATTCATCCTAGACATGCGGATATTCCTAGGACCGTAGTCTAGTTGTCTCTTTATATCTCACTAGCGGAATCGGTATTCGCTCAATCCTCAAAGACTCGCCTCGACGCTATATCGACTTGGCCTTGGCGTCTTGAAAGCCTGGCTGGGGTTGTCTGCCAAGATCGGCCATCAGTACCGAAATCATGACCCAAAATCACCATGGCTCGTCGACTGCGACTCAAGAGCATCACCCCAAAGTCGTGGGCAAAAAGATTGCCGAAAAGGCCGTCCAATTCTCCCAACAAGCCGAGAAGCTCTCTCACCAACATCCAACCGACGAAGATCCCGGCGTTGCTGTCGAAGCGCAGTTCGTCACGCCTCATGACCCTGTTATAATTACTTCAGATGGAAATCGACTCCCCGGCGTACCACTGCAGGAAGCTTATAAGCTCAACGTCCTTCGCGAAGAGCTCCAGGGCAAACCGGAAAGCGTTGAGATTAAGGAGGGCGTCGAGACCAAGGAAAAGATATCCAATGTCGAAAACGCAGACCCAGAGCAACGAAAAGTTGTTCAGCTGTCATCGGAACAGAATGGCGCTTCCCTGCAGAAGCCCAACAGCAATAGTACCTTGCGGAAACAGACACCTCCATCCCATACCAACCCTCTCTTCCCTCCATTGCCACTTTACGGACCTCCCAGCACGATGCGCAATATTCAATGCATGTTCTTTCGAATTAGCGCATTCTTCCTGAGCCTGGCATTTCTCGGTGTTATCGTTTTGGGCTCGTTGTTCACATCAATACCTTTGGTGTACAAGAACATTTGGTACCGATTGACTTTTCGTGATCCCAAATCGGATAGGCCATTCTACGAAGAGGAGAAGCGTAGAGCACGAGCAAGAAAAGAGCAAGAAAAGGCCTGGAAACAAAAGTCACCCAATGGACCGACATTGGACAGGGCTGAAAACGCTGAAGAATTCCCACCAACCGAAGGTGGTCCAGATCCGATCATCTGCGACGTTGCATACTATGCACGCAGAGTTGGTCTAGATGTTGAGACATTCGAGGTTCAGACCGAAGATGGTTTCATCATTGACTTGTGGCATGTTTACGATCCGAAGGAGTATACCGAGCTAGAAGAGAGCTTGAGATCCGACCAGGGCCCCGAGGTCTTCCAGCGACCGAGAAAGCTCAAGAATCCGTCACAAAAGCCTAAGTTCCCTGTATTGCTCATGCATGGCTTACTGCAAAGTTCAGGCGCCTATTGCTGCAACGATGATGAGTCTCTTGCTTTCTGGCTCTGCAAGTCCGGCTATGATGTGTGGCTTGGCAACAATCGTTGTGGGTTCGAGCCCAAGCACGCACTGCTCGAGTACAGCGACCCAAGGATGTGGTGTTGGAATATCAGACAAATGGGTGTTTTCGACCTACCTGCATTGACATCACGAATCATTACGGAAACGGGTTTCGAGAAGATCGGACTGATCTGTCACTCCCAGGGAACAACTCAGACGTTTGTTGCTCTGGCAAAGGAGCAGCGACCTGAATTGGGCGAGAAGCTCACCGTATTCTGTGCCCTCGCCCCAGCCGCATATGCTGGTCCTCTCATTGGCAAAATGTACTTCAAGTTTATGCGAATCATCTCGCCTGGTCTGTTCCGACTCATGTTTGGCATCCACGCATTTATCCCCTTCATGATGCAAATGCATAAGATACTAGATCCACGCCTGTACGGCTGGCTCGGCTACAAGGTGTTCTCGTTCTTGTTCGACTGGAGTGATGCTCGCTGGGATCGTGGCCTCCGCAATCGCATGTTCCAATTCGCGCCTGTGTATGTGAGCGCAGAGTCGATGCGATGGTGGCTGGGCCGAGAATGCTTTGCCCAGCACAAGTGCATCTTGTCTACCAAAGAGATTGTGAGGGCCGAGGAGCACATGGACTCCAAGGGTGATGGGAAAACAAAACACCCCAAGGGAGCTTCGGCATGGTACAATGAGAAAGCACCGCCAATGGCTTTGTGGGTTTGCGGCAACGATGACCTCGTTGACGGAAAGAAATTACTCCGCCGATTTGAGAAGGGCCGCGAGCCACATGTGAACCTGGTTCATAGCAAGGTTATCCCCGAGTACGAGCACTTGGATGTCATCTGGGCTATGGATGCGGTCGACCAGGTATTTAAGGAAGTTCGAGAGGTACTGTGGAAGACATGCAACGCGCGTGATATTTGCCGCGTCCCTGAAGGATGCGAGGCAGTACAGCCACAAAAGGAGAAGATGGCTGTCAAAGAGAACGTGGTAGACGACTCCCAATCAAGCAGCAGCGGCGAGTTATAGAAGGGGTTTGGAAGGGATATATACACGATACACACGAATCAGCACACGCATATAGAAGAGACGGGTTATGGTATGTAAACAATATGGAAAGATTTCACGGTTTAGAGCATATGTGGTTGGATATTATGTTTTGCAGATACACCTGGGTGGCTTTTTGGATATCATCACTGTCACGATACCTTTTATTGGGCGTTCAAGCTTGGGGTGTAGTGGTTTTCGGAAGGCGTTAAGGTAAATGCAAGACGTCTTACACACACATGAACACGATTCGTTTTATATGATCACCAAGCGTATGTGCAGGTCTCCTTGCATTTGCAATTACTCAGTGTACTGCCATGCAAGAAACTTAGCGAGCCATGTCAAATCTTGAGCTTGTATATGCTACTTTTACACAAGCACAATAACAGCTTTACAACTCCCTGTTTATGACCTGAGCCGAAACTTAAGTTCAAGTATCGAGAATTACATTATTATCTTAAATTATGAACTTTGAACTACCTATCGTAAAAAGCTCTTCGGTTAGTGTTTGTCCGATTTGTACTTACCCTGCACTGCGTTGGAACCGAACTATCAATTTCAGGAAGCAATACAGTTATACGAAAAAGTTTGTGAAATAACCAGGACGTGGTGAGTAAACTTATAAGATTGTAAGTTTCCAAACTGCATCGTGTTCTATGTTCATTTATGTTACAAGAAATTGCCATACCTTGGCTATTGCTTCGCTGTTTTAAAATTGCTATCACATTACCGGTGCATTTTATCCATAGTTCCTGATCAACCCATGCGTTCAGACTCTTCCAATAGCTTCTCAACACTGAATCTTGAATCACCAGCTGCGAACCAACTTAGCAGCTTCTTTCGCTCCTCAGCCCTATCTTTGCGCTCTCCACTCAACTCAGCATTGTCGCCATCCCAGCCGCCGTAGAATCGCTGCAGAGACATAAGAAGCCACTTGGCGTTCTCTGGGGTGACTCCTCGGTCGGGGACGACTTGACCTTGCATCAGAATGAGACCCCGGTCATTCGCGAGGTCGAGGTGGTGTGTGATAGTAGTGTGAGGTTGCGCAAACTCGCCTCGGTTCTTGTACTCAGCAAGCTGGGTGAAGAGAACGGTGCTAGTTTTGGTCTCAGCGTCAAAGGTCCATTGGAGGAAGTGAATCTCTGCACCTTGAGCAGGGTGTGGCACGGGAAGGACGAATTGAGGCGCCTTTCGAGCAGCGTCTTCCATAACCTTATATGTCGATGCTGGGACGACAGCGCAGAGATTAAGCTCGGACGAAGCATGTCGTAGACGCCAGATAGCTGTCAGCTCCTTCTCAGGAAGCTCTCGCACCTTCGTGAGATCAATGATGTCATTCAGAGTCTTGATAGCTGGCTTATCCGCGCCAGTCGGAGGAGGTTTAGGAGGTGATGTGGGAGCATCGCGAGGATCTCTAGCGGGCTGGTCTTGACCAGGGGGGTCGTCTGCGTTGGGCTGAACGACTGGAGTTTCGGGTGCTTGAGGGATTGTTCCAACTGGAATCTCAATAGCACCCTTACGACGCTCGGCATGAATTTTGTCAGCGTAGGCCGCCTTGAGCTGGTCAATTGTCTCGAGTCCCTCCTTCTGAGCCTTCTGGCTGAGTTTCTCTCGGTACTTCTCGACGACGACCTGCGAAGACTGGGTTGTTGCGAGGAAGCGGATGTCGTGAACCTGAGCCCATCGTCGCTGGTTGGCAGCTCGAGTTGCGCGTATCGGAGCGGCTACAAGCCGGCGGATGGCAGGAATTCGTAGTGAGGCCATGTTGGGGTGTCAATTGAGTCGATAGAAACACCTTTGGATGTTCGGCTCAACTACGTTGGTGGTGTTAAGAGGTCTATAATGGAGAAAGTTCAAGGACAGGACAGGACGAGCAAGGGTTGACCACTGAAATTTGGGGCTATCGTTCGTTGAACTCCAGCGATACCGTAGTGGGGCCGTGTCTGCGGAATGACGGAGGCATATCCGATGAGGTCAGGTCGTTGGCCGGCTTCGGAGTGAGGACATGATGACAAAGAGAGCTTCAGCAATTGGACCAATCTGATAAGACTAATATCTAAAACGTTGAAGCAAAAACATCCTGGAGAATCTGAAATTGTTGTCTCAACGCCACTTATCTTCTGTTGTCCCTGACATCACTTCCACGAACATCAACTATCGTCTCTAGGTATTCAACTACCCCGCCATACAAATTCACCGCTTTTGGTGGGCATCAAGTTTCTGCCGCTTGCATATCGCAAACTCGAGGGGCAAAGTTACAAGGTTCTCTGTGCAAGTTGCATGGTGTTGATCGATTTATTCACTCAAATACACCTTATAATACTTTCTAGAGGCTTGCCAAGTCTCAATATTGCCCATAATGGCCGATTTTAGGCAATGGGCTCTTGAGTTTGTTCTTGCCGATGACGAGGGGCAACAAACGGCGATAGCTCAGAAAGCTGCCAACGGTAACTTACGAGAATTCTTAAACATGAACATTTTCTGATTTAATATTCTAGAAATTCAAACTGCGCCTGCCAACACCAACCCTGTGGCACGATGGGTTGAGGCTGTGCAACCGTGGATGCCAGGCAGTGGTAACGAGGCCGAGAATGAGACACCAGACTGGACTGCGAGATCTAAAGGTGAGGGTTGCCTTTCATTACCATATGTTATTCATAACTAACTGTGTCAGCACTTGAGTTTCTATCCAGAACCTTGGATTTCTTAAGCAAGGATGTTCTGAAGCCTAGTCAAGGTATATCATTTCTTGTGGACTGGGACTCTTATCATCTCTAATACGCAATATAGTCAAACTACTTGTCAGTTTCTTCGGAGCAATGTTCGAGGTTGACCATAAAGCTGGCATCTTACCTTCTGCGACCGCTCTATCCAGAATAGTCGCTATGAAGTCCTTCCAACGTCACATGGGGCACGACATTATCCAGAAGATTTGCTCTCTAAAGGACGACTTCCCACGTCAAGTTTCCAAAACTCGACTTGAGATCTACGAGCTTATTCGATTACTCATGACGACCCCTGGTGTATCAAGCGACCTGCAGAACACACACGGCTCATCTGCTGGCTTCATGCTCGACTTGATACAACTCTGCCGAAGCGAGCGAGACCCTGAATGTTTGATGGTGTGGTTTGACATTTTGAGATTGTTCATGGCGGAGTATACAGTCTCACAAGATGTCTTGGAGGAAGCTTACGGCGTCTTTAAGCCATATTTCCCTATTTCACTTCCGAGGGCATCTCAGGTTTCCATCACTCCTGAAGAGTTGAAGCTACAGCTACGAAAATGCTTTTCGGCCAACCACTTATTAGCAGATAAAGTCTTCACATTCCTGTTAGGTAAGCTGGATCAGGGTGATGCTGTAACTGTTAACGTCAAGGTAAGTAAATATATTGTTGATTTATACGAAAATGAAATCTGACACATTATAGATCGACATTCTCAAAACTGTGCAAGCCTGTCTTGATACATACAGCCATCCTCAGAAATCAATTGCTCCCTATGCCAATCAAATCTGGGGCAGCTTAAAGTACGAGGTACGGAATGGAGAAATCGAAGATACTATCTGGGGTACCTTGGAAGTCCTTAAGTCTCTCACGCGAAGGCTCACAGGGGATAACCTCCGCGATTACACACTCTCTGTTACTCGAGACTGCGTCCCTGATCTTGCCACAAGCATGTACGCCGCGTCTGCTGGTCGACTCGTGGTTAGTGTCTTGAGCTCTAAGCCAAGCGCATTCGTCTTGATGGCCGCCCCTGTTCTCACGCATATCAAGGAGAACCTACGACATCCAAAGGCGCCTGTACATAGTCAGGACCTTCTCAAAGTCTTACACGTCATTTTGGAAACCCGACTCCTACTTGCCGACTCGGATATGTCCGCCGAGGAGCGAGAGGATTTTGCTGCCATTGACAGCTTCTTCAAGTCTCTTTACGTGGATGTTTACAAAAACACAGTCAAGCTTGGCTCTAAAACTGATGCTTCGTATGATGATATCAAGGTAGCTTCTCAAGCCGTCCAGGGTGCTGGAGCCTTGGTGTGTCAAAGACCTGCCAAATCATCAGATTTGTCGAGTAATGGTGCGAGCGCTACATCCGCACGATTACTCCCTGAAGACATATGCTCAGAAATTTGCGAATCTCTTTTCGTTATCCTTCAGAAATCATGCCCAGGGCATCCGCGATCACTTGGAGGCGATGAACTGATTAATGATACCGCCAAGGCACTCCAACGAGCTGTTCGCTTGTTTCCCCATGGCTTCAACGGCCTAGTTGATGAGAGCATGAACATCATTCGCTCTAGTCGTCAGAACTCTGAAGCAGCGGAAGCATCAGAGACAGTGACAACTCTCGGTGGGCTTATCGGATTTATTGGTTCTTCAGAATTGCCCTCCTCGCCTAGAAGTGGGTTTGATCACTTTTACTACTCCGCAAGGGCTTTATCATCAGAATTGTTTGATGCTATTGAGGCGAAGTCAGACTCTCAGATCTGGTGTGCTTTGATAGCTACCATTCAATCTATAGCTCGATATTTTAACGATGCCTGTCTGGCAACGGACCCAGACAAAAACCCCACCTTGGAGGATGAACCTCTTCAAAAGATTGGTGCTACGTACACAGATTTAAACCAGCTTGGCAATGAGAAGCAGGCTGGGGGGTCCTCTCTCGAATACCGTAGCCGAGTTTCTCAGACAGCATCGGTTGCTGAGATCAGGAACGAATTCCTCCTGGTAACCCTATTTATTTGCAAGCAACTTTACCGCCGTGCAACTAAGGTTATCGAGACACACCCCCAAACAGGCCAACAGGCTCTCAGTCTAAGTGATGACTTTGCCAACATTGATCAAGCCTCTGGACATCAGTATCTTCATCTCATCTCGACACTAGCAGGTTTCGTTATCCACGAATTCAATGAGTCCCAGCAAACGTTACTTAAAGCGGAACGTTTTGCGATTACCCTTTTCCGGGACGATTCCGTTACTATCCCTCAGGAAACAACCAAGGAGCAAACCGTGTTGGAGAATAGCTCGTCTTGGAGCTGGCTATCATCAGAAGCACCCAATGTCCTATCTCTAGGTATACTGCAGGCTTTGCAGCCGTCAGCAGTAGCACGCCTGGTATGCCCATCTTAAATGCATCATCTAAAGCTTTCCCCACTAACTCGATCATAGTTTGACAACGGAGTTGCTCAGGAGTTGATCCTCAGCGGATTCGCCGCAGATACAAACTTCAGCAGACCAGTGACTCTTTCAATCCTCACTATTCTGGCCAATAAGTACAAAATCGAGACTCTGCCAAATCTTATAGCAGCACTTGAACAACGCACTGCAAACTTGCTATCGGCATCTGAAACCGGAAATGATGGTCTACGTTTAGAACAAATCACTTCTATCTATGCCCTTGTTGCAGGAATGGTGAGGCGATACAGCGGCAAGGAAGCCAAGGCACTACTTGATTTTGTTAAGCAGTCGCCAAAGGATGCTGAGCTTGGTTCTGAACTCGCTCGTCGGCTTGAAATGGCCGTGGCCCCTCAGCAACCACTGAGCAAAGAAAACTACGCTGTCGTCAAGCCTCTCTGGACACAAAAGGTCTACTTCCAACTCGCGAGCCCAATGCTACAGGCCGCTACGGGAAAGGACGCCAATGTTCAGGACCAGCAAGTCAAGGCGCGCTACAGCACCGCTGTCTTACTCATGGTAAAACATATGGGCTTCCCTATCTACGAGGCGGATGCAGACGATATCCTCCGAATCTCCATTGCTGTTGCGCAAAATAGCGGCATTGGCCCTGAGACAAAGGCAGCCCTGGACGTGATTAAGAATACACTTGCAGAAGCCTCCGAGAAGGGCAAAGGTCACATCCGAAGCATCATCAAGATCTGTAGCAGCGTCTTCTCACATAGGGCCCCTTCCGCGACTGACGACATAGAGACAGAGGGTGCTTGTGGAAAGCTTGCGCTGGAGATCGTGGGAAGTCTGCCTCCCACGTACGACTCACAGCACTTGATACCACATGCGCCCCAGGTACAGAGGCAATTAACACTGGTTTGTGGACATAGAGTCCGAGAAGTGAGAAAGACAGCGCGGCTGGCTAGAGCGGCCTGGGCTGATCTCAAGTGAGACACTCCGGCGTTTTATACGGAGTAGATAGAGGCAATGTGATTGGGATATCAGCATTTGATCTATATTTACGATTGGCGCAGGGTAGATAGTCGGAAAAGGCATATATGGCACAAGGAATCATTCAAAATTAGACAGAATTCGGTGCAATTGTGGTGATCATACTGTCGCGTAATTAAAGCAGTTCTCTTTCAGTATTGGTAATATCTTGTCAACGCGTGGTATCAAGAAGTGATTCCCGTGAACGCCGTGATGAATGTAGGCCTATCTCCTTTCTCTTTAATTTACAATATGAAACTCATCACAACCTTACGCCTTGCGTCGCTTGCCTCCCTTGTTTTCGGTTACATCGGCCGTTACGGTCTCAGCACCAGTCGCATTGGCAGCAAGGATGGCATCGAGAACATCAGGGCTAGCACCTAATAGCTCACTGGACACAGTAACACGCTTTGGGTCACGCTTCCCAATCACAGGGACCGAGTTGGCGAGCAACTCCTGAAAGGGAACTGCAACAAACTGGCCGGTTTCATCAAACCAGCCAGTGAAAGGCTTAGAGATCTTGTGGACGCTGGGTTTCGAGCCTTTGTCGGTGACGGTGACGGCGAGGTTGTAGATAGGGACGTTCTTCTTGGTAGAACTGCTGATAGAGATCTAAGAGTGACTGTTAGTGCGATGCATGTGAGTACACAGTGATTGGCCTTACCTTCTCACCAGAGGGTGAGGTTCCCTCGTAGATTATTCCCTTTTCTCGGAACATAATCCATAGTGTTAAGGCGGTGTTGATCAAGGTGTAGAGCGTAACGGCAGCAGCTGTGTAGTATTTGGTGCTCTCAAAGCCCAGCTTGTAGTCCCATAGGAAACAGGCGGCTGCGATACCAAAGGCTGTGTAGCCAAGCGCAAGTCGAACATCGGTAAGAGTATGAGATTGGCGGAACTTTAGTGAGTTGAGATAGTTGGGGATAGCATCATCGGAGGTGTTCTTAAGGTCTGTATCGCGAAGAGCCACCGTGTCAGAAGGCAGCCTCGTATAAGCGGCTTCTAGAGCGCGAACTTACCTGCAAGGTTGTAGACGGAAATCTTTTCGGCGGCGTTGGCCATGATGACTTATAGGCCTCTGACGACTCTGACTGGCAAATGGAGTTGCTTTGTGTATGTTGTATGTTGTCAATGAGAAGCAATTGTTTCTCCAAGTGCATAAAGTATCAATGCCTGCTGTCATGAGGAGGTCTTGTCGTGGGGCTGAAGCATGTGGATAGCTGTCCCTTCATCGAATGCCTAACCACTAAGAGCCAAGGTCCACTACAGGTGTGGCGCTACCGAATGCTTAGCCTACAGCCACCAATTGATAGCTCCGCCCGTATGTGGCGCAAGTTGGCTTGAATCGTGGCTATTTGGCGACCTTGAACCTCACAACTCCAACAGCTCCATTGCAACGCGACATCAGCTTCACCTTTCCAGCCCTCGCAATCCACGCCGTTGTCACTTAACATCATGATGCAGAATCCTGTCCAGACCCTTCATAGGGATCCCCAGTTATTGTGCGTCAACTCCCGACCAATCCGCCATCAGGCCAAATCACTGACTTGAGCTCATAGCTACTGGATCCTGATCCCCATCACCATTGTCATGGTCCTGACCGGTGTTCTCCGCCACTATGTATCTGTTCTTATGGCTACCGCGCCCAAGAAGCAAGATGAAAAAGCCATGCGTGAACAGCGATACCTGGCTCGCGGTGTAGCCCTTCGTTCCAACCATCATGTCCTCTCTCAGAAGGCATTCGAGTCCCGACGTGATGTCCTTACGACCAATTACGAAGCTGGAACATACCTCAAGGAGCCTGACCGCAAGGGCCAACCCCCTGCCAACCCTCTGTCTGACCCCAGTGCCATGGACGGCATGATGGGCATGATGAAGAACAACATGGCCATGATTGTTCCCAACACACTCATTATGAGTTGGATCAATGCCTTCTTCAGCGGATACGTCATCAGTATGTCCAATTGCTTGGTCGAGCCGAATAATACTAACAGTTAAAGTGAAACTACCTTTCCCCATTACCATCAAGTTCAAGAGCATGCTCCAGGCTGGTGTTCAGACCAGGGAGATGGATCCTCGTTGGATGTCCAGCATCAGCTGGTACTTTCTCTGCATCTTTGGTCTCCAATTCGTTTACGTCTTCCTTCTCGGTAGCGACAATGGTAAGTTTCCAAACCCTGGCGGTATCTCCAAATACTAACATATCGTAGCTGCCAGTCAGGTTGCCCAGCAAATGCAGTCGCAGCAGATGCCTAACCCCATGATGGGCGGTCCTGGCCAGGACCCTCACAAGCAGTTCGTGGCTGAAATTGAGAATTTGAATGTGGTTGAGCATTACTCTGTTTTGGATAACGTCGAGGAGCGTCTGTTGGCGGGTATCAAGTCGTAGATTCATAGAGCAAGGAAATGTAAATAAGCCAAATATAACGCGGTGACATATCTTTCCGGACCCTTGTCCTTCTCCGTGCTTCCTTGGTCCATTAATCCAACACTATGCTCCATCCCACCAAAGGCAGACTCCAAGTCCCTCCGCAGCCATACTAGCCTTGATGCGATAAGGTGTTTTCAAGGGCGAATCTTCAGGTTGGGTCGGTCCTGCAGGAGCTTGGTCGTGCCACTCCTCATCAATAACTTGGAACCGAACCATTTCATGGTTATCGTAGAATAATCGGTCGTCATCGAGGTTCCAAATCCAGAGTTGTTCGCTGTGGGAGCTGTACGCCATTAGTTCTTCTCTTTTTATAAGCAGCTGCGGGTTGCTTACTACTCGGCACCTTCTGGCAACTCTTCAAAGGGCACAAAAATGTCGTCGAAGAAATCTGTTCTCAAATTGATCCCTGCAGGTGTAGAGCTTCTTATTCTGCCAATCATGACTTCGCCCTTAAATGGACGGAATACAACCATGCGAAATTCAGCTGTACCATTGAATTAGCCTCCCTTTTGGATCAAAGATACAAATCGACAAACCATTCACGTTGACCAAGCCTGTGCCATGGCCGATAAGACCTTCTGATGCCCATTGCACATCGTACAAGCAGATACAGACACCAATCTTTTGGATAACCTATTTCATTCAGTTAACCCAGACTTCCAATCATCAAACCTTTTTGTGGAGGTCTCACCTTATTAGAGTATTTCGCATTAATGTTGTCTTCAATGGCATCTATGCTGCGCTTTGAGAAGTCCTCGGGCGCAATTTGCACCAAGTCGGCGATTTTTGTCTAAATAACCTATGAGTCTTGACTCTGCGATCTTTGGTGGGGTATAACATACCAAGATGAACATTTTGGAAGCCGATGGCGATCAATCTTACTTTTTAAGTCTTAGTCTTCGATGCGCAATGAGTATATAAAAATGCGAAGTGATTAAAGAACCATAAGGATCAGGTAGTTCTTCAACCAAGATAATGCTTTCTCACTCATGCAGTCGCGAACTGCTTCCTCAGCACCCAAAGAACCTTTGACGCGGCAGAAAAATAATGCCGGACGCACTAAGCTTCTTTGAGATTGTTCAATAATTCACCGCCTTCCAGATAAGGACTAGCAAGTTTCTCGCGACTGCGGTGTGCAGGGAAGTTCGTCACAGCCCGGCACCCTGAGCGAGCTCCTTCTGTCTTTCAATTCGTTTGGCCATCGTCGTACCTTCTTTTTTGGAAGCGACATCTACGGGCAACTGCAGTCCCCCGAACGATTGCCCTGACTGCCTGAGCGCTACAACAACATTGTTAACTTTTAGTTCTCAACTATCCTTTTGCAACCTGCATATATCTTTGTCCCTTTTCATTCTCGTCTCAACATTCCTTTATCGTTTACAATCTCCAACGCTTTGGACAGCTTCCGACACTCATCTCACCGATTTCTACTGATCTTTCCAGCAACTGGAAAATCCATCAATCGACCGTTGTAGAAAGGTGTCTTATGACTGCATCCGAACTCAACATTTAATTCCAACTTCTGAACTGGGTCCATTCTCGAAAACCAACTTCCGCAGCCTGAACCTCGAGTTCCATCGAATTTAGCCATCGTCACATACGCCCAATATCATCAATATGTCGGGTTACGGTTACGGTCCTCCACCTCCTCCGCCGCCGGCTTCTTCTGGTGGTCCGCCGAGCTATGGGCCTCAAGCTCCATCCTATCCCCAGCATGGCCAGAGTCGGGGAGGGCATCATGGCCGAGGACGCGGTGGCCATTACAGCGGTGGTCGCGGAGACTACCACGGTTCACCTCAAGGCCAATACGAGTACGCTGGTCAGCCATATCCTGCTCATCATAACCCTCCTCAGTACGGCGCTGCACACCCACCTGCTGGTAGTTATCCCCCTCAGCCTCAATGGGGCCCTGAGCATGGACATCCAGCTCATGGACATCCACAAGCTCCTATCGCTTCTAACAACTACCATCCCAATTACGCCGCTCAGCCATACCCACCTGCTCAATACCCGCAACAACCCCCTTATGGCGGTCCACAGGCCTACCCCTATCAAGGACCTCCTCCTCCTCCAAACCAAGCCCAGTGGAATGGTGGTGGACAGCCGGCTGTAGTTCATTATGGCAATGGAAGGTCCCGTGGCGGTTTCAATGATCGCAACGGACCAAAGCCTCCATTGAATGGCCCTGTTCGCCCTGGCTACGAGCATGAAGCCATGCCGCCAGCCAATGGATATGGCCAACCATACCCTCATGATCCTCGCGCGGTTCATTACCCTCCTCCCCAATATCCTACGTATCCTGGTCCCCCACCACCTCCTGCTCATAGTCAAGATGGCTACTACGGTCACAACAACCGCCGTGGTCGAGGAGGTTTTAGAGATGGAAACTCTCGTGGACGTGGAGGCCACCATGGAAATGACAAGCCGCGTCACCCGAAACATGGGCAAAACGATGTCAACCATAACAAGTCCGAAGCTCCTACCCAGGGCAAGAAGAAGAAACGCAAGACAAACACACTGGGCTTGACCCCTGGTATGGAATCAGAGTCTGAAGACGATGAAGGAGAGGAGAAGGTATTGACCGATTTGATCGGTCAAGAAACACTCAAGTAAGTAACCTCTTACCTATGCCACGTTTGTCCTAACAAATATAGTGTCAAAGATGTTGCCGCATTCTTAGCAGACAGGAAAAAGCATTTCCCTACACAGGCCCGTGTTGAGGCGAAAAAGACTGCCGAGGTGGCACATAACGGCGAAGACAAGGCTTCCTCGCTAGAGAAACAGGCCGACAAACTGAGACGACAACTACGCAAAGTCGAGTCGTCGATCAAGCGAAAAAGAGAGCAAGGCGATGAGGGCGACGAAATGCGAGATCCATCTGAGGAATCTTCCGACGACGAGCCAGAAGTTATGTCTACTCGTTCGCACGTCGCTCCTCCACCTCCTCCGCCGGCCAAGAAAGCCGACGTTTCCAAGCATTGTAAATATTATTCCACTGGTGGAACTTGCGGCAAGAAGGGCAAGTGCCGCTTCGTCCATGATCCTGAGGTTCGCGAAGCGGCTATGAAGGACCGTGAGGCCAATAATGGACGGCTCACGATTCAGCAACGACTGATTCTCAACGATAAGGAGCAAGAAGATCTTACTGTCCTCCAGTCAATCCAGTATCTCCGCAAAAAGGGCCTCATGGAACCCGAAGATCCAGAGATGAAAGCAGAGCCCAAGCTAGTCAAACCTGATCTCCCAGCGCATCCTCCCCCACCAAGCCTGCTCCCTGCTGCATCGGCCTCTTTGCCCCCTCCCCCTATCAAGCGAGAACCCAACCTACCTCGCCATAACCCACCCCCATCCATTGTCCCTAGTGCCAAAAGCACTCAGGGAGTCAAACCCTATCAAGGATGGAACCTGAGACCCTATGGGAGCACCAGCGGCAAGTCCAAGAGCAATGACCTGCCTTGACTACCCTAACATTTCACAATGTCCCTCCACAACCACACAATTGCGCAGATACGTCCATGTATGTCTCGTGAGTTCGGTGCCTATGCCTACGCCTTTCAAATGGATAGTTGTCCTGGCATGGATACCGGGTTGCTTTTATAACATGTACAAGTACTATAGCCGACTCCGACGTCGAGCTTGTTTTGTGATACGCAGAGATTCTCGCACTCGCCCGATCAGATATCGTATTGTTTAATGGTGTCCAAAAGCATAGTTACATCGGTTGGTCAGCTTTAGTCAAGAGACTCGCTGTAACATCTGTTGGGACAATATGGGGTGCATTGCTTTTGGATCAGGCTGGGAGAGAAGGCGTTCAACTGATCAGGGGCAATAATGGCGTCTAAGTCTTAGACATTTTGGGTTCGCAAAATTACATATCGTGTTTCTATTGTGTGCATTTCTCCCAAACGTTGTCACCATATGCAAATGATTATTCTCCCTGAGTGGCTATCAGTGGCTGGGCGCAAAGTTGCGGTCTGTGCTGTGTTCATTTACAGATAACTTGTGAACTGCCAGAGGAGCAAGCAACAAGTTGTTGTAGTGCGGAAATGCAAGTGTGTATCTTAATTGAGTGGAACTGTAGACTCTATCTACTGTTAAGCTTGTTGTATTTATCATGTCGTCACTATTCCTAGGATGAGATGCAATGCCGTAGAGATTTATACGATTTAAACAAGTACTTCTTGACAACGTCATCTTTCTGTAGCGCTGCCCCCAGTGTATCCGCAACTAAGTATCGGATCGATTTCGCTATGCTTTTAAAGCTCCAATAGTATTTTCCACTCCTTGTGTCAATCCATCCGGGTCGCCAGAAATCAACCTCGACCGAAACCATGCAGCCACCTCCTATAAAGGAAGCAACAAATTCAAGTTTAAGAATAGAGAAAAGGGGGGTAAAAGATGACAACTCCATCGCTAATGTAGCCCCTAAACAAAAGATAGAAGCAAAGTGCAACAAAAAGATGAGGATGGGGAGGTGAGACAAAAAAAGGTAAACCCGTGAAACGCCCATTGCTAACTCCTCGACCGTTATTCGCGTGACTGTGAAAGATACTCAGATGAGCAAAGGATGAGGGTGATAGGTGGTATACCCTAGATATTAAGTTCGAGAGGACTAAGACCGTGTAGCAAAAATATGACCAGGTCAACGGTGATACTTCTCATCGGCGTCGACCTCGAAGAGCTTCTAGAGCCTGACGCTTACGGGCCTCTTTGCTAGCCTTGTGTTCTCTCTCAAGACGTTCCTGCTCGATATCTTCACGTCGAGCGATCTGTTCTGCTCGTCGCTCTTCGACATCAATGTCATCCAAGCCTGCCTCCATATCTGAAGACGCGTCGGAGGCATAATCATATCGTGGACCGCCGCCGTCATCTTCTTCGTCGTCATAGTCAATAAAGTCATCCAACTCCTCATCATAGTCATCCTCATAGCGTGACTTTGAATGTGCTGGGCGGGGGGCTCGTGGTGCACTGAGTAGCGCTCCACCACGAGAAGCGTCCTTCTTTTTGGGAGCGTCACTGCCCGGTCTAGGTCTGGCAGTGCCAGTATATCCTGTTGTTGCCACGGCCGCCTTCTTAACCTTCTTGGGTTCTTCCTCGGGTGGTGCAGCTCTACCTCCAGGTAGCTTGCCGCCAGTCATCCTGCCCCGATCTGCTTTTGAGGGAGGGAGGGGTCTACCATTACGTGTATCTTTACCGGCTCCGGAAACGGGCATGCCATTCCGTTGGCCTGACTTCGCCGTGCCAGCATAGCCTGTAGCGGCAGGTGATGGGCGTTGCTTCAGGTTCTTGACTGTCCGAGGATCAATCTTTGCAGGCGGCGGTGGTTCATCCTTGCCCTTCTTGATAGTACCACCCTCAACCTTCTTGTGTTGGATCTTACCAACCTGACCCATCGATGCCTGTGCCTTCTGAGCACGGGCAAGAATTTCAGCGAAGGAGCCCTTTTTCGGTGGAGCACCACGAGGTGCAGGAGGTGCGTTCGAGGGTCCAGGGGATGGTCTGCTGGGGGCAACGGGTTTAGAGACCCGGTTACCCCCGTTCATCGGTCTGGAAGACAGGACAGTAGGTTTACTGTTTCCATTTGTCGGATTTGAAGGCCGTTGTGAGGGTGTCGGTCTGTCAGAGGGCCTTGATGGAAGGGCTGGTCTTGATGATGTAGTGGGAGACTGTGTTGTTCGTGGCCCCACGGTGGTAGATAAGGTGGTGACTCGAGGCGCCTTGGAAATACTCGATCGAGGGTCATCGTCAGCTTTCCTCTTGGGTAACGTGTTCGATCGAGACAGGCTCGTTGTGGGGGAAGGGGCCGACCCCTCGTCACCGCCGCTGATCTGGGCGAGAAGATCTCCAATCTGAAAAACCATGGTCAACTTTTTCCTGATACTCGCATGACTTGCTTTCGGTCAGTTACTCACAGGCATCGCGTCGGATGTAAGTCAAAGAGCTTGATAAATCAAGTGACAGAAGCCCTCAGAGCCAAAGAGGAGCAAATAGCCTCGAACGTGGATTGTGAGTCATTGAGCGGCCGGGAAAGAGCCTGAACTTTGGGTTTGTCGTCAGGCACTTTTAACGCCTTTCAAATACGCAAGTTTAAGACTTTCTGGTGACGTGAGTCGCGGAATCGATAGGAGGCCTGTTTGTGGTCCTATTCGCTCGAAAATTCCATGGGAAACGCCTGAGATACAGGCGATCACGGAATGAAGGAGGAGAAAAGCATACAGTTAGTGAAGAGCAAAGAATCAGTCAACAGCCAACTTTATGGGCGAGAGCCGTCAACGCAAGGACAACGCCACAGGCTGGACGCGGCGCAGGTCACGTGCATAGAGATGTGGCGGTGCGACATCCGGATCCGGCTGCGTTTTTTTCCGACATCCTCCGCCAGCCATCAAGCCTCACAGGAAGGTGCAACCCAGCCCCCGCTCAGCACGTGACATCACTGATTTCAACTTCGGCTAAGGGTAGCGGTGCCCACAGGATCAAAAAAGGGCTTGAGGTTTCGTAGCATCGCGAACTTTTCGACTTTTGTCACACCGAACAACCTTACCACCGAACTCGAAGGTTTCAGTCTCCGCCCAACTTGCGGTTAAATTGATTGATCTCTCTTGTTCTTCTCTGACTTCAGAAGTGAGTATATAATCTCTGCTACCCCCTCCTTGTTCTCGCCTTTGTGATCGACTCCAAACGAGCACCAATTGTGCAAACATCATTTCTCAAGAATTCATTCCTAACCTTTCTCGATCAGAAACCACATTCAAAATGAAGCACCTCGCAGCTTACCTTCTCCTTACCCTCGGCGGTAACGAGTCTCCCTCTGCCGCTGATGTCAAGGCCGTCCTTGAGTCCGTTGGCATTGAGGCTGACTCCGACCGTCTCGACACCCTGATCTCTGAGCTCAAGGGCAAGAACGTTAACGACGTATGTTTAGTCCAACCTCTTTTAACTTCAGACACAACTCTAACGAATAATTCTAGCTCATTGCTGAGGGTTCTGAGAAGCTTGCTTCCGTTCCTTCCGGTGGTGCTGCTGCCTCTTCCGGAGGTGCTGCTGCCGCTGGTGGTGCCGCCGAGGAGGCCAAGGAGGAGGAGAAGGAGGAGGAGAAGGAGGAGTCCGACGAGGATATGGGCTTCGGTCTTTTCGACTAAGCGATCTCTATCCAGGGATTTGCATGGTTACGACGCCTCACGAATTTCGGAGACGCTACGCACGGGTTATTCACCAGTTCTTACCTGTCTTGAGCGTGAAAGGATTGGCCACACATGGCTGGATTGGGTCTCTCTATGGATGAGATACATACGGTTTATGGAAATTAAAAAAAAGGCGGTTCGGCTCTTCGAATAAGTGGCTCTCATACTTGTGAACGATGTGTCTACTGTGATATCTCCGTTGCGGTGCATTCCTGTTGTGGTCACTGCGAAAGCTGCCTTGTTGCTGTGCTGTCTTCCTAGACTCCCACCTGTGACTCCCATTAGGGTTTTGCAAAGGCAAGCCACATGTGCTGTGTGAAGTATGACTGTTCGGTCAGACGATTGAGTTTCACAGAAAAGGTCACCACTAGAGGTACCCTATAACCTTTAGCAAATGGGCATCGTTTGGTCTTGGTATGTTGGTCGCTGCTGTGTGTTTGTTGAACTGCATTGATCATCTTCCGACCATGGCCTTACCCAAAGCATTTGTGCCGTGGTCAAGTCACGTTGGTTAAAACAAACAGTACGATCCATTACCTTGTCGTTCGTGTTGAATGACCTCAGGTTCATTTAAGTCGCTATGTTCACCTGATGGTCAAACTCCTCAGTAACAAGCAACAATTTTAACCCAAGTTATTTCTTCTTTGTTGCAACATGAGATCAATATTTAGTTTGGCTTTAGACATTTCATTCTTATAATGATATAATGTTGGGTCCGTGAGGGCTCCACGTCATACTAGGATTGCCCAGTATATATGCAAGTCACACTGTCGAATACGCAGTGGTAAGGAATTAACTGTCACTGTTTTTATAATGCTATCATAAGTGCCGTAACCTGGATCGAAGCCCGTGGTTAGAACGTGAGAACTAGATATCATCCACAAAATTAAAACCCTCTGATATCGTTCGTGGTAGTAAGTGAGCTCCCGAAACAAAAGACGACAAAAAAACGCATTGTTATAGAATGCGTGCCACACAGAACTCCCTTGTAACATGAATATCCCAGTCAAAAACGCCTATGTATAGCAACTTCGACCACACCATAATATGTACCATCTGCCGAATTTGAATTTTTGTTATACGTGACACCTACTTCGCAGGTCGGTAATATCCCTGCTCGTCCCAGGTCCTTCCGTCATCGTTGGTGTTGTTGTACGCAGGGACGGGGGAGTGTCCGGGGTCAGGAGAGCCTGGGAGTTCAACAGGGGCGATTTCCACTGGCTTGGGGGTAGTAGAGGGAGAAGCGCCCATTTGTGGTTGCTGGTAGTCGCTGTTGATGAGTTAGCACATGAACTTATAACGAGACAAAGGACGGTCAACTTACTAGTAAGAGTTGTGTGATCCGTCTTGAGCTACCATGCCGGGGTGAGTTCCATAGGCAAGTGACTGATGAGGGCTGATGGGCGGGCTCTGCTGGCCGTAGTGACTGGCCATGAGACCCGGGCTCTTCTGGGCGGCCCAAGGGTCGGCGACGCTGGGATGAGGAGAGTAGACTGAGCTCTCGACAACGGGAGGAGCAGGAGGAATGGCGCTGTTGCGGAAGCTCTTGCGGTAGGCCTTGTCGAAACCACCTCGTCGTCCGCAGAGGTAGAGAAGAGCACCAGCAAGGAGAAGAACGGCCGCACCACCAACCGCAATACCGGCGATGGCTCCAGTGGAGAGAGACTTCTTGTGACCTCCGCTGTTACTGCTGCTGTCGTCGTCGTCGGATGATTCATCGGCGGATGATCCAGAAGTTGAAGAGGGAGAGGGGAAGCCCTCCTCAGTAGGCCATGGGTCACCGGGTCGTAGCTGGTAGTCGACATCTTTCGCGTTCGCTAGGAAACCGTTGAGTGTCTCATTCTTTGACTTTTGAGAATGTTAGTTGAGAACTTGGTAGTGTATGAGACTGTGAATCTTACGGGATTGACAATTCCCATCATGTGGTACTTCACACAGGATCCTGGAGCTCCGCAGTAGAAGACGAAAGGGTCAGTATCGTTGACGCGGACTCGGAATCGAGGAGCCTGTTATTGATGATTAGTGTTGGTCTTCAAAACTTGGGATTGGCGAAGCTCGTCAACTTACATCGTCGGTGATGGCCTGAACCTTTTGCATCTCACTGGAGAAACCTTTGCGGTCCAGATCGACATATTCATAAGGAATGCACGGATGGTCATAGTCTCCTCGGATAACCCAATGGTTACTGGGATAGAAGCGCCATTCGATAATATCACCGACATCAGCCTTGACCTCAGCGGGAGTGAACTTGTGACCAGACTAATCTCATAATCAGCATTTGTTTGGTAAGAGGACGCCGAGTTATTTGATTCGACCTACCGCTCCAACATTAATAGTATGTGTCTTTTCCGCTGATGAAGCAGTTCCTGTGGCAGACTCCTCAGCGGTTGCTGAAGGTGCATCGGTTGTCGACTGAGCCCACGCTGTAGTAGCGAGGGTCGCCACGAGGGCTATCAAGGACTTCTTGGACACCATCGTGAGTAGCTAGATGTGACTGAGGCACAAGAGTCCTGTGGGTATCAAGCACTTTGAAGTTCAAGTTCGAGTTCAGCCGAGTTGAAAGTGACAAAACGAAACAGAACAAGACGAAAAGAGAAGAGGAGAAACAAGGCGGAGAAGAGGGCGAGAGCTGAGTAATGAAGGCCTGATCAAGAGGAAGCAGAAGCAGAGCCCACGTCTTTTTTAGATTCCCGTGGTTAAACGGGGTATCCGTCAAGCAGGGGGAGGGGGGCGAGTCTAAACAAAGAAGGGAATGGGGGTGGCTCGATGTCTACAGTAAGTACAGCTCAAAGGGCTCATATAGAGGTCAAAGGCCAAGTACCCACGATGTGTCCGTATATACATAGGATGGGCAATGCCTGTAATGCTTGCATATAAGCCATGGCTGGGGCCCTTGGCCATTGGCCATTGGGGGGCTGAGTGTGAGTGCAGTGGAAAGTGAGGGTTGCTTTTTTGTCTACGCATACAGGCTTAGACTTTGATTAGATTAGAGACTGGGGAGAGATTCAATTAGGCTTCAGGCTCGAGCACACCATTAGAGAAAGAGGCAGAGCACTTACAGTGGACGGTGGATCTCGAGATGCACTGTCAGTACCAGTGTCACCGTCACGATATGGGCCTTTGTTGGTGCATGTACGGATACAGTACGTAGGTAAATGCATGGATGTATCAGACCTGGTGGAGGAGGTGAACAAAGGATCGAGCCTTAGCCCACTCACCTTCTTCGGCGATCCCAGGGACAACGCAAAGTCAAGTCAAGTGAGTAAGTATTGTTGAGATTAAGGATAGATAGTATGTCTCATATGGCGAGTTTTTGACTGTATTGATATATAGATAGAGTTGGCTAGGTACTATGCAGCTATGCTTAAGCTTAGACCTAACATTAAACGCCAAACTCAATCTCCCACCCTTCTCCTTTCACCTCTCTCCCCTCCCCTCTCCCTCTCTTTCAGTGAAAGAAAACGCTTCAGGCTTTACGTACAGTAGCAACTAGCAAATCAATTGTATAAAAAAAAGACCCACCGTCAGCTTATTTTAAGCCAAGACCATTTGCTCTCCTCTGGCAAGGTCCCCGACTGACACAGTAAGCACTATCCAGGGATCTATATAGGCGACCAGTCAGCATCAGCCCCAACTAATAAGCTGCAATTTGGCTGCATCCTTCTGGCCCATCTAGGACTAGCGCGTGAGCCGCCAAGGACCACCTCGACGGCCGCTAATAGTTTTGGGGCTCAAAGATCCAACCTCACCTCTTCACCTCCAGACCTCCATTACCTACACCTGCAGTAAATGCCCCCATAATAAAGGCTGAGCAATGCTATGTATCCGCACAGGTACAGTAGGTGCTAGCCTTCAAGGCCTGTCCCTTCCCTGTCCCTGCCGGAGCTTTTATCTTGTTTCGGTCAACACACCTTCTCAACCCTTGTAAATCTCCTCAGCCTTACACACCGCAGCCATACAATATACCGCAGCTACGGAGTAGGTATTCATACGAATACCTTGACAGAAGACCAATCTTCGCTTCATCACGCCGTGACACGTTTCATAAGCTTCCTTCTTGGCTTTTGTCGATCACGGGCTGAACTTGGATCTTGGGTCAAAGTCTGGGGTTCGAAAAACAGGCCCTCTCTGCAGATACTGTACTTTCTACTTTCTGCTCCCTTTACCGATAACACAACCTCCTCGGCCGAGTCAGCTACCGTATGTAGCATCGTTCAATGCAGGCAGGGGTTGTTTATCTGACCTCGCCCTGCACATTCGTCTCTTCTCTTGTTTTCCGGAACTCTCTCTTCATCCACGCTCGCCGATGGGACACTCCACGCGTCTTCGCTTTCGCCGTCTTTTCACTCGCCAATCGTGTATTTCGTCAAAAGAAGGTTGGAAATACAGCCTATCATCAACTTGCACCACCTTTTCCTGCAAACAAAGACCGGATAGATCCTCGGCATCAAACTCTAGATCAACAATCTAATCTCCTATTCAGTTTCCGCCCCCACTGGTTCTCTCAGACATCCATCCAAAGATCATTTTCCCTCTTAGTCTGGTCACCGGTGACAGCGAAAAACCCTCACGTTGCCACTTCTTCTCAAGCATTCACGGGCATCAGTGGGTTGTTTCCGATCCTTGACATCCCTCAAGTGGTATTGCGTAGAATACCTTATTTCCTCATCATCGAACCCCCTGCCTCTCACCCTCGCCCTCATCCTCACCCATGTCCAAGTCTGAGCCCGCTGCGGAATAAGGCAGACCAAGGTGACAAATACCAGACGAACAAATGCCAGCTTCCACAACAAACCTAGCGTCCATGACAAGATCTGCAAATGTTTGGTCCGCATTCTCAAATCGGACCCGATCCCTGCGAGAAGCACATTCAACGTTGCAACATGGAGTACCGGCCGTGCGGTTGCTCGGATACTTTGGCAGTTTGGTAAAGAACCAACTCCTTGCAACATTCACAGCTCAACATGGGCCGCCCTGCTGTTCGAGAAAGTCCATGTAAGCAAGTATAGCCTTGCTGTGGCAATGTTGAATCCGCGGAGAGGTCCCACGCTCATCCTTGGTGGCGGTGACAACACTCGGCCGAAGGCTCAAGCCTTTCTAATACGAAGAAGGATGAGGCCGTGTTATCAGGCGCCTAAAGGTTATGATATGAACCAGTCAAGGGCTAGAGTCCAAAACACGGGTACCATCTTGGGTTTCGGCTTTGCTAGATGTTTGATGCACATGATCTGTGAAGTCACAGATTCTTTTTCGCATCTCACCTTGCCTGAAGTACTACGTGAGATCAGTCCCTGCAGACTTGATAAGCATGAGGCGATTCACAGCGAGCAATGACATCAGCTTCACAACGTGCAACTTGCCAGGACCGATTAATAACAAGAAGAATGGCGCTACTGGCAATGTCGTCTTTGGACTCGGTCCCCCTTGAACCTAACAAGTTTGTCAGGTCTCGATCGGCTCTTCGTGAGATGGGCGTTTCTCTGTTAGATCATCCGCTTCGTAGTAGAAGTCTACTCCCAACGCCGTCATAATTTATCTAAAACACTTGGCTTACTCTATTCGACAAAGCAGTGTGTTGGCTATAAGCTAGGAGACTTCCGCTGCTTGTTTCTCCCTGTTCAGTAATCTCACTTCTCCGATGTCGACCCTACAGAAGTGCTGTCGTATAGACGCTTCATAGGGTACATACAACCTTACAAATTTTGAAGTTCAAGGTGATCTTTATGGTAGTTTTGACATGTCGTATTCGAGAGGTAACTAGATTATCCAAGGCATGCCCATCACTCAAGGTAAACGTTCGTCATGGACCACGTTCACTCTATCGAGCTATAGATATCGTTGGCTGTGCATTTCCTTCTCTAGTCAGCTGCTTTCTTGACAGCTACCAACAAAGTTGAGATAGCCAGTTTGCTACGAAATTGTTCTATGACACATTAGCTATCTTTTTTTACAGTTGTCATGATTGGAAATGTTCTTGGTTCGCTCTCTTACGCAAATGTCAATTAATACTCACCTGCGTAGTATCGTCACGCTAGTTGAATCAATCGCAGATGTAATGTAATGTCAAATCAAAATGGTATTGAAGTCTACTATGGAAAAGAAATCACCTCCTTTTATAATGCCTTATTCTTCTTATCTGACTTGCCCGCTGAGCTTCCAGGCAGTATATCACTCTCTTGAATAAGCTTGAAGAAACACCACAGATAGCAGATCACGAAACCAGCGGCACCAACACCAACATTGGCCACGACCCAAAGGTCAGGCTTATCGGAAGGAGGTGGAACGAAAGCGTCAAGGATGTGCCATGCGCCCATGAAGATGTAGAACATCATATGTAGTAGCGCGGTTCCCCATTGGGCCCAGGCAGCTTGACCCTCTTGGAAATAGGCGCTGAGCGAGGTTGGTGGAAGACCGAGGAGGTAAGACCAGAGCAAAGTCATCACTGCATACGGAATCCTCAAATCGACTCGCTTCAGCAGGGGGAACATGGTCCAGACTCCCAAGAGGTTGGCAAAGCCCACCCAAGCTCGAGTGTCCTTGTTCAGACCGTGCTTGCCAGCCAGGAGTAAGGTCATGGGCATCAGTGGGAGCAGGACACTCTTCTCATGCACCTGGTAGCTGAACAAGAAGAAGCCCCAGGCTGTGGCAGCAAAAGCCAAAGGCAACATTGACTTTCGAGGTCGTAAAAACAGGATAATGTTGGGAGGGATGATCGAAGCAAGGGTGGCACCAAGAGCTACCTTCTGGAGAAGAGGTGTTGGCCACTGACGAAGTTTGATAACGACGTTGGCGGCGCACCAAAAGTTAGCGACCTTGTCCTCGAACAAGCCACGTGCGAAGGGGAAGACTCGGTGGACCATCTGAACCATCTGTTCCACAATGGGCCAGTAAAAGGCTTTGATGTCGAGAATCTCAACGAGTTGAGGAAACAGAGGGAGTGAAGGAGGGTCTTTAGAGTCTCCCTGAGCATCAATACCTTGACTCTTATCGTAGAAAGTGCCAATAATCAAGGGCAGGATGAGGACAACAAAAGACGCGGCTGTGACAAGAGCAATGCCAAATAGCCTGGTAAGGTTGATTCGGGGGTGAACACACCGGCCCAGAAGGTAGGAAAAGACACTGAAGGCGTAGTACAGAGCCATCTGCTTGAATCCCAAAGCGCCAACGAAGAAGACGGCAGCCCACTTGTATCGTTCTGCGAGCATACTCGACATACTCGCCATGACAAATCCAAGCATAACGGTGTTGTACTGGAAGTGAACATGGTCTATGAGAATTGTGGCGGGCTGCATCAAAATTGCGACGAGCGCAAGCCATGCTGTCCAGTTGGTCACACCTTGAAGTCTGCTATATCGTCGCACAAAGACAATCGCGGCTGGGATGTAGATCAAGAACTCCGACACCATAACTGTCGCTCTCATGAAGATCTTGAGATTGGGATCCTGGTTTCCACGGGAGGAGAAGAGCGCAAACCACGAGGGATCAATGAGAGATCCAACCTTGCCGAGGACCCAACTGTGGTAGGCAGTAAGTGGAGGATAGTCGAGACCCCACCATTGAAGATCGTGGAAATACCATTGTGAGATGGGAAGTTGTGTCGTTACCTCCATCCAATGCCGCTGCGCTTCGTAGTCACCAAACATGGGCGGTTTGCGGAAACCTAAACATCGAGGTCCACGTTAGCGAAAGGTGTCATGATGGCGCGCCGAAGCACACGTCCTTACCAGAATATCCCCACAAGCCAGCCGCCCATCTGAAAAGGCCAGCAACCATGAGAATCACAGGGAGAACCTCCCATTGCGACGAAGAAGAGCGCGCGGGCCATAGAAACGCCGCAAGAGGGAAAGCAGGCGCCCTTACGAGGGCTTCCGTGCGAGGGGCCTTGTCGATGCTGCTGCCGTCATCGCCAGGTTTCTTGGTGGTCCTGCGACGGGCCTTGTGTGGTGACGGAGAAGGGCCAGCCATTGTCACCTTGTAAGAGGGAGAGCGAGGTCAAGGTCGAGGTCGAGATCGAGCGTCGTCATCAACGAGAGCAAAAGAGAAGCTCTGGGTTGGTGAAGAGGAAAACGTGGAGCTCTAGGAAGGGTACGGGTAGCGAAGCTCTAAATGACATGGATAGTTGACCCCCGGAAGTTTTGGTGGAGCTGCCATTTCAGGGCCGAAAAGGAGTTTCCGAACACCAGTGAAATCCCGGTGGAGGGAAAACGTCACTCGAACAGTGCGCATGTCACATGCCTTGGCACGGTATGGTGATGCCATCAGACCTCTACCAAGAGCTTGGCAAAGCAGTTGCGCCACAAACTTCTGTCTCATCTCTCGTGCTCGCAGCAAAATTCCATATATACTGCTTCACACTTGAAGCAATTCTCTACTAGAATGCCATTTCCATTCATCCTCCCGACGACGTCGGCCTTTGCTTTCTCATCAGGCTTCAGCTCCGATTCTCATCCTTCACTGCCCCTCAACGCCAGCACATATCGCGGGGTAGTTCGAGATGCCCTGAAGAAGCACAAGAGACTTCCCCCAAGCTCCCAAGTCTCAAACGTAAACACAGTCATATCCAGTATAAACGGTTATCTCCCTTACCTGCTGGCGGTGGACGACGGTCTAAGTAACAAGGGTCTTGCCATCGTTACGCTCAAAACGCCCCCCGTTATCGAATGGAGACCAACGTTGTCCGGTGAAGTTGTTCCAGGACGCGAGAGAGCCAGGGTTAAGATCTCGTCTTTGGAACACGAGATTGCCTTTGTAGTTTCAACGTTGGGCTTCTCGCATGTTCTAACAGCTCGATCTGCCCTACAACCCCTCTACTCCACAAACAGCGAGTTTCTAGGGGTCCAAGAAAGAACAAATGCCATCACAACTGCAACAAAATGTCTACTTGAGGCTGCTTCAGTATACGACTATCTGGCAGGTCGAGGAGAGCAAGCCACAGTCAGCCCCCCATGTCCGGATGTTACAGCAGGTACAGCTCGAGCGTTGTCGTCTCTGGCACTAGCTGAAGCTACATTACTTGCTGTTCTAAAGGATGACCCATACCCAGCATTGATTGCTCAAGACAGAAACAAAACAGACAAGGAGTGGATGTTCAAGGCACCTGAAATCCCAAAAGTTCGCGCCCATCTTTATGCCCGACTCTGTTTAGCGGCGTCAGAACATGCAGCTAAGGCTCTATCACTATGCAGCACAGCTGGAGCAGGTTCGCACAAAATTAACAGCGCCCTTCTGAAATATCTGGAAGATCTTCGTCGAACATGTCGAGCTCGCGCCTGTCGTTTCTTTGGAATTGATGCCGAGATAGGTGGACAGGTTGCAGATGGTATCGGATGGGTTCGCGCTGGTCTCTCGGAACTGGGTGTCGAAATCAAGGACAGTAATAAGAAGGGCTTGAGCTTCAGTCGACTAAAGAAGGACTTTACGGAGAAGCGTGAGGATCGACGTGTGGATAAGGAGGCTGCTTGGGGGACTGATGCTGGCAAACTGGAGGAAATCCGGGTGCTTGAGATGCTCGATTCCAAGTGGAACAAAGTCAATGATACGGTAAGTTGCCCCCGGGTTACATTTGAACACTCGCTAACAACTCTGAACAGATGAACACACAGATCATTCCTCCTATCAACACCCTCCTTAGCAAGATGCCGTCAGGTCGAGAGATCCACACAGTCAAACCGTATGAGCTACCCTCACTTGATCCAGATGTATGGGAGGGTATGCGTGCTCCGCCAGAGGAAGACGACGGGTTTGTCCACGACTTAAGTTCGGACGATGACATCAAGGGCGGACCTTCAGCACCGGTCGGCGCGTTTCCAGGGACAGTAAGTGATTATTCTCGAACTCCGAGCACGCCAGGCAATGCATACTACTAGTGCTGGGAAAAGATCATAGCGGCGCTTGAGGCAAAGGGAATGTATAAATAGATGTGTTTTCTCCTGAATGGCAGCAAATGGGAGTGCAGATTTGTGATCCCACGATGCAGTCACCATTGGTATACTAAATTACCTTAGGTGGTGTTGAATGGCGGTAGACTGATACACTCGCAGCGGAATGTTTAAAGTAGTTCAACTCTTTATAGTCGACATTGAGACAGTATTCTATAATTTTGTATGATTTTCTTCAAAAGCTTACACGAAGTGGCAGGTAGGAAATTACAAGAGCTTTGCATGCCCACCATACTAGTGCTCAATTTGTGTCTATTGTTTGATCCATCCCTAATCCATAGGCAATTGCATGACTGTACAACCCAAAACCTTCCATTCAACTAATCAAGAGTGATAATTGGGTCAAGGTCAGGAGTGACAAGAGTGATAGTTGGGTCTTGTGTGATAGGGGTAATGGTTGGGTAGGGAGCAGGTGTAAAAGGTGGACATGGTGGTGGTGTGGGTGATAGCTCAGGAGAGCAGATATCATAGCAGCTTGACAGCATCAGTTATATTCAAGAAGAGAGGGGTTCCACCATGACTTACCCTCCGTACATGACACCACAGTCATTGATGGCATCTATACAGATATCTTGCGAGGCGCACGGCGTACTATAGGGCACAGCGGTAACAAGATCGGCGAGAGTAGCAGCTGTAATGATAATTTTGAAGAACATAATGAAGAGTTTATGGTTGTGAATACTCGATGGTTTATCTTCGTTTATAGGTGGTAAAACTCTGTCTTTATATGTGCGATGCCAGCTCTATCGTGATAAGTGATGACTCCAGACGTGAACAAATGTAATGGGTGAATTGGCTTATGATCTGCTATGGAGACTTGAAATCGATAGGGATCGCCGGTATACGAGGTTCGAACATTCCTCATTGTGTTGTGAATCCAATGAGATACTATCGAAAGAGAAAGTACTTGCGAAATGTCATGGCGATCTTCAATCTGTGCAACCTAGCACATCAACTTTCTGGCAGAAGTAAGAGTCAAGCAAGATTATTGATTAAATAGGTTGAGTACCGTTGATGAACCAATTATTCTCGCATTACGGCGTCTTGGCTCATACGAAACACCAGCAGAAACGTCATGAGCATACCAGCGGTGGCCGTTTCTTGACCGCGATATTTCACAAACCCCGTAGCAGAGGCAACGTTGTTTAAGTTGGTCGTGATGCCCTACCGAATGGGTGATTAATCGCTGTCAAAGGGATCTTGGCATGTCTGTGATGAGGCTATGAATATGACCATATTTTATGCCAATTTGACAGACAACCACAGATTCACCACCAATCCCCGGCTACAGGACATATCATCTCTAGGCTAGAAGCTCCAAAGATCTTTTGTTTGAAGAGTGCCCTTTACATATATTCGTGACTGTTGCACCTGTCTCGTCTAGTCGGGTAAAGGGGATGAGGGGAAACTGGTGGAACGTATGTCTTTATAATTGTCGATCTTCTCGTACTTGCACATCAATCAAGTTGTACCTGCGGATTTGATCAACGAGCACTGACTAAGTCGAGCCTTGGACTACCTATATGTAAAACAACAAACAAGAGGTAGAGCTGCATGATATGAAACACGAAAGAAACTTGATAGTTCCTATCTCTGAGCCTCGTCAAAGCCAGAGCATTATCATGGACAATACATGTACGTCTTGGCCAGTATTCAAAAACAATTGTGGGAAGGAAAGCGAACAATTGAATGAGTTCGACCGTAAGAAGCCTTTAATGGATGGCCGCCACTTCTGCCAGATTTTACAAGATATCAAGCCGACTGTGGGCACCCTTGCGTCCAAATTCTGGTCGGAGTGTCGTCAGTTTAGGTTATGTGCGTTAAGATCACGGCATTACCATATACCTTGAATATGAAATATCCCCACCACACCAGAACAGTTCATACCAAAGCCAAGAAAGGATCCAGGGGTAAACGTTCAAGAAAATAATATTGTCAAGTGAGCTATAGAACACATAATGGAACTCCCATCCATTTATCCTATACACAGGGTTAAAGTCCTAATAATCTCATATGCAGATAGCCTTCTGCGGTAACCCTTCAAATCGCTTCGTTCCCACCTCCAATCGTCACATTCCTTTTCACGACATACTCATATTTTTCTTCTTCTAGCTGCCGAAAGCCATCTGCTTCTTGATTTCGGCAATAGCCTTACCAGGGTTGAGACCCTTGGGGCAGGCTCGTGTACAGTTAAGAATGGTGTGGCAACGGTACAGGCTCATCGAGTTCTCGAGGTTGGCCTTTCGCTCGGCGGTGCGCTGGTCACGGGAATCGGCGAGCCATCGGTAGGACTGAAGAAGGATAGCAGGGCCAAGGTACTCCTCAGAGTTCCACCAGTAAGAGGGGCATGAAGTAGAACAGCAGGCGCAAAGAATGCACTCGTAGAGACCGTCGAGCTTGCGTCGGTCCTCCTTGGTCTGTCGGTATTCCTTTCCCTATTCATTTGGTCAGCAAAGACGAAGGTCTGTAGGTAAGAAAAGGGGTCGTACGTCTTCGGCAGGGGTATCGCGCTGGAGGTAAGGCTTGATGCTCTTGTATTGCTTGTAGAAGTGTGTCAAATCAGGGACAAGATCCTTGACGACGTAGGTGTGAGGAAGAGGGTAGATCTTGACATCGGAGGCAGCCTCGACGGGAATTCGGCCTAAGAATAAATATTAGCATTCGTTCTGGTATGCCGCATGCAATTCGGCCAAAGGGGGAGTCCATACACAAGCAAGCAAGAGTGTTTTGTCCGTTGATGTTCATGGCACAGCTACCGCAGATACCCTCACGGCAACTTCGTCGGAAGGTCAGAGTAGGGTCGATCTCGTTCTTGATTCGAATAAGGGCATCAAGAATCATAGGTCCGGTCTTGTTGAGGTCCAAAGTGTAGGTCTGGAGACGGGGCTTCTCGCTGGGAGTATCGGGGTTCCATCGGTAGATTTGGAAGGACTTCATCTTGGTGTCAGAGTCCTTGGGAGGCTCGCTGACCGAGGCCATAGATCGAGTGAAGACGGTTCCGGGTCGAATGGCAGCCGTTCTTGAGAAGGCGCCGACAAGTCGGGAGGAGGATCGAAGAGCAGCCATGATGTCGAGCACAATTGCGATTGGCACCGGAGGAGAAGGACAGTCAAACTTCGCAATGTATAGTTGGAGCTGTGGTCGGTCGATTGACAGGAAGAAATGCCGTTCAGTCTCCTCCGATAGAGCTGAATTGTCGATATCCGCAGTGGGTGGCGTATCAAAGGATTCTAGGCGTCATGTACTGGAAAGGCAAACCTTCCTCGGTTATGGCAGTTTACGATGGGACCTACGGCTTGCCTCTGGCCAATCAGAAGCTCGGCATTGTCAACTTCGGCTTCGCTGCTCTCGGAATTGGCAGGAACGGGCTCGTGAAGGCACGTGACTACCGGACAACTATCCGGATCAACAACGGCTATTGACGATTGGCGGAGATGAGGTTCCGACAAACTTGGGGATCGGGGATGCCTGTAGTGGCTTGGGCCTCCTGCACCGCCTCCTTTAATTGTGCAGTTTGTTTTACGTTTTTAGGGTATGCGTGGCTAAGGCTGTCGTTCTTTGTCCTGCTCCGAGGAATTGGCTACTGTAGGAAGGGTATTGGAGGGGCTTAACCAGGCAAGATTAGATAACAAGTTGGTTAATCGGCACTCAACAACTTTGTTTCTCCGTTCACGATCCCACTTCTCATATGACACCAATTTTTTCTCTTGCGATTCCCTTGGCAAAGATGTTTTCTTTGTAATTGCTATCCAAACTTAATCGTTATCATTACACTCGTGTCTCGCCGCCCGTCGCTTGAGGCCGTCATTATTCGCATCGATTATTGTCCTTGGACGATCCACGTTCTAGCCCTCCATGGCCGCACCTTGCAATCGACTTGCTACGGCTTCATGGCGAACACTTGCTAAAGGTTAGTCGCATCCCCTATGTAAAGCTTGAGAGTGTCTGTTCTAAATGCATTAGCTCCTACGCAAACCTGCGCTCCTCTTAGAGTTCGTCCCCATGTCGCAATGGCCCCGTGCCCACGATCGAAACTCTACTCCACCTCGACCGACGCATCACGATTCTCTTACCATGTCGCATCTTCCTTCATTGCTAAGGACCGACCTTATAACCCCTCCAGCCACGTTTTTCACTTCAACCCATACAATCGCATTCAGCCCCCTCGAAACCGTCAACCTTCCGCCCGCCCCGAATCAGGACACGATGCCTTCTTTGTCAGCCGGGTCAACGACTCTGGCTCAGTAGCCTTTGGTGTTGCTGATGGTGTAGGAGGCTGGGTAGACTCCGGTGTTGACCCCGCTGACTTTTCTCACGGATTTTGCGATTATATGGCGCTTGCTGCCCATGAACACCAGACCAGCTCCGAGGCCCCCTTGACAGCAAGGAAGTTAATGCAGAAGGGATATGATGCAATCTGCAACGATCGCAGTCTTCGTGCTGGCGGTAGCACAGCATGTGTAGCTATCGCAGGAGCTGATGGAAACCTCGAAGTTGCGAACCTTGGCGACTCGGGCTTCCTGCAACTACGACTTAATGGCGTTCATTCATACTCAGACCCTCAGACTCACGCATTTAACACACCTTTCCAACTATCACTCGTACCTCCTAGCGTTGCCGCTCGTATGGCAGCTTTTGGTGGTGCACAGCTTAGCGACCTTCCTCGCGACGCTGACGTTACCCAACATAAACTCCGCCACGGAGATGTGCTCGTCTTAGCGACCGACGGCGTTCTGGACAACCTCTTTAACCAAGACATCCTTAGAATTGCCAGTCGAGTCTTGGTCTCCACAGGCGCATGGCAGATGACCGAAGCCGGCAGTGTTCGTGTTGCAGATGCTCTGGATCCTTTGGTGGAATTACCTAATTCCTCTGAAGGCAAGCGAGCAGTAACACTACAGAGCACACTCGCTACCGAAATCGTGACCGCCGCCAAGCGAGCGAGTATGAACACCAAACAAGATGGTCCATTCTCCAAGGAGGTCCACAAGTACTATCCTCACGAGAACTGGCATGGCGGCAAAGTCGACGATATCTGTGTTGTGGTGGCTGTAGTTAATGAGACTGCTCCCGCTACCAAGAGCAAGCTATAAAGTCTTTTTTCCCGCATGGCCTATGGCGCGATTTATGATAGATAAGAGGGCGGCGCTACTTATAAAGATGGGAACGCAAGCATTTGGTGATTTATTATCTTGGGACGTTTGGAGTCAAAGTCACATAGACGGCAGAGGGAGCGCCGCGGATTACTTGAATTATGGGGTTGTGTATGGGCCGGCGTACAGAAAGGGGATCATATACATGCTTAATTACAAAAGTCGCTCTGGTAAATCAGGCATATTTATAGTCGTCGTTCTTCAGTAAAAGTCCTTGTGATTTCCATCAATGAAAAGAAAATACGAAATATGATTCATCCTAGCAACGTGAGAAGAAACCTAAGGGTAAGGAAACATTTAATCTCAATTCATGACGTGCCCAGTTTTGTCAAGTCATGAACTGAAGTTGTTTCCATGATGAGTTGAAGTGCAGGGTAATGCTTGTGTGGATATAAAACCACAATCATGACATCACCAGCGCAGGTGTAAGAAAGGTCTTATTCCACGACCAACTAAGATGACTTTGTAATTCAAGCAGATTCCAGCAAAGCAGTCTCAAATATGACAGATATCTATATTGTATGTTCAAATGACTATCAACTCGTCTTCTCATGACTTACTGATATATCGATAGGCTGGTGCGATTGCAGCATTTACAGTAGACGTCTTGGTCTACCCTCTTGACACCATCAAGACTCGTATGCAGAGTCAAGATTTTATCAAGACATACTCAAACAGCTCAAAAAAGAACATATGGGCTGTACGGGGTCTTTATCAAGGCATTGGAAGTGTGGTACTGGCCACTCTACCAGCAGGTGAGTTACCTTGATAATTGCTACAAACTACTCAACTCATATGTTCCATAGCTGGTTTATTCTTCTCAACATATGAGAGCGCGAAACGAGTCATCGGTAATTCGACGCCGTTACCGCAGCCTTTGGTTCACTCAGCTGCCTCGGGAGTGGCAGAGATGGCGTCTTGTCTAGTCCTCGCACCAGCAGAGGTCATCAAGCAGAACGCTCAGATGTTACAGAGCGATAGCCGTGGAGCAGCACGACCTGGATCGTCGACATCACTTCAGGCATTTCGCCAGCTAGCCGGTGATGGTGTATCAAGACGACTATTTACAGGGTACACAGCACTCGTCGCACGTAATTTGCCATTTACAGCTCTTCAGTTTCCCATATTTGAGCACGTACGATCCACTTACTGGAACTCCCGAGGTCCCGGAGATTCGAAGCCTGGGCTGATTGAAACGGGACTGGTGACTGGTCTAAGTGCCGGGAGTGCAGGCTCGGTAGCAGCATTCATAACGACACCCAGCGATGTCGTCAAGACGAGAATGATGCTGAGTGCTTCAAACCAGAATGACAGTTCGGCACAGGGCCAGAGTGAGGTTGCAGCCAAGATGGAGGGGAAGCACCCAAAGAAGGGGGCGTGGACAGTGTCCAAGGAGGTTTACCAGGAGAGGGGAGTGCGGGGATTCTTCCGGGGTGCGGCTCTGCGGTCAGGGTGGACGATGATAGGGAGTGGACTCTATCTAGGATCTTATGAGATGGCTAAAGTTTGGCTGAGAAGAGGAAAGCCAGATGCGGAAGACGATGGTGCGCTATAAGCTATAAGGGAACAGGTTGCGAGTCGAATGTAAAGCAGTTAAACAGCCATATTCCACAACGGTGTTATTCAACAGCCACTTTGCATACAATAATAGACATAGTCATAAATAGTCCACTAAGATATTTAAAAATAGCTAATTTACAATTGAAAAAGTCCACGGCAATGTTAGGTATGGGTATGGTCGGAATCTTGGTCGTAATTTGGGATAATATAGTTTAATATGGGTAAGAGTAGGAGGTATGCGACAGCATGAGTATCTATGACTCTGAAACGTGAGATTTCTACCAAAAAACACTTACAAGTAGTTTACAGGTTCAATTATGATATGTCCTGCATGTCTAACAATCTACCCCCCGATATAGGGAGATCAACATGCCAGATCGAAGATCATATGTCGACATCCTCATGGCTTCTGACGTCTTCAGGAGGACTAATTACGTGCGACAGTTGGGGTGCTCATATAGAGTTTACAGTCATCAACTATGTCATTGTATTCGGGCTTCAGTGTACAGCCAGATGACCATTGGACTTGTGCGTGTAACAAGGTATCCCACCTCTGGCCATGCTCGAATTATTTTGATACTGGTCGTAGTTTATGTTATAGTCCAAGTTCCGCGGTTGGAGCAGTTGTCGCCATTTTAGCGCCAACCGCACATGTCACTGCATTTTGGCCTGCGCTAGTCTCGCCTTTTTCTCCGTTGACAAAGGTCCAAGGCCAGAGACCCCTGGTTACACAAAAGTGTATTTCTCCCTTCTCCGCGTTTTCTCAGAGATGCCGAAACCGGGGAAATATCACTTGTAGGGATATTCCTTCTGGCGGTGAAGGCATGGCTTCTCACTCAGAGTTTCTTTTGCTGTTTATAGAAACGCCTCCCAGATTTCACCATGATTTAGCGAGAAGTCGCCATATATACATTTGCCCAATGTCTGAGACTTCGGTGACATAGTTGGCGAGAGATCTGACGAGTGACGGTCCCAGAAAACTTCAACTTCTGGAAGTCTCTAAGATGAGGCGTAAAATCCTTCCATGTTACGAATACAAACCCTAGCTGACTCGGGGCAATAATCCTCACCGGTCTAGGCCTAGGAATGTCATGCCTTGAGACGCCCGACCATTCGCACTAACAAGTAATTGCCGACAGGAAGACCCTTTGACAGTCTTCACCGACCCACATGCACTGCTTTGTCGTCGTCTGGCCCGGATGGTGTCATTTAGCACGTTATTCCAGGCTTGATGGTCTAACATATCGTATAGAGTTCGTGTGACAATAAAAGGCCGATGGTTCGCCGGTGTAGTCGTCTTGTTCTGACTCGTACTCCTCCTATATCAACCCCCAAGTTCCTGCTGTGTATCAAGAGCTTTTCAGGCAGACATACCTGCGAATTAAGTTATTCACTGAAACTGTTCGAAAATACCAACCGAGAAGGATATCCTAAGCCGTTGCAAAAGTTACAATGGCAAGTGTTGGCGTCCAGACGGCTCCCGGAGCAGCACTCGACGTCTTTTCCAAGACAGCCGCTCAAGTCGATGTGAGAGAACTTAGCCCAGGGTTTGCCGATCGATATCTAGTACAGTCGCCGTACACTGAGCAAGAGCATTTGCTTGACCTTGAGACTCTCGACAACGAAAACGCTCTCCTTGCAAAGGCGCTGGGTCAACTCCAGGTTCTTCGCAACGATTACGCAACAGCACTTTACACAGAATCCTTCAACTGGGAGCAAGTCATTGACGAAGTGAAACGTCTCGCTATCGAGTCTGGTAAAGGCTTCAAGGAGACGTCATTTTATATCGTGGCTTTCCGGTCACGAATTAAGAAAACAACCGAATATGCTGACCTTGGCCGCCTCGACAAAGGGGCACACGCTGAGGCTGTGGCGAGCGGTGGTTTCCTGAAGTGAGTTGCAAAACCCTTGTGTGCATGACTCTTGCGTATTAACACGGATAGGTACTGGTTCGGAGAGCCTGACTCAGAGCTGGCCAACTTGGCGACTTGCATATGGCGGTCCCGAGAAGATGCTAAGAAGGGTGGTACAGGCCCTGCTCATCGAAAAGCTGCGGGAGCGACTCGTTCCATGTATGCGTTCTGGCAGATTGATCAGCACAGACTTATCATTCGAGAGAACGTCGAGGGCTGGGAGATCATTCCCTGGCAGGATTAAGCTCTATCAGCTCAAGCTGAGTTATTGAGACTTTTCAGAAAGCTCATATGGCGTTGGATGATTTGACTGAAGGTTTATAAACAAGCTCATGCTTTGAAATGCAGGGCCACAGAGTTCCACTTTAGAGATAGGAAGAAAGATGAAAAGCGACTGGCGTTTATTAGAGGATATGCGAAATGAGCTATGATAGATTTGATCAAGAACAAAAGAACTTGATTTTATGACATAACCCGAGCCTTAGGTTCGTGACATGTTGTCAATATTGTGTAGAAGCTGAAACCCAAGGAGAAAGTGCTATAAAAGCGATATATTGGTAAACCCACAGAATCGATCCAGCATGAGCCTGGCTCGCTTCGAATCGAATGTACTGGCTGTTTCGAGTAAAAGAGACAGCTCTTTTCAAATCGTCGAATCCGCCTACTGGTGATAAGTAAAGGTAGTCGCTCGGCTCTGCACCGTCGAACGCGGGATATATAATCTGCCGCACTTCACCGCCTCAACACCCACAGCCCACACAAATGGTACACGAACGAAAAGTTTCGATATTCCCACCTTCAGAGTCCAGTCCCGAGGCCTTGCAACACCACCCGCCCCTTCATCGTAGCGCCGAACCTCTCTCCGTCTCTCGCGGCCCCGTGAATAACTCCTCCGAAATTTTTGTCAAGATGGCGGACGCTCCCAACGATGCGCCTGCTGCTGCGCCTTTCCAGGCCGTTCAAGTCGAGGCTCTGGTAAGTTGAATATGCCCCACCTTTGAGACCCCCTCTTGAGGTGCGAGACAAGAGATAGCATAGGACTGACTTGAGTTTGTGGTGTCTAGGTCATCATGAAGATCGCCAAGCACTGCTCTTCGGCTTTCCCCTCTGTTGCGACCGGAGCTATTGTCGGTATGGAGAGGGAATCTCTCCTCGAGGTCACCAACACATTCCCTTTCCCTACCGTCGACCCCGCCACGACCGACAACAACAACAACAACAACAACCACCAGAACGATGCCTCGCAGCTCGCCGCTGCTGCTCCCCGACAGAAGGGCAACATTCACTACCAGAACGAGATGATCCGTCATCTCAAGGAGGTCAACGTCGATGCCAACAACGTTGGTTGGTACACAAGTGCCACCATGGGCAACTTTGTCAACATGAACTTCATCGAGAACCAGTTCCACTACCAAAGCGCCAACGAGAACACCGTCGCCCTTGTCTACGACGCCAGCAAGAGTTCTCAGGGTAACCTGACCTTCCGGGCTTTCCGCCTGTCCCCCGCTTTCATGACCGCCTACAAGGAGGGCAAGTTCACAACCGAGAGGTAAGATCGATGTCATACATCGCTGCTGGCGACATAGGAAACTAACCAAAAACAGCCTACAAAAGTCGAAGCTTACCTTCAAGGACATCCTCAGCGAGATTTCCGTCAACGTCCACAACTCTCACCTCCTCACAACCTTCCTCCACCAGATTCCCTCGGCTCCCATCAAGGGCGATATTGAGCAGCCCTCATCGCTAGCTGACCTCAACCGCAACGCTCTTGAGCCTCCCCTGTACCCCTCCATCGACAACTTGGACCTTGCGATCGACCCCTTCCTCGAGAAGACCTGCGATCTCCTCCTCGAGAGCATCGAGTCGCACTACACCGACCTCAACAACTTCCAATTCTACCAGCGACAGCTCGGCCGTGAGCAGACCAAGATCACACAATGGCAGACCAAGCGCAAGGCTGAGAATGCCCAGCGCGCTGCTGCCAAGCAGGCCCCTCTGCCTGAGGACGAGTGGCAGCGACTGTTCAAGCTTCCCCAGGAGCCCAGCCGACTGGAGGGTATGCTGAACGCGAAGCAGGTGGAGCAATACAGCAAGCAGGTGGATGGATTCACAGCCAACGTCAGTGCCAAGATGTTTGCCGTGCGGGAGGATCTGTTGCCCAAATAGATGGGAAATGGGCAATGGGGTGTTCAAAAAGTCTCGAAGGATTTCAGGAATATGAGACGCTCAGTGATGGTTTGCATTGGCGGCGTTCCGGACAATGTGGAATAATATCGAGTGCTGGTCTAGATTTTAAAGCGTTGAGAAAGAGAGGAGCACTTGATGATCACATTATGGACCAGGCTGACAGTGACGGTGATGTTGAAGAGTCATGAAGAGGAGGACAAGGCTGCATGCAGTGTTGGTCGTTAAAAGATGGCTTCGTAAATAGCGCTTGCGAGCCAAGTTCCTGCACTATGAGAGTATTGAAACAATTCTAACGTTCAAGAAGTTTTATGGTGCTGTTTCTCTTGTTATGGTTTCCTAAACAGCTTCGATGACTGATTTCGGAATTTGTCAGGTTTGTCATTGGCTGACAAGTAGAGACAACGGCTTTACTGCTTATTTGCTAGATATATGCTGCTAGTGGGCGAGATACTCTGAGAAGGTCGGTCTAATTTCAAGCTGTGCAAGCCAAAAAGCAACACCTGGCTTGAAGAGACACTCTATGATGAGCACCCTCGGATATAGGAGGTTAGTCGGTAGCTTGCAGGACGATCAATGACCCGTAGTATTGACGTGAAGCGGTGTTCGGCTTCCGAGCGGGGAATATCAAGGGTCAGCGAAGCCCAGGACCGCACTGCTACGATGGTACAAAGTTAGTTCTACCCAGCCACAGAGGGAGGGATCAATTGATCAACAAAAACGGTTCCTCCTGGAAAGAAAGGATCGAAGTAACCCGCCCACTCGTTGAAGCAGAAAAATCAACGTGGTGGTGACCGACTCGCTAGTACACAACAACGGGCTCCGTCCGTATTCGTACCAAGACATGGAGAGCTTCCTATGATGAGAAAGCTCCTCTTTATTTTTTTTCTTGTCCGGTGGGAACACGCAGTCCCTTAGGCCCACTCGGGTACCTTTTGGCGCTCAAGTCCCCTGTTGAAGGACCTGCTGGGAGGTACCGTCTCCAGAGCCAACCGACCACCCGGTTAAAAGTACCTTCCGTTAGCTACAGATCGACTGGAGCGTACAATTCCTGGCTGCCCCGCCTCAAATTGCCTCAATGGCTGACGGTACCTCAGCAGAAAATTCTGCCCCTCATTTTGCCGTCCGGTCGCATTCACCGCCCGCAGAAAAACCCCACCTACCCTTGTAAACCCCTCCCCCTCAGGCCCCTCCAGAGGCTCTCAGCCCATAGCAGAAGTTCTCTCTGCCCCGCCCCATGTTATCTCGTTGTCTGGTCTTCCATCTTCTTTGATTTCGACTACCTACATATTCCTCCTCTTCCCGTTCACTTTTTTCTCTTACTTTTTCCTCCTCTCTCTTCTATTCTCTCTTCTTTCTCTTCTCATCCATCCCTCCATCCTCACATCTCATCCATCATGTCTGCTCCCGCCCACAAGTTCAAGGTTGCTGATCTTTCCCTTGCTGCCTTTGGCCGCAAGGAGATCGAGCTCGCCGAGAATGAGATGCCCGGTCTCATGCAGACCCGAACCAAGTATGCTGCCGACCAGCCTCTCGCCGGTGCCCGCATCGCTGGTTGCCTTCACATGACCATCCAGACCGCCGTCCTCATCGAGACCCTCACTGCTCTCGGTGCTGAGGTTACCTGGACCAGCTGCAACATCTTCAGCACCCAGGACCACGCCGCCGCTGCCATCGCCGCTGCCGGTGTCCCCGTCTTCGCCTGGAAGGGTGAGACCGAGGAGGAGTACAACTGGTGCCTCGAGCAGCAGCTCACTGCCTTCAAGGACAACAAGAAGCTCAACCTCATCCTCGACGACGGTGGTGACTTGACCACCCTTGTTCACCAGAAGTACCCTGAGATGCTCAAGGACTGCTTCGGTGTCTCTGAGGAGACCACCACTGGTGTCCACCACCTTTACCGCATGCTCAAGGAGGGCAAGCTCCTTGTCCCCGCTATCAACGTCAACGACTCCGTTACCAAGTCCAAGTTCGACAACCTTTACGGCTGCCGTGAGTCCCTTATCGACGGTATCAAGCGTGCTACCGATGTCATGATTGCTGGCAAGGTCGCTGTCGTTGCCGGTTTCGGTGATGTCGGTAAGGGTTGTGCCATGGCCCTCCACGGCATGGGTGCCCGTGTCATCGTCACTGAGGTTGACCCCATCAACGCTCTCCAGGCTGCCATGGCTGGTTACCAAGTCACCACCATGGAGAAGGCTGCCAAGTTCGGTCAGATCTTCGTTACCACCACTGGATGCCGTGACATCCTCACTGGCGAGCACTTCGAGGCTATGCCCAACGACGCCATCGTCTGCAGTAAGTTCGCCCAGACACCTATTTCGATTCATCACTGACATTGACAAACAGACATCGGTCACTTCGATATCGAGATTGACGTTGCTTGGCTCAAGACCAACGCCAGCTCTGTCCAGAACATCAAGCCCCAGGTTGACCGCTTCCTCATGCCCAGCGGCCGCCACATCATCCTCCTTGCCGAGGGCCGCCTTGTCAACCTTGGCTGTGCTACCGGTCACTCTTCCTTCGTCATGTCCTGCTCTTTCACCAACCAGGTTCTTGCTCAGATCATGCTGTTCAAGGCCTCCGACAAGGCCTGGGGTGAGAAGTACGTCGAGTTCGCCAAGACCGACAAGCTCGACGTTGGTGTCTTCGTCCTCCCCAAGATCCTCGACGAGGAGGTCGCCCGTCTCCACCTTGCTCACTGCCAGGCTGAGCTCAGCACCCTCAGCAAGGTCCAGGCTGAATACCTCGGCCTCACCCAGGAGGGTCCCTTCAAGGCTGACATCTACCGCTACTAAGCGGCATATAACTATACCCAAGGATCCTTCAACTGGATTCCTACGCGTGACGAACTTTCCCTCTTCTGTCGACATGACAATCGGCAAAATTCTAGTTTCAACAGCATGAACTTGCATGGCATATGGGTTGGGAGAGTTATAAGGACATCTGCGGTTTTCTGATTTTTTTTCTTCTTCTCTTCTTTGTTTCTGCTTATTTGGGTTACTTCTCTCACAATGAAGAGAAGACTCCTCGCAGGGTGCAGGGGAGGGGCAAAAAAATCTTGCTTTTTCAACAAAATGGCGTTGGCTTTTTTGCTAATCATGATTCCCCCCTTTCGAGATATAAAACGGATGATGAATGGATGAACGGACGGTTACGATGAAGACGAGACTTCCCCCACAGGGATGGAAGGAATAGTACCTCGATAAAGGCAGGCCCGTCAACCGTGGCCAGGATAGAGTAGAATATCAAAGATTTTCCTGCTCATATATCATTGTTTCTTGTGTGATGTTGTTTCTATTCCACATTCTTTCGCTCTCGTGCCTGTCTACTAATGCTGCAGCATTTCGATGCAACACGTTGGGAAAAGGCAATGTTTAGCACCTGTGTGCCTCGTTCTTTGTTGACCAGTTGTGGAAAAATAACCAGCCTCATGGTCCAACGCTTCTCTTCAAGCAGAAAGAGAGATATAATGCTTGTTTTATTCTCATCTAGCCATACAATATCATTGCAAGTCCTGTTGCTCGGGAACGATGCTCTTCAGCTTCCCTTCCGTTATCGCCAGTCGAGCATTTTCTATAGCCCAAGCCTCCATCAACTTTTCAGTCTCTACCGTCCGAGTTCCCATGTGTGGAACGAGCAGTACGTTCTTGTTGTTTAATAACCCTGGATGGATCTCGGGTTCGTTCTCAAAGACGTCAAGTCCGGCGCTAGCAACTTGCCCCGACTCAAGTGCTTCAACAAGAGCACCTTCGTCCATCACTGCGCCACGGGCGGTGTTGACAATGACAATGCCGCGCTTCATGATGTTGAATTGGGCTTTCGCAATCGTATGTCGAGTCTTGGCCTGTTGAGAGTAAACTTAATTGCAGAAACTTACAGTGTCTTGATTTAGACTTACATTTAGAGGAAGGTTGAGACTCAGCACGTCACTCTCCTTGAGGAGAGTTTCAAAGTCAACGTATTCAGCTCCATCCTCTAGCTCAGGGGAAAGGCGGCTACGGTTGTGATACTTCACAGTCATTCCAAATACGCGAGCCTTGCGTGCGACATTACGACCAATGCCACCCATGCCTAGAATACCCAGGACTTTCCCCTGAGGGTCGTGACCAAGGGATGGCGGAGGGTTGCCGCGCCAAGACCCATCACGCAGAGAGAAGATAGAGGATGAGAGGTTTCGTAAAGCACCGAGAAGGAGAAAGATGGTGATGTCGGCTGTGGCATCGTCTACAGCCGTGGGTGTGTTGGACACTCGAATACCGCGGGAAGAACATTCTGGGATATATATTTGATCATACCCGGCACCTGGGGGGTCAGCAAGAAGTAGTTACTAGGATTGCTAGTCAGAGGAGTTACCGTTGTGGCAGATGAACTTGAGAGACTTGGGCAGGGCATCAAGCAGCTCGGCATCGAAATCGCCAGTGGTGCCTACGCATTTGTTTGTGCGGTAGATGGCCTTGATTCCGTCAAAGGCACCGGACTTGCTCTCTTCTATAAAGGCATTTCTTTCTGTTGATTTTGGTTGAATAACTTCGACAATCTCGGAAAGTGAGGCAAACTCGTCTCGAGCCCTGTTTCGATATGTCAGTCATACCCTGAATAAGATCGAATAGCCTCCACAATCGCTCGAGGACTTACCGTTTGATGTCGGATAGGAAGAGGACCTTGGGTTTATCTGCCATATTGAATAACGCTGAAATTAAAAACGTAATCAATTGTTCGTTCGGTAGAAGACAGACTTGAGTCACTTTCTCACTTTATATGTCAGTGGAAATAGAGCATTCGGCTTTCAAGCCGAAGGTACGGAATAGACAATCCACGAACACCCGTTGGCACCTACCTACCTTACATAGTAGGACCGTTGATCTAGGTATGGCGGGGTGACGTGGGGGCGGGGTCCCCAAAGAGTGAAGAGGGCGGAATTGAGTACCAGTTTCTAACTTTCTAACTCGAGAGGAATATAGATTCCGTGAAACTAATTATTACTGAGAACCAAGTGTGTTTATTGTGTAAATACAGGCAAATTTGTAGTTCAAATGCAAGACTACCCAGAACATTTCTCAGCCTTAATTCTTAAATTCCTTGTCCCTTGTGGCGGGGCTATTCGTTTCGAGATGTTATCAAAAGACGCACCACTTCAGTATCAAATCAGGATCTTAACCTGGAGATGTATTGTTCATTGGGACTTTAAGATAAGCGAAGGTTAGATCCGGCGTAACAGATAACCGTTGAATTAGCATTTGTCGGCTAAGTTGGTATATGAACAAATTTGATTTCATGACACTAGAAAATCTATCGGTTTTGGTGAACCATAACACTGTTTATACAAATACAACCCCTTACTCCAGATGTGGTGCTCTGCAAAGCTCCCAACCCAATCCCCAATACATATTTACATGAGCAATCTCCAGGCACCAAGCAACAAGGCGGCGAAACCGGTGCACACACCCATCAACCACTGCAGCGTCTGGAACTTGACCTGCTCCAGCTTCTCCCGAAGCGCCGCAACTTCCTGCTCGATCTTTGTCTCGGTCTCCTTTATCTTGAGCTCCTGGCCCACAGCCTCCTCGCGGATACGGCCCTTCTCCAGGTTAAGGTCAAGGCGTACGCTGGCCTGCGTGCGGCTGATCTCGTCGCGGAGTCGGTTGCTCAATTTTGCGATGTCGTTTGTCAATCGTTCGTGTGCTGTGCGTGTTGTATTGGACTCGGTAGAGTCTGCTGATAGGAGCTCGGATCGTAGCTTGGCAAAGTCGACTTTTTGGGTATACGTTGCTTTGGCAGCATCTTCGCGAAGGACCATTGTTCGGGTAAGGTTTTGGATACTAGAGGCTCTGATTAGGAAAGCCGCAATGCATGATTGAAAAACAGAGCCGTACCTCTCTTCAATAACATCATTCAACACCTTCATCATAGCAGCTGACTGCTCCTCGGTGAACCCTTCACCCTCTAACCGTTTCACAAACTTGAGTGTATCGAAATGGTGATCTCGTTGTCTAAGGGCCGTCGCATGGAATGCTCTTTTGATAATCGGGCTACCGGCTTGAGGCGAGCGACATCGAGGAACAGGGCCAGCCTGGAACGATGCAAAAGACCGTCGTTGGCTGCTAGGAGCAATAGATGCTAATGGACGGGCTGCCCGTGACACCGAGACCGAAGCGTCCCAGCTGAGACGCGGAAGAAGAAATCGAGGCAGCATCTCTACTGCTGCGACAGACAGGACTGCCATTATGATTTGTGTCGATTTGACTCTGGTTGTTGGTGACTGCGATGTCGGCGATGAGGATGGAGTTGAAGAAATCGACCAGGTACGTTGATCCGAGATACGCTTGTGACGTTAAGGTAGGTAAGTAAGGAATTAGGAGAAGCGGGAAACACCGGCTTTGATTGGCCCCTAAAGCTAGAGGATAGCTGGTCAATGAGACGTTGAGTTGGCTAATTTCTTGGCCAATAAAGGGAAAGTGAATTCGCATTGCAATGTAACCCTGAAATCTGATACCTGCGCGTAATACGGATACTGTCGTTAAGTTAAGTAAAAGTGGATGTCTGTCTACCAGTTGTTTTATTAATACAGTTATAGACGTATTCGTACTGAAAACCAAATAAAATGACCGTTGGCCTCCTGCGGCTGAACTCAGAGGACATAGGATCCCCTTGTTGAAGCTCATGGTAGATAGTACAAATAAATGGGGTTGTTAACTGTAGTGCAAGCCTGTTGAAGCAGTCATAGACAAATTAGACGTGTAAGGGTCTGCTTGCAAGCCACAAATTAACAGGGTACCCGAGATTCGTTCAACTAAGAGAATATCTTGAGATACCTAAGAAATGATGCCAAAGCATCCATACGTACGTACCTAGTGAGTAAAAGCTGGATTACCAATGCGAGTATCGACTAAGACAAGCTGAAAAGTCTCCGACACTTGGTGCGTGTTGGTGTGAAGACAAGATTGTAGTAATTGATCATTTCCCGGAGTTCAGATTTGGGTCAAATTCCGCGACTACAGCCAAGCGGTTATTGAATGAACCAATCTGTTGCCTTCCAGAGACCATCATACTCAAAGTGAGACATTAATAACATGAATAGTTCAGGAAGGATTCAAGCCAACAACCACTAACCAATGCCTTATCATCATGGTGTAGGGCAAGTAGCAATTGAAATAGTAAGCCGGATTTAAGTGAATCCCGAACTCCGGTGCTATTATCCCAGCTACACTCCTAACTCCGTACTCCTGTAATTCTATACCAACTCCTGCAGAACCGCATCTCCAATTCCTATCAGCCCTACAACGCGACCGGAATCTGTTCGCTAATTCGTTTGTTTACGTGCATGGTCTCAATCGGCGAGAGTCGCACAGCCAAGCCATGGCACCGCCCGATATTTCAGCCTCTACTGCGTCTAGTGCGACCGGCACATCTGCTGGTTATGGGCGAGCATGTACAGCGTGTCAAAGGGCAAAATGCAAGTGTATCCTGAGAGCGTCCGGTATGGACTGTGAAAGATGTCATCGTCTTGGAAAACCGTGTCAACCAATGGCGCCTTCACGGAAACGGGTTGCCAAAAAGTCAACGTCTTCTAGGACGGCTCAGCTAGAAGAAAAGCTCGAGGATCTTGTCACGATCCTACGCGCAGCCCAACCATCAAACGGACATTTGCAGTCGTCGAGTGGTGGCAACTCTAGCCCCCTGACAAACTCCTCAAACATGGGCCACCTCACTAGCCGCTTAGAATCGCTGGCAACTGCAGCAGCTTCCTCTTCCTCTTCAGAAACCCAACCCCGTTCGTACGCTGCACCTCATAGTTATGGTTCAGGAAGCATAGCCGAAACCCATTCTAGAACATCGCCATCCAGTATCAGTGAAGACACATCTGCGCTTCCCGAACCTACCACAGAAGAGGCCGAAGTGTATCTAAACAGATTTAGAGAATGGCTAAAGAACTTCCCTTGTATGATCTTACCCGATGATATGACAGCCGCAGCTCTCCGCAAAGAAAAACCCTTTCTGTGGCTATGTATTATGAACATTACCTCAAAGGTTGTCGAACAGCAGATGAAGATGAAGGATAGAGTCCGTCAAGAGATGGCCTCGCGTATTCTTATCAACCATGAGAGATCATTAGATTGTCTCCAGGGACTTATCTGTTACCTTACATGGTAAGTTGATTGTCCAATATTTCCCCATGTCACGCTCTAACTCTATATAGGGCCTCCACAACGTCCAGTCCAGGCAAACCATTTATTATCACATTTTGCCAAATGGCTGTCCTGCTTGCTTATGATCTTGGTCTCACCAAAGCTCCTGTTGAGGAGCAGTATTTTACGATATGTTTCAAGATGTGGGGAGGACGACCACCTCCTCCAAGGATACGCACTCAGGAAGAACGGCGGGCTGTGGTGTCACTCTGGTTCGTGACTTCGGTGTAAGTACTATTATCTTTGATACCTGTTCGTCGCTCATTCATGCAGCATGTCGTCCTTTGTTGGCAAGATGGATCCTCTTCAGTGGACACCACATATGAATGATTGTCTGGAAGCCTTGGAGAGAGATAAACTCTATCCGTCTGATGAGCTGCTCGCCGCATTTGTTAGATATCAGCTCGTTGCAGATGAAGCACAGAAATTGCTTGTTCGCGATGTCATGGGTGAGACGTCACCAGCACCTACCCATGTGTTCAGAAATAGCTTGCTTGGCAAACTTCAAGCTGCCCGTAACGGGGCGCCACTTCATATGCCTGTAACTCGTAAGTGCAGACGTGTCACATACTGTGAGCCATAACTTACTAACATATCACAGCGGTTTTACAAGCCCACTCGCTTGCAGTAGAGGTTCAGATAAACTCCCTTGGACTCTTTCTACAAAGTATCCCAGTTAACCAACGAATCGAGAGCATGTACTCCTGTCTTAAAGCAATAAGGTCGTGGTACGATGTATTCTTTGGAATTCCAGTCGGCCAATTCCCAGGAACGCCTTTCTCCATCTTCATCCAGCTATCGCAAATTCAAATAGCTCTATACAGGCTCACTACCTCTGAGGATCCGGCTTGGGATAAAGAACTTGTCCGAAACACAGCGGACTTGCTAATACTCTTGGATCAAGTCACTGACCATTTCACAAGTATGAATTCTGCTTATAAGATGAAAATCAACGAAGGCGAAGAAACGGTATTTACTTCAGGAGCCAGGATCATGCGCAACATACGGAATTCATGGGAGCCTACATTATCACAGCATCTTGGACATGCATCTTCGTCGTCGTCAAATCAGGGAGCCGGTCAGCCAATACCGACACCACAACCAACTCAGCCAACCATGGACATGGCAGCTGTCAACATGATGGATTTTGGCGATGTATCATGGATGTCTGACGTTTTTGGGCCATGGGAGTTTTAATTTATTATTGCAAGTAACCGGGGCGTAAAGAAGCACCGAATCCGATTGAAACAATATTGAGTCGAAAGTACATGGCGTAGTTTTAGTGGTAAGCTCAATGGTTGGACGGAATTCCGTTCCGAATGCGAGATCCAACTCCGTCTACACCATCTCAATGACAACACCCAACACGACAACCCCGGTCCGGGATGCATATTGTAAAAATACCCGACAGAGGTCTAGGCCGTGCTTATGGCTCATGGCTCCTAGGATTGTTTGTTATATGAAACACTTAAGAATGCGAAATCCCCAAACTGAAAAATGCCAAGCAAGTTCTAATACTCTCGCCTCGTCAATCAAGCTCTTGTACTAGCACAAAAGATTTGTTCTAGGTCTAGTCACAATGACCACAACTATATCGAAAGAAGAAAGGAGCGAGCCTCAAATCATTGTTGATGATGAAAAGGTCGATTCAACTTCGAACGCACCGACTTTACGTGAACCTGCTCAAGACGAATCCCAGGCAAAACCAGAAGATGGCGACATCACGACAGAGGAAGAGGAACATGAATGGGTAACAGGATGGAAACTCGCAAGCATGATGACTTCCCTCACACTTGCGGCCTTCCTGATGCTGTTGGATATGTCAATCATCAGTACGGTACTTACAGACTATCCTATCCTTCGGCCATTACTATATGCTAATTAGGCTTCAGGCTGTTCCTCGAATCACATCGGACTTCCATTCTTTACCGGACATTGGATGGTATGCTAGCGCATACAATCTTTCCAGGTAGGCTCAGCACTAGATCCAATGTTCATGCTTTGCTGACCATAGAATGCAACAACAGTGCGGCTTTGCAACCACTTTCGGGTAAATTGTACATGTATTTCAACACGAGGGTAATTCAAAGCAAATCGAAACGATGGGGCCAATTCTAACGTATTTCAGTGGAGCTTTTTGGCATTATTCTTTATCTTCGAAGTTGGCAGTCTGATTTGCGGCGTTGCCCAATCATCCACCATGCTCATTCTCGGTCGAGCTGTTGCTGGTATTGGCTCTTCTGGTATTCAGAATGGTGCTCTGACTATCATTGCGTCGGCAGTTCCAATTCACAAACGTCCTTCTTTAGTCGGTATTCTCATGGGATGTGCCCAGTTGGGGATTGTTAGTGGGCCTTTGCTAGGTGGTGCTTTCACCGAGTATACTACTTGGCGATGGTGTAAGTGAAGCTATTCTTGCTTGCCTTGGGTTCGTTTATGTTCTGACTACTTACCCAGGTTTCTATATCAACCTTCCAATCGGCGCCATCTGTGCTGTCCTCTTTCTCGTCGTCCATATCCCAAACCATTCGGTCCCGACGGACGAAACCACCATGCAGATATTGAGGACAAAGTTCGACTTTACCGGATTCGCCATGTTCTGCCCGAGCATAGTGATGATATTACTGGCGCTTCAATGGGGCGGCGTCGACTATCCTTGGAACTCTGCCACCGTTATTGGTCTTTTCTGCGGAGGCGGCATTCTTCTCATAATGTTCGTTTATTGGGAACACCGCGTTGGGGAAAATGCCATGATTCCACTCAATATTATTCGCATCCGTCAGGTCTGGACTGCGTGTCTAACACAGCTCTTCCTCTTTGCTACGATTCTTGTGGCTTCATTCTACTATCCTGTCTATTTCCAGTCCGTCAAGGATGCTTCGCCTTTTAAAAGCGGTGTCAACTTGCTTCCTAGTATTCTCACTCTGATTCCCGCGGCTGTCTCGAGTGGTATTTTGGGTGAGTTCTTCCACAAGGGGTCTTACATTATATCTACTAATAATAAACAGTCCAGAAGGTTGGGTACTATTTACCGTTTGCCTCAGCCAGTGCGGTGTTGTCCGCTATTGGTTTTGGTCTCGCATCGACCATGGGTCCCTATACCTCAACCGCTACTTGGGCTGGCTACCAAATCTTGGTAGGCGTTGGGCGCGGGCTCGGTCTACAAATGCCCATCATCGCTGTCCAGTCCAATACGACTCCTGAAGTGACACCTATCGCCATGGCCATTCTGACGTTCAGTCAAGTTTTTGGAGGAGCCATATTTGTTACTGCTGGCAATGTGATTTTCACCCACGAGCTCCGGAACGAACTGATGGCAAGGCTTCCCGACGTTGACACTGAATCTATTATCAATGCTGGTGCTGGAGCAGTCAGTGAAGTCGTGTCCAAATCCCAGTTACCAGAGGTTTTGTGGTCCTACTCCAAAGGTGTCCGCGCAACCTTTCTGCTTGCTGTGGCTGCGTCTTGTGTTATGTTTTTCATGTCGTTTGGTATGGGCTGGAAGGATATCAGGAAGAAGCCAGCGGTCAAGGCTGGTGAGGCTTAAACTCTAGGGGGTAGAACATCATATGGAGGAGAGTTGCGAATCTGCATCATAAATGCAGGAGCTTCACGGGGATCTATTCAGCAAAAAGCATGAGTGCACGGCGCTATGGAGTTGGATATATGTACAACCTGTTTGTAATAGAAAATCTCTTCTTTTAAAAATTGAAACCAAACTCATGGATTTTGCTGTACAAACTCAATTAGGTATATTGATGATGGTGGCTGGTGGTTATCCTGATAGCCAGCGATGGAGATCGTGCTATAGGGTAAATTTCTACTCTGGAAGCAAATACTTGATCATCGCTCGTCATGCATCATCACATCAGTTCTTACTTCACCAATACACTATTCTCGAGAGCTTTTCTATCCAGCACTAATCACCTTTGGAAACACAAGGCAGTGCGTTTTGGACTATCACAGGCGCCAAAATCGCATTTTGCTACCATGGACCGACCAAATCGACCTCGCAATCGTCAACCTCGCCCCCCACGTCAACAGCAAAACAGTCAACGGGGCGGCTCATCGAGACCATCCCGCGCACCAGGAACACCTCAGCAAGCAGCGGGCACAGTCCCGACAGTGCAAAAAGTCATCCCCGGAGCATCAGTATACATCATTTTGAAAGAAGACCAACCCACAGGAACAGAGACAAAGGGAATAGTGCAAGACCTACTCACACGAGGCAACCATCCACGAGGAATCAAAGTGCGACTACGGGGTGGTCAAGTGGGCAGAGTGCAAAGAATGGGAGACGCTTCAGCTGCTGCCCCTGTGCCACCAGAGGAGCCAAAAGCACAAGCAACGTCGTCAAGATTTACCATGCGGTATACAGATGTGAGGCAAGACGACGAGTTTGCTACTGGACCACCACCGAGGAGTTTGGCAGATTTCATGCCCGATTTGGATGAGAGCTTGGGAACTGCGCCAAGTGCTGGCGTTGAGACGGTCAAGTGTCCGTTTTGTGACAAGTTTGAAGGCGATGAGGCTGCTGTTACACATCATATTGACCGGGAACATCTGTCCTAGGTTTGGATGTTGAAGTTTGGAATCTCATACTTGGAGTTTGATCAGATGGATTGTGTTGGAAGTTAGGATGGCATGTGGCATACATCAGCTCGGTGGTTGTCCATCGTACGAATAGCTCAGTATGGAATGTCTGGTGTTGATTTGCTATTTTGGGTGAGACAGTAGGTTATGAATGAATGTCTTAGTAGCAATTGATGTAGTTTCATCTCAAATATTTGGACGGAAAAGAAAGTTACGGATATCTCAGTTTGACTGTATGAAATGAGTGTATCTAATTATATGACCTTTTTCAATTGAGGTAAGCAAACAGCTATGCCTTGTTACTTGGGGTCAATAAAGTTTGTACAATATGTACAAAAGTTGTCTTGATTTTGATTTACTACTGGATAACCAACTCAGCATTCATGGTAGGCGTGTTTACTAGTAATGGAATAAATAAAAACCTGAATTGGTTTTCGTATTGACTTGATAGCTGCCTAGTAAGTACCCTCACAACGCATTGAGTTTAAGAATCATCTATCATTGGCTCAAAGGCCAAGCCAAGCTCAAGCATTTCGAGCTCCCCCTTTTCTCTCGATAAATTGGCGCCTGTTGTTGATGACGAAGGCTTGCTTGGTTCAATCTCGGTCGGGTCGGAATATCATAGCGCCCTGAGGTGAACGATTGGTTGGCCAAAATAGCCTGTCAGCATTAGCAGCCAGTGGGTGCCAGTCTCTCAGGCACGGCGGGCCCAGAGCTACAGGTACGTACCTACCTTCTCCTTGAGGTACAGGCTGCAGCACTGCCTAAGCGGTCCGTTGCAGCTGCCCTGTGGCTCCTCCCAAACAGAACAGGTAACGTAACCCAGAAAGCGACCTTGACCTTCCTGTTCGCTCTCTCCTTTACCTTACCAAAACACACCCTAACTTCATCTCCATTTCTTCCCTTCACGACGACGATTCCGTCTGCTATCCATCAGCAGAAGACGAACAAACTCGAATTCAACGTCGTCGGTCTATTTTCCTTCCTTCCGATTTCTTGCGCGCGCCCTGTGTTTACCTTGAAACCTCGTGCTTCCTTTCATTGAACCCCTGCCACGCGGCGCATGGAAGCTTCTATCTCGCCCTTTGAAGGCAACACCGATATAATTTCTTGCGGTCGATCCGAGATCGATTCCAATTCATCTACCGTTTCGTTTATCAACACTCGAGCTTAGGAGCATCGATTTGAAGACGGTCCACTCTACCTCATCATAGGCCACACCGGCGTCATGGCGCCTCTGCCCATTAAGTTTCAGGAGCTTGTCCAGCTCGCCAATGTTGGCGTGGACACTCAGAGCATCGGCTTCAACTCCTGCGTATGTCTTCCAGCCTGCGATCAGTTGCATTGCTGGTCATAAAAAGGATAATTCCAAGCTAACCAGAGCTAGACACTCGAGTCCGACTCGTACGTCTGTGTGCGGGAGAAGAAGAATGAGGCAGCCCAACCCGAGGTTGTTATCATCGAGCTCAAGAATGGCAACAATGTCACCCGCCGGCCGATCAAGGCCGACAGTGCCATCATGCACTGGAACCGACAAGTGATTGCTCTTAAGGCTCAGTCTAGAACACTGCAGATCTTCGACCTTGAGCAGAAGAAGAAACTCAAGTCGTGCACTATGAACGAAGATGTTCAGTTCTGGAAGTGGATCAGCGAGAACGAGCTTGGTCTTGTCACAACATCCAGCGTTTACCACTGGAATGTCTACGATGCGTCCCAGGACGCCCCTGTCAAGATGTTTGAGCGCAATGCTAACCTCAACGTGAGCCAAACTTATTCATTATCGACCAAACATCCCGGTACTAATCTATTCATAGGGTTGCCAAATCATCAACTACCGAGTTAATAGCGACAGCAAGTGGATGGTGGTGGTGGGAATTTCTTCCCAGCAAGGCAAGGTTGTCGGTGCTATGCAACTTTACTCCAAGGATCGTGGAATTAGCCAGGCTATAGAAGGTCACGCCGCTGCCTTTGGTACCATCCGCCTGGAGGGTGCTGCCCAAGACACCAAGCTGTTCAGTTTCGCGGTACGATCGGCAACTGGTCCTGCTAAGCTACACATCGTCGAGGTCGATCATCCCGAGTCGAATCCCGTCTTCCAGAAAAAGCAGGTCGAAATGTTCTTCCCCCCCGAAGCCACCAACGATTTCCCGGTCGCTCTTCAGGTGTCGCAAAAGTACGGCGTCATTTACATGGTGACGAAATATGGTTTCATCCACCTGTACGACCTCGAGACTGCCTCTTGCATCTTCATGAACCGAATTTCGAGCGAAACAATATTCACAACCTGCACAGACGATGGCTCTTCTGGCATTGTTGGCATCAACCGAAAGGGCCAAGTGCTCTTTGTGACAATTGATGACACCAATGTCATTCCTTACCTCCTTCAGAACCCCGCCAACACCGACATGGCCATCAAGATGGCTTCGAGAGCTGGTCTTCCTGGTGCTGATAACTTGTATCAGAGACAATTCGAGCAGCTGTTCAACGCTGGTAATTACTTGGAGGCTGCTAAGATCGCCGCCAACTCTCCTCGAGGCTTCCTCCGTAGTGCCGATACCATCGAGAAGTTCAAGCGCCTTCCTGTTCAGCCTGGTCAGATGGCTTTCACACTTCAGTACTTCGGAATGCTCCTGGATAAGGGCTCTTTGAACCGCCATGAGACCCTCGAGCTCGCGCAGCCTGTTCTTCAGCAGAACCGAAAGCACCTGCTTGAGAAGTGGTTGAAGGAGGGCAAGCTAGACTGCTCTGAGCAGCTTGGTGACATGGTCCGCCCTTACGATATCAACATGGCTCTTAGCATCTACCTCAAGGCCGAGGTTCCCCACAAGGTTGTAGCAGGCTTCGCCGAGACTAACCAGTTCGACAAGATCCTGCCCTACTCAGCCCAGACTGGCTACCAGCCCGATTTCATTCAACTTCTCCAGCACATCACTCGTACAAACCCCGAGAAGGGTGCTGAGTTCGCCAGTGCTCTTGCTAACAGCGAGCAAGGACCTTTGGTTGACTTCGAGCGTGTGTGCGACATCTTCCAAGGACAGGGCATGATCCAGCAAGCCACCGCCTTTTTGTTGGATGCGCTCAAGGAGAACAAGCCTGAGCACGCTCGTCTCCAGACTCGCCTTCTTGAGATGAACTTGACTCATGCCCCTCAAGTTGCTGAGGCTATTCTTGGCAATGAGATGTTCACTCATTTCGACAAGACTCGCATTGCTCAGCTTTGCGAACAGGCTAACCTTCCCCAAAAGGCCTTGGAGCTCTACGAGGACCCTGAGGCCATCAAGCGGGTTATTGTCAACATCCCTGGCTCCCCTAGCTTCAACCCTGACTGGCTTACCACCTTCTTTGGTAAACTGTCTGTCGAGCAATCTCTCGATTGTCTCGATGCTATGATGAAGACGAACATTCGCCAGAACTTGCAGTCGGTCGTTACTATCGCCACTAAGTACTCTGAGCTTCTCGGAGCCGTTCGCCTGATTGACCTCTTCGAAAAGTACAAGACTGCTGAGGGTCTCTTCTACTATCTTGGTAGTGTCGTGAACCTGTCGGAGGACCCTGACGTTCATTTCAAGTACATTGAGGCCGCGACCAAGATGGGACAGTTCAACGAGGTCGAGCGGTTGTGTCGTGATAGTACCGTGTACAACCCCGAGAAGGTGAAGAACTTCCTCAAGGAAGCCAAGCTCCCTGAGCAGCTTCCTCTTATCATCGTCTGTGATCGCTTCAACTTCGTTCATGACTTGATTCTCTACCTCTACCAGAACCAGCAATTTGGCGCCATCGAGACCTACGTCCAGAGTGTCAACCCTGCGCGAGCACCCGAAGTTATTGGCGGTCTCTTGGATGTCGATTGTGACGAGAACGTCATCAAGCAGCTTTTGAGCACTGTTAACGCCCAGTCTATCAGCATTGACGCACTCGTCTCGGAGGTCGAGTCCAGAAACCGCCTCAAGCTTCTCTTGCCCTTCCTCGAGGCTACTCTCCAGGCCGGCAACCAGCAACAGGGTGTTTATAATGCTCTCGCGAAGATCTACATCGACTCTAACAACAACCCCGAGAAGTTCCTCAAGGACAACGACCAGTACGACACTCTTACTGTCGGAAAGTACTGCGAGAAGCGGGACCCCAACTTGGCCTACATTGCCTACTCCAAGGGCCAGAATGACTTGGAGCTTGTCAACATCACCAACGAGAACTCCATGTACCGTGCCCAGGCCCGATACCTCTTGGAGCGCTCCGACAACGAACTGTGGGGATTTGTGCTGAGCGAGAACAACATCCACCGTCGATCTGTCGTCGACCAGGTCACTGCCACTGCTGTCCCTGAGGCCAGTGACCCTGCCAAGGTCTCTGTAGCAGTCGCTGCTTTCCTTGAGAACGATCTTCCTCTTGAGCTTATTGAGCTTCTTGAGAAGATTGTCCTTGAGCCTTCGCCTTTCAGCGACAACCAGAACCTCCAGAACCTGCTTATGTTCACCGCTGCTAAGGCTGATAAGGGTCGTGTGATGGACTACATCCACAAGCTCGACAACTACAACGCCGACGAAATCGCTACTGCTTGTATCGAGGTTGGTCTTTTTGAAGAAGCTTTCGAGATCTACAAGAAGGCCGACAACAAGTCTGCTGCTGTTGATGTTTTGGTTGAGCATGTGGTCAGCATCGACCGTGCTCAGGCCTATGCAGAGGAGGTTGACTTGCCCGAGGTCTGGAGTAAGGTTGCCAAGGCCCAGCTTGATGGTCTGCGCGTCTCCGATGCCATTGAGTCCTATATCAAGGCTGAGGACCCTAGAAACTACCTGGAGGTTATCGAGGTTGCTACCCATGCCGGCAAGAACGAGGATCTCGTCAAGTACTTGCGCATGACTCGCAAGACTCTCCGCGAGCCTGCGATTGACACAGCTCTTGCCTTTTCTTATGCTCGTCTGGATCAGCTCTCTGAACTTGAGGACTTCCTTCGTGCTACCAACGTTGCCAACATCGAGGAGTCTGGTGACAAGGCGTACGAGGAAGGCCTGTACGAGGCCTCCAAGATCTTCTACACCAGCATCTCCAACTGGGCCAAGTTGGCCACTACTCTCGTCCACCTCAGCGACTACCAAGCTGCTGTTGAGTGTGCCCGCAAGGCCAACAACATCAAGGTTTGGAAGCAGGTGCACGAGGCATGTGTGGAGAAGAAGGAATTCCGACTTGCTCAGATTTGTGGCCTCAACTTGATTGTTGATGCCGAGCAGCTCCAGACCTTGGTCAAGGAGTATGAGCGTAACGGCTACTTCGACGAGCTTATCAGTCTTCTGGAACAGGGTCTCGGACTTGAACGTGCTCATATGGGAATGTTCACCGAGCTCGGTATCGCGCTTTCCAAGTTCCACCCTGACCGTCTCATGGAGCACATCAAGATCTTCTGGTCTCGTATGAATCTCCCTAAGATGATCAAGGCAACCGAGGAGGCGAACCTCTGGCCCGAGCTTGTCTTTTGTTACTACCACTACGACGAATTTGACAATGCTGCTCTTGCAGTCATCGAGCGACCTGAGAACTCCTGGGACCACCAGCAGTTCAAGGAGATCGTTGTCAAGGTTGCCAACTTGGAGATCTACTACCGCGCTATCAAGTTCTACGTCGAGCAGCATCCTTCTCTCTTGACTGATCTTCTCGCAACTCTCACTCCTCGCATTGACGTCAACCGCGTTGTCAAGATCTTCCAGAAGAACGACGATCTTCCTCTTATCAAGCCTTTCCTGCTTAACGTGCAAACCCAGAACAAGCGTGTTGTGAACGAGGCTGTCAACGATCTGCTCATCGAGGAGGAGGACTACAAGACCCTTCGCGACTCAGTCCAAAACTACGACAATTACGATGCTACCGAGCTGGCCAAGCGTCTGGAGAAGCATGACCTCATCTTCTTCCGCCAGATCGCTGCCTCTATCTACCGCAAGAACAAGCGATGGGAGAAGTCAATTGCGTTGTCTAAGCAGGACAAGCTGTACAAGGACGCTATCGAGACCGCTGCCCTGTCTGCTAAGATCGACATTGTCAGCGATCTTGTTCAATATGTAAGTTATCAAGATATTTTCAGTCGAACCACACTAACAACAATAGTTCGTCGATATTGGTCACCGGGAATGCTACACCGGTATGCTCTACGCTTGTTACGAGCTTATCCGCCCTGATCTTGTTCTGGAGCTTTCATGGCGCCATGGTCTCATGGACTTCTCAATGCCTTACATGATCAATATGCTCGCTCAACAAACCAAGGACCTCGCTGCTTTGAAGGCAGACAACGAGGCTCGCAAGGCTAAGGAACAGGAGAAGGAGAAGACCGATGATAACACCCCTATCCTCGGTGCTTCTAGACTCATGATCACAGCTGGCCCTGGTGGCATGGGCTCCGCTCCCTCACCTACGCCATATGGCCAAGCAAATGGCTTCGCACCGCAGCCCACCGGCTACGGTTTCTAGAGGCAGGTACCGGTACCGATGTGGTGCTGCGTTCCCACCTACTATATGCCAGGGTTGGCAGCCCATAATCAGCATCAACTCCGACAGAGGGATTTATTAGACCTGGATATATCCTTCACGGCGATGCCAAAAATGGATAATCTAATGGCGTGGATACAAAATCCTGTAATCATAGTTTGATTCTCCTGCGAGATGCGCGTGGGGGCGTTTGAGGGAGGATTTCAGAGCGATTGCTACTCAAGGATACCGCGGTAGACTTGAGGATGAAGTTTTGATACTAAATTTCGCAGTCGGTCCTTTGGGCTTAGACTGCTGTATGTTGTATGATAGTACATTGATTTATCTTTATTTCACCTTTTTTGATGTCTCGCTGTGACTTGCCATGATGGTGTTGCTTCAATATTCTGCTATAAACTATTTAATCGCCTATCCAAGGAAGAGGACATTACAAAACTACAAATCAGAAAATGCCAATCTAGACCAAGGATACCTCATCGACCTGCCGCTTCTCCTTCTCGACACCATCCTTGTGTGGCTTGGGATCTGAAATTTTGAGCCACTCGCCATTGAAGGCATTGATGAGCCAGTTTCGAAGTTCTGTAGAGACGACATGTTAGTCCAAGTGTGTTATGTTAGGCGAGAGGTAAACTTACTATCGTAGACAATGCGGTTTCCGTTATGAAAGTAGATACTGTGATCGCTATCGGGGAAAACATGAACATCGTAGTTCTCAACGCCTGCAAGATCGAGCTCGTCGAGAAGTGTGAGCGAGTTCTGGAAGTGGACGTTGTCATCGGAGACACCGTGCATAAGAAGGAAACGCTTGTTGCCGCCGAGAGCTGTGGCATTGGAGATCATGGACAGGTCGTAGCCGTCGGCGTTCTCCTGGGGAGTGCGCATGTATCGTTCTGTGTAGATGCTGTCGTAGAAGCGCCAGTCGGTTACAGGGGCAACGGCCATGCCATAGCTGAAAGTGCGGCCGGCGTCCTGCTCAAGTGTCTTGAGGGTGGTGAAACCGCCGTAGGACCAGCCCCAGATAGCAAGGCGATCGGCATCGACATAAGGGCGTGATGCGAAGTTTTTGGCAGCAGCGATGTGGTCTTGTGACTCTAGAACGCCGAGCTGTGACCGGACTACGACGCGGTGCTTGCGGCCGAGGAAGCCTGTGCCTCGGGGATCGACGGTGACGACCAGGTAGCCAAGTGCGGAGGCAACATAAGCCTGGAAGTCTACACCGAACTTCTTGGTGACAGATTGAGAACCTGGGCCGGAGTATTGCTGGAAGAGGATGGGATATTTCTTCTTGGGGTCGAAGTGAGGTGGGCGTCGCTCTACGTAGTTGACTTTGACGCCATCACCAAGATCAAGAGTGCCATATTTGTTAACGGGAAGCTCATGACTACGAGCGCGCTCTGCAAGCTCAACATTATCTTCGATGAGATGCTCATAGGTAAAGACGCTCGAAGGTGTGGAGATGACTTTCTGAGTAGGAACCTTGGGCCCGCTGTAGGACAAGAGGACAAAGCCAGCACCCTTGGAGAAAGAGGCGCCGTAGTAAGCCTCTGTTTTGGTATCGGTCAGGGCTTCAAGAGAACTACCGTCGAGCTTGACGGAATAGACGTGACGCTGGATTGACGATTCCTTGGTGGCGATGAAGTACACCAGGTTGTTTGCGAGATCAATTGCCGAGGGAGCGTCATCAATCTCCCATTCACCCTTGGTGAGCATGATAGGCTCGGGGTTGTCAAGAGGAGTGAAGTAGGCCAGGTGATCGTAGCCTTCGTGCAGGTATGAGTCAACGTATCCATCGTGGTCGCGACCGTTTTCAGGATCGGCCGGGATGTACTTTGTGTTGTGTGAGATCTCAAACCAGCCACCGTCAATCTTATCAACGTCGATGGTGTTGACAGTCTTGCCCTTGCGAGAACCGACATCGATCAAGACTACCTTGAGAATATCACTGACACGGTTTGTCTCCTTAACGAGAGCTTTGTCTCCAGTCCAAAGGAGGTTGTTGATGATACGATCATCATCCGCGAAGGCACCGTCGTTGTCGACAGAGAAGACATCCTTCTTTGCAACATCGTAGAACAGCAAGTCCACGACGGGGTTGTGAGCGCCCGCCTTGGGATACTTGATCTGCTCTACCTCGGGATATGCCTCCTCGCCCTTTTCAGGGTCTGTACCACTGGGGCGCTTGATGAAGAACTGGACGGGGAATTCAGGAACACCGGTTTCGTTGGTGCGAAGGAAGGCCAAATACTTGCCATCTTTAGACCACCATGTAGCGCTACGACCGCTGAAGACCTCTTCTTCGTATACCCAGTCAGGAACGCCATAGAAGTATTCAGGGCCACCATCTTTGGTGATCTGAACAACATCCTTCTTATCGTCTAGACGTCTGATGTACAGATTGTTGTCTTGCGTGTATGACACGGCATCGCTCTTGGGGCTCCATGAGGCAAGCTGGATACGCACGTCAGGCTTGCCGGGAACGAGCGGTTCGGCCTTCTGTGTCTCGACGTCAAGAATGAAGTAGATGGCACTGAAAGAGTGACGCCAATTCTTCTTTTTGCTGACCCCGAGCAGGACCTTCTTCAAGTCGGGGCTGGGTTCGTTCCAATCAGGTGTATACTGGTTTCCCTCATAGACAAAGAAGTTATCCTTCATCAATGTACGCGACTTGGAAGCCTTGTCCTTGTCGATTGGTGCCCTGGTATCCTTCTTGTCGTCGCGAATATCTTCTACAACGATATAGGGCTTCTCGCTAGCTCCAACCTCAAGCAACAGACCGTCCTCGCCATCAGGACCAGCGATCCAGCTGATGCTGTGTGTCTTTGCTCGCCAGGTTCCGTCAAAGAGCTGGTCCATTGTGACGGCTTTTCCTGAGCCTCGCGTTGCAGCATCAGGATCGTGTTCGGTGTCGCTCTCGTGATGGTAGGAACCAGTGTAGAGAAAGATACCGAGGCCGGCAAGCCAGCCAGCAACGAAAAGGGCACCGACGATGATGAGAATGCGGCGCAATCCCTTGTCCATGGGTTCGCGATGTAGCACAGCTCCAGGACCGAGGAAAGGACCGGTCTCTAGGTCGTCCTCTTCCTTGAGGGGGTCATCGTCATCCAGAGCGCGAGTGTCGTTGTTATCTTTGGCGGAGTCCATCTCTGTCTTCTCTTGTATCCTCTCAAAGACAAGACTTGTGGTGGAAGCCGAGGAGATGGAATCGTCCGAGTAGCGACGGTCGCTCGCGGGGGGCAGAGAGGACATATCAGAAGCCATTTTCGGGAGGGTGCGCCCGTTGGGCGCTGGGACTCAAGTTTGGTGTTACGCGGTGATGGGTGGGCGAGTTACTGTCGATGGCGCATGGTGCGAAAGGGCGAAGGACGAGCAACGAGTGTTTGGAGCGATTGAATAGAGGCAAACGATAGGCTACAGAGGGTGCAAACAATAACTTGGCAAACGTGCGCAGGGACGGGAACTGTTTATTTCTCGCGGATGAAAGAAAGAGGGAAAGAAAAGGAAACGAGGCGTCAATTGGAACTCTATCGGGTTGTCAATAGATGGAACTACTGAGTAACCAACTGTCTCAGTTGAGGTAGAGGCTGCTCGTGCTCGTGCTCGTGCTTGCTTGTCGCATTGGGGCAAGCTCATGATGACGTAAGCTAGGCGATTAGTCAATTGGGAGACAGGACAGTCAGTCTGGTCCGTTGAAGTTTACTCAATCTATCCTTAACATGCGGTTGATGGTTTCTTGATGAAACATGATAATTAATTATATGTAGCCCTCTCTCTGCCCCTTCTGTCTTGGCTGCTTTGCTCTTGATCCTCAAGGGTCTCCGGCTCATCACCCCGGCCTCCGAACCCCGGATTTGCCCCACTCATCTTCGGGTTCTGGGCTCTGGGCTCTGGGCTCTCGGCTCTAGGACATTGAACATTGATTCTTTTAGATAAAGCTGGGAAAACACTAACAACATAAACACTCTTGAAACTTTTTACAACGCAAGGCAACACCAGGGGCTATCAACTATCAATCAACATGTAAACTAAACCCTCCTCTGATGCGTCAACTGAGGCACCTCCACAGCCGCACCCTCGATCTTCTCAACCACACAAGCAGTCCCGTACGCACTCGCCTGCGCAAACCCTCCAAGATCCCCCGTCTCAAATCGTAAACAAATGATCGCGTTGCCGCCTCTCCGCTTGGTCTCCTGGACGACTCTGCTGATGGAGTCGTTGCGGCACGAGTACAACATCGACGTGAACCAGTTCAGCTCGCCGCCCGCCATGCTCTTGATGACCATGGCGATGCCCGCCGCGATGTTGCGCGAACGCACCGTGATGCCGTAGACGGCGCCAAGCACTTTGGTGATGCGGTAGCCGGGGAGATCCATCATTGCTGACTTGTCTTAGTCTTGGGCATGGATACATACTTCAAGATGACCTACTTGTTGTTATGCAATTGTCAGTTTCGGTGAACTATATAACGCGTTAACATTTGTTCTTTTGCATCTGAAACCAAAGAACAGTAGTAATTATCGGGGTCAACTTACACAATGCAAGTCGGAAAGATGAGGAGGAATATCAGCAACCTCTTCGTGGTTCTTCTTCTGCTCCTTGGGTGATCCGAAACTGACCATCTTGGCGGTTGTACCAGTGCAGATAGTTCAACTATTATATAAAAGTGTAATTGAGTAGATAGGTTCGAAAACTAGATGTGTATACCCTGATGTATTATGATCAACCATCAAATAGCCAAGGAATTCACGCCCTTTATATATCCCTTAACCATAAAGCCCACCTCCAACAACCATATCCGGAGCTGAAAGTCAAACAACGCCTAAGTTAGCATGTGTGTTGATGCCGATGTACCCGCCAAGCAAAGTGATACCCCACATAATATTCTCGCATTCATCGTATCTATAATCTGCCACTCGATAGCATAGCCTCCAGCTTGCGATCGATTCATTTGCTGGCCCTGTGAGACTAGACTAACCTCTCGGTGGCTGACCCGTGATCACTTGTTAAACCTGCATTTCTGTGGCTGTGTTGTGGCTCCTATCTCCTTAGGGGTGGTAAGACTACAGTTGCGTACCGAGTCGCATTGATTTTAGAAGCCTATAAATCTTAGTGTTGCCATAAGTATCTATACAGATAGAAGTTAATAAGGAGTACATCGAAGCAGGGATAAATTACATACTAATCGAGCATCTTGCAGGTAGCTTTAATCTTCGACTATCTCTCTTTACGGAATAGCAGCCGACTGGATTATCGGTTTTAGAATATTATCCTATTTGCTCGGAAAATCTCTATCTCCATAAAAGGTACAAACTGTAGTCTTACCACCCCTAAGGAGATGTGATGATACATTCATTGCCTCATCAGGCGTTCTTACTTGAAATTATCCATGCAACTGGACATAACCAAGTCGATCATGATACGTCCGTCATGATGGCCGCTGCCGATGTGCATGCCGGGCCGGTGTGGGGCTGTCCTTTGTTCCACAACGAGTAGAGGCCGACTGCAATAGATTGATGGCCCGGCAAGTTCAGATGAAAGCTTGCACTCACTCAATAGGGAAGCTAAACTTTAGCCATACACATACATGTTGAAATAGACTTTTTTACTATATACAATTAACACGCTCTGATGAGGGTAATCTTTGTTGCAAGTAACAACTGCATAATCCTAGAACTCTCTCTATGCCATGAGGATCTGAACTTCACAGCAGGAGTATTGCATATAGATACAATAGTCAATTATACCAGCTAGCAAGTACTAGCCAGAAGAGAATAAGTTATACTCTTGTCTTTCGTAATCTCATCACTAAGCATTAACAATTAAACACGAAACAGACGGCTCGACCTCTTCTTGGCAGCCTTCTCCTCAGCCCTCTTTCTGCGGCCAAACTTCTTGACGTGCTTGGCATCACGAGCATGCAGCATCACGGCACTTGTATCTCTCTTGTCGCTAGAGTGAGCAGTCTCGAGGTTCTTGCACTTGGGCCGCGTCAGTCTGTTGCCGAACTCCTCAACGGCCCAGATAAGAACGCCATTTGTCCAGCCAAAACCCTCAACAACCTCATACTCGCCGCCGCCTCCAGCGGTATTGGTGGCGTTATCGGCATACTTTTCGAACATGATGCCATCTTCCTTGTCGGACACGCTCTCGAGCTTGGGTGTCTCAGAGGTTGATCCACCGGTTGCGTACCAGGTGCAGAATGTCGAGTCCAGATATCTCTGTCCTAGACGAAGTGCCAGCCTGCGGATCTCGATAAAAGATGGGTCCATTATGCCAAATGTCGCAGGTACCTTTTCGAGTCCAGCCATGAGGATGTGCATCATGGGAGGCCAAACGTTAGGCTGATCCCACTGCTGACCAGTCTCGATGTTGCTCGCGGGAATACCACCCTCACGCTTATCAAGGTAGGTAGCAACACGCTTGTATGCACTGAGGACAGCGTATGGGTTGTTCTTGAGATAGTCGGGAGCAGCGCCGAGCCAGAAGGGATAGAATTGGGTAGGACTGAAGAAGACCTGCTGTCCCTTGGGGGCATCCTCTGTGTCCACAGACACGGTGTTGTTGTCGGCCGGAAAGTAAATCTGCTGCGCCTTGGAAGTCAGATTGTAATCGAAGTAGCTCCAAAGAGTCTCGTTCCACATGAAAGCATGCATAGCGTAGCTACGGTTGGAAGCGACTTCGCGCCACTGCTCGCTGGCGCTGTTGTTTCCAGTTTGTTCGTAAAAGTCGGCAATGGCGATCTCATTTCCGTAGAGAATAGAGTTGAGGTCTACAGGAATGATATTCCTGGTGTTGAGGTATCTCAGGGGGAAGTAGTTATCCCGAATAGCATCTTCAGGTCTAGCGATCCACTTGGAGGTGTAGTCCAGACCACTCTCAGCACCGCTGGCGAGGTTTCCGTACAGGGTTTCCTTTTGCTTAAAGCTTAGCTCTTCACCACCAGAGTAAACCTCTCCAGATGGTGAGTAGTAGGATTTGTTGGTCGCCGTGATGTAGTCCTCACGATACGACTCGGGTCGGGGTTGAGTATTGGATACGTTATATCTGTGAGGTATGTTAGTTGAGGGTTAAGTATAGCGATCTGGTTTACTTACGTGTTTAGCATATAGGTCTCGTCGTTGATGTAGACTGGGACAGAGCGGTTTTTCATAAAGAATTCATGCTCCTTGACAAGCAGAGGTAGGGCTCGCTCAAGGATGTCGGTGTCGTTGGTGTGATCGATATAAATCTTGACCATTTGCGACAGCAGAGGTGGCTGAGATCGGTTGAGGTAGTAGATGCGAGCACCATTGGGGACAAACCCGTACTCCTCGATAAAGTCAAGGAAGTTCTCAATGGTGTTTTTTGCGATGTCGACAAAAGATCCTCCGGTTCGGAGAAGACCTTCGAGAATCCAGTAAGAGTCCCAGTAATAGGGCTCACGGAAACGACCACCCGCAACGACAAAAGAGCGGTTGACAGGGATGAAGCTGTTGGGGCAGTCAGAGCAGTTCTTGGATTCTTGGTCATAGCGACGGGTCAGGTCAGGCCAAATATCAATGACCTTCTCTGTGAACTCCCTAATGACAGTGTCGTTGATGTTGTCGAGGAACTTGGGATCCGTTTTGAGCTCATCTTCAGGCACCTCCTCAAGCTCGTTTCCAGCATCGGCAAAGTTCTCACTGAGGAAATCGGCGAGAGCCGAGTTGTTCTTCAGAGGCTTGTCGAGCTCATCGAAGGCCTTCTGGATTTCACTCATAGAGCGAATAGCCGGCCTGGTACAAGGGAGAGGAATTAGTGTCATGATGACTGGTGATAGGTCGTGAACGGGACAACTTACATATCAACAAAAGTCTTGGAATCACTAAATGGTCGCGCAAGTTCGACCTGCTCGAGGATATCTCCATGGCAGTAAATAGGTGAGTCGCAAGGCGCAACGACGGTGCCATTGACGTAGAGAGCAGAGACAGTTGTCGCGGACGCAGCCAAAGCGGCAGCGATATGTCGTGGAGACGGCATCGCTTCAAATAACCAATTGGGTGGTAAAGATGTCGGATGAGTGCTTCGAAAAAAGAAGAAAGGGAATGCGAGAGATTAAATATACAGAGAAATCATGACGGTGATTCGGCCAAGCATATCATGACATAACTGGTCGCTCACTATAAACAACCTTGTCATGGTCAGGCCAAGAAGGGAAATTTTGGTGCTGGGGGAAGCCAAAGCTGAGCTGTTGAGCTTGATGATCATTTGCTGCTCCGTCCACATTTTTCAATTTTCCTCGTCTTACTCCGTACATCCACTACAATACGAGTGAGCTTTCCTCTTTTCAAGGTCAAGGTTTCATGGCCAAGAGCTACCAAAATCCAGAATCCAGCTTTTGTGGCATCATGATAACTGCCAAGCTGTGAGCCATGTTAATCATGATTCTGTATTTACCTACTCTACTCTTTCTAACTGACGTTTCTTCTTCTCATTCATATTGACAACACAATCAACTTATCAATTGAGTAATTACAATAACCATCAGCTCATCCTCCCTCTCCCTCTCCTCAACAGTGACGTGACTATCTTCCCTTGGAGAAACCAGACCTCCAGAGTCCAACACTCCAACCCCCGGCCCCGGACGCCACTAAAAAGCCACCAAGAACCCAAACAAATCCAAACGTGGAGAAACATCTGCATTTAATCCCTGTTTCTGCTCCCCCGCACTCTTGGCGAGGCCGTCTATTTGACCGATTGGTCGGTGACGTCAAGAAACAACCACGCAAGACGGTTGAGAATAACGACACAACGGACAGTAGAAGAAAAAACCTCTTCATATTCCACAGAGGGCGGAATTAATAACTGTCCATGCCTAATCATGAACGTGTCAGCGGCGTCCTCGGCTCCAGGCATTTGGGTCTTGGCTATTATTCAACGGCAGTTCGAGTAGGACCGACAAGTCGCAATCCAATGACCAATTCTCCAGGATCTGATAATCCTTCAATGGAGGGCATCGTCAGCTCCAATATCGGGGACTCCGCTGCAGCATTTGACCTGCCTCAATCGTAGTTTTTCTTATGTCAAAAATGTCAAATAGAGTTCACGCAATGTTGCTGATCCTAATCCTGGTCCTAGCTCTGATCATGAGTATTTGACCGAGACTACACCGTTAGTATCCAACGGTTTGAGATGTCATTTGTCACTTCTGTTGAGATTGTTAGCTTCACATGTGTAAGGCATTATTTCATTCATGCTAACCGACATATGATAGAAGCTTGTAGTGCCCATAACAGCTCTGATTGCCGGCACATCGATAGTGTAACCAGTAATCTCGAATCACGAACTCAACAACTCTATTCTATTCATCCTGATTCTAATCTATCGAGATAAATATACACTATCCTTTCCAATCCTCTGCTGCGCACCCGAATCAGTGCTCTCACCAAGAACCTTTTCAAACACCACCTTCAAGCGTCGCATAACCTCCTCCTCATTCTGCGCAACCTGATAATGCGTCACCAACCGATTAGACATCAACTTGAGCCCAGCCTCTGCTCCGATCTCGATGAACCTCTTTAGACTACACCCCGTAGCCTTGAGGTCTAACCAAACCATGTTGGTCTCTGTAGGCTCGTTGATCTTACCTCCCATACTGGTCCAGAGGTCATCGACTTTGCGCGCCATTTCGTGCGAAGCCTGCAGAGGTCCATCTCTACCGTTGGGCGACTTTCCAAAGGTCTGCTCGATGGCAACGCGTCCTGCGGAGGTGAGGACGCCGGACTGGCGAAGACCGCCGCCGATGGACTTGCGCACCCAGCGAGCGTGCTTCAGCGTTGCCTTGGGGCCGACAAGGACACTTCCAGCGGGAGCACCGAGACCCTTTGAAAGGCACAGACTGATGGTGTCGAAATAAGAGCAGTATTCTGTTAGAGAACCGGCCCCAGATACAACGGCTTCCCACAATCGTGCGCCATCTAGATGGAGTTTGATGTCATGCTCTCTGGCAAACTCGGAGATGCGCTTCACTTCGCTGAGGGGCATCACCATACCGTGAAGGGTGTTTTCAAGACTGATGACACGCGTAGGGCAACCATGGACATCATCGTCCAAAGTCACATTCTCCTGAATCTCTTCAAGGGTCATGTGCCTGCCATTCTTGGGGATGACAGTCTGAATTTGAGCCCCTGTAAGATTTGAGGTGCTGCAGAAGGATTAGTCATGAAATCCTATTATACAGCAACAAGTAAATACTAACCCGCCAGCTTCAGACGTAAAGATATGAGCGCGATAATCGCATAGCACCGAGTAGGGTGGTTGTGTAAGAAGAGACCTCAGAGCGAGTTGGTTTCCCATTGTACCGGAGAGAACAAAAAGGCCAGCTTCCTTCCCAGTGCGCTCTGCAACATAGGCTTCAAGATCGTTTGTGACAGGGTCTTCCTGGAAGACATCATCGAGCAAGGAGCATGACGAAACAGCCTCAAGCATAGCTGGCGTAGGAGTTGTCACCGTATCACCTATGTTAACGAGTGTTAGAGATTCGATGTCTGATAATGCGGATTTGTGACGTACTGCGGAGATCAAGAGCTGCTGGGCCTTTGGCACCAAGCCAAGCGTTATGAGGCTTCCCCGATATAGCGTCTCCCATAGCTGCAGAAGAAAAGGCAAATGTACGTGACAAAGGGATAATTGTGTTGATTTTCACAGTTGAGTAAATGCCAGATACTGATATAGGCCGACGGGTATAGCACGAGAGATTGTGAATTGCCGAGGATGCAACAAGTCGAGAGGAACGATTCATGGTTATAACAAGAGCAAACAAGACTCAAGCTCCTCTCCGCAGGCGGAATGCAAGACTGTCAAACCTAGGGCGCAGATTACTACAGTACCTCCACAAAAGCATGCAGATTAACGTGTCAACGTGAGGGGAACACCGTTGAGTCGATTGACAAGAGCCGATGCCGCCCGTCTCGGCTACAGTAGCGATATGGAGCCTCCCCCCACAAACTAACCTCCAAGGGTTCAACCATCACCAAACTGGTGGTTATTCCCGTCTTATATGTTATTATCATCTCATAACCATTTAGTATAAAGTTATGTTTAGAAATATTCGTGATTATGCTATGCTTCGTTCTAGTGCGGTTGATCGTCGATAAGACCGAAAAGGGATCAGCGGGACCCTGATTTATTATACGAGAAATCATTCTATGTAGTGCACCTTGGTGATGTTCGTCTAAACAGATAGCAGTGTTACACGGACTGTTGGTTAGTCGTAAGGCCCGTCATGTCTCCATTATGTCGATTGGGTGACGTGCTACGGAAACCATGTCTTGCTGCAGCCAAAGGCTCATCACGCATTAGAGCAGTTATCAGGGTTTATTATAACCTAGCTTTAAAGTCAGCCTCCCTAGCTCATATCAGCGAATCTCTAGCTCTTCCCCGACTTGACTTTGCAAGATCTCACTATGAGTATTACGCATCCGATGATGCTCGTCCGTCGTGCACCGCACATGGTTGCGCGGGTCTTAATCCCCATGCCGAGACTCCAACGGCCGCCGCAAGATCTACGACCTATTCGTGGTCAACACAGAGTTAAGACTTCCTTAAAATTCACCTGAGGACTCTGTATGACTATATCGACTACTTTATTATCGTGTAGGCACCTCTCACTTTTCAGGGTGGCCCCAAGAATCTTACGATCCATGACAGCTCGGATCATTTCGAAGCATGTCATGACAAGATAATATATCACCTACTGCAGTAACCAGAGGACTTCAAGACTTTACGTCACTGAGGCCGCGACGACTTGTAGCGCAACGCCATGTTCTAACAAGTCTTTCCCAAGCTGACCAGCGCACAAACTCCTATCCAAGGCGATGTTATTCTATTCGCTGATGTCGGCGAACTCCCATAGGCATCCCTCTTCTACATGATCTGGAAAAACTAACACTATCCAACGCTGACTGGCGCTGTAGCTCGTGCTTTTCGACGATGGATTAGTTCCTCTACAAGATGGCCAGCTTCTTGCACCCGTGAACAAACCACAAGTCCTTCCACAGTCGAGATTGGACTGCCAGTGCGACAAGGCAGGGTGTTGACTTGTGGGAGTGCAAGGTAAACACATCCACGCGAGTAGAGAACAATGTTGATCTGTCGAAGTGTCTGTTTGAAGACCGGGAGAGGCTTCGATATATATGGGTCCGAAGTGGTAAGACAGTATGGTTTACCGACTACCCATGAAGATGCTTCTATGATATAATGAGCGATGTTTGTGTGCAAATTGATCTTTCTCATGGGTTCTACGTTTCGTTCGTTAGGAAGGACAAGATACCCCTCGAGGTAAAAACTTGTTTCAATCTTCAAGTACCTTTGATGTCAAAGTGATCTCAGTCCCAGAGGCATCCCATTGGTGAATTTCTCAGAGTACTGGTATTCGTCGATGATTTAGTGGACTTTCGGTCCTCCCTTAGCAGTATATCCAAGAAGGAAGGAACTTGCCGGAGTAAGTGGCCCTGCGACGGCAACAACCTTCATCTCTACTTCCTACCTAGCTCATTTGCCAAAATGACGTTAAGTCAGGCACCCATATCGAGAATCCACCATTGGGCAACTTCTCTGCAACAACTCACAATCCAACAACATCAGCATTAACCTCAATCACCTTCTGAGCAGTCATAGGGTTGCAATTGCCAGCTGATTCAACTCCCATCTTATCAACGTCAATTCTCGACAGATGATCACTCAGTCATCTAGTCACGATGGCCTCAGTGTGGACTTCCAATGAGCATCCCCAAGAATGGGAATCAGGGGCTCAAAGGTCGTCCGGAACGTGAGCCGTGTGAGGGCTGTCCATTTGCAGAAAAGCCATCGTCTAGCGCAACATGTTCGATTCGCTCACAATCGTCGACAGCGCTCCAATAAGAAGGCCCAGTCCACCTTTTTCAAAACCTCGAATTCCAGTTCATTTCCGTTCAAGGAAGTAATAATTTGGACCCATTCCCACACGATAAACCATTTTCTCAATTATAATATTACTCCTCTGTCTGAGTATTGATACTTAGGCCAACTTCTACTTCCATTATATTGACTTAACCTCGCTTTTGAGCCGCTCAGTCGCGCGAAATGTCGAACCATTATCTTACCACGCCGTCTCCACTCCCGAACCGACAGCCCGCCGCTCCGCCTCCGTTCACCGCCGTCTCCGTCTGATCGGAGCTCCCGAAAGGTTGCTCACGAGGCACCGAGTGCAGCATGATCGCATCACAGTCGCTAGTTTCGCTTCAAAGACCAAAACCACATCCTTTTGGTGCCCCCATGCGCTAGCTCTCCAGCCGCGTTCTCCTAATTGGTATGGGCATTTCATAATGCGGCTTCCTTACCCATTAACTCGGATTCTTAGGAAGGGGACATGATTTGAGGGTCGAGAAACCCTCACACTTACAAGACTCGATCCGGAAGACAAAATCCCTCGAGAATGATTCACACCTATAGCCAGCAAGGGAAAGGACCCGTTTATCGGAAGCACTTGGCCGTTCAAGAAAACGATAGCACCCAGTCAGAAGTACCCACGATATCCTTCTCTGCTGCACCTCAGATCCTCACCAGTTCGTTCGCCCAGCCGGGGGCTGGATGCGGGCGGGTAGGCGATGCGATGCGTGATGCAAGGCGGGATTGACAGGGCGAGGTAGCCACTGCAAACTGGCGTGCGGCGCTTGTCAACTGCAGCGATGAGTTGGCCAACGCATCAAGTGGTCCGTGTGTAGCCTCCTTGGGTTTCCCTCAACATCCCCCTCCTCGCATATTCTTCTTGCCTCTTTTTTTTTCGAACTGCAAATTTCACTTATCCATCTTTTTACTGTTCGGAGATGCTAGATTCTTGTTTTTGTCTTATTTGGCGAGCTTTTCTCTGCCACAACCGGCCTTCTGGCTGTTAAGAATCGGTGTTGATAAGTATCCACACTCCGGCATCACCTGGACCTCCGCCTCGCGTTGACAACTCAACCCCCATGTCACCTGGGATGAGCAATTCTTTATAACAGATCAACATGCTCAAGATTCATTCAAATCTTATCGAGGCTACGCGTGGAACTCGCCGTTTCAAAGCAAAATTCTCAAACTTCGACCTGGATGTTGATATGGATCTGCTTTCCTAGTCTATCAGCCTTTACCTCTTTCCGCCAGCCGCCATGCTCAAAGCCTGAACAAACAATTTCATAACGACATAATCATTCAGTCATCAGCCGTTTCTAGTCAGCCGCTTGCAAATTACTTACACAAGCCATGACCGACAACTGCCCATGCTTCTCGCGATTAAAGTATGTTCCAGCCCAAAAATAACGTCCAAGAATCGTATCATCATCATTGTCAACTGCAACAGAAACAGCAACACAAACAAAATAGCCGCCGACAATGGTAACAGCGCCCAGTCCAAGTACATAATAACAGAAAAAGCAGTGAGAAACGGCAGGAGCCAGCCCTCGTGTACAAAATCAGCATCTTTCGACAAAGGACCACTCCTCTCTTTTGGCCAGTGGTTGATTTCTTTCCTTCATGCAAGCCTATGCTCCTTCAAACAACAAAGAGAAAAAAGTACCGCGGGATTCCGAAGGCCCTGGGTTGACATCTTGAAAACAACGAAGAAGTCTTCGGAATGACTGTAAAATCCGCTCATGGCTAACAGAAGTCTGGAAAAGTCATGAGCTCGTGAGAGAGGAATCTTATATATGTTTACCCTTGCTTCTTTCACTCGTTTTGCCACCAGATTGGCCGGTTGCTGTTTTTGACCCTGGGGACCTGAAATGCAGGCAAGCAAAGCTCTTGTCTGGCAGTTATTGGAACAACTAGCACAGACCAGAATGCCTTGTTTCCTTCCAGATCAGGGAGTCAGGAATAACATCCCCAGACAAACAAGTTACGGCCACCATCCCAGCGATAGTCGCGCTGATTATGGGCGCGTGGCATACTTCATTAGAAACTCGACTACAGCGTCAAGGTTTGTCTCTTCTTTCGCACTGATACCATAGCAGCACACCTCACGGCCTCGTATGCTCTTGAGGTCCAACTCATCAATCAACTCGTCCACCGAAAGCTTGTCCGGAAGATCGGACTTGTTCCCCAAAATAAGAAGTGGGATGCCCTCGAGTGACTTGCGACTCATTAGATCATGGAGCTCTTCCTTGGCTTGGGGGATCAGAGGGGTGTCGGCAATATCCACGATAAAGACAATGGCGCTCACACCCCGGCAGTATCTCTCCCACATGGTTCGAAACCGAGGCTGGCCGCCTATATCCCAGCATTTTAAGGTGACATGGCCGCGCTGTACCTTCTTCATATTGAAACCGACGGTTGGAATCGAGCTACACGACACCTGGAGTTAGTACTTGATGCTTCGACACGGATGGGACCGCTGGAGGGATGATAGTGATGTCGAGGAAATCTATGACCAGGGCCATTTTGGGAAGCGCTTACTCGAGGGTGAATTCGCCGCCCTAAAAACACAACAAAGTTAGCTACAAGCGGTCAAGCAGCAAGCGAGATGGCAGCACATACGGCGAGAACGCGCAATAACGAAGTCTTGCCAGCATTTTGCAAGCCCACCATTGTCACTTCCATTTCCATCGCCCTGCGAGCCATTAATCAGTACGTGAGGTAAGAGTATGCCGTAGCTATACAGCACGGCGGGTAACAAGATTCCGGTTGTTTTCTCAGGAAGCGGTGGATGATCACGGCTACTTACCAAAACATGCGCATCAACCAATTGTACACCCTTTGAAATAACCCTGCCATATTCACTATCGGGCAACAGAAAATACTGCTGAGGTTGCGGTACAGTCGAGTGAAGGTGGGGTGTTGACTGAATCAGAAGTCTGGCTTGGTCGGTTGTCGCAAAAACGAGCGGAAGAAAATATGTTATCTTTGAGTTGGTTTTCCTTGAAAGAAGGACGGGAAATATTCCGGTTTCGCGAAGGACAGCAGAAGATGCGGTGGGCGGGGTGCTTTATGAAGAGAACAGTTCTGGTCGGTGCTCAGATGCAGCAGATGCAGATGCAGGGTCGTAGACGAAGGTGATAGAACAGAGACGAATAGCAGGATGGCGGTTCAAGATGAAAAGCGACTTGTATGACAGTAGCAGGCGACGAGTAACATCTGCAACTACGAAGTTGTGCGCGCCTGCTTCTGGGCGTTTGAGGACTGCGTCTACGTCTAGGTCGGCGTCGGCGTCGGAGGCTGATGCGGATTCGGGCGGCGATGGAAATAGTGAAGGAGGAGAGGCTCGTGGTGCAACAACGGAGGAGCAGTACCTAGATTGGCACAGGTGACGCCTAGGCGGAGGCACAAAAATGCCCCACCTGGGACGAGATGACGGCCGAGACAGTCGAAGGAGACGCCAAAAAGGGTACCCAAAAAGACACCAGAGACCACCAGAGACCACCAGAGGGAGACCACCAACGGGCACGAGCCTCTGGCGCACTCAAGGGGGCAAGGAATGGGAGAGGTGGTGGGAACGACCCGTGCCTGGCGGCGCAAGTAGCGTAGCTTTAGCGCAGCTGCAGCGCCAAAGGAGCTCAGAGAGGTTACCAAGTTGGATAGATTAGATAATGTAGCCTGTGCCCGTATGTAGGTGCGCGAGTTGAAGTTGCAGGCGCTAAAACATGGACCTCAGCGCAAGTAAACGTGGGTACTTGGCATTTGCAAGAGCTGTCCGATACCTCTAATAGTGCTTGGGGTACAGAGTATCCGTACGGGGGGGCAGATACTGCCAAGCAGCAGAGCAAAAGAGAGCAAAACCAGCAGCTCAAGAGCTCCAGGCCGAAAAGCCTAAAGCTTTTGCAGGGGTGAGCAGTAGGCGAGAGCGCCAAAAGTAGTGATTGGAGACTTGGGAGACTTGAGAGCCGTCGCGGGGTGTTGTGACATTCCAATCTTCAATCACCTGGTCGCTCGTCCAGTCCAGAGGTGGTAGCGGTACGTACAGTCGCAGTCGCAGTCGCAGTAGCAGCAGCAGCAGCAGCAGTGTGGGTTAGGCGCTGCGGTGTTTCATTCGTTTGATCGGAGGAGAGCTTGTGTCTAGAGTGGAGCGATGATCGACCAGGGCACGCAGGGCTTAAGGACAGGACAGCCGACAGACAGTGTCGACGTCAGTGCTTTTAAACAGAGACAAGGGCTCTGAGGGCGCCTAACGTTAACGGTTGTTGTGAAGGAACTTCTAGGGTCCTTGTCGCTGGCAGCGCGGTTAGAGCCGTGAAGGTGAGATGGAACGACAGATTGTGGGTATCAATGTTTGAGATTGTCCTGACTGCCTGAGTCCCGTCGTCAATAATCGATCCTCTCTTTTCACGGTTACCTGCAGGGGCCGGTAAACAAACCGATCCGATGGGATGAGCGCAGACGTAGACGGTGATAACGTTGACGATCGATACCAGATCTAACATCTGGCCCCAAAAAGGACTCAACTGACCTTGTCTCGACTCCTGGTTACAGATCTTCTCAGCGGTGCAGTTTCCTCAGGATCGCACAAGTTCAAATACGGGGGCGGCGGTGGTGCTTCAATGTCGTGTTGCAATAACACATGCAAACAGAGGTAGGTAGTAGGTACTGCAGTCTGCCAGCCACAGCCAGCCATAAGCCAGGTGCTGATACTGTAGTAATATGGTGCAAGAAATCCCACGGACTTGCACTTTCACTGTGGGCGCTTTTATGACGAGAGTGACTTGTTTCTCTACCCGCCTTATCAAACCAGTGTTTTGAAGCAGTAAGACGAGATTTGTAGATATGAGGTGAGCTCTGTATCGGGAAGGCAGCTGGTCGAGTCGTGATATCCGATGACCTTGACGTTACCCCGACGTTTAGATGGTTCTATAGGCAAACGGTAAACCTGGAGGGGCAAAGGATGACCTTACAAATGGAAAAGGTGATATTTCTCTCCGAAAAGTGGTGTACGAAAGCGAGAGTGCCAGGTGCAGTGAAACTCCCATATTCCCCTTTACCTGTAGATCAAGTTATAAGAGCAGCCGAGGTCTCATGGGAGCAGTCCATCATCCACATCCCGGCTATGGCATGGTACCTGTAATGCAGGTTGGGCTGCAGTTGCTGCAACCTGGAGCAGCGGCTTTAAGAGCTGGGTGTCTAGCTCTTTTCATTCGTGTAGGTTGGGAGCTACCTGATTTCTTTGGGCTCGCTCTAGCTTCAATGTGGGTGGGATGTCTTGTTTCTCGTGGAGGTGGCGGCCAGGTCTTACTCTAGAGTTTCAATGTCTTACTTTTGAAGTTTATCTAGGTATTTATCTTTTTACATAGTGTCTGCTTGTTGCTATGGCATCTACTGTTTATAGGAGGACTAACATACGTAGTATATAGTAGTTGTTTAAACTCAACATCCGAATCTAAAGCCATCTTCTAGTCACCTCAAGTTCCTTTCATCAAGACAGACCTTAATCCAGCATTTAGCCTTAGCGAATGGCCCCCAACTTCAACTTACACAGTCAGCGTCGTACCTATTTCCCAGGCACCAGCTTTAGGCGTAAATGCTCTAGAAGCGGTGATTGGCAACACAAAGGGACCGGGTTTTGCTAAGCATGGATGCCTTGTGACTTGATAACTTGTAGATAATTCGTCATCATTCTCGTTTATTATCGCCTCGAGCTAGAAATCCTGAAACGATGTAGTATCTCTTCGACGCTGCATGTTCAGAGCCGTTGCATTGTCGACTTCCTTCTGTATCGTTGTTGAACAAGGACTCAAGTTCGCATCGTCATGACTCAATATGAGGGTAGCCGTGAAGGTTTAAGCATTTTTACTGCTTGGTCAATGTTGTACTCGAATTACTTTCCTAACATGAATAGAATTTCATTCCGCATTCCGTGATTCCTACTCTCCATTCGTCGACTAATAGAGAATACTCCACTTTCGCGATAAGAGTCCGATAAGAAAAAATAACAACCTCAACTTTTTTCCGGGAACTTTTTTTTTCTGCGCTGCGATAGCCTCTTTAATCCCATCGCAAGCGGCCTAGCTGACGAATGTCTACCGCTTCTCACTACTCACAGTGATAGGCAAGGTTTCGCGGACCTCTTTTTCCCTCTGCGATTGACTTACCTACTATTTATTTTGGACAAAGTGCTATTGCTCTGAAGAAAGCACACCGAGTCTTGCCATTCCTAAAACCTTCAGCTCGACCTCCCACCAGTCACCATGGCGCCCTCGGCCACCAAAACCGAGTGGGATCACCAGTTCGATACCCTCCGCCGAGAGGACCTCTTCCGAAACCCCCCCAAGGATCACAGTGCCTATCCCGCCCTTCAATTAGCCATCGATCCTCACCTTGAGTCCTTCAATGGTCTCTTTCGCGACGATGGCAAGCCAGGCCTACTGGCGCATGGCATAGCCGACATTGGCGGCAAAACATTCCTCGACGGCGACGACCGCGCCGCTTCAGACGGAAAGAACCGTCTATCCGTCCGATACAAGGATGTTTTTCTCCAGAAGCCTCAGGTTCCTCCTTCTAACAAGATGGCCCGGAACCGTCAGGTTTTCCCCGCCGAGTGCAGAGAGCGTCACGTAACATATCGAGGTAGACTTTCGGCTACCCTCGAGTTTCGCATCAATGGCGGCGACCCAGTTGAATTCACACGAGAGTTTGGCCAGGTTCCTGTCATGATCAAGGTTTGCATTCTGATCCCTACTGCAGGAGTCCTTTACTCACCATACCCAGTCAAACCGATGCCATCTCGAGAACAACTCACCTGCGCTTCTTGTTGAGCGGAAAGAAGAATCTGAGGAACTTGGAGGATACTTTATCGTGAACGGTATTGAGAAGATCATTCGAATGCTGCAGATGAATAAGCGAAACTTCCCCATGGCTATCAATCGACCAAGTTTCCAGAACCGTGGACCTGGTTACACACCCTACGGTATCATCCTTCGTGCAGTCCGTCCCGACGAGACTTCTCAAACCAACGTTCTTCACTACCTCAACGACGGTAACATGACCTTCCGTTTCTCGTGGCGTAAGAACGAATACCTTGTTCCCGTCATGATGATTCTTAAGGCTCTGGTTGAGACCAACGACCGCGAAATTTTCGAGGGACTGATTGGCCCCGCTGGTTCCAAGTCAGCCGGGAACACTTTCCTTACGGACCGAATCGAGCTGCTTCTGCGGACGTACAAGTCTTACGGCCTCTACAGCAAGTTGGACACAAGGGCATACCTGGGCGAGAAGTTCCGCGTTGTTCTCGGAGTGCCAGACACTATGACCAACCTGGAGGTTGGAACCGAGTTTCTGCGAAGAATTGTCTTGGTTCACCTTGGAAATGTCGATGTTACCGAGGACCAGGATAGGGAGAAATTCAAGCTGCTTCTCTTTATGATCCGAAAACTGTATGCGCTTGTCGCTGGAGACTGCGCGGTCGATAACCCTGATGCTGTTCAGAACCAGGAGATTTTGCTTGGTGGTTTCTTGTACGGTCAGATCCTCAAGGAAAGGCTCGACGAATTCCTTAGCGTTAACGTTCGAGCCTCCTTGCGAGACTATCTTCGAAGGAACCCTGGCGTTTCTTTCACATCTGAAGATTTCCGCAAAGAATTCCCCAACAATATTTTCCGCAAGGCCAACGAGAACCTCGGAAATGCCTTGGAGTATTTCCTGTCAACAGGTAACCTGCAAAGTGCATCAGGTCTTGATTTACAACAAACAGCTGGTTTCACTGTCGTGGCCGAGAAACTTAACTTCTTGCGTTTCATTAGTCATTTCCGCATGGTCCATCGAGGTGCCTTCTTTGCCCAGCTAAAGACAACAGCCGTACGAAAGCTGCTTCCGGAGTCTTGGGGATTCATGTGCCCCGTCCATACACCTGATGGTGCCCCTTGTGGTCTCCTAAACCATCTGGCGCACAAGTGCAAAATTATGACTGACTACGTTGATGTGTCCCACATTGCCACGCTTGCTGCGGAGCTCGGAGTCGTTGATGTATCCTCAGCCTCGACCGAGGAAAACGTTGTTGTTATGCTCGACGGCAAGGTTCTTGGTTTCTGTACCCCCAAGGAGTCTGTCAGAATTGCAGACTGCTTCAGATACTGGAAGGTTGAGGGCACCCACGGAGTTCCTCTACAGCTGGAAATTGGTTATGTTCCTCCATCCAAGGGTGGTTCTTACCCTGGTGTGTACATGACATCAACGCCCGCAAGAATGGTGCGCCCTGTGAAATATCTTCCTCTCCAGAAGGAGGATTGGGTCGGTCCTTACGAGCAGCCTTATATGTCCATCGCTGTGGTGCCCCAGGAGGTGGAGTCCGGCAAATCAACCCACGTCGAGTTCGACCCAACCAACATACTTTCGATTCTCGCCAATATGACCCCCTTCTCCGACTTCAACCAGTCTCCCCGTAACATGTACCAGTGTCAGATGGGTAAGCAAACCATGGGAACTCCTGGCACTGCTATCCGATACCGAACCGACAACAAGTCATACCGTATACAAACCGGTCAAACTCCTATTGTCCGAGCACCCCTTCACAACACCTATGGATTCGACAACTTCCCCAACGGCATGAACGCAGTTGTAGCTGTCATCTCATATACCGGATACGACATGGACGACGCTATGATCCTGAACAAGAGTGCACACGAGCGAGGTTTTGGTCACGGCACCATCTACAAGACGAAGAAGATTTCACTCAAGGACGACTCCCGAACGAAGGCTACCAAGAGTGTTACTAAGGCTTTTGGATTCGCGCCGCACAGTTACGTGAGTGCCCAGTACCAGGGCATGCTGGATGACGATGGTCTGCCGCATGTCGGTCGCCTGATACAAGAGGGCGACGTCATTTGCGCATGGCACACCGTGACTCCCGACTATAATGGCAAATTAGTGAACCTCGACGGCATCACCCATTACGAGAAGTACAAGGACGGAGAGAATGGCTTTGTTGAAGAGGTCCGCCTGATCGGAGCCGAGTCTGGCAACGAGCCCCTGCAGACAATCTCCGTCAAGTTCCGTGTTCCTCGATCACCCATTATCGGTGACAAGTTCTCGTCTCGTCACGGACAGAAGGGTGTTGCATCACAGAAGTGGCCCACGATGGATTTGCCATTCTCCGAGACCGGCATCTCTCCTGATATTATTATTAACCCCCACGCTTTCCCTTCTCGTATGACGATAGGCATGTTTGTGGAGTCGCTAGCAGGCAAGGCTGGTGCGCTGCATGGCCTTGCGCAAGACTCGACGCCGTTCAAGTTTGACGAAGAGAACACGGCAGGAAATTACTTTGGCCACCAGCTGATGAAGGCCGGATACAACTACCACGGCAATGAGCCCATGTACTCTGGCATTACTGGGGAGGAGCTCGCAGCTGACATCTACATCGGAGTTGTTTACTACCAGCGACTGCGACACATGGTGAACGATAAGTACCAGGTGCGAACCACAGGTCCTGTCGTTCCTACGACTGGTCAGCCTATCAAGGGCCGAAAGAGAGGTGGTGGTATTCGTGTGGGAGAGATGGAGCGCGATGCTCTGCTGGCGCACGGAACTGCCTTCTTGCTCCAGGATCGATTGCTCAACTGTTCTGATTACTCCAAATCTTGGATCTGCCGCCGATGTGGTTCCTTCCTCTCTGTGCAGCCCACAGTGTCACAGTTCGCACCGGGCAAGAAGAAGGCCGCGAGCATTGTGCGATGCCGCGCATGTGCGGTCAAGTTGGATGATTCGGAGGGCATCGACCTTACCGAGATCCAGGGTGAGATTTGGGAGGACGGTCACGGTAACTCGTGGGTTGGCGGTGACCACACTACGCAGGTTGTTGTGCCTGGTGCGCTCAAGTATCTCGACGTGGAGCTTGCAGCGATGGGTGTCAAGCTCAAGTACCGCGTGGACCGTGGCGATGAGCCTCGAAAGGGTCCGATGAGACCTATGGCATTGGATGGCGTTCGGGTTGGAAAATAGATGGATATACTGTGCGTATTTAATTGTTTTGTGTTGCTGGAGCTGTTTTATCTGGCGGTGGCCTTTTGTACGTTCACGACGGTGCAGCATGTTAATATGACCACGACTTTACAACACTGACTGAGTTTCTTTGAGGTGTTTTATGATTTCTTATGTATGCTTGTGTTGAACGTGATATTATCAGATATTGGAACCTTATGCTCGGCAGTCAACGGTTGGCAAAGCTCCCTCACCGACTCTCTCCATTTCTATACGTGTACCAGACCATTAGCATACAAAACTATCTGCCATTCGGTTCCTCCTATTCCGCTCCTTGACTTCTCTGCTTGATAAGCAGATGACACGCTATGACGGCGGCGACACGCAGATAACCACGACACCGCATCACCACGGCACCTCAGCACCGGACCTGTCCGAGCAAACGGAGCATGGAACGTGGACAGTCGAGCGCAAGGGGAGACAAGAAGGAGTTTCTTGTATCTTGGCAGGGAAACCAAGTGATACAAACGTGTAGGGCGACTGCGAGTAGCCGAGACGACGGACGAATGGCAGCTAAGAATCGAGCTGTTGTTGGAAGATGAAGGAGCGGTTGTGATTGAAAAGGGGGGAGAATGTAACAAGCCGGTTTGTGACTCCATCCATGAGATATGGAGTATGTTTACGTTGGCATTGACGTTTACGTTGACTTTGATGTTGCTGTTTCGTCGACTGGGGGCGCACACAACAACGTGGACGTAATGGGAGTGTTGCTTTTATATCACTGTCATCATCTGTGTTTCTTTTTCGTTTAGTTTCCCTCTTTTCGAGGTTATATCATAAAGATACCAATACCAGTACCAATTTTGCTTCTATTGCCTAGGTAGGTACCTATTTGAGCCTCAAGTCCTGTTACCTGTCTATTTATGCTGGCTATACCATCGACTGCACCTTCCACTTTCCTCGAGCAATAGTACACTGACCAGCACAGTACCTTCCTGAGAAGCAGCATATCATACCTAGGTACCTACCTACTTTACAAATTCTGCTTAACTCAGCATTCGACCCTATCTTCCTTCAACCTTCAACCTTCAATCAACTATGCATCTCCTCATCGCCTGGCTACTCATCGCTGTCGCCGTTGCGGCACAGAGTTATAACTACGGCGTTGATACCGACTCACTCGCCCGCAGACAAGACAGCAACTCTCGAATCGTCGTGAAGCCGCTTCCACAAACTCGCAATGGCACTATACCCCTGAGACCAGAGATTCGAGAGATGAAGGCCGATCGGTTCAAATGGGACTTGTATATTCTCTCCATGAGCATGTTCCAGGATGTCAGTCAGGATGACCCTGCTTCGTGGTACCAGATCGCTGGTATGTTGCACTGTCTCGGATAGAACATTGAGGTCTGATCCATACTGACGCTATGCCCGTTTTTTCAGGGATACATGGGGTCCCATTCGAATCATGGAATGGTGTTGAGGCAGCCCCAGGGGCAAATCAGTCTGGTTATTGTACACACAGCTCTGTCCTTTTTCCAATGTGGCACAGACCGTATCTGGTTCTTTTCGAGGCATGCAGCTCAGAATAGCATGTTTTACTTGTACTGACTAGAGCAAATAGCAAGAACTATATCGAATGGCCAACGTCATTGCCGGTATGTTTCCTAACGGGACCGATCGGCAATCATATCTCGACGCTGCACGCGACTTTCGAATGCCATATTGGGACTGGGCAACGGCATCTCCTGCAGGAGAGTCCTTCTTTCCGGACGTCTTTTGGAACGCTACTATCTCTCAGAATGGTCCTCAAGGAGTCCAAGTGATCCACAACCCTCTTTACTCCTACAAGTTCCATCCCAAGAACGCAACCGCGCTCATATGGACTCCAGTGAGTACTCATAAGTTTGATAGATTATGATATTAACAGTAAAATAGTTGAGGGACTGGGGAGAGACAAAAAGAGCCCCTAATTCATCCGTAAGTAGTCCCGAACCTACTTCTGATAACGAAGAGGTCAACGCGGTGCTTCTTTCAAAGTTGCCTCAGGTCCGGCAGCGTCTTATGATACTCTTTTCCAGCTACAAGGACTTCAATAGCTTCGGAAATAAGGCCTGGGCTGTGAGCCAGAATCTTTCTGCACTAGATTCCATCGAATCTGTTCACGACATTGTTCATATTTACGGTGGACTTCGGGGACATATGACATACGTTCCTTTGTCTGCATTCGATCCGCTCTTCCTACTCCACCATACTATGACGGATCGTCTCGTTGCAATATGGCAGGCACTAAATCCAGACTCGTGGTTGCTTCCGATGGCAGCGGGCGAGAACAGTTTTACCACTCTCAAAGGCGAGATTCAAGACCCCCAGTCACCATTAACTCCATTTCTCGCCTCCGAGGATGGCACATTCTGGACCTCCGACACGTCAAGAGCAACAGAGGCCTTCGGCTACGCTTACAACGATACGGATTTGACAGGAAAGCAGAAGGAAGATCTGCGCCAAGAGTTGACCAGGAAGGTAACTCAGTGGTGGGGAACTCCAAATATAATCACTCTGCAATCGAACTCGGGTATCATGTTAAGTGACGAAAGTAGTACCGCGAGATACTATACCGAATGGATCGCCAACATCCGGGTAATGGTGGAGGCTTTGGATGGTAGATTTGCCATACACTTTTTCCTAGGGGATCCCTCAAGTAACTGGGAGGAGTGGGACAGGGACGATGGTAGCGACAACAACAGCCATATTGGTACAGTTGCGATCTTTGCAATGAACCGAAATTCCGGATCGGATACAATGATTTCAGGAACATTACCCTTGACGTCTGCGCTGATACAAAGGGGCATTGAGCCTGAGGATGCCGAGTCCTACCTTCGAGAGCAACTACAATTCCGAGTGCTAGGAAGTGAAGAGGTTGACCCGAGCGAAGTTGCCGGATTATATATAGATGTCAGCTGTTCAGATGTCAAAATAGAGGCGGACAGCGATAAACCAGAATGGGGGGAATTAGTATCGAGGATGATTTTATGGAGTTGAGTACAATGTTAGCTTAAGTAAGATAGCCAAGTTGGTATTATTCTTCTGTTACGCTTTGTCATACAATGTTCCATCTGGGATCAATAGATCTGACCGTGAGGTTTTACAAAGACTTTAATTTCTATAAAATCTTTTGTCATGTGCAATAGCGATTGAGGACAAATTCAATAATCTCAGACAGATCGTTCATTACCATACCTCATCCAAGACAAAAACCACGACACCAAAAGCCAGGGTCGTTGGTCGTTGCACACTTGTCTCGGCCCTGTTTCACAAGTATTGGCGCATTCATTGGTACATACAGGACTAGCTCATTAGTAGTGCCGAGGTTGATTCGGAGTTGACGAACTGCAATCCTATTATGGAATGAATGTTTGACGGTTGTAGTTGGGGTTGTAGTTGGGGTTGGGGCTGATTGGTGGCACAACCGTAACTAGCAACAATATATGCATGATATTAACATATAATCATCGTCATCTCGCAATTGCCCTCGGTATCTGGATCGACTTTCTTTTCTCCTTTACAACTGAAAGCATCGTAGACATGGCTGACTCCAAGATCCCATCGGTTCCTCCGCCCTGGACTCTCAAAGGCGACATCTACGCCTTTGTCTTCTGGACGCCCCGCGCACAGGTCAAAGATGGCCTTCCCAACATGGCATACTCACCTCTAGAAGGGAAGTCCAGCTTCGCCACGGACACGAAAGCCCTTGGAGGTCTAAGCATGTCCCAGATTATTCGCTATACGGACTCACCGGTAGGGCCCTACGATGAGCTTGTCTTTGCGCCTGGGAGCTTTGGCTACGAGAGGGATGATGAGGATGGAAGGCGAGTGAAGGAGAAGGGTGTCAAGATCACGAGGATTTATGTCTCGCAAAGAGATACGTGCTATAACGGGAGGAAAAGTACGTACCATGTTTTACTCACTCCAAGTGCCTTCATCTACTAACTGAGTCAAAAGACTGGAACGTCCCTAAGCATCTCGCCAAGTTCATCTGGTCTAACCACTCAGACGGTTCTACAACCGTAAAAGTATATCCCCATGATACATTACCCAGTCCCACAGGCTCGGCCTCATCAGAATCAGCCTCTCCAGATCCCAAGCCTTTCTTCCAAGCAACATTCAAGCCCGTTCCATACACCCCCTCCTTTCCATTCCGAACTTCATGGCTCAACTATCTTGGCTACAAAACCACTCTCGTCTTCCCTCCTCTGCCTGAAGGTTCTGGAAGTCAAGGGGAGCTTATCGGTACTGATCACTGGTGCTCTGTCGTTCCTGAGCAGTCCACCTCCAAGTGCATGCTGGGCTGGTTTGATGTCGAGCAGCATCGTGATGAAGATGGGAAGCCGACGGGTGCCTTTGAGAATTTCTGGCCTGGTTGGTCAAAATGGCAGATGGGAATAAAAATGGAAGACTCCATTATTGAGTTTGGTAATCCAAAGACTTGGGAACCATGCAGGACAAGACTATGAAATCATCAGGGCCTTTTGTCTTGATAACATCCACAAATGAACAAATACCAGGCACATTGTGATCGTCAGAATACATCTTCTCGAGACCTATCAGGAATCTGGGCTAGCAGAGAGTTATACGGGTACTATACTATGCAAGTAAGCAAATGATGTTTACCAAAACTCCTTCAACTCCAGCGCGCGCCAGGAAACAATAGAAGAATCTGGACCCAATCTCCCAACCGACAGGTTACCTCTGATGGCTCTCCATATCCGTATAAGAACCCCAGTCTACGCAAAAACATGACTTCCCTGAGCAACGCAGAGCTCGCGTTTTGGATCCGACCGTCGAGTCATCAAACATGTCCAATGCAGTCGTACAACAGGTTCTCTCGTCGAGCTAGCCCTAGGCACGCTCTACGATATTCCCACCACCTCCTCCCTTGGATCTCACCCTGAATGGCGAGTCCTTCCACGGCTGTGCACGCTTAGGACACCAGTGCGGCCAAATCAAATCTTCTATCGAGTAGTTGATTCCGAGACTTTGTAGCGATGTATAAAACAGAAACTACTTGTCTCTTTTCAAACTGCACTGCAAATGTTTCACATTTGCTGCCAAGCGTACTTAGTTGCCGTGCTGGTTCAGACAGGCTTGAATCGCCCAATGAGGGCACGTGTTCGGTGTTTATCGATCATAAACATCAGCAACCATGCAAGGCGAAAACTTGCCTGGCATGCACTGCGAGTTTATTCATTCAGTGGCTCCAGTTCCTGCCTGCTTAGCCACCACCTCTCTGGCATAAAACTCAACTAGCATGGTCGCATATGCTTCCAGGTCTTCCACTGGAACCATGAGTCGAAAGTCGTTGAGAAGAAGGAATTGGAGCTCGAGGTGGTTTAGTTCAACCAGTGGCAAACCGCCAACCTATTGTATCATTAATATTCTCTTTCATCAGATGAGGCTTTATGAAGCGTGAATATGTACCTTGGCATATCTCGAGTTTGTATAAAAAACGTCTGAAAAAAACTTGCTTGCACACGTCACCCCAGAAATGATAAGACGGTGAATGTTGAAGCTATCGACAACAAAGTATGTCGCAGCTGCAATGCCAGCATGTTCGGTAGGGGTACTGGCCCCTTTGTTGCTAACTGGACGACTGGGTCGAGCAGTGTCACCCATTTCCTCGTCATCATCGTCTGCGAGATCCGAGTCGCTCTCATCTGTATCCATGCCTTCGCCGCGCATGGGAGCATCTTGGGCAGAAGTTGCGTTCGGCCGCTGCGACTGCGTCTGCTTACGAGCTTCCTCGTTCTTCGTAACCATATCATTGACACGTTCTGTCATGCGGTCGAAGTATACCAGCAGGCTGAGAAATACCTCATAAGTAGTGGGGCAATATTTGTGTATCCTCGACAGGTAGCTTAGAATGGTAATGGCGGGGACGTTTTTGCCATGAAAGGCGAGAACAGAGTGATTCAAGGACGATATTGAGCTCCCACTGGTATCGCCAGATTGGTTGGCCTGCTGTTGATGAGCGACATTGCGCTGCATCGCATCGTGTTGTAAGTCGTTGGTGGTGGTGATCTTAGTTAGAAGTGCAGCGACCATTTCGATGATATCCCCTATGGGCATGCCGCTAATTTCATATTTCATCTGCTGAAGGGGCGGGTCGTTGAGAATGCCAGGCCCGTCATTGCCAGAGAGTAAGTCAGCGCTAGCCAGACTCTGAATGTGTGCTAGATCGCGAATATGTATGACAGTCTGCTCTGATGGCTGCGGCGCTGCCCTGGGGAGAGAATAAGACTGGTCGGATATTTGAAAATCATCAGACGCCGGAGATGGTTGCTGAGCAGTAGAGTTATGAGAAGTAGAGCCGGGCCGCGAAGCGTGTCCTAGGGGACCAGAGTCCCTCGCGTCAGATGCCATAGACGAGCTCTTTGCATCATCAGTATAAGCAGGGCCTGTGGCAGCAGCTGGCGATGAGGACGGAGGCGGGGAGGGGAAGCGCGAGGCTCCGCCAGTGGCCGACACGTGGGCAGTTTCGTGACCCGCAGGCACAGAAGTAGGATTAGACTCTGAAGTCGATGCAGGTGCTGTCGCAGTCGCAGATGACCACGTTGTAGGGGCGAGATCTGCTGTACGTTGAGCTCGCGGAGTGGTGGAGCGTCGTGATCGGCTACCAGATCGATAGGATGAAGAGTCGTGTGAATGGTGATGTTGAAGGGAGGGGTTGGCAATCATGGTATGAGGATATGAGGTTTCTGAAACGAAGTCGCCAATCACAGCAGCCATAACATCGCTATCGTGCGGTAACGTGAAGGCAAGGGTGTAAGTATTAAGATAAACGGAGGGGTATCGTGTGTTGTCGCTGGGCTCGCAAAGAGTTAAGGAATATCGTAAGCGGCGAATAGACTGCGGGACAAGACAAAAACAAATTATTAGTCGTCAAGATCACAGGTAACAATATCGCAGATGATTTATATCGCTTGGCAGGGGATGTGAGGTGTAGAAATGGTCGAGGCAAGGCAAATGGAGACAATGACGATGTTAATAGCCAAGACAAGTTGAGGAAATCGAAAAGAATCAAGCAAATGGAGGGGACAGAGTAGAGGAGGGGAGAGGATCGGGCCGGTGGGGACGCCTAACAACCTGGGCCAGAACCAGGACAAGCCCCGAAAGATGCTGGAGACTTTGGAGGCTGAGGGAGCAATCACTGGAGCCAAATGAGGGGAGTCGATGTCAGCCTGACTGACTAGCAACTGGCGTTGTCCAGTGGGTGCCCAGGCGTTCAACAGGCTGCTAACGAGTGGTCCCCCCAGTGCAGCAGAGCAAAACACTCGCCCCTCATCAGCCCTCGTGGGTGAGCCAGCGGGTACGGTGCGGTGGTCTGGTTTGCACCGATTCATTCTCCCCGACAAAATATCGGAACCGACTCAGTGGTGTATCTCTTTGGCCTGATTGGTGTTTCCTCTTGCACGAAGTCGGGGTGTTGAGTTTTTGTTTTTTTTTTGCTCTTCTTTGCTTGACATCTTTTTTTATTCTCTGTTGCTTGAGAATGTTCCAGTGCGGTCTCAGTTCTTCGACTTTGTCTCTAGAATCCATCAACAGAGAGGAATTCATTCTGGTTGAGTGGGGCGCGATGTCATTTGTCGTCGATCATCTGCTGTCAAGAGGAGGCGTAAAAGTGTCTTGCTCAATGGCTTTTCGTCATTGGAGATAGGAAACACGATTTACGCATGTGCACGGTAAAGCAACTTCATTAAGCATCGATGGATAACTTAATGGCAAGAACGCCCCAAGACGAATATAACGTTGCCACAACAGATGCCGTCGAAACGCGCGAACCGATATGTTGCGCAATACCCGTATGTTGAGCATGGCAGGTAGAGTGGCGTTGTAAATTCGCATCCGTCCCAGTCAGAGCACAGGCCGGCGACGTCACCAACCCTGCCAGCGCATGTGCATCCATCTGAACTCGAGGCTTTATTGGTGGCTGACTCGGTCCCTGAGTTCATCACCAGCCGCCAACCGCCCCGAGCAACACTCGAAAGCTTGTGACGACTTTCCTTCCTTTGGCTGGCTGGTTTCACTTGGGTTTCGCAACCTAATACGGCGTCTGTGTGTTGAATGGTGACAGTGTACCATACTAGAGGGAAGGATAGGAATAAGGCAAACGTGAAGTGAGGCACATGAAACATACAAAGTGAAGCAAACATATAGAGCACTTACCAAGACTATGCAGATAAGAGTTAGGTTCCTTGGAACTAGGCAAAGCCAGTCGAAGATAAGAGGAACCGTAATGATGTAAAGGGAAGGGGGTTATGAGACGAGATAATACAATTAGTGGCGAAGTAGAACCGATATAAATATACTGAACAGAGCCTCTTCGAATTTGTAGTAGGTCGAGGTCAAGTTAAAGATGGCAGCCATCAACAGAGAGGAAACAATTGGCTGTCTTAGGTAATGTTAAAGCGTGATCGCAAGCCTAAAGATTACGGTGACAGGATAAGGGTCTTTCCGGCGAGGGGCGCGGCCAGCGGAGCGGAGCGCAGTGGGTAAGATAAGTCGATAGATTCCTCCGATCAACACTTCCGAAAAGAAATGGCACGAGATCGGCTGCTATTTGGAGAAGTGTAGAAGCTGAATGTAAGTCTGATGCCACTAGGATATAGCGGGCGGTATCGAGGTCGAAAAGTCCGGGTCCAGTGAAGAGACACGCAAGCGAGCGCCTGAAGTTTCGACAAAACACAGCTACAGAATCTTGCTTGATGAACCCCAGTTGAGTCAGGGATAAGTACGGTAGCGAATCGAATGACACGGCTTGGGAGATGTTCTGGCTCGGTCGACCAAAATAGCTTGGGTCGACAGGCTTTGACACTCGTATGGCCCGTTCGCTGGGACTGGTCTGGATCTAAATCTAGCGTAGGGGTCTCACGGGTCTCTCCAGGTCAGGCGAGTGGCCTGCAGGTAGTCGATAGTGGCTCGAGCTCTTGAGGGTGGAGTTGGAGATGGAGACAAGTTGATCAACGACTATTAGTGAATAGTTGTCCACGTTTTTCAGGGTCTTTGTACGTAAAGCTTAGAGAGCTGTTGAGTATAAAAAGAAGGAAAGGGAAAGAAGATCAAACAACGTGGGGATTTTGATGTGCGCAGTTGGTGGAGAAGTGAAAAGGAGGTAGGTTATTTTAATATTTCTTGGGCAAGGCGAGCAGGACGCAGGATCCGGGTGTTTCTTGCCCGTCTTGGTTGCTTGTGGTTTGCTCTGTCCAACCTGGGAACATTTCTGCTTCCTTGTTTAAATCGCGCCTTCCCGGACACATGCTAGCTATATGTAGATCAGGGGCTCTGGCAATGGGCAATGGGCAACTAGAAAAATTAGGTACATGCAGGCTCAAGGAGGGATTTATTCTACGTCACAATGGTACCTATTGTATGCTGTACGGTGTACCTATCTCTCTCGCTTGGTGTTTATAAGAGTACTGTGTACATATTGTCTTCACATTGATTCTTCTATTCATAAGAACGCACCAGAGCCAAGGGTCGTTGCACGTGGGTACGTCACTAACTCTTCAAGAACTGTCAATGGGTTGTGTGATAATCCCAACAGATATAGTTAAAGTCTGCGTGTGAATGGCAGGCGGACAATACTACAGACAGCTGAAGCTTGTTGTCAAAATCATGATAGCCGCACTCGTATTGTTGATTTGTAAGCTCTTGTTGTTGGAGCTCAACTCGGTAGTATATCTCAAAGTTCAAGTCTATGCTAGGAAGTTAAGGTTATTAGCTCTATTGGAGGAAGTCGAGGAATTGTAATAAGGAGAATTTTTTGTACGGACTTCCGTCTCCGTCACACGAATAGCTCTCTTACTCGAGACTCCTCAAATCTCTTCGAATACTGTTGAAAACATAGCGTATATGTGCTTGCTCTCTGCAGCAGGTTACCTTTCTGATACAACTAATTACACTGCATCATTTAACTCGGTAATCGGGAAGTTGTTAACCGAAGTAACGTATCAACATATTCCAGGCCATTGATAAGCTCTTACACAGTGAGTGGACAACAGATATGATGAATACCGGTTACCTGCAGGTTGCTCGTTTCAACTACACAACTCACCAACACAACAAAACTCGACTATCGCTCCAGCTGCAATACACACAAAACTCATGGTTTATCAATATCCTCTTAAGTCTCTTCTCTAGATCTCCTACTCCTTATGCAAGAGTATTTCCAAAGGTGAAACTCGCTCACGAGTCTCTGCGGCTTTTTTCTTCAGTAGAAGCGTCCCACCAAGTAGTCTGTACAATATGCCACCGGTATGGGGTGCAACCTCTTTAGGGAAGTAGATTCACGATTGCGTCTTATTATGCAGGGCTTAAAACACTCAATGCAGTAGCGATCTTTTCTCCATTTAACATGTACACACGTGCCCCTTCTTCATCAAACGATGTCTTTCTTTATTACTGGGAGCTTTGGTTTGGAATTATGAGATACTACAAAGCTTCACCGCCGTCAGACATATATATATATAATGCATGCTCAAAGCTGAGTATCTACAACCAAGCACGGATACATTAGTGAGTTTTCAACCACACAGCATTTGTTCAGCGAGCACATGGCATCCGCTGGTTTGTCTCAACTCTCGAACCCTGCATCACCAGGTACCTCTTCAGTCGCGTGAGCCTCTCATTTGTCGTTCAGAGTCCACTCTCCTGCAAGTCTTGTTACACCATTTTGATCATCATTCCAAGCCTCATTCTAGAAGAGCGGTGAACCCTTGACAATCTAGATAGCCGACACCACTCAGGCGCTTTCTAGGTTCCAAGAGCGATTCCTTTGAATTGTTTCGCATTGATATATCGGACTTGATTCACGTGCCCACAGCTAGCGATCACATTCGCATTATCAATCTCAACCGGATATGCTTTTCATCAACTACGACCTGTCTCATATTCCGATTATTCATACCCTAGGTTGCTGGTTCTTTGCTTGGTGAGACCAGCAAATATCTTATTTTCTTGATCCCATTATCTAGTGTACAGCGCCGAGTGATGTCTAACTTCTTGCATCTACCATTGGTTGTTCTTTGAAGAGTCTGGCCATACTCTCTTCGTAACCTAATCTCGACATCCGTCATGGGCGTCTTTGGAAAATCCTTCCCTCATTTAATGTCCACTATCATGACGGTTTTCGCAGTAGCACTGGCTAGATCGTTTGTCCCCTTTCCTTGCTTTGTCCTGTCAACCAAGGACCATTACTCGTGCCGCACCTTGTAGTCGGTATCGGGGAGATACAAGTGTCGGTCCGCTCCGTCCTTGGTGAGAACAACCATGCGAATAACACCACCAGAGCTACCATCCCACTTGATGGCCTCTCTCAAGGCTCCCTTGACGAAGTTGACGGCATCAGCCTTCTCCATACCCTCCTCCCAGTTGTCATCACAGTAACCGTAGATGTAAGTCGATCCAGAACCACCAATAGCATATGCTTGCTTGTGAAGAGAACCGCCCAGAGGAATGGAGTAAACTTGGCCGCCGAATCGCTCATCCCAGCCAGCAATGATCAGACCGGCACTGTGAACAGATGTTAGTGTCTAGATACTATGTATGTGATAGAATTGGGATATATCATGACATACGACAGGCGGTCTTTGTTGGCGTAGCAAATCTCCTGGAAGATGGATGCAGCGGTTTGTGTCATGGGGGGCTTTCCATTTGTCATAGCGAATAGTCCAAGCTGGTATTGGACAATGTCGGCAACAGCTTGGGTGTCGGCAGCTGAGCCAGATCGGCAGCACCAGATGGTGTCGTGTACTTGGGTCAACTTGTCTGTAACTCGGTTTGCGATGTAGGAACCAGTTGTTGTTCGCGAATCGGCTCCTGAAAGATAACGGTTACTAAAAGACTCCTAGCTGGAGGCCAAAATCCTTACCCAGAATGACACCGTCCTTGAATGTAACCGCCATGCTAGCAATAGAGTTAGGCTATGTCGTTTGCATCATTATGGAGGCACATACATCGAAGTTCCCAGGCTTTAAACAAGTTAGTAAGTTGCTTGATACGATAGCAGATCTTTGCAGTACTCACTTGACCTCTCCCTTCTTGAGGCGGTCCATGTCCACGTGGATACCATCTAGCGATATCTGTAAGCTCCCATATCGACAAGGCCAAGCTATGACGAAAGAGTTCCCAACGCACCCTCATTCAAGACTCCAGCGTTTCCAAACTCCATTATGTCGATTTTTCGGTAATTTGTTCGAAAGCGTAAGGAAGTGATTGATCGGTTGATTCGGAGTCGGGCGTCGTAAATGCTTCGTGGTCGTTGCTCGTTGCTCGGGGAAGGCTACAGCTCCAATGAAGCTCAAGGCAGCTCTGAACGCGCAGCCGCGCCACGGCCAGCTTCTGTGTCATGTGACTACACACGTGACCCATCATATCGTATCGCTTCTAAATTATAGACTCTACTACAACAATGTTTTTAAATTCTAGTTGATAATGTTATCATTGGGTAGGTATGCATTCACCTTGTGAATGTTCTCACTGCAAGAACTTTTCCGTCACTCAATAGTTGTCTGGTGGAATGAGGAGTGTTTCCAAGAAATCGGGTATGCCAAGCATGAACAGGCTGATCCAGCCAAAACCAGCACATGCTGGCTTCTCCTCAGTTTATAATTACTCGTACATATATAGTTATGTAAAAAAACGCTTTAATCCTTGTGTAGCTCCTGGTCAGGTTCCTCGCCCTTGACACTCTCTACAGCCGCTGTGCCCTCCTTCTTGTCCTTATCACCACAGCCGCAGTCGTAAAAATCGCCAATATTCTCGCAGTCAAATTGAGGTTTATGAAGCTTTTCATTAACAATGTTGTGGGCAAAACATAGCCATCCAGCGGCTGCGTTGCGACTGCTCGTTTGAGGAGGGTATTGGGCGAGCAGCTTCTGGAAATGCGCCGCGCACTGGCCGCAAGGGTAGAGTCGGGCGAAAAGGTGCATGAAAGTTTCGAGAGCCATGCGATCGTCCTTTGTCGGCTTGTCGGGGAATCGTGCCATCATCGTGTGGAGGAACTTCCACGTCGCGTGGCCGAGCTCAGCCCTAGTGAAGGTGGTGTTAGTGGCACGTTGCGACAGTTAGAAAGTTAATCGAAACATACTTCAACGTCGCGTTCTCGAGCTTGGGCGCAATAGAGTTACCACCGAGAAGTCCCTCAGGCAAAGCGCCGAGGTCAGCGGCGAACTCTGATCGAGGGGCTTCCTTCAGGGGCAGTTCAACATTGCTCTGGAACTTAGGAAGAAGAACATTGCGCGAGGGTCCGGAGAAGAAATAGGACAAGGTGAAGAAGGCCCCGAGGACCAAAATGAAGGTCAGCGTCAAATGCTGTCGACGAGCCATGGTTTAGGATTGCGAGGTAAGGAGTGAGATGGAGGTCAATCCTCCGTTTGGGGTTGTTGGTTCATGATAGAGTAGATAAATTCCAGTGAACCTGGCTATCGAACGAGCTCCTTCATACTCTAGCCAATTACAGCAGGAGACCCTGGTTATCTTGACACAGTGGGGACCATTCTATTCAGGCAAATGAGGCGCCAAAGATGGAACCTAAATAAAGTGGCATGAGTGGCTTCTGGTGGGGCCGGCCGACGCCGCCGGATCGGTCGCCCGTTTTGGTGGGTCACCGGCGCAACAACCACATGTTCAAGTAGGTATTTGACGTTTCAAATTATAGAAATGTGTAAATGGTTTCCAAACTTCAACATAAGGTCATATTGTTATTATATATACAATGTAAGTCGGGCATAAGTAGGCGACTCTATCCCCATTGTCGTCTACACTTAACTACCGATTCCAATTATCGAACGTCTGCTCAGGTTAGCATGGATTGCGTTGATTGTGTGTTTGAAACCAGATCTGAATCCAACTCAAAACCATCGCACTGGTTGTTTGCCGGTGAGAATTCAAATACATATAGTTTTTCCATAGTAACAACAACGATATATGTAATCACTTAGCATTAGTAAATGCTCATACAGGCCTCCATACTACGCATTGTGTATACTACATAGCTACCCTATACACTCAACCTGACTTAAGTACACGACGACAAGCTCATCAAAACATCATACAACGGTTTTGTGGTTTTATTCTCTCATGTACTTGAAACTAATTAGACACCAAGTAACTGGTTAGTTTAAGCATGATTTTGTATTATTTAATTCACTAGCTGTTGTCACATTTCCAAGTTACAATTTGCAAATTCCTGTTGCTTTCATTTATGGCAGTATAATCATAAATTGTACGTGTATCACGTCATTGTAAGATGAGAGAGGAAAACAAAACAAAGCTATGTAATATAAAATGCATTTGCCATAAGGCAGTGGTGGCCTTGTGAATACGTACTTACTAGATGTTCTTACCGGTGGTCTACTCAAGCATCTAACTAGGGTTCGTAAACGAAGCACCAATACATGTTGAAGACACGATTATTTCAAGTCACTGAAACATGAGAATACAGCCCATTGACGATGACGGCGTTTTTTAATGCATTCAGGTTGCTATACTCTTTGTTCCATCTTCCACGACGTAAATGCACATATCCGACAGCCTCAATCGAACATACATACATTCACACATATTACTAAAGAGGCAATGGGTCTAGCATATTGACAGAATGTTGTCACTATACCTGCATAATATGACATCCGATGAAACCGTACTTCACACGTCAGGTCCTCATGCAAAAGGTATACCAAGATCCTGCCGATATGTGGCCTATTGGACATATCATTCCAACAGGGCAAAGAACAAAGGATATCATACTAAAGTATGGATGAGGAACTTGGTTATTCTGGATCCAAAGGTAACCCCTAGCATAACAGTGTATTTTTGTACAAATCCTGAGACAATCACATCAAGGTCACTTGGTATGTAAGAATTATCAGCCATATAAGGGAACGTTACATAGTGAATCGAAAGAGCAAGACATTCGAAAGAGCATCGTCCTTCGAGATTCCAGGTCTACAAGAGATAGCACAACAGAAAGCGACAGAGGGCATCCGTCTAAAACTCATTTTTGACATGATCGATCTTGCAGACACCCACAGCGAACAACAAAGAAAGCGCCACAGTGAAGAGCACAAAGAAAGGAATGAACACATCCTCCACTGTGTCTTGAACATGATCCAGCAGGGTCTTTTTTGCGCACAGGTAAACTATCAGATGGCATCACCATAGTGCCTGACGTACTACGGGCATATCATGGATCATGTTCGTCGCCAAAGTCACTCAATGGATCTCAACTTAGCAAGGATGTACTACGTATCGTGTCCTACCATTCTCATCTCGAGTCCGGGGATCACCACTGCTGTTTCAAGTGATATTAGTTCATCTGATCCAAGCGAGACGAACCGCCGGCGACCTCGTCTCAGGGCACTCTGACCTTTCTCCTGCCTAAACCGAGCGAACCCGTATCGATCTAGGACGGGAGAATGTAAATGACGGGTTCCGAGTCAGCCTGTCTCTCAAATGTTTCTCAAGAAAACAAACCGTTTCGTTTCAGGCAGAGTCAGCTAACTATCGACATGGGTGGTAGACACCAGCTAAGGCAGGGAGACTGCCAACACAAGCCAGACAACGCCTGCTCGGACCCATTATCCAGAGCGGTAGGGCGAGTGCGGCTTAGGCGGCCATGGACATTCGTGGTGATGGTGGAGCGGGTATCTTGGAGACTTCGACATATGGCAACATTGACAATGGAGATGTCGTTCACATGGACGCTCCGATAGTTGAGCTTATCTATGATACGCCTGTAGTTTCCACGATGCTACGTTGGCATTTGGGTTAAAATATGTAGTTCCTCAAGTCCGTGAGGAGTTGCACTAAGATTCGTGTAATGAGATGAGCGTCTGGAGCCTCTTGCTCTTGGCAGAGAAACTATCGCGATGAACTAGACCGATCCTTGCCTAAGATAGGTAGGAAGAAACGGTAGAAACAAACAAAGCGGATACTCAAGAATAAGAATCGAATCACTTGAGTCTTGAAGATCAGATGGCGTCCGACATTGGAAATTTCCAATACGACGGGCAGCTGCTCAACCGAGACTCTACAGGGGGCGGCCTGTTAAATTAAGGCCAGATTAGGCCACGAGCATCCCAATGTGGTGGGACCCCGGACCACTCTTTCGTATTTTTGGTGTCTTAAAAGAGCCCAAAATCGTCGTGTGCTTTTGGCAAAGTTAGAAGCCACTGGTGATACTGGCTGCTTCAGGTGAATTCAATATAATATGAGCGTAGAAACGTTAAGATTCGGGTACAGAACCAGCAAAGGATTACTATGGGATTGATTGAGTTTAGGGCGGAAATCGTTGTATAAACCAATCTCCGTACATTATGCAAGTTTTATTCTATGAATAGAGTTCAACAAATGGGCGCCGACCTTAATGCGGTCGACGGAATACCAATGGCCGATGGCGGCAGAAGCAGAAGGGGGGCAATGCGACGGTAACATCGGGAAACAGGAGTACGGATAGGCAAAAAGGTCAAAGTCAGTATCTCTAAACGAAATTAAACATCGTGATGGCCATGGATGTGTGCATGTGCATATGTATATGAGGAGGACATAAGAAAAAGTAGATAAGACGAAGATTATGAACTATGCAAAGAAGAGATTGTCTCTGATAGGGAAGAAACCCACGATCCCTTCATGCTCAGCACCCGAGGCTACCCCAGATGACAGTAAGCACCAAGGAAGGATCTCGGGAGTCATCTGTAGATCATCGAAGGAGTCGGCGACCATGCCATGGATCTTTTGAGAGTTGAGATGTGATTGGAGATTGATGTGTGTTAAACCAACCCTATATTGAAGCGATATTTACACATCACAAACACTACACGAGAAAACCATGTGTAGGAAAACACTAATCATTCAGTTGAGGTTTGTTTATGAGACATTTAATACCAGCGATTATTAGTGACTGACGCGCAATCTCTGCGGGCTGGACCTACCCAAACGCCGCATTTTCATCTGTCTCCAGAATGCGATTTGCAGAACCCACGTGGAGTAGAGGAATTCGTTGTGTGAGCCACACGCTGTGAATCGACACAAGCCTCTTGTAGGTATTCACTCGCTCGTCATCAGTTGCTGGTGATGGCGGGCGTTTGTCTCACCCTTCCCTACCTTTGTCGTGACAGCCCTGCCAAGCCACAGTCAGTGATGTTATTTCGCTTCGAGCCTGCAGAGTGTCGAGTTAAAGACATGGCTCAATATTATCCGTCTGGTTTGGACAAACTCAAAGCCATAAACCATGCTTTCTTTTTTGTCTGGAGTTGTGACCTCGATCGTGTGTAAGCGCCTCAATATGATTCTTACCGAGTAAGACCCGCAACAAGGGAACCCAAGTAGCCAAGCATAAGGGCCATAAGGTTAGGTACGGAGCATGTATCCGTAGAGAATCTAGGTACCGGCGGGCTCGCGTGCCACGGACCGGCAGGAAAACAGGCCAATCCAACCGTCAACGGGGTCGTGCTAGTCGTGATAATTAAAGGCTTGAGCATCATCCAGGATGAAGTGGCGCTGTAGAGGGAAGCTAGCCGTTGCTAAGAGTTTGCTGGAGCTAGTGGAGCGGGTCTTTTGTCATCCTCTTCAATTTGCAATTGGTGTTCCTTTCTGTCACGAACCCCCATGTCAAGTTAGTTCCTGGATCACGGCGCTATATATCCGTATCCATGCTAACCATGCCTTAGGGTACCATAAGAAATATCCGGTCAGCACTATAACACTAAGAAACCCTCGTATTTAGTTAAATAATAATAATACTAATTAAAGTTAGATTTAAATAAAAATATAATTATTATAATTATTAAAGCTTACTTTAATAGCTAGTATATTTTCCTTTTTATTTTATATAATTACCTAGTCTTTTAGGTATTAAATAAACTAGGTTATTAATTATATCTTAAGGGATCTCTTTTTAATAGTTAATTACGGCTTACTTTAGTAAATTAATATCTTAAAGGGAATATTTTTATATCTTACTCTTAAGAAATCCCTAGGTATTTTCTATAGGGAATAGGTCTAGTAAAGAAAGGTAATTAAAGTAATATAAAAGTCTATACTATTCTTTTTATTAAAATATATAGTTATTCCCTTTAGGACCGTAACCTAAGTTATTATTTTCCTTTAGAATAAAGGTATAGTTTCTTTAAAGAAAGGTTTAATATATTTTTTTAATATCTTTTATTTATAATATTTCTATATTATCTTACTATTATTATTAAAAGGTATATTATAGAAAACTAAGAGGGATTTATATTCTATTTTAATTATACCTTAGGTATATAATTTTTTCTTATCTTTTTTATTTAAGGATTTTTTCTTTTAGAGGTTATTAAGATCTAACCTTATATTAAGAAATTAATAAATCTAGACCTTCCTTTTATTATTATAGCTAAAATAAACTTTATTACTAAAAAATATAATGTCCTAGCTTTTAGGTAAAGGTTTTTTATAGTAAGTAATTAATATAAAATCTTTATAATAGTTAGTATATTCTTTATTAATAAAATTGACTTATTAACTAATTTATTTTATTAGATTCTTTATATAAAGGCTATAATATATCGTTAATATATATATATCTTTAATACCGACGGTAGTGGTAATTTTATTAGGTTTAATAATTTTTTTTTTTAAATTCTTTATTATTAAAGAGGTTTTTTATATAATTTAATATATTTTTAATTACTTTTTTTTTAATTTTATATTTATCTAATCGATTTAGATTATTATAGTATATATAGTTATAGTTATTTTAAATAATATATTATTTAGTATATTTATTAATATTATTAAAGTTAAATAAATTCTTTTTTTAAATAAAATTTTATAGGTTTTTAAAAATTTAATAGTACCTTTAATTTAACTTTCAGTTAATATATTTAAGTACTTAGAATTAATTATAATTTATTTATAATATAATTGTTATATAAAGTTAAAGTTTATTATTATTATTAAGTATGTTTTTTAGTATTGTAGGCCGGTTATTTCTTGTGGTACCTACTAGCCATGCCACAGGCACGGGGTGGCCCTTTTTTATTTATCTTGTGTGTGTGGCACTTCGCCTCTCCACGGGCCTTGAATATCGCGACAGGGGAAGCTGGGGAATCTGCCAAGGTCTTGCCAGTCGGGACGCTGCTGATTGTAGTTAGCAGTCGATACATGATCACTCAATGCTTGGTACTTCATTGACCACAGGTGTCTGGCGCGACGACTGAGTATTGTCGAGGACGCAAGCTTGTATCGTCTCATGCTGCCAGTCGTGTGTGAAACCGCTTCGGACGGCTGCATCACCTCTCCCACGCGCTGTCGTCCATTATCTAAAGGTTTGTGGTTCAAAAGACAATTACTGGATAATCATGTTGCACAACCAGCCACGGATAAGACTCTGTCAGTTCAATGCAACGGACCTTGTTCACAATCAAAGAGGTATGGACTGCCGAAGACGGACGACATAAATGTTAAGATCTACGGACAAGCGAAGTCACTTGATATTACGAGTTGGTTTTTGCACCCGGGAGGGATAACTTCCAGCCGGCTTCTCAACTCGGAACGTCACCCGTAACGTCAAAAGAGCAAAAAAGGGAAAAGCAAAGAGACTGGAGACGTAAAACGTGCATACGCAAGCTTTCAATGCATAAGATGAGCATGCTGTACGTGTCAGCTTGTGGATAGATGCTACTGTTCAAGACGAGGCTAGGCCGGAGTAGTCAGCAAGACCTCATCATGTCCAATTACCAACCACTATCATGATGCCCCCTTGCAGATTGCCGGCCCGCATCAAAGTTCACACATGCTCTCTCTATTCTTCACACACTCCCTCATAACTTGCACAACTCATCGCCGCATTAATGATTGGCATTCCACAAGCTCGAACTGTTCTGACTCCCCGGCAGATGAGAGACACGACCAGTGTTTGGGACTCAGCGCTACGATGAGTCCTGTTGATTTCCACCAACGATACCGCTGTAGCATGGCCTGGCCAGGCATGTCAGGTCACTCACTGACTCTTTTTCTTCCTCAGGTTGTGGTTCTGCACCAGTAGATGCTAGCATACCGGTGCTGTCTGCTGATGTTACATACGAGCATACAATATTAAGTGTGAATAAGGATAGAAGAGGTCGGATTTTGTTCATTCCAACCTCGTGCTGATTATTGCTTATGCTGACTGCAGCCAGCGGCGAGCATGCGTTCAATCAACTGTGCCGTGCCCTGGCATTGAGACCATTCTCCTCGCGATGGTGTCTTGAGACTTGTTGCAACAAAGCAATCTCAGCCACACCCTGACTTTTTGCTCACGGACTCAATCACTCAAACACCCCTACGAGATTTCTACACCCACGAGAAAACCCCGTTTTGTTAGTTGTACTGGCTCTCTGTGCCGCTAGATTGAGTTAGCCCACCCACCATCATCGCAAAGCGTCCATGGTTAGCTGCTCCCTAACTAGTGGCATTGGAAGCCCGAGACTCGAGAGGGGGAGTTCGAACTGTTTCTGGCGCCTCTGGCCGATGCCGTCAGGAGGCACTTTCCAACGGGTGCGATCAACGGCGAAAGGCGTTTGCGAACGTAGTCCCATTGAAGAATACGGTTGGCTGAATATGCGGTAGCTCCCGAGAGGCACCACCAGCAGAGGGCGAAGGCGTCAAAAAAGCATTGCTTGCATTCACAGAGGAGATGTCGCTGCTTTTCCTTTCTTATCAATGGCGTGATACTTCCAAGCAAGCTGAGAAGTACATTGCCTGTGCCCACGAACTTCGCAATAGCGATTGTACCCATTATCCTCCCCTTGCGTACCCGCACATCAAAGCTCAAGGGGGGTTGGACCTGGTGTGGATGCTGGCAAGCATGGAAGTCTCCTTTGTTCGTCTCCAGGCCCACCTGAAATGGTGTACGAAGCCGTCTCTGGTGAGTGTCGTGGCCGCCCTGGAACCAGCTCAAGGTGCTAAAAAAATACCTTAGCACTGGAGCCCCGTTGCACGAATGGATGTGTGCCGTTCGCTGCCCAGGTTCAGTTAGGTGAATCTCAGTTCAGTTCAGTTCAGTTCAGTTCAGTTCAGTTCAGTTCAGTTCAGGGCACTCGCACCCTTTTTGCTATGATCCATGTCTGGGCCACACCCCCTTGATCCCCGTCTCCGTCCCTGTCCCCTTGTCCCTGTCGTGTTCCCATACCCTTCCCATCTCCCCATTCGCTTTCATTCATTCCTTCCTTCCATTGCTGTTGGCCCTGTCGCTGTCCCTTCTTTTCTCCAGCCTTTTCTTACATCTAGTACTTACATACTCCTTACTCTCCTTCCTCTTCTTCCTCTCGTTTTCTCCCCACACCGACCTCACCTCCAAACGACAAGCATCAAGGCGTCGTCGACCGTCCTATCTCGATTCTCGACAGCGCTCTTGCGTCTGCAACACGATTCCTCGCGAGACCCCGTTTACGTCCTCCACCCCTTCACTCACTTGGGAGTCTGGCTGCCAATAGGACCTCTGGAGGTTCTAGCAATCTAATCAGCAGATGTCGGCGTAACGATTGATTAATATCTTTCATCATCACCGACAATCTACTCACCACGATACTGGAACGAAGAACGCCGCCCCGGACCCTGATCTGGACGACACGCGCCTGTTTTTAAATCAAATTTGACGATATTTCGTCAGTCACTCATTTAAATTGCTTTTGGATTCGCATATACATACGCTCTACGCAAACTATATGTGAGTTTGTCTTCTATAATACCCTTCTGATGCGATGAACCGGGTGATTGTTGAATACTGGAGGGAATGCGACGGCGAGGGCTTCGTACCGGACGAAGATGACGCATGATGGAATTGAATTGAACTTGAACCACCAACAGCGACTAACACGTTCATGCAGACTACACTCGTTGACTTCATAGTCAAGTACATTCGTTGAAACTTATTCCTGACAGTGAGTTGGTCGAAAGCGCTGCGCAGCTTCTCAATCTAACAACAGATCCAGCATACACCTATCAATAATTACCGAAAATGCACGCAAAGAGTTTTGTTGTGGCGGCCGCTTTGGCTCTTGCCTCTTCATCTGTTGTTGAAGCCGCCAACCGACCTCGCATTTACTACCCCCGACAAGTCAAGCGGGAAGTCGAGAACAATGAACCGGTCGTTCCGGCAAACGAAGCAGTCCCCGTGATTGCGAAGCGGGAACCTGCTGATTCCTTCCTCAAGAGCCTGTTCAACAACAACAACAACAACAGGGAGTCGGCGGCCGACACGGAGGATGGCGTTAACTTCGACCCGACTCTGCCTCTTGGCTTCAAGCGACCTGGACCCAGTGCCAACCCAGCCCCTTCGTTAGTCATCCAACCGACAACAAGCATGGAGATCGTGGACCCCGAGACGACGGAGGCTGCTGAGCCAACGGAAGCAGACACTGGAATTCTACTTGCTCCCGGCGGCATTGTGACTAGCAAAACTACCGTTCAGCCAGCTCAACCCGCCAAGACGACCACGGCTGCAGCCGTCAAGAAGCCCGTAACCGAGGAGCCCAAGAAGGAAGAGACGAAGCCCGAGGTTGTCGCGACTGAAACCGTCGCTCAGCCCGCTGTCACCTCCGTTGTGGTCGCCAACCCCCAGCCTGCTACAACCGAGGAGGAAGCCAAGCCCGCCGAAACGACGGCTCCCGTTGTTAAGGAGCCCGAGTCTGTCAAGACTACGGAAAAGAAGCCAGTCGTCGAGACCAAGACTGAGAAGCCCGCGCCAGTTGAGACTCAGCCCGAGGAAGAGACTAAGCCGGTTGAGACAGTGGAGCCTGTCAAGACTTCTGCCAAGAACCCGGTTGTTGCTCCCGTTGAGACCAAGACTGAGAAGCCCGCGCCAGTTGAGACTCAGCCCGAGGAGAAGACCAAGCCAGTTGAGACCGAGGAGCCTGTCAAGACTTCTGCCAAGAACCCGGTTGTTGCCCCCGTCGAGACCAAGACCGAGAAGCCCGCTCCTGTTGTGACTGAGACTCAGCCCGAGGAGGAGACCAAGCCAGTTGAGACCGAGGAGCCTGTCAAGACTTCTGCCAAGAACCCGGTTGTTGCTCCCGTCGAGTCAAAGACCGAGAAGCCAAGTGCCACAAAGGGACTCTTAGACCCTGTCGAGACCCTTTTGTCATCCCTACTTCCTGTTGAGAAGGAGACAAAGCCTGCTCCCGTTCAGTCCGAGACTGCGAAGCCTGAACCGGAAACAACTGAGGCTCCCAAGACTGAGCCTGAACAAGAGACCAAGCCTGCTCCTGCCCCAACCACCAAGGAGGGTGTTCTGGATCCCGTTAAGAGCATCGTCTCTTCGGTTCTTCCTGATCCGGCTGACCCCAAGACCACCGAGCCCAAGCCAGTCGAGACTGAGACTAAGAAGGCCGAGCCAGCCAACACCGACAGCAAGGAGGAGACACAACCCGCTCCCGTTCCCGTTGAGACCGAGACTGCCAAGCCCGCCGACCCTGCGACAGAGAGCCCATCTGTTGATGAGCCCAAGACGGAGCAGCCTGCCCCCACCACCAAGGAGGGACTTCTCGATCCCGTCGAGACACTCTTGTCGTCTGTTCTGCCCATTCCTGCTGATAGCAAGACGACTCAGCCTGAAGAGACCGTTTCTGAGGCTCTGCCCGAGGAGACACTGACCCCAAGCAAGGAGCCTCAGCGTGAGAACAGCAAGCCTCAGACAGACGATCAGACTCTCCCTACTGTCAGTCCTCCCACTGAAGAGGCAACTGCCGCTCCTGGTACTGCGGAAACCACCAAGGGTGGCTTGTTGGACCCTGTCGAGACCCTTCTCAGCTCTATCTTGCCCAATGACCCATCTGATGTCAAGACCACTGGACCTGAGGAGACTCAACCCGCTGATAGCCAGCCTACTTCTGCTGTTGTTGATGAGCCAACTGCCTCCAACGATCCCTCAACTGAGCCTGAGACCACTGGCGTTCCCGAGATCATTCCTACTACTCTTCTCCCTGAGCCTACGCTTCCCGTTGATGAGACAGACATCCTTCCTATCCCTACGGACATCACTGATGTTACCTCGCTGCTGCCTGAGCCCTCAAGCCCGGTCACTATTTCTCCTGTCATTCCCACCACGGTTGCTCTTGAGCCGTCGCAGAGCGGTTCCCCGGACCTTACCTCGTTCCTTGACCCCAACACCAAGTTTCCCCAAACTGACATTGGTGAGACTACTGAGGCCCCGAACGTGACTGTTCCTGCTGCGACATCCGGTGTCGACGAGACCGGATTGCCTGTACCCACAAGTGAACCCGTCAACGTCACTGAGTCTGTTCCTGAAGCTACCGGCGAGCCCCAGACTACTGGCGCACCTGAGCCTACCGATGTCAACACCGATGTCAACACTGAGGAGCCAACACAAGTCAGTCAGACCGAGGCCCCTCAACCTACAGGCGATTCTTCTGAACCTGCTACTGGAAATGCCACTGAGCCCGCTTCCGAGCCTGCTACCGAGCCCGCCACTGAGCCTGCTACCGATTCTCCCACCAAGCCTGCTGGCACAGTCACCGGCTCTGCACCCACCGAGCTTCCTGCCACTCAGACTGATGCCGAGACCAATGGCACTGCCACCAACGAGCCTACTAAGCCCACTACAGGAGCTGAAACCCAGAGCGCCCCTGTGACCGGTGGTGAGGAGACCTCAGCCGATGTTGCCCCTACCAAGGAGCAGCCCTCTGTTCAGCCTACCTCTCAGCCTCCTCCTGTCGAGACCGAGACCCAGCCTGAGCCTGCTCCTACCACGCTGGTCCCCACAGCTGCGGTTCCCGTTACCAGCATTCGACCCACTGCTACTCTTACCAACACCAACAACTGGCTGCCTACCACCATCGTCTTCGAGCCTACTTCTATTCCTGCTGCCCCCACACAGGCAACTGAGACCTCTACCTCGACTGGCCTACCTGCCAACATTCCCCGTGTTATCCTGCCCAACGACCCTAACAAGCCTATCCCTGAGGGATCTGTTGCCATTCAGCTGGGTTTCTTGTTTCCCTTCAACTACAAGTTCCTCGCCCGCAACACTGTCGCGGCTGCCCAGCTTTTCAAGTATCTGCCCAAGGGTCTTGCTGATGCGGGTGGCTTCAGCAAGGATCGTATCCTTATCAGCAAGATCATTCCCATGGACACCCAGTCTAAGTGGGGATACATCACTGCCATCGCCAAGATTCATTATCCTGAGAACATGATCGACAGCCTCCAAGCTGATCTCATCACTCCCAACTCTCTTCTGTACAACAACGACCTTGAGATCGTCCGTAACCTTACCTCGGTCATCAACAACAAGATCGATATCTTTGGTGATATGGAGAACGATTCCAACTCGAACAATGGCGATTCAGATGATAGCGGCAGCGGAGGCAGTGATGGTTTCGGTAACAGCGGCGAGGGTGACAAGACCGCCAAGCAGAAGGCTACCACTGCTGGTATTGCTGTCGGTGCTGTCGGATTGAGTGTCATGTACGGTGCTGCCATGTTCTTGGTTGCCCGACGATACAAGCGCAAGAAGCAACTGGGTCACCGCCGTGCTAGCTCCATTGGCAGCAGCCAGCGATCTTCTGAGATGGCCTACACTGGCAACGGAAGCCCTGCTCTCATGGGAGGTGCACTGATGAGCCGTGACTTCTCGTCGTACGGCGCCCAGGGTGAGCACCCTCCCGTCCGCCCTGGCGGCCGTGACAGCCATGGCAGTGGACGCAGCGGAATGGGCAACTCGGCTCGCACAGCATACATCTCTGCTCCCGTCGCTGCTGAGAACTCTCTCGGATGGAACTAATCCTCACCAAACTCTCACGGCTTACTCCGTAAAACATTCAAACAAAAAAAACATTCACATCTTCCCAGTGCACCATTTTTCTTTTTCAATACTTCGATACCCTTCAGGTGGACTGTGACGACTACTCCTACCACTACGACGCGGTGATCAGCTAGTCATTACGAAACTTGCCCGACATGGGCTTTCAACTCTAACTGCTTTCTCCACTATGCTTCCTTCTCATATTGAGACGACGATGCGATACGCGCCTTGCTCTTCATTATAGACTTACTGCTCGGCTTATTCGGCCGACGCTTCATCATTTCCCCTTTATGCCTAACGCCTCCTCAGGGGTAGAGCCCCCACGTCCTTTTTACTTACGTATTTGTTCGGCTCCATCCTGGCGACCTGGCCATCCTTTTTAATGCTTTCTGACATTTCTTTTCTCTTGTCATTGTTTATTGTATCCTGTTGTGGGAGGGGTTGGACGTTGATATGTAAGAGAAGTGACGGGCATGGCAAGGTGCAAGGGGGAAAGGACAAAAAGCTTGGCTACTTAGACAGGTGTTGGAAGATGGGACAGAACTGAAGAGAAGGAAAGACCAGAGCGGGTTCTGAGTGACAGGATACATGTCTGCTTGTATATTACAGGACCATGTCATGTGCGGCGTCTTCAGAATATGACTTGTATGCCCTCACCATTTCTCAGTGGGAGCCATGGGTCTTAGTGGCGGAGTTGTTTTAAGACTTTCAAAGCGTTAAAAACCAAACAAATCCTATTAAAGAATACGATTGGATGGATGATTGTGAATGACATTTGCCTCTCTTTGTGTGTTTGTGTTTCTACATCCTGAGCGTTTGGCGTCCGCATGGGCTTGCGATAGCTGCATTCGATATTAAGAGCCGACACTTTAGACACTGATAATGCTCCTTCCACTATAGTTTGTGTCTTCTAGCACGTTACTTCCCAGGCTTGGAGGGGTTGTACCGATGTCTCGATATGGTTGATATGCCGAGGATAATATGATTGTGGACTCTGGGCACAGATACAGGCACACTGAGGTCTGCATCATGCATGCATGGTCCTTGTTTGTGATCTACGTCTAAATTTCAGTTGAGGAAGCTTTGACTAGTTGTATCTGTATATGGATCGTGCCAGATACCATTTGTGAGTGCGTCTATATCTGGTCGACATCTTCTTCCAGCTGCGCGTATACGCTATTATCACCATTGATTCTCCTTATTTACCTGTCTCGGTACTGGTTAAGCTTTTCCCTCCCCGAGTGTGAGTAATTTCCCCTTGCATTAAACCTTGACGGTCAACCGCGCTACGGCGACGGCGCCAACGGTGCGGCGCTTTAGAGACAGGGGGTCCAAGGACAGGCTCGATTGTCAGTCTTGTCTTTGGACTCTGGCAACTCGAAAAAGGAAACAATATTCGAGGTCATACACAAGCGTGCCGCTCTACGGATATGATATGGGGACATGCAGTCCCCTGGTGAGGGCTCTGGTGATTTTTAATACATATGGGTCCTCGCAGACTACGGAGACTTTCTTCTTGATTTTCCCCTTTACTAACTTGTTAAATACTAGCACCATGCTGCCTTCTTCAGGGGCCGGTCATGAAGGCCTTCCAACGCGTGGCGTTCCCGAACTATCGAAGAGCTATTAATGGAAAAGAGTGAAAGATGGATGCATATCGAGGTTGCGAGAAGTCAACCGCCTCCACCTGAAAACACAGCACAGCATAACATAGCATAGCATCTAAGGGCATGGGAGAGTGAGAGTCTAGAGTCTAGACTGAAGCCTTTTGCTATTATACGTATAACATGCGGAGCTCAGCATATAGCTCGGGTCTAGTACTGCAGGTACCGTAGTTAGATCGGGCAAACAACATGTTTCTAATGGTGGATCAGAGTTTGCTGGCGGCTTGCCTTGAGGCTCAGGCCGTGGTTGAGTCAGGCCACGATGATCAGTGTGCCGTGCTCTGTAAGTTCTCGACATCGGAGAGAGAAGAGAGGGCTTTGAGTGGAATGTGGAGCTCGTCTTCAGCGCGATGGTTGATCACAGCACAAGTAGCTAGAGTTGCATGGCTCCTCTTGAGCGTGGCATGTCGGATTTACTAGACTGTACCTACGGATAAGTTCTGGGTGGTGGGGTTTACCTTTCAGGGGCTTACTGCAGTTTATGGACGAGGGTTTACAGACTATTGACAGAGACAGCACCAGCGCGTGGCGCCTAACTTGTCTTGTTCAGTTGAGTATCCGTACCTAGGTAGGTAGCTTATTCTATAAAAATGCATGCATTATTTTATCATGTAGGATCTACGAAAGGTAGCATGAAGGATTCTAGAGCGTGGCGCGGCATCAAACATCCGATTTTGGGCTTTACTTTACCGTGAGGGTGCTCTTTCACTTTGATCTAACATCTTGATGTTTGCTCTTTCCTTCCCATCAGGTTCCTCCCCGTCTTGACTACGTCGTCTCATTTACCAATTCTCTCCTTAATATATCACGCTCTTTTCTATACAGTCATTCATTTTTATAACTGATCAATAATCGATAATCAATAATCGTCACCCACTCTACGTGGTAGAGTTTCAACCACGCAAATGGTGTCTTGAGGCTTCTCGTCCGCTGCCTCACTCACTTACTCTCTTTTCGAGACTCTCGATCACTTACAGCAGCAGGATAGACATGGCGACACCATGGAGTAACATGGGCATTCGTTCGTCCGACGCAGATGAAAAGATTGTGGTTGGACCATACGACGAATCGAGATATACAGCATCATCGTCAGGCTTGAGTTACATGCGATATCCTTCCACCCAACCCTCAAACTCGACCGCCCGCTTAGTTCCTCAACCTCTTCTCTCGCCGCCCTTGGCGAGGGTATCACCCGGTCCGAGAAGTCCCTCCAGTCCGCACAGTTTAGCAAGTCCTCAAAGTTTCCAGCCTCTCAACAGCCCCTCCAGTCCTGGGTTCCCGCTCAGTCCTTTCTATCCGCCAAGTCCAGGACCATTGCAGAGGGGACAGTTCCTTAACTCGCCCATCAGCGATGGCTTTAATTCACCGCGCATGTCGGGCTCACCTGCTCCCACCGATCCTCGACTATCAGCTAAAGGACCAAATCTAATGGAAGCCGTCCTCGAGACGCCCTACTTCGATACCCCGCCTATTACACCTGGATCATGGGGCGACACAAGCTTTCGCGAAACTGATGTTGTAGAAGCAGCTGAAGTTCCACTCAACAATGGCTGGAGACCGTGGTGGTTGCGCCGAAGAGTTACTAGCATCTTCATCGGCGTATGTATAATGCTGGCAGTGATCGGCGAAGTCGTGATGTGGTGGTTGTCCAGGAATAATATCAAGAGCAGCCTCAAGGGTCTTTGGACTTTTGGACCAGTCGTTGGTAAGTGATCGCCAGGGCCCTTACTCTGTGTGGCCGTGGCCATGGCCTTCGTTTCTATAAGTGCTCACATATATCCAAGTTATCTCCATTATGGCTATGTCATGGGCACGAGTCGAAGCACAAGCACTGCTTTACACCCCGTGGATTGTTCTCGACAACCGACCGGCGACTGTTGAAGAGACTCGCCGCAAACAAGTTCATCGATCTCTTCTACTCGATTATCCCAGCCTCGGAAGCTACCAGGCACTGACCAAAGCAGTTCAGAACCGACATCACCTTGTTGCCGCCTCTATCACTGTCAAAATCCTCTTCCGAGCCCAGATTATCCTCTCTACCGCCATTTTTCACGCCGAAATCCATGTCGATGGGACGACCTTGCTCCGGGCTCGACTTGGTGTTCTTCACGCTGTAGCTGGAATATTTCTCATCATCTCCGGCGTGCTTCTTCCCATGTTGTATCACGCGCCATCACCTCGGGGCATTGCACCGCGAGACCCGACATCTCCTGCTGGAACTGCGGCACTTCTGACAAGCAGCCAACAATTCCTCTCTCGATTAACGGGTACTGGGCATGCAAGCATGGATGTTGTTTCTGCTAGGCTAGCAGGGTCATGGTACACAACAGAGCTTACGCAACCTGGACGCCGACCAGAGGAAATGTTCCAGTTGAGGCAGCATGGTGGAGGTAATGGCCCCCTTAACATGAACCCCTTTAAGCGGCCAGAGGAGGCCTCAGGGACATATCGGCCTTGGACTCAGGGAACCCGATCCAGAATTATCAGCATTGTTGCTTCTGTTGCATTTATCGTTGGTATTTGTGTGCTGTTCAACTTAAAGGGCAACAAGGATGGCCTCGACGTCGATGATGGTATATTTCCTGTCTGGACTTGTGTACCTACGATTATCTTCGCTGCGCTCGCCATTTTCTGGACTCGGATTGATATCGACAACCGACGCCTTGCCCCCTTTTTGAAGCTCACTAATAAAAAATGTCGTTTCGAGGAGTCTCTTGGTCTAACCTACATGAATGAGTTTGGCCTACATACAGCTGGAAAAGCTATGAGACAACAGGACTGGGCGGTTTTTCTTGCCAAGTGTACATCGATGCTTGGGTGGTTGATGCCCATATTCACTGCAGGACTTTTTGCTGTTGCGCAAATCGCACAGACGGCCAACCTTGAACTTCGACCCGAGACGCAATTTGCATCGACAAGTAAATCGCTGAGTGCCACCATCGACAGCGACATAATCGAACAGGTTCTGATGAGAGAGACGCCCAAATACCCGAGATGGACGTGGGAGGACATTGCTATTCCCAAGATTTCCTTAGTCGACCATCCAAGTCAGTGGCCACTGCCAAATACAGAGCTCGTTGCCAAGGTTCCAGGGCTCAGGGGGAAGCTCAACTGTGAAACGGTATCTTTGTACGAAGGTGAAGGCGCAGGTTGGCAATGCGTGCCGCTGGGCGGTTCTAAAAAGGAACCAATTTGTGGGTCGGATCAATCTCGCACTGCGCTTGTTGCTTCTTCGTGCCCCCAGCTCTCTTCTTCTTACTCAATCCAGTATGTCTGGGGCAGCTGTGCGGATGATGGGATGATTTCAGTCATGTCATGCAATGAATCGATTGTCGACGTCGATGTATACACGACATTTCGCACTGAAGACTTATACATCAATACAGATGCCATTCCCGTTGCAAACGCATCGAGTGAGCGAACCTCAGATGTAAAGGCGGACATCTCAACTGTCTATGGAGCACTTGAGGATATCGGAGCCAACAACAAAAGTCTGAAGGGGCTCGATCCCTTCTTCCGCACTTTGGTACTTTCAAGACTGCAGTTTACTTCGGAGCGCATTATTATGCCCGAGAGACAGAACGCTGTTTCTCAAGCGATTCTCGTGCAGCATGGTATACTGGCTGCGCAAGCTATGAATAGTGACTTGATACGGCGCCCCCTGGCATCGAAGCTGCGCACCCGTGCCGACTCTCGTACAAACATCCCGGCCTCTGTCGACTATGTTCTCCCACGCTTGGTTCAAGGCAATATTCAGACATTTGTCCTTATCGGGTTGCTTGGCTTCACCCTTCTGTTTGGTTTACTTTCTCTACGCACGGCATCACGTGGTACTCTGCCTAAGAGCCCTGGAAGTATCGCCGCCCAGGCAAGTCTCCTCGCAGACTCAACCCTGTGGTGGCGCCTCCCGGGCGGAGCGGAATGGATGGATGATGATGACTTGGCGCGGTGCATGCGCCGTAGAACGTTCCATCTTGGATGGAGTAAGGGAGCTACAGGGAGCCGAAGCTATGGTATTGGCATTGTCCAGGACGAAGGAAAGGCGGCTGGAGCAGCTGTTGTTTCGCAAATGACTGCCAGTAGCAGTGGGGGATTAGCCAATGGGCGATATATCAGCATGACGCCTGGTGAATACTCCTACGGGGACTTGAGGTCATATGAAAAGTCGTGAAAGCGAGTCCATTGATATACATATATCTTGCATTAGTGGGTGGATTCGGGTATGCATGGCGTTGGAAGGGAAGCGATTGGGTTTGATGTCATGAAATTGCTGCTATATATCCATGGATCTTGACTTGTCAAGTTTATATGCGATTGCTTCTTATTGAATAATGTATAAACAGAACCTATTACCTGATACAAGAATTTCAAAATTGTTGAATTTTGAACCTCGGCATGGTGACGAGAGGTTGTCGAATGAATGACTAGAAATCAAGCACATGCTGGGTGTTCAAGAATTGCGGGGCATTTAATTCGACTACGGCGATGTTTCAAGACTTAAGTTTCAGCTTGTCTTTGGTGAGTCTTTAAACTCTAACCGCCTCATGCGTATCGTATCGTTTGTTTACTTGGCCATTTCCATCAATGAAAATACGGGGTTTATAATCTCTCTAATGTCCTGATATTTCAATTCTCTCTTTTCTCCTCTCTTTTTCAGGTAGACCAGTTCCTTCAATTTGTTCTCTTACTCACAGAAACCCAACCATGGCGTTCACAATGCACTCCCATTCGGGCCAGTTCTGCCCTGGCCATGCCAAAGACCAACTCGAAGAAATAGTAAGGCATGCCATTTCTGTCGGTTACAAAACCATTGGATTCACAGAGCATATGCCTCGTTATGATCTGCGTGATCTGTATCCTGAAGAGGTATGTATCCATTATCACTACTCACTATCTTGTGCAACAGTTTCACTTACATACTTGTAGCTCGATAACCCCCAAGCTGCCTTGGAGGCTTTGCCTCCTCTACATGAGGAATACCTTGTAGAGGCCCAGCGTCTTCGGCGTGAGTACGCTTCGCAGATTCACATCCTCATTGGCTTTGAAGCCGAGTTTATCCGCCCAACCTGTGCAGCACACGTTCGCAAACTAGCAGAGCATCCTATCATTGACTATTTCATCGGCTCTGTACACTACGTCCACAGCACCCCGATTGATTACAACAAGACCATGTTTGCCACAGCCCGGGATGCTAGCAGTCGCGGTACTGAGGAGTCGCTGTATGAAGACTACTACGACCTGCAGTACGACATGCTCAAGGAGCTGAAGCCTCGTGTCGTGGGACATTTTGACCTCGTGAGACTGATGAGCGAGGACCCTGGTCGGGATGTCAGGCAGTGGAAGGGCGTGTGGGAGCGTGTGATGAGGAACTTGAGGCTTGCGAGGGAGCAGGATGGTTGGCTTGAGGTGAACAGCGCCGGGCTACGAAAGGGCCTCGCTGAGCCTTATCCATGCAGGATTATTGCCGAGGTGAGTTAACTTGACATGTAGAAAATCAGGTGTGAAGCTAACTTGATCACAGGAATGGATTCAGATGGGCGGCAAGTTCACTTTCTCTGACGACAGCCATGGAGTTGCCCAAGTTGCTACCAACTACGCCCGAACAGTCACATATCTCGAGAGTCTGGGCATCCAGGAAGTGTGGACTCTCAAGCGAACACCTCACCCAGACATAGAGGGAACAAGCAGAGCAACGGTCGAGGAAATCAGCGTTACCCTGAGCGCATTCCGTGAGAATTTTGCGTAAAGGGACAAATATTGAACCATTGGTTTAGAACAGACAGGAGAGCCATAAAGTCATAGATTAAACAAGACTAGAACTATGTAGAGCAAGACGGGAATAATGTCCCGTTCGAGAAGATAAAGGGAATAGGGTATCGTGAAGGAGACTATACATCCAAAAACAAAGATGGATGAGTTGGTTAGACAATAATGATTTGATAGAGGAAAAGCAAAGAAAGCAATGGCAGTAGTGCTTGGGTATTAACTCTGGAAGACGTCGCTTTCTTGTCATGAACAGTACACCATACAAGGAGAAGCAAACGGTGAGCAATACGCATTTCGGAATATGGAGGGTCTAAAATAGAAGTGCAGTATTGCTTAATGATGAGGCGTTTCGGGAATCTCGTTGATAGAGCTTGGGACATCCTACTCCAGCTTCATACCAGACTCGGACGACTTGGCGCCAGTAGCACGCTGTGATTGCTGTCCTGGGCGTGGTGCAAAGGGAATTCCGGCAGTATACTGAAAGAGATTGTTCTTTTTAATAGGACTTGGTGTTGCGGTCGGTGTTTGCGAAGACGGAGTAGGTACGTTAGGGGGAAGCCACTTCAATGGCTCATGCTGGGCGACAGGCTCGGGTGCAGGGCCCTTGGGTTGGTAAGGAATAAAGACGTCGTCTGCGTCTGTGCTGGGATGGACTGAAACAGAAGGAATAGCAGGGGGGCTCGATAATGGAGAGACGAGTTGGGCTGCAGGAGCAGTAGACTCGAAAGGATCTTGCTCCTGCAACGGGGTCACGATACTGCTAGAGGATGTAGTGGTAGGTGGTGTATGAACACGTGAGCTGAGCGGTGCAGGCTGAGTAGGGGAGATGTTGTAAGAGTCGGTAGAAACCATGACAGTACTCGAGTCATGGTTCGCGCCCCCTGATGGTTGTTGATTGATGGAAGACGCAAACTGGCCAGGAGCTGCAGAGGAAGTGTCCCTGGCTTTGTCTGATTCAAGACGAGCCCGTTCTTTAGCTTCCTTTTGGGACTTGGTTATCAAATTGATACGGATCTTCCTCATGCCTGTAGTTATACCATCAATGCCATCGCCAGCTTTGCTAGAGGCGCTATTCTTGCTAGACGGTTTAGGCGGTGACTTGGCTCTCTCAACAGCTGTAGCAGGTCGCGAGGACCCAGTAGTGGCAGTGACTTTCTTGGTACCACGAGGTGCTTTGGCAGCAGGCTCCTTGCGAGGAACAGCAGAACTTCGCACTTTCTTGGCCTCGATATTGCTGCCAGCAGCGGATATCGTATCAACAGGCGAGTTGGGAACTGTACGAGCCTGCTCAATGGCCTCAGGAGGGGCTTCTTCAGTACTAGATGCTTCTGATGCATTTCTCGAAGCGAGAGACATCGGGATTTCACTAAGACGTCGACTAGTCCTCCTCACTTTTGGATCATCACTGTTTGTCCTTGAAGGGGCACCGCGAGCCACCGCCTTAGGAGAAGTCAGCTCTTGTCCATTACATGGCAATAGAGGACATACCTTGTCTGAAGAAACGGTGTCGTTGCCCATGGTTCTTCTGCGGCTTGTGGTCGTCCTTTCGGTACTTAGCTCAGGAGGTGCTGGCTTAGCTCGTCTCTCACGTAGAGACATGCGGGACGTCGGGCGTGAAGCAGGAGCAGGGGCAGGAGGAGGTTTAGGATCAATGCCCATCAGTATCGATTGACGATCGCGTCTCACACGAGTTGCCTCTGCGTTGAGCTCTTCGGGTTTGCAGCTACCGGTCTGCCGTGTCGAGGGAACAAGGAGTTTGCTCAGTTCACGAGTCGCAACTGTCCAGGAGACCTCTGGAGGAGGCGGCGACTGAGGCCTTGCCATAGACGCACCAATATTGGACAAACTACGTCGCATCTTAAGAGGGTCAGTGACTTTAGCAGTTGACGCCTGTGTCGGAGCGAAGTAGCTCGGGAGAGGGGCTTGTGGTTTTGGGGGAGGGCTTTCTGGACGTTCCATAAAGACTTCAAGCTCATCCAGTCGTGAGGGTGACCACCAGGACGGGTCATAAGTATGAATAGAATCCAGAGCTGGCTTTGGTCCCAACTCGTGTGACACATCTTCAGAGGAATTGACAATCTTCTGGCCCATCTCAACACCAAGACCGCTCACGTTGCCCAAGTCTTGGTCGCATGTCTGGTCACCAGCCAGCCCGCTTAGATGACTCATGACACCAGAGCATAATGCTCGATCGCTGTAGCCGCCTTCCAGCACACTGATAATTCGGCCGTCAACGTGAAGGCCTTCTTGAGCTGCCAGTTTGACAACATCCTGGGCAATACGGGCATAGAACTCGGTCGGCACATTGACCTTGTGGCGCTGCATTCCTGCACCCTCCCATTCACTGGCGTCGAATCCAGCAGAAAAGAAGATGGCGGCCTTAGGGGGGAGGTTTGCTTCCTTCAAGCGCTCAGCCTGGTTCTTGAGATAGTTTCTAACCTTATCCAGGAGGGCACTATATCTGGTTTCGTAGAGTTGCCAAAACTCTTGTTCGGACTTCCAAGGTTCCAGGTGGACGTTCCAGACTGTCTGGCCGTGGGCATTGTCTATGCAGATACTGGCGCTCCTAACCTTCTCTTCATCGCCCATTTCACACGGATAGGAGTTGATGTCGTGTAAGCTGAAGTAGCCAATCGACGACTTCTTCCATGCCGCAGCGTTTTTGGCTGCATTGTTGGCTCGAGTATTGTGCTGCCAGGTAATAGCTTGAGATCCGTCACCGTGATGAAGATCAAAGTCGATAATGGCGGCATGCGTAAGCTCGTGATTAAGAGCAGCATGCATAATACCGACATGAACGTTATTGACCCAGCAAAAGCCAGAAGGGTACGAAGCTGAACAATGATGACCCGGAGGTCGCACACCTACGAATGCACGCCGAGGACCGGATCCAAAAACAGTGTCAACCGCCTCGCAAACAGCTCCTAGAGCACCTTCCATGGCGTTCAGAGACTCTGAGCATAGGTACAGATCACCTTCATGAAATTTGTCAGGGGCCTTTTCGGTACCCCTGTTCATCTGTGGCCTCTGCAGCTCCTTTCCTCCCATTGCAAGTTTAGATTCAGCTGCATCGCACATCATTTTCAATTCCTCCATCCATTTTGCTCCATGCACATTGACTACGGCTGGCGAGAGAAGGGAGAGCCTGCGTTCTGTCTTGTGTATTCGAAAAGGGATGCTTGCAAGGTCTTCTGCCTCTCTCTGTTGATGGAGTGGATAGTCACCTTCACAATGTCTGCCACCCAAGCGCACATATGCTGCAGAGACGCCCAATACAGCCGCCTTGACTCTTTCTGGGCGTTCGACAATAGTACTGAGAGCTGCACGGGAGGTTCGAGGCCGAGAAAAACGGTGCCCGTAGACATCATCGTTAAGCACTACGATCATTTGCGTTGGGCGGGTAGAAACAGAGCCATGATGGGCGTTGAACTCGTCGGTCAAGGTTTCACGTGCTATGGAAGTAGCAGTTGGCCTAGGCTTCTCCAGTACGGGCGTGGACGATAAAGAGGGTTTGCCGTGGGTTGGTGACATAAGGTGCGCCACACTGGAACGTCTCGAGGCTGTTGTGCCATGTCCGATGCCGTTAGATGAGCGCAACGAATTCATGGAAGCCTTTCGTAGGAGAGTCGGTGTGCCCAAAGAATGGTCACGGCCCTGGGACGGGCTACGGGACGGAGGTCGAGCATTCGGTGCTGGTGACTGTGAAATACGGCTCGTCGGTCTGAAGGGGGAAGCTGGTGCGGAGGAGAGACGGGTTGGAACTCGCCGGCGAGGCGAAGTGGAGATGGATAGTTGGTTCAATGACTTAGCCAAATCATCATGTTCGGGCTGTTTAAGGTTCCGTGCGGAAGACTGTCGCCGTAGCGGCAGTGACGGGCGAGAGGGAGATGCCATGAGGTCAAGAACTCAAGATGGCGGTAACCAGATTCCCAAGACGAATGAGGAATATCGATAAGACGGAATGAAACAAGACCAGCGGGGTCCTGATCAAGCGTTGGAGTTCAAGACGCAAGGAGAAAAGTCACAGCCCAAGGGGCTTAACTCAATCTCTAATCGCCTTTGGAATAGCTCCGACTCGTCGTGGCATGGACTTTTTTCTGGATCGAGATATTGGGGTGAGTGACGTCTTGCCCTTGTTTAGGGACCAGATCGCGTTTGGACTCTGGAGTAACGCGCTGAAGGTCACGTGCTTGAGATATGACGATGCTTGTTTGTAGATTGCCTTATTGGGAATGCTCAATGGATTTTTAGCTGGTGTTCAAACGAGCCAGTAGGTAGTAGTCAGTTATAGAAGACTTTGTTTTTTTAATAAGGACATAGAGTTTGTACCGGCTCATTCAATTTGTGTACTCTGTATACTTCTCCAGGATATCTCGATAATAAACAGATGGCTTACATAACTGCCTTACTGTGCAATTTTCCCGCGTACTCGGCGGTTCGGTAGTGCACGGTAGGATCATTGTCAGAGATTCATTAATTAAACCCGACATCTTGGTCAGACCTTGTAATTAATTATGCTTATAATTATTACCAGCGCTATTACTAACAACGGGAACGGAACCAAGATCTTTCTACGACACTTGTGTCTTTGAATAACTAAATACCGGCTGTCATCGAGAATACGAAAGACAGACAGCTATCTCAGTCTGGAATCACAGCTGAAAAATCAAGTGTGCACCAAGTTGGGTAACCTGGGCGAGGTTCAGCGCTGGACTCACCGCTCGCAAGAGGAAAACTGGAAGAGAAGAGTCACTTGTGACTGATCCCACTTTTGCCCGGTATTGGCCACGGGATTTCTTCTTCAATAATGGTCCCTTGTGCTGGCTCGTGGCCCTTGACGACTGGCTCTCATCAGATCCTTTTTTTGATTGATCATGGTGGTCCCTGATATCCTGGCCCAACCTAGTCCTCCATCGGGCTTGGTCAAATATCGCGCCCCATGTTGCCGAGACACTCGCGGTCCACCATGGTCCTGTCTCTCTCGGCTAGGCTGACTGACACTGACTTTGTCTCTGCACGGCCGGGCGTTGGAATTGGAAGGATTCGGGGCGAGAGTATGGAGCAACTACGTATTCTGTATGGGACGGAAGAATGCCGCTGTTTGTCTTGTTTAATCCCAACCTGGTGAGGGGTAATTGGATATCTGAGATCTTTGGGAGGAGAACCAAAACTCAGGCATGGCTGACGAGTGCCTTCAGACCTTTCGATAGAGTGCGAAGGAAGTAAAAATAGGAAACCGGTCCTGATCTAAATCTGAGCTACGGCTGGATGCAGCACATGCGACATTCGTATTGGCCGCCATCTTGCGGAAACAAGATGAGCATTTGTCTCGCGGAAGAAAGTAGAAACAAACTTCCGCCATGACCTAATACCTTGCATGACAGACAGGGCTGAGTGGTAATTACACACAAAGGTCCTGCCCATCCATACCAGCTCGACGCTGTGGAATTTTTCTTTACTAGAGTCATGACATGTCTTGGAACGAAGAGTACCACTTCAACACTGATCTGCCTCGTCAAGCTGCAATGCAAATGCACTGACAAATATCTGCACTAGAGATGCAGTGGTTAAAAGTGCAATCTGCCCATCGGCAGGGGTATGCACGAATCTATCCAACGGCATACTATAAAAAACGCCAAATATGCGTGTGCGGCGCCCTGCTTCGTACTCTGTGCTCCTTGGAGAATTGAGAACCCTTGATTTGCCAAGACTCCTGCTTGGGTATTGAATTTACGTCTGCCCAGACAATGAACGGAAAACGGCACTTCAGTCAGCCATTGCAATCTCGCCCTCATCACCCTGACTTACCTACAGAGTACAACGCCTTGGCTTGGCTGGGGTCTCTAGGCCTTCTTTTGCTGGGGCCACCTGAAGCAATTGCTAAAGCCTTGTCACCTTGATCTGGACTAGTCTCGAGAATATCCCTCCCCTCCTCCGCCTCTTTCCACTAGCGCAGGGCACCCCTGGGCTCGCCTCTATCGTCCCGTTGCGACTCTGGAGTTTTGTCTTGGAGAACGTTACCTGTGACCTCGAGAGATTTACGTGCAATTGCTACTCAGCCGCACCATAGCGCACTTGCTAATTGGATGGCTCTGCTCCAGCGGACCTGGGGACTCTGCCTCAAGGCTGCGTGAAGCCCGGAGCTAGTTCTACACCCTGGCCGCAAGCTTCCTAGCGCTGTGCATGTCTTGGTCTGGTTTGCCTGTTGCTCGATGAGGGAAGCTCAGCTCGGTTCAGTTCAGGTCAGGTCAGGTCCGGCCTCGTGAATAAATGCCCGACTGTCGGCCCTTCACCCCCCGGAGATTGCTTTCTGGGGGGAATCTTCTGTTCACATCTCTGTATAAGTGACTGTCTTGCTTCGATTTCGCTTCGACTCAGCACGACATTGTCCCAAGACATTCGAATTCCAGCAATCTCAAGCACATCTCTCGAATATCCAACCTCACAATGAAGGGTGCTGTTCTCTCCGTCTTGGCCACTGGCGCCGTTGCCCAGATCACTCAAGGTCCCTTTGCTGGCTTGGATTTGGGCCTGGATCAGGGCCATGCCGACTTCCGTGTCGCCGCCATCGACCGCAATAGTCCTGAGTTCGCAACCTGCCAGCAAGCTATCGGAATCGTTCAGAACTGTGTGTCCGCTATCGGTGGCACTGAGGCTGCTGCTACAGCTGATCCCGAGGCCCTCGTTGCTTGCGCTTGCTGTGACGGACGCGACAACGCTGCTCCCCTCTACTCCGCCTGCTCTGGCTACCTCGAAGAGGAGGCTGCTGAGAACACTTCTCAGTATGAAGGTGAGATCCTTCAACCATGACAAGCCGTCTGGGCAAGGCTTTCTAACAGTATTTAGCATACGGCACTCTATATAGCGCCTGCAAACTTGCTCCCAAGTGTACCGGAGGTAGTGGTAGCGGTAGTGGTAGTGGCAGTGGCAGCGGCAGCGGCAGCGGCAGTGCCAGTGCCACCGGCATTATTGGCCGTCCCACAGCTTCTCCTTCTGAGGAGGAGTCTGATACACCTTCCGAGACCCCTACGATCACTAGCAACACCAGCCCTGCTCAACAAACCTATGCTTCAGCCTGTGTTGACATGCTAGACATCTTCAGCTCATGCACACAAAACAACCGAGACTTCACCAGACTTCCCTTCACTGAGCAGGCCGAGTGCTACTGGTGAGTCCCATAGCTAATGCCTGATCGTTCACAAACTAACTCTGTATAAGCTGCCGTGGCTCTGGTGATAGACTCACCTGGACCGACTCATTCGACAAGTATGCTTCTACCTGTGCTGACTGGGCACGCACTGGCGAGCCCGATACCGCCTACCCTGGTACGTATCCCACTCAAAGCCACCACTTGAGCATATGCTAACTCAATGACAGTCGCCAAGACCTTCGCTACCTTCTGCGAGCGTTTCACTGACGTCTGTTCAAACGCTGCCGCCCGCACACAGGAGTCTGACTCCACCGCGACTGACGAGGCCAGCACAACTGAAGATTCCAACTCCCGCGCGACTGGCTCCTCCAACAGTGGCAGTGGCGGTGACGATGCCGCTACTAGTGAGCAGAACACTGGACCTGTCACTGTCACTGTTTCCAGCCCTGCTCAGCCTTCTGAGACTGGCAACGATGCTTCCTCTGCTCGTGTTGCCTTCGGTGCTGTCCTGGCTGCCGTTGCTGCTCTGGCCATCGCTTTGTAAGAGCATTAATGTGGCAATTGGATTGGGAGCGATGGAGTTTAATAATGGTTTCCGTTGTCAAGAAGACATGTTGGATGTAACGATTTATCCGCAATGTTTAATGAGATGCTGTAGGGGAACTCTTGGGCAAATGCGCCATCTTGTCATTATACCCTTGTTGTCATGAGCAGCGACCGCGTATATAGATTGATTGCATATTCATTTTCCATAATCACCATTTTTCTTTCTTCCAACGCCTTGCTTGTGATGATGTACTTGACTTCTATTCCGATAGTAGATCTATACCGACAACCTTCAATGCCCCAGACGCCCATTCTGGATATTCTGTCTTGTCGGCATATAACCAGGCAAAGAACTGACGAACAAATACAGGGAAACGGTCCTCCACAATCGCCTCTCGTATTTGTCGCATGAGATCCAATTGGTAGTAAACGTTGTGAATGGTCAGCAAGTGTGCTGCTACCGTCTCTTTAGAGGCGTTGTGGTGAACAAAAGCTCGAGTGATGCCCATCCCTCCTTGAGCGGTTGGCTTGCAGGCCATGCAGTTGCAACCCTCCTCGAGGAGTCCAAAATCAGTGGCGTACTTCTTATTGCGGATGTTGAGAACTCCATGTTTGGTAACTGCATTGCCAAATCGGGCGGTTCGCGTAGGCCACACACAGTCAAACATGTCAGCGCCCAGCGCTACGCTCACAACCAAATCCTCAGGATAGCCGATGCCCATAACGTATCGCGGCTTCAAGTCAGGCAGCATTTCCGTGCAGGCTGCAACGACTCTGCAATAATCGGCTTTAGCTTCACCACCACTGAGTCCACCGATGGCAATACCCGGGGTATCACGAGCCAGCATCTCGCGACAGCATTCTCGGCGCATATCAAGGTCCAAACCGCCCTGGATGATACAGAAAAGGTTCTGCGACTCGGGCTTCTTGTGAGCTGCGATGCATCGATCTAACCATCGCACGCTGCGCTCCATAGCCTCACGCATACGTGCGGCGTCGGGCGAGGTTGTGACAAGGACATCGTCCAACTGCATCATGATGTCGCTGCCAATACTGTTCTGTAATGACATGGAGTGCTCAGGAGTGAGAAGCATAGGTGTACCATCATGGGGACTGAGGAATTCAACGCCCTTTTCAGTAATAGTTGCAAGCTTGAGCAAACTGACCATTTGAAACCTGAGAAGTATTAGTCTGGCTTGCTTCCTTTTTAACGTTCATAGAGACATACCCTCCACTATCTGTTAAAATGTTGTGGTCCCATCCTTGAAGTTTATGCGCTCCACCTATCGCATCCAAAACTTCTTGTCCTGGTTTCAAACCCAAGTGGTATGTGTTGTTCAGACACAGCCGACAGCCAGTCTCTTCAAGTTGCTCAGGAGTGATACCTTTCAGAGATGCCTGAGTTGCAACAGGCATAAACATAGGAAGTTGTACTACTCCGTGAGGAAGAGTAAGTATTGATACTCGTGCTCTAGTGGTCTATCTTGGAGTATTTTTAATTAGTCCTGTGCGCCTCAATCCCAGCATCTGCAGCTAAGTGAAGCCATCACCGGATTGTAAGACTCACGGAGCATTTTGCAACAAGCTCGTGCGTCAAAGCAGGCGACTTGTAAATGTTCGACGATGTATACGCCATCCTTCTAACCACTTGCATGTGTTCTTTCCCGTCTGTGTAGCGATTAAAAAGATGAAAAGGGACAGCTCTTCTCCCCTCTTCGTCGTGTTAGTCGCTTGGCTGGGTTTTTCATAATGGAAGTTGCAGCGATGAGCAGGCAAGGGTTTCAGTGGGGCTTAGTGCCCAGGGCGGGAGGGCAGGAGGGTCTAGCACTTGAGCTGATTGGCCAATGAGGACATTCCGGGTCATTACCGGTAGATTCAACAGCTTCAATCTCCAGCGAATTTTCGTCGACTTCAGCTATACGCCTGTTGCCCATCACGAAGATACGATAACGGCAGGCCAATTGAGCTTGTCAAAAGGTCTCTGAGTCGAAATGGGGGGCCGCGCTGTTTCGCCCGGAGGGGCGCTGTTGAGATCTTCTCGACTGTTCTCCCTCCCTAAGCCATTGCCTGAGCCTCAGTCAACGAACCTGCACATTGGCGATCATAAGTCTCCCACCATGACACGACAATACCCGCAGTACCAGTCTATAACATCACCGCTATCGTCCCGAGAAAAGGGTGACTGGGGATTCAAGCGACCATTCCCTCTCAAGTCTACCCTGACAACGTCAACACCCTTGATCCGAGTCAAGCAGGTCGATTCCATCGAGAGCGTTACCGACTTTGCATCTGCTGCCGACCACACTCTTTCTCTCGAGAAATTCCAGGAGATGCGGATTCCCCTCTCAATTCCCAAAGGCAACGACAGAAGTGGTACATCTATGAGGAACGATTCATGGCGCAAATCAGTCTTTGAGGAGGATCTGGATTTCACCGAATATCGTAAAGGCCGAATTGACGACAAGCGATGGAAGTTCCAGGGCCCTTGGCTGGCTAGGATGACCGAGGGTGATTTTATCGCCTACCTCGACAAGAACGTTCGACCCAAGCGTTCCCAATTCAGACAGTTGCTCAAGGAGAGACTTGTTGAATCTATAAACTCCCAACGAGCCAAGAATGCCATGGAGCAGGGTAACTCGACAGCTCCTAAAATCAACATCTCAGAGATTACTGAGGACCAGTTCACAGACTACGTCCGCTCTTTACGAAGCGACCGTGCCACCCTTTACGGCCTGGTTTCTAAGTTCCTTGATCTTGCTCCCCTTGGCCAGCCTGTAGGCATTATTCAGACTTTTCTTTCCGCCGGAGAGAATGCGGCTGCCGAGAGCCCTTATGGTAAATCTGGACCTCCTCCTAGCCATCCCTCTGCTGGTATCAGCTATCTGAGGACAAACTCTTACATGGAGAACCACCCCGTCTATGGGCCTCAGAAACAACGCACACCCACTCTCGCCCGAGTCGTATATCCCAGAGTTGGCCCCTCATCTGCCAAACTTGGTGTTGGTGGTTTCGTAGCCGATTCTCCTCCAGGAGACAACGAGTTCAACACCAGGAATGCTCGTCTCAAGGTTTCAGTGAACAAGAAGATGCTCACTGGTATTACGCAGCTTGACACTACGACCTTTGGTGGTGCCAAGGCATATGTCAACCCTGAGACCGCAACCGTTGATCCTAGTGGAAAGGTCATTCTCCAGCTCCGAGAAGCCGGTACTGAGGCCCAACTTGTTGCAAGAGAGGCCCAAGGACGCACGAAGGTGTACAATGCATCAAAGCAAGCTTCTAAACAAGCCGAGGCTCCAGCTGATCCTTGGCGAGCCGACCGAGTTGCCGATGAGCTTCTCGGTGCGGCGAACGCCACTGCTCAGAGGGGTTCTGTGAGCAGCTCCAAGAACTATGGTCTTGATAGCAAGCAATAAGATACATATCTACCGGCGCACAGGGCGGGGGCTGGAGTTGCTGTATATCGATGTCATCTATTATCTCTACTACTTAGAGAAATTGTGTACCAAAGAACTGTACAAATAGAATTGAAGCATGAATCATCCAACTGTAACTCTCTCTATCAACTTACAACAAAATGGTGGAAGTTGAACAAACATATATAATTCTTGGCATAAATGGATGCTAGGCCTGCATAACTGGCTTATGCTTGCATATCCACCCCGCGCTCACTAGCGCCCAAGCTCGCATGAGGTAAGCGAGATAAGCCACACGTGATGCGAGCCCTAGAATTTAAGTGGGTCGAGGATTTGACCCACGCCGTCAACACCAAAAATCTAGGCCTGTAGCGGAATATCACAGCAGCGTCTTTCTTCAAACCTATCGCCCAACGTCCAACGTCAACAGTCCAATACCGCCAAAATGGGTCGCGTTCGTACCAAGACCGTCAAGAAGTCCGCCAAGGTCATCATTGAGCGATACTACCCCAAGCTCACCCTGGATTTCGAGACCAACAAGCGTATCTGTGATGAGATCGCTATTATCGCCTCCAAGCGCCTGCGCAACAAGGTTAGAAATGCCGGATCGCCAAGGCACGATCGAGGACAGCGACTGATTCAGGATTACAGATTGCCGGCTACACCACCCACTTGATGAAGCGAATTCAGCGTGGACCCGTCCGTGGTATCTCCTTCAAGCTTCAGGAGGAGGAGCGTGAGCGCAAGGATCAGTACGTTCCTGAGGTCTCCGCTCTGGACTTCACCCAGAACTCCGAGAGCGGCCAGCTCGACGTCGATGGCGAGACCAAGGACCTCCTCAAGCACCTTGGCGTATGTGCACCCCAGCCGTTTGGATGTGTTGGGCAGGATGCTAACAATACATGCAGTTCGAGTCTATCCCCGTCAACGTCATCCCCGTTACCCAGCAGCAGCTCCCCGAGCGTGGTGGACGACAATACGGAAACCGCCCTCGCCGCGACTAAAAGAATTGTATTTGGGATTATGATGGGTTTATGGGATTTGCAGGGCTTCACTACTTGGCGTCTTAGGACAGTGAGTGCATAGGTCTCAAAGAAAGATCTTACAACCCCCCAAGGTGTCGCTGATTCTCTGGATATCTCCAGGGATGACGCTTGATCGCCAAGTTTATCTCCATGCTTGTGTGAATGTGATCTTGCCCAAGACCAGTTCGCACGTTTCAGGAACTGGACCAAGGGATTGTTGTCCATCTCCAAGACCAGTGCGGCGGGTGTCATGGTGGGTATTTGCCTATCCTTACTATGACCCTGTCTATGATACATACGCCGCCGAACGCCTATCTTACGGATACCTAAAGAAGACACGATTTAGCATTATTTTTGCTTTTCATCCTCCAGCTTAAGTTTTGTTTTGTAGCCCTCGACAAGTAAGTGTTCGTCGTCGTAGACTTCTGGCTTGTCAGACATAGTGGAAGGCGCCTTGGCGTCCTTTTCCATGAGTGTGACCTTAATCTTCTTGTTCTTGCTTCGCGATGCATCAGGCTCTCCTCGCTCAAGGGCAAGGGCTGCAGTATCTCGAGCTGCTTGTCGTTGCTCTTCCAGCTTGAGCTTGCCCAGCTCGCGAGCTGTTCGGTCAACATCTGTTTCTTGGGATTTGTCCTCGTCAATCAGGTCGATCTCAATATCTGGGATGCCCGCACGCTCCCAAGCAGCTGTCTCGTTCAACTGGACCTTGACGTAGAGCGCGCGACGAGCGCATTGTTGAGAGCACCATTTTTCAAGGTCCTCGCGCTTCATAATGTTGCCATTAGTAATCTTCCACTCTCCGCCAGGCCCTGTATTCCGACGTGGTCGCGGACAAAGAGTGTAGCCACACAGCTCGTTCACGTTGCGCTCGATTATTAGGTCGTCATAATCTGAAGGCTGAAAAAGGCGAACATAAGCTTTGAAATCGGCCCTGTCGGATGGAGAGGGGTTGGATGCATTATAGGGAGGTTCGCGGACGAGAGGATATTCTGAAAGGACGACCAAGTTTTCGAGGATTTCTGCTTCAAGTTCTTTGCGATGCTCAATGATCTTAGCATGCTCGGTGGCGATCTCTCTGGGATCAGCATCCCGCTCTTTGATAGATTTGGGTTTCTTCAGAATGCCCTTCGGAGGTTGCTTCGACGTTGAGGCCATGGCAGATGGTTGATGCGGCTTTGAAGAAAGATGTGTGATATCGTAAGGTCTTCAGGTCTTCTCAGAATCAAAGCTTAGAAAGATCCAGAAAGGCCCCGCCACTACAGTTAGCTCGCTCTCCAAGAGCCCTTGCAGAGGGAGGGGAAACTGTGTAGCGATTGGACTATAAAAAAAGAAGCAACCTTGCACTTTGTTACAGCGGGACAGTGCATGTTTATAATGACGCCAACAGGCTACCAATTGCCAGAATTCGAAATGCATACCTCTAGGTCAACATTGACGGGCTATGAAGCGTATTTGGAGGCTTCTTTAGTTAAATACGTCTGATTTTATATACCAGGTAGATTCTATTACCGCTTGTTTAAGTCTATCTTGATTTTATGCTTATAAGACAAGATTAATTATATCTAGGTAATAGACATACTGTATTTGTTACCTTGTATTGCAGCCTGTACTCTACAGTCGCGAGTCTTCAAGTACGCGGTAAACCAATCAAACTGTAAATACCTACATCATGGATGATTGATGCATTGTTCTTCAACGCAAAGAACCATCATTCGGTGACATTTATAAAACAGAAATGGTATAAATAGTTGTTTCAAAATTATCACGGGCCAGCATCAATGCCCTGTTACAGCACGGATAATTGTTTTGGAAGAACAGCCAGCGTTTCTACTACCCCATGTTGTCATGCTTAGTTGGGTCCGGACTGCTCGGTCATAGATAACTCAACATACGACCCCACGAATTAAAGATAAAGCGCAATGCAATGCGTTGATTCACAATTGCGTGTTAAGTCATCCGCATTTCTCTACGAAACATGTGTCTTTATCATGATAGCCATGGCCGACTATCTTCGGGGCTAGGTATCACCTAATTGGAAACTTCCACGCACCTAGCACTTTTAGCCTTGGGATGTCTATTCTAGAGGTATCAAAAGAGTTGACCGTCTGGTCGAGGTGATAAAAAGAATTGAGTTTGATGCAGTCTCGATCAAGACTAAGCTTGTTCAAGTATTTCCGTCACCTAATCCAAGACGGCCAAGTATTATGGCACCCTGAAGGGGATTACTACAAGACGGAGTGATGGGCTCATAGCGCTGACGTCGACAAACGCCCCAGCCTAGCCCAGCCCAGCCCAGCTTCTTCGTCGTAGGCCAGCCTTTGCTCTATGCTCAATGCTCCATTCTCCATGGATGCTCATGCTCCGCTAAACACCACCCGCCGCCTCCTTGCAACCTGCATCTCATCTCTCTCATGCTCGCTTGCATACTCTTTTTTAAGGTCCCTTGCATCACGCGTAATAATTCCTAGCACATATTGAAATTCAAACAATCGTCTTCCTACATAACTGCGCCTTCAAACAACTCATCACTACTTTCTCCCCCGCCTTAGTTGATCCCGCACGCTGACGACGACCCCCTGTCGTGCCCCACACCCGACCTACCCAAACCAAGCGAACTGTTGACCTACGAATACTATCCACGCACTATACCTTGGTGCTCCATTACAGCCACACGCCCCGAGCAGCTTTGATCCGAGCCTCGGGCAGCATCTGTCCTGCAAGAGAGCTTCCCAGAGGATCAATCACCAGCAAAATGGCCGCGCCATTCAAGGTCAAGGCCATCTACGAGTACTCATCGCCTCATGAGGATGACCTCAACTTTGCTATTGGACAGGTCATCACCGTCAACGAAGAGGAGGACGCTGACTGGTATGGCGGGGAATATCTCGACGACCAAGGCGTGAAGCACGAGGGTATATTCCCTCGAAACTTTGTCGAGAAGTTTGAGCCTACCGCGCCGCCTCGTCCAGCTCGAACTCGCACCAAGAAGGAGCCCGAAGCTACTCAGCCAGCCGAAGATATCACTTCTCCTCCACCGCCACCTGTTCAGCAAGCGCCACCTCCAGTACCCGCGCCCGAGCCCGAGCCTGAGCCTGAGATTGAAGAAGCTCACGAGCCCATCAATAAGCATTCAGCATCAGAACCGGCTGCACCGGCCGTCCCGGAACCTACCCCTTCGAAGCCCGTCGAGCTCGCTCCGGTTGCATATCCCCCGCCAGTGGCAGCTCCCAAAGCTGTTGAGCCTCCAACCCCCGCTCCAGCTCAAGCTCCAGCTGCGGCTTCTCCTAAGCCCAAGCCCTCGGTACCACCTCCTGTCTCCGGGAAGCCTTCGACAAACTCGTTCAGGGATCGCATTGCGGCTTTTAACAAACCCGCAGCTCCTCCGGTCGCGCCCTTCAAACCAAGTGGCTTAGCCGGTACGGGTACAGGTTTTGTTAAGAAGCCGTTTGTGGCTCCTCCCCCAAGCCGGAACGCTTTCATTCCTCCGCCACAACAAACTCCAACTGCCAAGGTCTACCGACGTGACGAGGACCCCGAAATCAAGGAACGGGAGGCTGAAACTCAGGGACAAGCCGAGAGGGCTGGACTTGTGCCAACTGAATCTCAGGGAGGTGAAGATGAAGATCAACCTAAGCCTACTAGCCTGAAGGAGCGCATTGCGCTTCTTCAGAGACAACAGCAGGAGCAAGCAGCGCGGCACGCCGATGCTGCTGCTAAAAAGGAGAAACCGAAAAAGCCTCAGAAGAAACGGGAGAGCATCGGGAATGCTGACGCCCCAGCTGAGGCGGAGGCCTCACCCCAAGAGCCTCAAACTCCTCTTGAGCGCAGAGACACCCAGGATACCGAGGCCAGAACATCTACAGAGGAACCTCGGCCAAACCGTATGCCACCCCCTCCTCGTCGTAAGTCGTCCAAGGGACCTGCGACGGAATCTGTACATGATGGAAATGAGGCGGACATGTCTGGCGCTGGCGATACAACCGAAGGCGTCGACGATGTGACGGAACGCGAAGATAGCGATGGTGTGTCCAAACAAGCACCACAGGCGCCTTCATTGCCTATCCATGCTGGTCCTCCTCCTGAGGCGCCAAGAAAGGAGGGGAGCGACGAAGAGGAAGAGGAAGAGGAAGAGGGAGAAGAGGAGGAGGAAGTTGACCCTGAAGTCAGACGTAAAGAAGAATTAAGGGCGAGGATGGCTAAGATGAGTGGTGGTATGGGTTTCCATGGCATGTTCGGCGCACCTAAGCCTGCGCCTGCACCTCCGCCTAAGAAAAAGAAGGCGCCCCAGCCAGAGCGTACATCTATTGACGAGAACATGGAGGGTTCATCACCAGCATCCTATTCCGCACCTCCAGTCCCTGCCATGATGCCTCTTCCTGGCTTTGGTGGCCCAAGTAAGCCAGAGGAGTCAACCAGACCTGAGGCGGAACATGAGCCAGCTACTCGAGCTCCTCCACCTCCAGTGCCGTCTCAGCCCCCTCGACCTAGGGAGCACGAGGATGTGGAAGAGGAAGAGAGCGATACTACACCTGCGCCTCACTCTGCCCCTACAAGTATGTGTAGTAAAGGCCCGTATTCCAGCTTTGATACTAACAGTCACGTAGTTCCTCCACGAGACCCTGCAGGCGCTCCTCCTGTTCCTGGTAATCGAGGGGCACCACCTCCTGTACCATCTGAGGGTAAGTGAAGTCTCGATTTAAACCGGACACCATACTGATATTTATACAGCTCGGCCTCCCCCTCCTGCGCCTCCCGCCGATGTGAGATCTCAATCAGATGGATCAGAGTCTGGAGATGAGCTTTCTGGCGGCCGCGATAGTGAAAGGGAACCCCCCGTGGCTATAAATTCCGTCCCTATGGCTCCGCCGCCAGTTCAACCTCCTCACCTGCCTGCGAGATCGCCACCACAGTCTCCTACCCGCGAGGATTTTAGCCCTACGTCTCCTGCATCCAATGCTAGTAATAGATTAAGTCGACTACCGCCTCCTATCCCCGGAGCTGCGCCAGCTCTTCCTACTCAAAGCCGACCTCCCCCGCCTCCTCCTCCGGGTGTTCCCCGGCGACAATCCACCCAGGATTCGTATGGACAACCCCCCAGAGGACCTCCTCAGGCTGGTGAGGGGGAAAATGAAGAACTTACAGAGTATGAGGGCGATTACGATACCGATATTGCCTCCTCGGTTCCCCATAAGGACGCTTTGAAGTCACACGCTCGTGATTCAAACCTGGAAGACAACACCATCTTATCACCAACTTCTGATGCTCCCCCTAGCTTGCCGCCTCCTATTCCTGCAGCGGCGCCTCCTAGAGCTGTCCCGCCGCCTGTCCCTTCTCAGCAGCCTACAGAGATTAAGCGACAGTCCGTCGATATACCTCGCGCTGCTCCTCCACCACCTCCGCCTATGGAGAACAAGCGACAATCTATTGACGTGCCACGCGCAGCACCTCCCCCTCCCCCTCCAGTTATCACCCCACAAGCGCCTCAGTCGTCTCTTCAGGGAGAGGGATATGACCAATACAACTATTCATCACCTCCCCCCCCTGGTGGACATTACTTTTCTCCTAGAACGCCTAAGATTGAGGAGGAGGCTATCTTCCCTGGCTCTCCATCTGTTGCCTCCCCTGTTGATCGAAGGGTTCCTCCCCCTTCTGTTCCTGCAGGCCGTGCTTCTGGTCGTCAGTCTCTTGATATTTCAAGGGCTGCGGCTGGAAACAGAAGATCCATGGACATGCACCGACCATCGATGTCGATGGAGTCAGGTTTTATTGCCAATGACTTAGACTTGGCCATACAAAGCGGCTGGTGGAAGCAGGCTAATCAAGTGCCACCTGTACTCCAAGGCCGCAAAGACATATATTTTGAAGCTGAAGAGGCGACATCTACTAATGGCGGGCAAAAAACAACAATAACGCGCCAAATCTTTATCTTATATCAAGATTATTCACAAACCTTCTTGACAATTCGCTACGATCCTTACGACCCCTCGGATGTTGAACTCGAGCAACGCCATGAATCCCCACCACGTCCGCTCCGCCAGGACCAGATGGAAGAGTTTTATGAACGATTCGGTCGCCACATTTCGACGGCTGTAGCATCTAAGAAGGACTCTATTGTTGCAGACGGTACCCCTCAAGGTCTTGTACTAGAGCTTCTTCGACCCTACAAGGACGCTTTGCCCCCCGTCGGCACTCGTGCTTATGGCGCCCTTGTCTATTCCAACATGGCCAATGCATCAACCCAGCAGAACGACGTGATTCGGGCTGGCGACATCATTACCATCCGCAATGCGAAGTTTCAAGGCAAGCACGGCCCCATGCACGCCAAGTATTCTGCTGAGGTGGGCAAACCCGATCACGTCGCTGTAGTATTTGAGTGGGATGGCACCAAGAAGAAGGTGCGTGCGTGGGAGCAAGGCCGCGAATCCAAGAAGGTCAAGGTAGAGAGCTTCAAGCTCGATGACTTGCGAAGCGGAGAGGTCAAGATCTGGCGCGTCATGCCTCGAAGCTGGGTTGGTTGGAACAGCCAGTCCTAGAGCAGCTGGGGCCGACACAGCGAAGGCGACGATAATCTTTGGGAGAGGATGTCTATGATGATGATGACGAATAATAGGAGTTCACGGATGGGTGTTGGAGTGCGGCCAAGTCCTAAGGCGCTGAGTGGTGGATCAAAGGTTCGTGGGCAATACAGGAGGAGGATTTGATGCGCTGCAAGAGGTGTGTGCTATAGGAGACGAGTGGAACGCGAGAGATTTAGTTAGTTGTAAAGCAGTTCGATTAGTAGGTTATGTTATTGACCGATGCTCTTGACCTGTGTCACCTCTGATTCAGCATCTTACACTCTTGAAATCCCATGGTTGCTTCTGTTCAACCAAGTATCGCATAAATCCGAGACACACTTTACTTCAAGCACGGCCCGGCCGTCAAGAGAGCGGTTCCACGGCCACGTTTCTAGTTGTTACCGGCCGGACACTAAAGAGCTTGGAGCGTTGCATTGTATAAGCCCGAGCAAGCATGATGCCCCTTCTGTTGCTTTGATCGGCATGATCTTCACAGTGGAGGACTGAACATCAAATCAGATGTGATATCTGGACGAAATTGTAACAAAAGACTCACGCGGGTGTTACGACGCCCTTGTCATATAACCTAGTTGGAATTTCAATAGCACGAATCAATGTCATGAAAGTATGGTGACTGATGAAGAGGTACTCATGCTATGAGCAAAGAGATAAGCAGAGAAGGTATGGTCAACTTTGCACATCCACTACCGAAGATGGAACAATTGGATCAATCGAGTCAGGTCGCACCCCGAAGCATTGGATAGCAGACAGGCAAAATACATTGCCTCGTATCTGACATAGCACAATTAACGCTGAAATGAACAACACTCTACTTCTTTGTGTGACCGGGATGTCAGGTAAGGAATAGCCATACCTATGCTGAAAAGCACGAGATAGCTTGTGCGACAGCATCTTGGGTACCAGAGGCTTGCATCTAGCAAATAGCTGCTCCCCGATCAGTTGTTTGGCACACAATGTGCACATGAATGCATGGTCAAGAGCGGCAGAAAAGGTGCAGGGCCCGAAGGCCCGGCTATTGTCCATTCGGATCAAGCCCCATCCATGTATCGACTCTTCTCGCCTCGAGGGTGCATCTTGAAAGCGCCTGATAGTAGCATATTCCACCGACGGGCCGGTACCTCCATCCTCCGCAACGTGAAGCGCGGGGGAGAAGAGCTTTTCAGATGAAAAGTGAGGCGTCAGTTATTTTCCAGCCTGAAGTTCGGGTATGTATGTGGCTAAGCTCGGCTTTCAACCTCAAAGGTTGTCGTTGGTGACCTTCGATTCTGAGGCCTGACACTCGATGCCTCTGGGCTTTACTGGAAGCTTTCGTCATGAATCCAATCATCTCATCGCCATAATGCTGTCAACTTCTCGATTAAGCAACTGCATACTTGGTACTGTACTGTAGCTGGCTTAGCTCCCGTAGCATTGCGTCAAGCCGACCTGCTGGTCTCGGATAGGTGCAGTAGTGAAATGATGGACGAGAAAACAGATCAACAACGCTAAAACGCAGCTTGGGTCGAATCGATGGGAGACAGGGCTAGACCGGAGACAAGGTGAGGTCAGCTCGGCGACCTGCAGACCTTGAAGCTTACCAACGATGCTGTGGCTCTTTTGACATGACGGCATATGGCTCTACCGAGTGGTTCACTAGCAAGGCTCTAACTCTAACTTCGTCTACTGTAGCCGGTCGAAAACGGAAGTATGTCTGCTTCCGCCCCGGTTGGGCTAAGTACGAGTTCATGGATAAGCAGACTCTCTAATGGAGTGTAGGTATTCCAAAGTTGCGGCCTCATGATGGTCAGGCACAGGCAGCACGAAACGCCAAGAAAGAAGCAGAGACGTCGACTAAACGCTTCCACAGGCTCCCGACGAGACAGCAAACACGACGGCCAAGGTACTGCTCCGGAAGTTCGGTTAAGTAAAGAACCACTGATCTCGCGATTGGCCAAACCTTCCATTGAGCAGTGGCTGCATCTCAAAAGGACGAATGGGCGGTCAACACATGAACAAGAACAAGAACCGCATCTCGATGGGTCATACTGGGGTCGTAAATCGCATTTGGCTTGCATGTTCAGCGCGTGCGAAATAGACGAAAAGGTGGGAGGGGTGCAGGGTAGGGCACACTATTTGAGCCTGAGTTATTATAGTTGTGTAACTGAGTTGTGCATAATAATTGCAGGAATTCCTTCATTTGATATGTTAAAATAAACATTAGAATGATAGTCATGATAATGATACCTGATGATCAAAGTGTTGTCCGGATTGTTTTGAGTTCTGCACGTTTGGGCGTATGGTACTGGAGCTGGTGGATTCCGTGCCACATAGCTAGGCTTTTCTTTGGATCTTGGAACACTAATTCCTCGGGAATCTGGAAGGCTATCGTTTCCCTAAGAATGGTAAAAACCAGACGTCACCAGTATGCCTGGTAATGGCCATCTACAAACATGATGTCCAAGCATCACGTTGTGAGCCAGCAAAGCCATGTGTTGGCTGACCCGCCGCGCGAACTGTCTTCCGGGGCGGGACGTGATGGAGCGGACGACCCAGTACGGATAGTCGCTGTTTGTTGGCGCAGCAGACAAATTATCAAGGCTGATGTTGCAGACTGTGGAGAGGGAATTTGTACAGCTCACTTTAGACTCCTCGCCAAGGGGACCCATGCTATGACAGCTCCCCAAATAGAAGCACTTAGACACCAAGTCCAAGGCGGAGTCGACAATCTCGAATAGGCCACGACAAGAAGCTCGTGGCTCAGCAGTCCTCAGTTGTCGTTGCAGCCTTGTCACCGACATTGCCAACAAAGATATTCGAAACTGAACACTTCAACGAGGCAGACAAAGTGGATAGAGAAGGCTGACGCGTTCTATCATGGCCGATAAGCCACGGACAAAGTAGGCATCAACCACTCAAAGGCCTCAGGGCTCTGAGCATTTTGGGGCGACAAAAAAGCGAAGAAATGAGATGCAGTACAATCCAATCGGCCCTGCATATGAGATCCCGGGGTCACCGGGGGTCCTAAGACATTCTGGATCAGGAAGAGAAGCCAGAGAGACCAGCGAAATGTCAAGTGAAGAATGACTTGGATGGTTGGTTCTATGTTTGGTTGGTGGAAGCTGAAAATGGAGATGGATGGTGGGGGAAACCTCAGGCTACCCATGAAATGCAAGGACTCGATGTGATGATATGCAAAGGGCCATGGAGCAAGGTCTCTCACCCTCCTAGCTTGAATGGTCTTGAAAACTGTAGTAATACCGTAATATCATGAACTAAAAAACATTCTCGGCACTTGCTAACATACTTAGGTACCTTAGGAGGGGAGGATATTGGTTAGCCCAGGCTCTCAACTGCAAAATAGGTAGACATAATCATATAATGCCTGAGGTATTATATTGCCCAAGAGGATTGTTGCAACTGGAGGCAACTCCCCTAGCACCTTCCGTGATAACCTAAGTATGGAAATCACCGAAGGAGACCTAGGACAAGCCAAGACGGAAGGTACAAACGATGCTATCGTAGTAGACTCATAGCACCTCGTGACCCTACAAGAGTCATTCATCATCAGAAATCAATCATGCTCACCTCAGTTATGAAATCATGGAATATTCCAAAATCAGCCAAACCTCTAACAACCCTTGTTAGGTAACTGGACAGTACATGGATTATGGTACTGTGCATACAGGCCAACCTACCCTATGATGTACGTAGCGGAGAGGCCCTGCTTGTCTGTCGTAAACTGGAACTATACTAAACCAGACGGAGACGCGACACTGAGACGTTCAGGGCATGTTACTCATTTTGGTTCAACAATGGTAAGAAAAATTGGGCCGCGAGCCAACACACTCGACGAGCCGAGTTTCAATAGCTTCCATCGCTCCACCAGACGGACAACGGGCCGTCGTGGGGGAAGGATAGAGAGCATAGTTCTAGATATGCGTGGTGCTGAAAGATTGGCGGGCGTTTAGGGACTGGAGATGGTAACGTCAAGTTAGGGGTCCTACTCTAAGGAAACTCTAAGTTAACACTGCTTCTGTACGATACCTAGGCAGTAAAAACAACACCCAACAACTAACGACGCACGTTAATTACTCGGCCTGGGTCCGAGGCCACCCTGGAAAATTCTCGCGACATCATCGCTACCCAGTGATCAGGCTTAGCGACGCTTGATCGACAACCACTTCAGCAAGATCCCATCGATCGGCGCGCATTTCAAACCCGTCATCCTCATTCAGAAGCGATTGTCGCCTAAGACCCCAGAAAGACCAAATCGACGGGACGGAGGCAACAGGCTAACAGCCCACCCATGGTGTGACTATGAGCTCGACATGAGCTCCAAACAGCCATTGCACCCCAGCTGTGGCCTGTCCTGTCTGTCACCGGTGTGGTACACCGTCACAACGTCCTCACACGCGCACCCTCATGCTTTCTTTAGTGGCCGAGCAGCGACCGGTACGCACTAGGAATCTCATCCGGGGCACTCTGCTGCTTAGCCGTCCCCCCACGGATGGCTTTAGGTGCTGTACATGGACGCTCCACAGAGCCATCTACTTCCTACAATGGAGACGAAGTGCAGAAACCTGTCCAATGTTCTTGACGCTTGTCCCCGACGCAGTCGGCTGTGTGTCAAAAGTTGGAATGTAACGCCTGGGTTAATCAGCCACCGACCATAGGAGTCGCCTCTGGGCTGGCTAATTTTCTCATGGCGCAGTGGGTGACCCGACAGTCTGCCCACCGTTGACTCTACAGTAACATTGCAATATTTTTGCAGAGACGTGAACTCTCGTTTCACTTTCGCCCAGACCTTTTCCCTCCCGGCCAACAAGAAGTGCAGAGATGCTAGGGCTGCAACAGTGTTACCTCTGGCTGGACACAAGAGGCACTAGGGGGTGGCTATTGAAGGCTAAAGTACAAGATGAACAAATCTGAGACCGCGGCGAGGCGTTTCTTCCTCTTCTCCCCGCCGTGGCTCGAGTTGACAGGTGGTCCCAAAGTGGTCCGTCCCTAGACCAGGTTCCTGATGTGGCCTCGAGTCCATGCCTCATGCCTGAGCACACGGAGTGAGCACACATATTACCCCTGGCATCTCTTGAGCTCCACATATTGCGTATTAAGGCCAGGCTCGGTACCAAATAAGCCCCCCTCCCCACCATCCGCCAACGTCCGCCGTTAGTTTACCACCATCCATATTAAGGGCAGAACCGGCTTCAAGATATATCTCTTGGTTGTCTTCCCATTTACGATACTGACAAACTCACGACTCTCGACTATCATCAGACACGACTAAATCTGACTGTGTTATATCTCACACCCTACTCTTTCAAATACATCTTGATATATTCCACCACGACATTCATCAAAACTCTTTACCTTTGTTCAAAGAGTTAACATTCATATCACTTACACGCACCTCCTGAACTCTATCCCCTTTTCAACACCACGCTGGATATCACCACGCTGCTCCTAAACCAATTGATATCTACCAAACAATGACGTCCGATTTTTCACTTCGGCGGCAACGGAAAGTTGTCATCACCACATCTCCCGCTCCTTCCGAGTCTGATTCACGCCGCGATTCCTACTTTTCAGAAGCCTCTCAGTCAACAGCACCTACATCATATCACTCAGTTTCCGGCTCTAATAACAAAACCCTCGATGTATCCCAAGGCCATAAACCCACGACGGGAATGAAAGCACCAACTCCTGCCGAGCGCAGATTTGACATGACATCATCCTCGATCGCCACATTCGACTCAGTTTTGTCTGAGATGGCACCTTTATGTCGCGATTTGCCAGTCGGTGGCGAGGATCTGGAGATTGAAACTGAAGATGAGGTAGAAGAAGAAGAAGAGCAGGAAAGTGGCGACGACGACGACGATGATGACAGGGAGGATGATCAAGAAGACGCAGACAAGGACTTCATTCTGTCCGACCCCGAATCGCTTCACATCCCTCCAGTACTGCCACCTTATCGCGGGACATCCAACGAACGACCTTGCCGACCATCTACACCTCAGGACTTTAGTCGACTATTTCCTTCACTGGACCGACTTGCTGTGCGCCATGATGATTGTACCTCCGACGGCAATATGAATCTCCGTGTTGATACCGTGGTCCCATTTGGACATTCTCGACGAACACTCGCAGTCCAGCTCTTCCACCTTCGCATGCACGACCTTGTTCGCCGCGAGTTCTCCCTGCGCCGGTATTGCCGTGACTCTGGCCGCGAGGTTTGCAATTCCAAGCGCACATATGCTCCAGCACCTACTGGTACCGTTGCCGCAGCACGCCCTGCCATCCAACGGTCAATGAGTTCTGCCATGCGGACGATGACCACGCCGTTTCACCGACCTACGTCCAGCACGTCCTCAATCTTCAAACACGGCAATGCTGCCAGCGCTTCAGACAACGCTTCGGTTTGGTCTGGCTCGCACCACACCGACAGGTCGGAGTCACAAACACCCAAGCCTAAGGCACGAATGGTACCCACCAACCGTATCAAGCTCGAATTTAGCAACTACGCTCGTGTGGACATTGCGCGACGAGGTGGACGCACGAACAAGCGGTATGAGTTTGAATGGTGGGGTCACACGTACGCCTGGAAACGTGTAATCGACAAGAACCTCAATGTAGTCTCATTCCACCTTGTGCGAGATGGCCATGGCACCCCTATTGCCCATATCGTTCCTGAAATGCGCAGTCCTAACCAGGTTCTCGACGACGAGATGGCTGGTGCTTGGGTTACCCCTTGCTATATATGGATTAGCGACAATAGTATTATTGATGCTATTACAGATGTGGCTGAGTAAGTAGTCATGCAACTCTATGGTAATTTGTCTAACAAGAATTTAGTGTCATCATTTCTACTGGTCTCATTTCCCTCGTCGACGACTGCATCAAAGAGCGATGGCAAGCCAAAAAACCTTCACATCGTGCCATTCGCAGGGACACTGCCGACTTGAACCAGTCGAACCCTCGCTCATTCATGCCCAGCTTCTTCCAGCGTCGTCACTCTGAGGAACATTCTTCGAGTCGTGGCTCGATGAGATTTGGTCGTAAGCCTGTTGCTGCGTATTGATAATCAACAGGATCGAAATGCCTATTGAGCATGTTTGCCTATACGAACATCTACATTATTATATCTCAATTCCTTGTGTGCTTGAAAAAACAGGAGAATATGAGACCTGCTTCTCACCACAAAGAACCGCAATCTTCATTCTTATTCTATATCTTTTGTTTTAACATCTTTCCCCCCCGTCACGAACGGACTTGTATATTTCCTTTGGTTTATTATCTGCCTACGCCCACCACAGACCGGTAGGGCTGCGAGGTATTGGACAGGCATTTACGGGATTCGATATATCATCCCTACGATTACAGCATGCGAGGCGCTTGGGAGTTTATGGACAGGGCTACAAAGAATAGGTCCTAGGACAGGAGATCTGGGTTGGCTCCGGCTCATCCGGCATTTTTGTTTACCCCGGATTGGACTATGCCCCTTACCCCAGATATGAAAATGGGTATGATGGAAGGAATGGAATCGAACCACTACAGTATTGAAATATTACATTGGCCAAAGTCCATGCAAAAGACAAGTTTATGTTGCAACCAGGCACAATCGCGCACTTGAGATGAATATTGTCATGAGCTGACACGAATCAAAGTATCGGGATTCACAGAATATGATTGGTACGCAAAATTTTCGTCTAGCTGCAAGTCTAACTGCACCTATTGGTATAAGTCCAATGCATGGTCCATCCATGTATGTGCAGATGGGTGAAAAAAACCTCACCCGATCCCCGCTTGGCCCCTTGTCAGACCAGCTGGAGATGCATCTGGGGAAGTGGGAATCGTGCCACTGGTAACGCCACGGACGCGGGGGGAACATGCGCCTGTTTTTTTATTGCTGCAGGGATACCTTGAATCGGTAGCCTGCCATTCTCGACCGTTCCATGTAAGTCTTACCAGCTGGCCGTGCTTTTGGTGCCCGCATACAGCATATTGTAGACGTCAGAAACGACTGAGTTTGCTGCTTGATATCATCGTGTCAGTCCGTTCTACCGAACCATGTGCCAAAGTCAAGCTTCATGAGCAGGCGATTGATGCCACCAACCCGAGCAGCCGTGAAGCCACCCCGTTCCTCTACATCGTCTGTGTCCTGTGCTCTGGCTTGACGCTGCAGTTCGTCGTCGTCGTCGTCTTGTTCTTCTGTCGTAATGGCGGGAGCCATGTCGCCCTCCCATTCAGCTGTGAAGATGGGATCTGACTCAAGAAGACGCAGAGCAGCGACAACGTCTTCTATGCCAGAGCGAACACGTGACTCGATGTCGTGGAGACGACGCTTGACATCGCGCTCTTCGGACTCGAGGTCGACAAAGGCGTCAACTACGCCGGCGTCTGTTTCGAGATCAATGGACGTGTATATGGCATGTAGACGGTGTAGATGCGCAACGAGGTGGTCGATGTGAATAAGGAGGTTATAGAGAGGTTGCGTAAATGTAGGCTGGGTGAGAAGAAGGCGGTGAATGAGAGTACGGAGGTAGAGGCGATGAGCTGTTGAGAGGGTTTGAGGGTCTTGGGGAGGGGTTGTCGAATCTGGTGTCTTGGGAGTATCGTTTTGAGCTGGAGTCTTGTCATTTTCACTGTTCAGCCAAATATCCTCGTCATCTTCTTCACCATCCCCATCTTCATCGGGTAGTTTAGTAGGCGAGGGTGCTCTAGACTGTCCATGCTTTGGATCGTTGGCCGTTAGCCATTCATGAAAGCCCTCCCATAGGCCAGCCACGATCTCCGTTTGAAGGTAAGCCTCTGTCTCAGCAAGGAAGAATATGGCAGCACTGGCGGTTGTCCAAGAACTTCGCATTGACGATGACCGGGCTGTCCATCGCTTCCGAAGGAGAATGATCTGGTCCCGATCGCCTCTCGGGGTCGGATGGTGCCGACGTAGAGATGTGATCTTCCACAGGTCAGTAAGTCGGATGTGCGCCCTGCGCATGGATAATAGATAAGCGTTGATGCACGAGTATATCTGAACATCCGAGGGCGAGAGAACCATATCCAGCGGTGGAGGAATTTGAATTGATAGCAACGAAGGAACGGAGAATAGGAGATTCCGGAATGGCGACTCGGATAAAATGTTTGCAGCATCACGGCTGAGACCAGAGCCATAACCTAGAAGAGCAGTGGCCTTGCTCTTTGTAAGATTGAGTCGCAAGAGGTCTCGAGCAAGTTCGAGTTGCTCGTCTTCCTCGGCGTGCTGGCCCTGCATAGATGCTAGAACAGCCCATGTTCTAGCGAGGACTGCCGCAACCTCACCTTCTTTGACTATCACATTCTTCAAACCATCACCTTTTTCGTAAGCCAAGTTATCTGCTCTCCTCCACCGGCTGCGTATCTTCTCATCTGCCTCGTGGGTCAATTGCATAGCAAATTCACCACGGCCAAGAAGGAAGAAATCTCTGAGTAACTGTAGCATTTCCGTCACCTTTGCCAGCGGCAGTAGTTTCTGAAGTGTGTTTTCTGACAGCGATATCCGGACGGCGATGATAGCTCTTGAGAAGCTGGTGCTTTTTAGTGGAAAAGAAAGGCTTGACAGTTCTTGTAGCTTGGAAGACAGATGGTCCAAGCCACGAAGCCCCGAGTCTACACTGCTTTTGACTCTGATGTGATTTAGTGACTTGCCAATGAAGAGCATTGAAGACGCTGTGGCTGGCGTTGCAAATGCTGGCAATAGACTGGACCGTGATATATATTCCTGCTTTTATTAGCAATGTTTTGCAGGGACGCAGAACAAAACCTACCTCGTCAGATTGTTCAACTTTTTGGATAAAGAAGTCTTCGCTCCCAAAACTTGGAAGTCTGCCATATAATATCCACGCAGAGACCTGCTTTAGCCAAGCTGTCTCGGCCACTGTGACGAGACTCATGGCTGTATCTTGGACATCTCGATATCCGCTCTGTAGCTCAAGGCGCAAACGGTCCATGAGCTGTGCGCCGTGGCATTCTCCGCCCTTCTTATCCCTGGCCAGCATAAACTGCACCATCTCCCACAGCCAGTCCATTCTTCTAGTCCAATCCTTAAACTCGCCCATCACAGCCGTTAAGGGCACGATGTTGTACGCCCCAACCAGCTCCGGATCATCCTGTAGTATGCTTGCCTCGACATCGAGAACTTTGCGCTGGAACGCAGATAGGTGAATGGAGTCTATAGCTGTTGCGACGGCTCGGCAGATAGTCGACTGGTGCGAGTTTGCTACTTGAGCTGTATAGCTGATGAGCTTTATGTGTACGTCGCTGAGATGGGCGGCTGAGGAGAGGAGTTGTCGCTCGGCGGGAGAGACGCCGGACAGAGCATGGGGTTGCGTGGCATCGGTTCGTAGGAGAGGAGAGGGATGTCCCGAGAGGGAGAGGAGGATTTCGTGGAACATGGCTCCGATCGTGGTTCAGGTTTAGATTCGGGTTCGGGTGAGCTTGGGTGTACGATTAGCGGTGATGCATCACAGGCCGAGGATCGTAAGAAACGCACCGATTTTGGGCTCTTTTAGATTCGATAAATTCGCCAATATCACGTATTGTAATTATGATAACACCGATCAGTTCGAAACGGCACATGAACCAGCTGCCTGCCCTCCTGGAGGTAGAATGAGCACTACAAAGACTCTGAAATAGAGCTCTATTAAGGCCAATTGTTGTGATTCAGCCAAGATCAAGTTCAATTCCGAGTAAGAAGACGTCTCCGGTATCCTGGCTTTTGGGCGATTCGAACGTTAACATTGCGTGCCATGGATAAAAGTAGGTATTTATGGAAATTCAAGGTGAAGCTGTATTAGGCGCGACGCGATGGTCGTAGCTGCGGACTGCCCCGCGGGTGTACCGTGCACGTGAGAATTGATACTGTAGCAATAATTCACTTACACTTACACTTGCGTCTTAAGTTAGACTTTCATCCTTCACGAGAGTTTATACTTGTCAATTCAAATTGCTACAACGGCTTTTAAACATGCATTACTGATAAGATTCATATTCGTAAAACCACCCAACGAAAAGCTCAGATGAACCGCACCAAACCCAAGTCATGAGAAGTCGCTATTCCGATCATCTCGTCCATTAGTAGTGTCCTTTGGCTGGTTTCTTGCCATTGCCTTCATAGCCACTGGCGACACTCGCGGCATCACCGTATGTGTTTTTCGATTCCTGGCCATTGTCTTCCCTCGTCTCAAAACCCGCATTACTATCAGTGCCTCCCACGATGATCTCGCCGCCGCCCTTGACCTTACCGACTACCATACCCTTTGCAACACTCTTGAGAATGGCACGTCGAGAGACACCGGTCACATCAATGTAGACCAGTCCCACGTTCTTCACACCACCACCCAGATTGCGCGACATTTCACCGGCCTCAGGGCCCCAGCGATGGCCAACAACCGTTGTCACACTAGATGACGTGCCAGTAAGCAGATTACGACTGGCTTGTTCAATACCATCGACAACAGTATTGAAGGCCATCAAGCTCTTGTTGAGCATACCTGGCTTGTAAGTTTCGATCGCCTGGCCGTCCTTATCAAAGCCTCTGGCGCGTCCATCTTTGCGACGGGTGACAGTTGCACCCAGGTTTTGTGCCAAGTTGCCAATAGTTCCGACAGTGGTGGCTGAGAAGGTAGCTGCTCTGGTTGAGAATGTGTTGATCCGGCGAACGTTGTCGTGTGTAGAAGGGGCGAACGTGACAGGCTTGGCGAGAGGTTTGGTACTCTTGGTGAAGTTATCGGCTTGACTCTGAAGTGTCCTTGACACAACATCAGATGTAGTAACGATGAGACGAGACGCTTTGCTCGCACTGCTCACGATAGTCGACTTCTTATAGGCAGGGTGCATATCCATCTCAGACCATGGCTGTGAGAGAGGCTGCACAGAAATATTCTGGCCACCATCGCTGGGAAGCGTAATTTCAACGGGTTCTGTGCCGCTGTTAGCGATCGGAGCGCATGATCATGATGCTTGTGGAACTTACCCTTGGAACCGTGTTTGATCTTGCTGTCTTCCACCACTTGGTAGCTGTCGGTTAACTCTCCGAGAACACTGCCATCCTCCTCATCGATGAGCACGATTCGGCCTCCGTTGTTCAAACTATGGCTGCCCTGAACATAGCCTTCTCCAGGGTTGTAGTCAGCTGGGTTATAAGCGGGGAGCTGCTCATCAGCCGCTTCGCGTGCTTTGGCTTTGGCTTTCTCGGAGGGCCGCGGCGGTTGAGGGGGAGATGCTCGTTCGAGGAATGCAGTGCATTGTGCGAGGATAGTTTCGAAAGTATCAACATCTTCCTGGACACCTGGTCGAGAGTTGGCGGGAGGGAATTCGATGCGGGTAAAGGCACCACTGTCGGGACCAAGATCCCAGCGAGGGATCAAATAGCTTGTAGGCGGCTGATGGTAGATCTGGGTCGTAGCAGGCAGAGGGAGATCGAGCTCAGGAGGTAGGTGTAGGTGAAGGTAGAAGTCCTCCTCGCCATCAGAGCCACTTCCTGAGGGCTCAACAAAGCCTGACGAGGTCGGGACCATGAGAAGCGAAAGGGTCTGGGGCCCCGAAGGAGTAAGAGACTTCTCTTTGCCATTGTTGATGTGATAGGCATTGATGCCCTCTACAGCGTAGAGGAGCTTCGGATCCTGCGCAAGAATGTGTTAGCAGGGAAGAGGGCGGTAAAAGGTGGACGTCATGGGTAGATGCCATGATGCGCCTTGAGGTAGTTTTGTACTTACATTATGCCCAGACGACATATTTGCTGCAATTTATTCCTTGGAGAGAAATACACGATGCAGTCTGAGGATTATCAAATTGAAAAAGGAAAAAAACAAGTTTAGGTCAACGAGTAAAGAACAAGAAAAGGGGAAAGATGTTGGAATCCTGTAACTTGGAAAGTCGCAAGACAAGATAAGATGGAGGGGTCAGGTTTATGTTTAGCTTATGACAGCACCAACAGTAGCAGCAACAGTAGCAGCAACAGCAGCAGCAAACAACAAGCGCGATGCGCGTCAATGCAATGCAGTCTTAGGGGATTTTTCGGCGGCTGCTCTAGGCGATTGATTTGAAGAGCAGTGTGACGTTCCCATCCTCAATCAAAGAGGTGGGCGTCTGTCGGCGCTTAAATTCCTTCATCTCAGAAATTGTGAGGCCTCTCAGAGGCGGCGACGTCATTCATTGGCTGGCGCGCCCATCACGGAACACATGCCCCTGGTCTCGCCACCTTATGAGCGAATGTTAGTGACATTTCCATGCTGGCATTGGTCTGGACCCAAACCGGGAACGGGACCAAAGACACGGGAAAAAGAGGATCGTATATTTTCTTACGCTGAAGGCAAATTGGCGGTCGTTGAAGATGGGAAAAGGATGGTTTGGGATTGCGTGTGTAGCTGGGCGAAGCACTTAAGCTTAAAGCCTTAATGGAAGTCCCTGTAGCTCCAGAGGGACCAGTGAAGGGCTAGCTCAGCTTGGCAACCATGCGTTTCTGTGGTAGTTGCCGAGCATGGGTGTCCGTCCAGACTGTGTCTATGAGGCGACTCTGAAGTTGAACAAAAACCATCCACGCACACAAGGAGGCGCATTTCGGGTAACAATGAACCGAGAACTGCCAGTTCCAAGGGGCAAATGAAGTGCGGAAGCTCAAGTTCCTCTCGAGCAAAGGATCTGCACCATATAATTGAGATAGAAGCTCATTCTGTTGTCTTTTGCCCTCACAGCCCTCCCTCGGTGTCATCCGTGCCGGTGCCGGGGTCCACAAACCGGCCAGCTGCTCATTCACTTCCGTACCTACTCCGGGTCGGGCAAGTCTAGACTTTCATGCTCTCAGCTTTAGGTACTACTTAACCAACGGTAGCATGAGTCAACAACTGCCTCGATGCCACTCCCGATCCCATAGAACTTAGGTGGTATCGAATTTTTATCATATTCAGACAGAAGAAATACCTGATCTAGCCGTTTGCAAGGCGGTAACAAGACTATTTACCTACAGACTCGAATCGATTGTTGATAACTTACTAAGTAAATAGAAGATGCACTCTCATACGGCCACTATAGTAGGTGGAAAAGGTTGCCGAGTTAGTTGATATGTGCAATGTTGCACACATAATCGCGTAAGGATTGGCCTGTCTTACTTCCAATTCTTTTTCGAATTTCCGATCTTCTGGTCTGCGAAGCACTATCGATTTATTACATGTAACGTAAAAACTTACAAAATAATCGAATCTATGGGGGGACCTAGGTAGTAGTTATTTCGTTCCGGATAGTCAGAGAAGCCTTAAGCCCTGCCATTGTTACATTGACCCAGTCGAGCAAGTAATGCTACATGTATGTTTATAGGTTAATCAAGCGAGTGACTTAATAATTTCCTCTTCTTGAACTTGATTGATGCTGGTGGATGATTAGAATGAGTTCACTGGATGAAACGTGTCGAAGGAATGGACGTTTGATGATGAGCTGAGAAGAAGGAAATACAAAAAGGTAAATACGAGGGGGGGGGGGGGGGGGGAGCTTTATATGCACTCTTTATCTAACATGGAAGGTACAGATATTTGCAATGCAGAATTGCGATTGGATAGGATGGTCTTGATTTGTTTTGGTAGGAGCTATCCTGACTTTACAGGCAAGGGCATAACATACAATCCACATCAAACTTATAACTGCCTTCCACTTTACCCAAGTAGGTACTCAGTACCTGCCTCTTAATTTAGTACCTTAGTAGTAACTGCTTGAGATCACAAGACAGCACCGGCGCCGCCTCCTTTGCTGACGTTTTCTTCATCTTGTAACATCATCTCCATCTGAAGCAAAGACCCTGATTACCAAATTCAACCAACACGATATCGCTGGCCGGCCCGGATCGCATACGCTCGGTAGAGGCATTGATCTCACTGCTGAGTAATAAAGCAGATCGTGCGGCTTTGATAATATGGTCACTAAGCACTTCCGAAGGAGGTTACATCTGACAAAGGTTTGGATCTCCAGGCTGTGGCATGACGTCCAGATCAAGTCACTGAATGGATCGCCAAGACAGATGCATGCAAGTCACTGGATCTAGTGCTGATCCCTGTCTGTTACTCCCAATTCGAGATACCCTAGTGGACGGCACAGGTACTAAGAGGGGCTTGCAGGTGACTACCACGGAAGCTTCGCGGGGTTCACTCAAGACCCAGCTTCAATAAGTCCCATCTTATGGACGAATCCTGTCTCCCCTGGAATCAACAGCAGAGTGTGAACAAAGTCCATGACCCGTACAAACAGGTTTTCCCGAGACGGGGCTTACTGCTCATGTACAGTGTGTACTTCTGGCTCGAAGCAATACCGAGTTTTCCACCAGGAATCAGCTCCAGACCAGAGACTGACTTACAGACGATCTAGTCTACGGGTCCCTTGACTTCAGATAACCGGGGCAAGCTCTATGGTCACGCAAGATAAGGCTGAAATTCCGAAGCTCCATGCACAACGAGAGACACCATTGATAGATATTTAAGTCCCCGATATCAATCCAAGACGATTTAGAAACTATCGCCTTCAGACCATCAAAGCTCAGCCAGCTTGGCCTTGTGAGCTCTCCCACTCGCACTACCACTCCCACTCTCACTCCCACTCTTACTCCCACCCGCGTGGGGCGTGGGGCTTTGTTCTGGTGATTGATTTGCCAATGTTTACGGCTCTCCCACTCGCTCCACAAGTGCTGATGATGTAAATACAGCATGAGGATTGCAGGTCATGACAAACTTATTTCCAAATGGTTCAAACGGAAGATGGAAGAAGGTCATGAATACACCTGCGACGGAACCTAGAACGGAAGGCCATGGCTTTCTCCCAAGGCACAGCCGGCTTTCCGTTTGAGATTTGATGATACGCATCCATGTGGATAGAATCTCATCGTTTGACCACTCCGTGTTATGACGACTCGCTGAACTAAGAATAGTGCACGGTAGTAACGGTACCTTTTCTGTTCTTGCACCCCCCTCGTTGCTTGGTGTCCCAAGCCCCGAGCTTGATCGGTTCAACCAAGACATGAGGAGTCGTCCGAGCTATTCTCCACTGAGGAGGTAGAAATGCTTATGTACCTCGGAGCTATTGGGGCGATGGGAGGACTATTAACAAGAGCCACGCCCTTTGAGCCAACTATTGTCGATGCTTATATATCGTCGTGTCCCCCATCAATTCTCCTTAGTTGGGAATTATATTCTGTCAAGTCTTGCCCTGGTTTCTTTCAATCTGTATTCACTTTGCAATGCCTTCAATCACATCTTCTCCAGATGCTTCGCAGAGGGTAGAGTCAACAGTCAACAAGTCGTCGTCAGCTCTACCCAGTATTATTGACATCCGTGGTAAACATGTCGAAATTAACTTGAAAGAACAAATTGCTTCCATGTTTAACCCTGAAGATGGGCCGAGAAAACTTCCAACGCTTCTGTTGTATAACGAGCGTGGATTACAGATATTTGAAGATGTATGTTGAATCTATTAAGGCTATCACCCTTCACTGTTACTCATACTACTCCAGATCACATATCTGGATGAGTATTACTTGACAAACTATGAGATTGAGCTCTTGAGAAAATCTTCTGCAGAAATTGCTAGTCAGATTCCTGAGGACTCGATGGTTATCGAGTTGGGAAGCGGGTTGGTCAATTCCCCTCTGATACCAGATATCTGTCACTAACGGCGAGAAAGAAACCTCCGGAAAGTCTGTTTACTCCTACAGGCCTTTGAGGAGCTTCGAAAGCCTATACAATACTTCGCTTTAGATCTATCTCTCAAGGAACTTGAGCGTACGCTGGCCCAGGTCCCTGAATTTAAATACGTCTCGTGCCATGGTCTTCTCGGCACATACGACGATGGTAAAGAGTGGCTCAAGCATCCCTCTCTCACAAGCCGCTCGAAGTGCATCATTCACCTCGGTTCCAGTATTGGTGCGTTCAGACCCCTAATGTAAGTCCCGCAGTCATAATGACAAGGCTACAGGCAACTTCACTCGTGACGAGGGAGCCGAATTTTTGGGAGGATTTGCAGAGGTCCTCAGGCCAACTGATTCCATGATCGTCGCTGTTGACTCTTGCAGCAACCCGGCCAAAGTCCAGTATGTAAAGTATACGACTCATCATTGCCAATAGTACTAACAATTTTACAGCCGTGCATACAACGGTACGTATTATTTGAAAACTTGAGGGTCAAGTAGATGTTAATGCCGCAGTTCTTTGATACAGACTCTCAGGGTATAACCCACCGGTAAGCTGGTCGGAGCTCTATGTCACGCGCACAAACTAACATTATACAGGTTTATTCTTAACGGTCTTGTAAACGCCAATGAGATCCTCGGCGAAAAAGTCTTCGATGCGGACGAATGGAGAGTCATCGGGGAGTACGTCTACGACGACCAAGGAGGGCGACATCAGGCGTTCCTTGCTCCCAATCGACCTACGGATGTCCTCGGGTCGAGGGTCATGCCACACGAGCGCATCCAGATCGAGCAAAGTCTCAAGTATGATGAAGAGGAAAAGACAAAGCTCTGGAAGCTTGCAGGTCTGACTGAGATGGGTCGTTGGAGTCGGGGAGACGAGTATGGTAGGTCACATTTTGAGATATGTCTCACCCCACAACTTGCGATTTGAGGTCATGCACATGCATCCCCGGGCTACCCCGCGTATCATTGCAAAGGGGGGTTCCATTTCCAGCTCAACCGGCAGCATATAGCCAGAATGGGAAGTTATTCAAGATGACGTGGGGGTGCATACCTTTTAGCTGACTGAAGGTGTATTGAGAAAACCAGAATTACAGAGGAGACTAACAACTGTATAGGACTTCACTTCTTGCAAAAATCGAGTATGCCGTTCAGCCTGATACCCTCTCTCTACGCCGCAGAGCCACTTCCCACTGTTAAAGACTGGAAGGCTCTGTGGGAAGCATGGGACGTTGTGACCAAGGGCATGATTTCCGATGAAGAACTCCAGGAGAAACCCATAAAGCTGCGTAATGCATGTATCTTCTATCTCGGCCATATTCCAACCTTCCTCGACATTCAGTTGACGAAAACCACCGGCCAAGCTCCAACCGATCCCGCAACATTTTATTCCATCTTTGAGCGAGGCATCGACCCCGACGTAGACAACCCTGAGCATTGCCATTCTCATTCTGAGATTCCTGATGAGTGGCCACCGGTCCACGAGATCACTGTGTATCAAGACAGAGTTCGATCTCGCTTGCAGAAACTGTACAAGAATGGCCAAGACAAGATCCCAAGGAACATTGGTCGAGCTATCTGGGTTGGCTTCGAGCATGAGTTGATGCACATTGAGACTTTGCTCTACATGATGCTTCAGAGCGACAAGACGCTCCCACCACCGCATACGGCGCAGCCTGATTTCGCAAAGATGGCTCAGCAAGCCTATGAGGCCAGGGTCCCCAATCAGTGGTTTGATGTTCCCGAGCAGACGATCACCTTGGGAATGAATGATCCCGAGGATGGTACTGATTCCTCACGCCACTATGGCTGGTAAGTTCGAGTCAATACCACATTCTTTTGAAGCAACACGACTAATGTCCCTTGACAGGGACAATGAGAAGCCTGCACGAGATTCTAAGGTCCATGCCTTCCAAGCTCAGGGCCGGGCTATCACCAACGAAGAGGTATGTTAACTTAATTACTGACGCGATGCTAAAGGCTCACCCAATCTTCAGTATGCTCAATATCTGTACAACTCCAAGATCGATCAACTGCCTGCCTCTTGGTCATCGGCCATAGCTAAGAAGGAAAGTGAAGTCGCCAATGGTGGCCATGCCAATGGTCACTCAAACGGCCACTCAAACGGAAATGGCCACAGCACTAATGAAGTTCCCGAGTCGTTCATCCAGGATAAGTTCGTTCGAACCATGTACGGACTGGTTCCTTTGAAGTTCGCTCTCGACTGGCCCGTGTTCGCTTCATACGATGAGCTTGCTGGTTGCGCAGCATGGATGGGTGGCCGCATCCCCACCTTCGAAGAGGCCAAGAGCATATATGCGCATGTTAACAAGCAGAAGAAGGCCGAGGCCGGTCGTATCTTATCAAAGACGGTCCCAGCAGTTAACGGGTAGGTTCGCTTGCTAGCAGGTAATGCCGTTCATGGTTAACACGTATATAGACACCTCGTCAACAATGGCGTCGAAGAGACACCCCCATCAAACTCCTCCGCTTTGGTCAAGGATAGCTCCTCTGAGCTATTCTTCGACCTGACCGACGCCAACGTCGGTTTCCGCCACTGGCACCCAATGCCAGTCACCTCCCGGGGCAACAAGCTCGCGGGTCAGTCCGAGATGGGTGGTGTCTGGGAATGGACCAGCTCGCCTCTCGGGCGACATGAAGGCTTTGAGCCTATGTCTTTGTATCCCATGTACACGGCGGACTTCTTCGACGGTAAGCACAATGTCGTCCTTGGTGGTTCGTGGGCCACGCACCCACGCATCGCGGGACGAGCGAGCTTTGTGAACTGGTACCAGAGGAACTACCCCTACGCGTGGGTAGGAGCCAGGCTAGTCCGGGATATCTAAACCCTCAAAGGGCTGTTTTCATAGACACCAATGGTTTCTTATTGTAAACGAGCTGTTTAGTAGGATTCCAAGCATGTATTGTTGGAGTTGTCCTTATTCATATGGGCCCAAATTGCCACAAGAGGGATGGAGAGGAGGATTGTCACTCCCTGAGAAAGTAATGCATTGTTTGATATTCGTCTCTATGTACCCTTATATTTTGAACTCCTTTACCAAAGACAAAGACTGGTATGGTGATAGCAAGTGTTCTTCCAACATCGTGATCTCTTGGATAAGTGATGATAAGAAATCCGTCCAAATCTTGGGGGTGACGCTGCGCTCTTTCGAAATCATGACCATGAGCATCCAGCCCCAAAAACGCCATAAGCTAATGTATAATTGAGCCCCTTTGTGGATAGCAACAGCCTGCCAATGAGTAAGGCTTCGGTGAGTTACGATATGCCGTTCATTTAAAATGTTGCTGAGCAAGTTTGTTGCAAACATCTCTCAACCGTTGAGACTACCATAGATATCGAGAAGCTGCTCAAACACGTAACCAGGAAGCTTAATACCGTTTTCTGTGATGAGTTTGGAAATGAGGTCAGGAGGCTATATCAAATTCGTTAGTAACTCAACCTAGACCTATGAATCGGGGTAACACGTACAGTAAAGTCAACAGCATCAACGGTATCCTTGCTCTTGGTATCAATACTGAAGTCAAGGATATCCTGCTTGAAACCAATATCCCGCTGGTCCATGACAAACTTTCGGGCGAACTTGTGTGTCTCGGCAGCGACGAAGAAGGGGAGGTTGGCCTGGGCCGCCAGCTTAGAGAGCTGCAACGTTCCCATACGAGAGATGATACCGCCGTTGGATGTGACGGCCTCAGCACCCACAAGCACCATATTGACCTGGCGCAGCAGACCCATCACATACGCCACTGAAGCCTCTGCGATTTCGGCGACCGGAATACCCTTGGAGCGGAGCTCGCGAACTATGCGATCGCTCTCCTCCACGCGGGTCTCCTCGCGCACGTAGATGACCTTGAACTTTCCAGCGCCGAGGTTCTGTGCCGCACGCTCCAGAATTCCAACAACTGATCTCGAAGCACCGTGCGTAAGAATACATTGGCCCTCACGAATCAGTCTCCATCCTGCGTCCGCAATGCCCTCACGCGCGGCGTTAGCTCGCTGGGCAAAGAGTCGTCCGTTGCGAAGAAGATGCTGCCTCACGGCGTCGAAGCTGCCATCTTGCTGGCGCAGCGAAGAGACAAGGTACTGAAGGAAGAGATCGGTTCCGGCGGAGAGCGGCACGGGGTTGGCAACGGAGGCTTTGAGACGGTCGGAATGAACTTTAACGGTGTCGAGAATCTCGAAAACGGTGGTGGAAGGGTGGGCGTTAAGGAGGGCGATGAGAGACTCGATAGCGGCGACGGGTTTGGTGAGATCGGGGTCCGTCAACAGAAGCCCGCGGTATGTTTCGACAATGCTGCGAAGGCGTTAGAGAAGCAGGAACGGTGGATTTAGGGGAACGGACTCGAATTCGGATGTTGAAGAAGGCTGCGGTTGCTCGACCGTAGCAGGAGCTTAAAAGAAAGTCAGCCGAGAAATTCATGTGTATACGAAAGACTCACTTGTTATGTTGAGAGTCGTCATGATAGAGTATGTGAGAGGTTTGGGAGGGTATGTCGAGGATTTACGGTGATACTATTCCCAAGCCTAGAATCTGATGGAGGGGAATTTTTGACGCTGGTGAGTCAGGTCTCTCGTCTCGCGGAGCTGGTTTGGCGGGGTGAGTGGGGAGCGGGGCCGAGAGTGACGGCACGGCACTTCCAGGTTGTCACAGGGCGTTTAGTAGAGGGAGGTCCCTTAAAGCAGTGAGCAGTGTTGTAGATGGAAGAATCATCCGTCTGGCCTTTACAGCTGAGTATAAAGAACTAGGAAATAGCCAACATGTGCATTTTTTATTCGGCAACTTAGCTAACACCGTACAATTTTGCTCATAGGGCTAATACAAACCCACCAGTTGCGTTGCGTAGCTTCATAACGTGCTGTAACCTGATAGCCTCAAGAATTCAACACCCAGAAATAAGTTAATTACCCTGCACCAAGCTGAAGTGCCCCACGCGTTTTTACCCCTCTACCATTCCCATCTGAAGTACACCCCTCTCTCCGCCTTCAGCATCATCCTCATAGCTTTCCAACCCTTGAATCTCTATTCACCTCGACCAAACAATTAATCTACACCTATCTCTTCCCAACAATACTACGGATCATAACCTTCAACCTCATTTACCAATGGAGCTTCTCGATCCCGCAACAGGCACCGCCCTCCCGAACGATGCCATCCAGCGCATCCTCTTCGTCGCCAACGCTGTCCACGTCTACAACATCCCTCCCCTGACCTCAACAAAAGGCTACAACGCAAGCACATGGACCGCCGAGCCCCAGCGTCACATCTTCACCGCACGGCTGCGCGTCGTCGAGACCGCTTACGAATCCGCCTCGGAAACCAACAAGCTCAAGGTCGACGCCGTGCTTGAGGACGCATCGACGGGCCAGCTCTTTGCCGCAGCGCCATACACCGCTCCCGGTGTTGTAGAGCCGGTCCTCGACAGCAGCCGCTTCTTTGCTCTCACAGTTCGCGATCCTCAAGGTCGCAAGGCTATGCTAGGTATTGGCTTTGAGGAGAGGAGTGAGGCGTTCGATCTTAGCATTGCGCTGCAGGAGGCGAGAAAGGCGTTGGGCTGGGAGGGCGAGCAGAAACCATCCGCGGGGAAGGAAAAAGAGGAGCACAGAGATTACAGCCTCAAGGAGGGCGAGACTATCACGGTGAGCTTTGGTGGGTCAAAGTTTGGCAGGCGGAAACAGCAGGATAGTTCGGCTGGGGGATCGGGAACTGGAGGTGATCTCCAGTCCTTTGCGCTACCGCCACCACCCGCCGGACCAAGTTCTTCAGGCGGCTTCGCATTACCGCCCCCGCCGAGCGCGCAGGATATGAGGCAGCAGAAGAAGCAATCGGCCAAGGAACTTGGGTTCGATGATGGACAGTTTGGAGAGTTTGCGTAAGAATTAAGGGATTAATTGATGCATTAGCGATGTGATTTTGAGAAATATACAGTATATATACACATACAAACAAGACTTGCTAAAGACTAAACGCCAACCGATATGCTATTAACGATGAATGACATGACACTAAAAGTACCTACCAATTGAAACAGATTTCTGCCTGAGTGATCGAATGTAACGTTTGGAGATCCAACAGGCTCTCCTAGCCTACTTTTCCCTAGATCTCAGAGCCAAGCATTGTAAAGACAAGGAAGACTAAGTCGCCTCTCTCTGACTGCCATGCATCGACCATCAATCGGATTCTTCTCCGTCTCCAGAACACACTCATTCTTCTCCTCAACAGAGGGAACATCTGCAGTAAGTGGCGTTGCTGGAATAGTCTCAGACTCAACACTCTTGCCGCTCGACGCAGGATTATACAATAGATCCTCACCAGCCTCATCAACAGTCTCCAAGCCGTACATTACTGGCTCTTGGTGAAAGTATGCTGGTTCAGTAACTTGGTGAAAGTCGCTAAAATAGCCCATGGGAGTAAAGTCTGCCGAAGCACCGCCCAGAGGGGAAGTAGGAGTAGGAAAGCTGCATGACACAGGACTGAAGTAGAGAGGTGTTGAAACACTCGAGCTATCAACAGACCATGCTTGCGCCCAGGTCTCGCGGCTCTGTATCTCGACATACAGCTCACCGAGACGAGAGAAGATGACCTTTTCCTGCTCGGCTGCCTGGTTTACTCTGGACTTGAGCAAACTGAGCTGCTTTCGCAATTTGCGTCGGCCATTATCACCCGCAAGGCTTTGAAGCTGCAGTTCCACCGCACAATACTGCCTCATGAGCTCCGCAGCTCGGCCAGCCTGCTGCTGAAGGGAGGTGGCAAGGTATGCCCGTTCTATGTATAGGCTCTCAAAGGGTCGAGGCGAGAAGAGAAGGCTGGAGTTGACCTGGGCCTGCTGCTTCGTATCTGCCTTTGAGGTACGGTTTCTTGAACCTGAAGAGCGTCGGCGCTGCTTCTTTCGTGGAGATGAGTTGGAAACCGAAGAGGTGTCTGGATGTGGTGTATCTGGAAGAGATGCGGGTGAAAGAGGAAGAACAGGAAATGTCTGCAGTTTGGGGATGACAACGTTCAACTCCTCAGGAGGCGGAGTGATCCTTGCATCCATGGGAGGCAGTTGCATCATGCCATGAAGTGATGTGAAAGTTGCATTCATCTTGATGAGAATTGTACTCTTGTTGATAATAGTAGAGGAGTAATGTCTTTTCCGGGAGAAACAGCATATATCGCTGCTGAATATCCATTCTTCTTATCATCCTATCCTTCTCTCCACTGCAGACAAAGACCACCACAAAAAAAGGCTATATCAGGGATGAGGTGTTCGGAAGCTTTGTCGCTGAATGTCGCCTCAACAAAGCGAAGCAGCGAGTTCCGACGCTTGGCCTAGCAATTTCTTTAGAAGGCAAATATCCTAGTGTCAAATAGGTTGGTTGTTCTCTCGTGGGGATCCGTGCCTGGTTGCCACACGCTGCAAGTCATGGATGTAACCCGTCAATAGGGGACGACCAGCCACTGTTGGCTTTGAGGTGTTGTTCAGGTTGGCTAGCCTGAAGTTGAAAGAGATATTACAGGTCTAGAACAGCTGATCCACGCCCCGAGTTTGTAGTCTCAATAAGACAAACCAAAACCTATTGCTCGCCCTGACCATGTGGTGGTGGCGTTGTTAGTACCCGTTGTTGGCTTGGAACAACAGCTCAGCCTCATGGCAAGGTTTGACAGAAAAGCAATCCCTTGACAAATGAGAGGCAACTTTCCTCTCACTAGATAGCAAACCCATCATGCCTTGGTGGGTCGTTGAACCGCCAAAGCCCAGCCTCCTGCGCGGCTTTCCTAATTGAGGAGACCTCTTCGTTATTGACAGGTCGATTGAGTTCTGCGTACCGGACTTCTTCTTTTTCTTGCTTACTGTCGGACTTTGCTCGCTTTGGTTTGCCAACGTGAGCATCTGGATGGTACTGCTCCATGATATTGACGAAGCAATCTGGAGATACCTCCTTTGCTAAGAACCTCATGATCTCTGCCCCTTCGTCCTCTTTTCCAGGCATAACAAGATGGCGGATCAACAGACCTTTCTTGGCGATGCCATCCCCGGTGAAGCACAGGTCGCCGACTTGAGCGTGCATTACCTTGATGCTCTCCTTGGCCGTCGCGGCGTAATCATCCGCCTTGAGTAGCCTTTTGGAAGTGCTCGGCTTCCACACCTTAAAGTCAGCCAGGTAGATATCAACCAATCCATCCATCAGCTCCAGAGATGCAAGAGAGTCAAAGCTTGAGGTGTTGTAAACGATGGGAACTGTCAGACCACGGTCCCTCGCATGGAGGATACTCAATGCCACCTGCGGCACCACATGTTCTGGCGTCACAATATTGATATTGTGAACATTTCCGACCTCCTCTAGCTTTACATACCAATCACCAAGCTCCTCGGACGTGAGGTCCATACCGTTGCGTTGATGCGAGATATCGTAGTTCTGGCAGAAGATGCATCACAGGTTACACCCGCTCATGAAGACGGAACCACTGCCGTTGTGTCCCTGGATGCAAGGTTCTAGAGATGTGTTTAGTCAGGATATGAATAGAGTAAGCTGATACAGGACCAAACCCGGGCTTGAGCTGAACTGCAAGGGAGTATTGACATGCAATGCAGCAAGCTGGGGGCGCAAAGGGCACCGAGTTAGCTGAGTGAGAACTGACCTTCGCCAAAGTGGGGAGCAATTGTATTGACCTTTGCCTTCTCCCCAATGAGACATAGCCCGGTCTTCTCGAATCTGTTGACGCCACATTCTCTCGGACACAAGTTACAGTTGCGCAGGTGAGCATATGCCAACGAGCGCTTCTTGGAGGCGTCGCGGGAGCTGAGGGTCATGTATCGTGGGGCATAGTCGTCAAGGAGGAATGGAGGAGCCAGATGAAGAGAACGAGTGAGTATCTTGGACTTGGAAGCTATGGATGGAGTTTTACGGAAGATAGGGACATATCGTCTTGAGAGTGGCAGCATCATGGCTGGTATTGGGTGTTCATGATGGTGACAATTGGCTTTTTCTTGATTGGTGTTGAGGATATCTTGTATCGGCAGTGGCTTAGTAATATGGCTGCAACTCAACACTCACTTATAAGTTGAGGCTCATCATGATACTGCTAGTCGAAATAGCACACTGGCGTATTGACAGAATGAATTAGCCATAGATATATACTTTGAGCAGTAGATTCTATGTGAACCTCCATGTAGTTATTCTATCGAGTTGCAGGCAGTATGAGTGAAAGATAATCTGGCAGCTGTCGGCCACTGCCATCACACTGAGTATCAGAAGTGCTTCATATCCAAACAATGTTTATTTACTACCTAGCTAGTTATACAAATTATGACCAACAAGGCGAGCGAGTTCCTTTCAAAGCACCTTTCAATCGCATCTCGGAAAACGAACTGAGTGGCCCAACACACTTCTCCGACCTCATCGCGCACGATGCTTTTTGGAAACCTCTTGCTGGCCCTCTTGGCCTGGCTCTTTATGTCTTGCGTCGAGAGTCTTCATATCACTCCGGAGACTGCCGATGATCATTTGCGTAGCGTTTACGACTACATCATTGTCGGAGGAGGCACAGCTGGGTTAACTATCGCTAACCGACTCTCGGAAAACTTTGCAGGTATTTTGATGCTAAAGCTTATTTGACGAGCTTCACTAATAACGGATAGTTTCGGTTCTTGTTCTCGAAGCCGGGCCTCTGTACGCTCCCTTTGAATGAAACCAAGTTCTCTGCTGATCATGCGTTTAGGGACAATGCAAGAAACCTTTCGATTCCTGGTGGCCTACTCCCAGTTCCAGGAACAATCGGGTCAGGCGGTTGGCAGAAGTACCAATGGGGTTTGACCTCGGAGCCACAGACCTATCTTAACGGCCAGAATGTTGGAATTCCCCAAGGAAGGGCTGTTGGTGGAAGCTCCATCCTCAATGGCCTTTGTTGGTCGAGGGGTTCCATGTCCGACTACGATGGCTGGGAAAAGCTAGGCAACGAGGGCTGGTCTTGGAATGACCTCCTTCCTTACTTCAAAATGGTAATAGTATGAAAGAACTGGGTTGCTAGAACGAAGCTGATGTGTGACAGTCCGAGACATTCACTTTCAATGTTGAGCATCGTGACGCTGAACAGCTTCATATTCACCCTGAGTCAGCTGTGCATGGATACAACGGGTCGGTGCACGTCTCATACCCTCGATACTTTTATGACCAATCTTGTAAGTTATGGTAGAAGCTGTCAGTGTTCGTGAGATGCTGACGATATCACAGTCAACGTTTTAGAGGGTTTCGCAGAACTTGGTTTGCCCATCATTGGCGATGTGAACAACGGGACAGCTGCAGGCGCCATGATCCTCCCCTCAAGCATGGATCCTGACAACCAAACGAGGTTCGATGCTAGAGAGGCTCACGTTAATTCGGCGTCTCATAGATATAATCTACATATCGCAACAAACCAGACTGTCACGCAGCTTCTTTTGGATAGTCATAGGGGTTATAACTCAAGTCGACGAGTGGTTGGAGTTGAGGTATGAACAGTCTACCAAGGTCGAGTGAAGTGCTCGTGCTAATGAATTTCTGCAGTTCGCGCAAGACGAAAAGTCCAAGACACGGGTAATTTACTGCAACCGAGAAGTCATCGTCTCTGCTGGTGCTGTTTTCACCCCTACTTTGCTTCAGGTATCAGGCATCGGGCCATCAGATGTCCTTAAATCACTCGACATCCCGGTCAAGATTGATCTCCCTGGCGTTGGATACAATCTGCAGGACCATCCTATGGTATATGCCAACTATTATTGTAAATACCTCTGTCGATACTATGGGCCAAATACTGACTACCTCAGATCGGAACAGTTCCTATTTCAGGAGCGACGAGATAGTTGACGATGTGTATGATGAAGTTGCTCACGAGTACATCCAGAACAGAACTGGTGCGCATAAATAAATGTATAAATAGCGTTCTATCTAACATGTCCAGGCCCCTGGACAGCACCACTCATCAACACGGTAGCATTCGCAAGTCTCAAGTCTGCAACAAATGACTAGCAGAAATTTTTGAACAAGAGTTCCGCAAATGGTATTCCTTCTACTACTCCCAGCTCAGTCCAAAAAGGCTATATAATACAAAAGGAAATTCTCAGAGGGCAAATCCTTCGCAACGACACGGGCATCTTCGAGATCATGGCGAACTCATGGGGGCAACTTACCGTTGCTGCACAAAAGACCTTCTCCCATGGCACCGTTCGACCTTCGACATCTTCCATGTTTGACCAGCCTGTAATCGATCCTAGATACTGCTCCGATTCTATCGATTGCGAAATCATTGTCCTAGGTCTTCAACTCAACACAAAGTTGATCAACACCAAAGCGATGAGGGAGCTGATGCCTGAGCCGGAGTCGGCATTCGATACAGCAGACGGTAAGACTTTGATGCGCCAGGTAATGGATAAGATTGCGACAGAAAGACATCCCTCAGGAACGGCAGCCATGATGCCTCTAGAGCTGGGAGGTGTCGTAGACTCGGAACTGAGAGTGCATGGTACATGCAATTTGCGTGTTGCAGATGCCAGCATCATACCCATTATTCCCTCGGCGCACCTGCAAGCTAGAGTCTATGCTATCGCTGAGAAGGTAAGTTTCTCTCTTGATATGAAGCAACGGGCTATTTCTGACCAACTTTTAGGCTGCAGACATGATTAAGTCGGCCAAGTTGGATTGCCCTACTGGCTCAAAACTTCCTATACCTCCCAAGATTCGACCGATAATTTGATGCACATGATCTTTGGATAATGGAGGGTTGATATGAGGGGAAATGAAGCGATTTGGTCGTTCTGGATGCTATGTTTTTATGAAATGTTCTTGGTTGGAAGTCAGCCGTAGAGAGAATTGATTAGAAGTGCCAGGAATTCAAAAGCTACATGACAAAAAGGTAACTAAATGTCGGGTCTGTAGTAACTATCCAGATCATGCCTTAACTCATTCGGACAAACACAAGTTAGCCAGGCCTCTATGCGCACTATTCCCATACAAAGAAATACTACCCCCTTAATCCTCTGATTCCTCAAGAATTTCCGCATTCTGTTCGTACCAGGTCAAGTGTTCACGCATGCGCTCGATCTCTGCATCCTTGATAGCCATAACATCCTTCATCTCAGCCATCTCACGGACCAATGCCTGGTTCTCCGTGTCCAGCTTCGCCGCCCGATCCAGGGGCTCTTTATACCTGGACTCCAAGACAGACACACGCTCCGGCCAAGTCGGAGTCACGACCGATACTACCGTAGGCCTGTTCTCCATAAGGCGTGTGTACTCTACACCGGGGTGCTGGGCAGCTGCTGGCATGACGAAAAGAGGAGACTGTTTCCCCTTGCCCTTGATGCGGTAGAATCGAGTCTGAAGGTCAATGGGCACGATACCCTTGGAGTAGACTTTTCCTCCTCGCTCTTCATACCACATACGCTCGCCGCTTACACCGCTCGCTTTCCAGAGCTTTTCCTTCTGCTCGACCTGAGCTTCGGCCGCGTCGAGCTGGCGGTGGATGTAGTCCCTGATGTCTTCGCCTGCATTGACGAGGACGTACTTGTCCTGCGGGTAGGCAATCTCTCGACCTCCTGAGACGCCGTCGGGACCGGAGCGGCCTTTCATATGCAATGGGATAAGAGCTCGTGATGAAAGGATGTCGATGGCATTGGCGTAGTTGATCTCGAGTTCGTGCATGCGGCCGACAAGATGCTGGTCGTGAAGGATCCATTGGCCGAGGAGACTGTTTCGAGCGCCTTCAAGTTGCGAGTCAGTCATGGCTCGCGTTTTCACATCTTTAGGGTCTTCGAAGCCAGTGGGGAGAATGGACATGAGGCCACCCGTAGCAGAGTACTCATGATCGATGATTTCAAGACATTCGTTGGCATGCATGATAAGATCGTGGTGTGTCATGTAAGGACGACGCAGGCCTCCCCTCTTGGCCGAAGGTCCACTATCCTTAACTTGAGTCAAGGGACAATGGTGTTCAATGCCACTCAACTCTGACTCCGACTTGACAGTATTGTGCAAAGCCCAAAGTGGTTCATGATGCGCGGGATCGTCGTTATCGTAGGGCTCCTCGAGGTTATTCAGCCAGTCAAGCGCCTCATGCTGCTCAAACCAGTAGCCCCTGTCTTCCTCGTCGATCTCAGTTGATCCCACAGGGCCAAAGTTTGTGGTCGGAACGAGTCTGCGGATGATATTGACGAGCGAGTGGGCGTGTCTTTTGAGGACGAGAAGGGTAGGAGGGCTACCGGAAGAGAAGTAGGAGCAGTTAAGGTGCTGCAGAACGGCAAGGTCCCTGGCGTGCAAGATGCCATTATCTGGCAAGGACCAGGTAGACTTGTAGGAGGTTGCCCAGAGGTTGGATTGGATGAAAAGGGGAGGGAAGCGTGTGTTGTCCTTTTCCGGTGCTCGTGAACTTGCCATTGTGACGATATTAGAAGAGCTTCACGATAGTTGGCATGTAGAGGTGAGAATCACAAGTCAGAAGAGAAGATATGAGAGCAAGAAAATGGTTTTTTTTGAAAGCCAGATGGCTGTATCTATTCTTAAGAGGCAGTGAAGGGTCATTCTCCATGTGCTGCACTCGCAGACATCTAGTAGTTGATGTGATGCTATTCAAAGAACAAAGAAACTGGTTCTTTGTCGTAAGCACCACGCCACGATTATGGTGGGCGCATAGACATTGTTTGGAAGGTCAGACTGGTTTAATTCGGTCGTCTCTATTTTCTCCTTTGTTGTGTTTATCAAAGAACAGGGTCGGTAACCCCGGTTTTTGGACCTGCCCATCACCAACAGTTGAGGTCTTGAGGAGAGTTTTTTTTTATTCAAGAGCATACAAGCTACCCTTTTCTCAAATATGTCTTGTCTCATCGCACAAGGATTATCGGCTTTGTTTCAGAAATCCTTTGATCCCATTGCATTAGACATCTTAAAAATGATAGAAGCTCGCGAATATTCTTCAGACATCAGGTTGATTTGCCACAAACCGTCTTGTAAGCACCCCCTGAGTGAAGAAGTAACATATCGTATCGAATCATATTCTTGAACCGGCACGGTCGAGGAACATCAAGCTTTGCACACCCGTCACAAGATCACAAACAGCTTTTTATCGTGATACGCAAAAGGCATCACAGCTTTTGCGTGCACTAGGAACTCGCCTCTTCCATACCCAGGGCCCGTGTAAAACTGTAGTTCGAGGGGGGTTTGCCTTATGAACAGACACCTAACATGGGATCAATATGAGCGGAGGTTATGCTCTGGTATCCTAACAGACTCTGAGTCGAATGTTATCCTGCCTATCGTGACAACTAACTGCCCACAGCTCCCTGGCGTAAACAGCCTTAAAAGGGGAGAAGTATCCCCTGAGAAGATCAGGAATGTTTGACCAAACTAACAAGTGAAACACAAATGCCGACGCTCAGGTCCAACGTTGAGCAAAGCCGATGATAGTAACACATACACGTGACTGCGCGAAGCTGAACAATAATTGTGCCATCAAGAAGCCTCGTCTCGGTCGGTGCCATTGCAGAGACCACAAGGAGGGACAAACTGACACAACTGCGTCGCAACAAACGGTCTAGAGCACTCTATAATTGCGAAGCAGCTGAAGCCGAGAGTGACATGCCTCGTTGGGCGACATTTGCGGCAACGGCTAACGTTACGGGCGCCAGCGAACAGAAGTGAGGGAGACAAGCGGACAAAGGTGGGAATTCAATCAATTCACTAATGGAAGATCTTGGTGGGCCATTCTAAGATTCTGGGGCGTGATGCGTCAAAAGATAAAATAAAATTACAGGTACCTCGGCGTAAAAGTGGCCAATGCCAGCTTGGAGAGGTTCACGCCAGCTTGACTGTCTCAGCTGAACCAGCATCATCTTGAGGCGCTAATGCCAAGAGGGACTAATGCGCGCATCGTGGGGAGGGCCTAGCCTTTGGAATGAACCGGGATAGCTGAGGTTGCGCAAATTGGTGCATTTTACGGATACTTCCTCAGAACGGACAGACAGTCTGTTCAAGAGGCAATGGTTCCTATTTCATGTGCCAAGCGGTGTGAAAAAGTCATGATGTCGTTAAGACATTGATGGGCATCAATCCTGGATAGACTAGATGATCAAAGAAGGGTCAAGTGATCAAGACAGGGGAAATGACTGGAGCTATTATTCATCCTTTGGGCCTCGATGAACAGTAGCGCCATCATTTAAAAGAGAGATTGTCAAGAGTAAACAAACCAAGTGTGCAGCTGTGCAGCTTGGAGGGTAATTATGACAGCCACGACAAACCAGATCGACACCAAGCTCCCCGTTACGGAGGAGACATGATTTAATTTGGAGATCGGGGAAAAAAACCACACTAGTTGATGTCATGGCGTCAAAGGCGTTGTCGAGGACGGGACTGAAGCTTCCGGAGTGAGGGAGTCTTTTGTGTCTTTGACTCTCCGTCTCTCAGGTCCTCTTGTGATGAATCGAAATGGTAGCGCCACGAAATGAGTTTAGAGGGTTTCAAAGACGGTCAGACAGTGCAAGAGGTCAAAGTCTTGGCAGGTTGCCCTAAAAGGGGAGACGATTAACATTCCGATCTGGATCGTCACCAGGACTGGGGGTTGATTGTCATTGACTCGTGAGAGTTGAAGGGGGGACATAATACCGGCCGTAAGTTTTACCAACATGACTTTTATTGAACAGAGAAATGTTAAATAAATAATTCTCCAAGTGAAAATATAGTATACATTCTAGTCAGGTTTTCTCTAAACCGTGAACTCGTTATACTATTATTCTACTATTAAAATGGATATTCTGGCATCGAAAGCCCAATATGCAGTGGGTTTTACATCTGATATTTTATTTCCACCCAAGTATTGGTTAACTTGGTGGTGCTGTTGAAGATGGCTGCATGGATGCATCTCTGACATCACACATCCTTAACAAAAAAGTAATCCCTGTCAAGCTGTCGTGTGCATGGCAGCATGACCAGACGGGAGAGCGTCGTGGCTGTGCCGCGTTTTGATATGAGGTACGAGCATGGTAAAATCGACGACACCAGCTGAAATCGACTGCGAGAAGGATGTTTGATAGACGGCCTAGATCGAGGGAATGACAATCGAGAGCCGCAATGGCCTGGTCTAGGCCTTTGATCCTGAGAGTCTGTATCCATTCTGTACTGCTGTCAGTTAGAACATATACTGTGGCAGTGTGGCTACTGTAAGGAGGCTTCATCCTTTCGCTGTCGCCGTTGTAATTGTGCCTGTTCAGTCATCCTTCACCTCCTTCATGAACGAAGGCATGCACTGCAGTTTAGTGAGTGTGACTATTTACAGTAGCGCAATGGCAGTGTCCACGTCACAACAGCGGCACACTGAAGGTGGATGATGCTAGCCCAGGGGTGTGACGTGAATCTGAAATTATTCTACTGAGATTGAATTAGGTGAGAATCTTTTGATACAGATTGTAAGAGCTTTCTCATATGGAGTAGATGAACAGAGGCAATTGCCAAACCTTTCCTTTGTCTTGATCATGAAGCTGTATCCATATCATAGATCTCGAATAGAAAACTCAGTCGTGATTATGGACTTTTCTTAAACCCTGCGGGCCTATGGGTATGGGTCCTATCCCATAGCCAAGCTTCGAGAGCCGAAATTGAAATGAGGCCCCAGGGGCCGCGTCGCATGGCATCCATCTCCGTCCATCGTAAGCTATCCTATTCGCAGCCACTGGCGACTTGTGATTTGAGATTCAGAAATTTAAAGTTAGATGCCCGGTCACAAGGGAAAGGGTTAACGAAGTTTTCTTTTGGAGACAGGGTCTTGTTTTAGAGCATCATTTTCGTATTGCCTGTCCATTCGTTTCACATGCGTCCAACCGAAAGCATGTTTATCTGCCGGTTTTTTCGTTCGTTGTCTTGTTGCTGTGCTATTGCTATCGCCCAGGATCGACGCGCACATGCCGTTCGCGCATCAAGAACAGCTGTGCTGGGATTTCTAGAGTGGCCCCATATCCCAAATAGACTACAGTACTCTGGCTGTGCATACAGTATCCGGAGGCCTGTCCTGGCCTGGACCAAACGCCCACATCCCGTTTCAATTACCGCTGATGAGCGCACCAGAGCGACAGTGATTGGCTTGCGTCGATCTAGCCCGAAACCAGGATTTTTCGCTGTTTCCCAGATAATGCAGAGTGCAGACCGTAGAATAGCTCCAGGGACTTGGCGATGAAGCGTGCAGCCTGGGCGCTACGCTGTGACGTAGACGTCAGCACCTTGTGCCATGCTAGTTTGGCCTGACGTTGATGAGCGCAAAATAACTGAGAAAGAAAAGACATGAGAGGAATTCACTCGATTGACTGAACCACCAGTCTCTATTGTTCAATGCTGCTTGCAATTCCAAATTTCCCCTGACTTTTCCTTTCTTTCCTTCTTTTTCGCAACTAACCATAGGATAGGAATTGGGCCTGAGACATGACTTCACCTTGATTAAGGGGTGGCCCAGTTCCATCCATCGCTAGTGCTAAGCTTTTGTCGCACAAGCCTCTTCTCCATCCACGCCCCCCTTGACGACCTGAGCTGATCTGAGCTACCGTAATGTACCTCTAGCCAACCTCTCGAGGGTGGTAAAACCAGCTTTTTTCCCATTCAACTCCCATCTAATAATCTGGTATGGTCGGTATGGGTACTGTACTCTAATTACATATAGCTAGCCCTCCCATCCAACCTTTATTTGATCTTTCTTTTTCGCTAGATTTTTCGCCTCCAGACAAGTCTTGTCGCAAGTGCACGAACGCGCCTGCCTCTCGACCTAATCTATCTTCCACGTACCCGCCCCGCCAACGGGCTCATTCCAGCTTGGCTGTAGTACCTTGCCGTCGCTGAAATTATAGACGACCGCTTAATTCTTCATTTTCTTCTTCTTAATATCTTCCACTTTCCATCACTCGACGTCGCGAATCGTCAAATCTCACCGAATTGAGAGTCGATAGTCGACTATAATTCCCCATACCCAGGGCCAACGACCCGGATAAATCCAACCTTTGACCTAGTTCAAGCAACAACTGCCGGGCCGCCATCATGGGAAACTTTATCAGTTGGTTGGAGGACAACCTCCCCGATCCCACCACAACCAAGGGCAATGAGGGCAAGGCGAGAGGGGCTCAGCCCAAGTCAGTCTCGAGTACGTTGAATCGAGTCAAATATTGGTAAATGCGACGGTGGGCTAACAGTATACTAGGCATGGTCTCGACTCTGGTTCCCGTCCTTGTCGCGTCAGCTGTCTACATCATCATCTTCCTCATATTTCGTAAATCCAACAGGCGTTTCTATGCACCTAGGACCTACCTTGGCTCTCTACGCGAGAAGTAAGTACCAATGCGCCATCAAACTTTGACCAGCGGCTCTAACGGTCTTGTAGTGAACGAAGCCCTCAATTGCCCAACGGCCTATTCAATTGGTTCGGAACCTTTTGGAAGATTCCTGATGCCTACGCCCTGCAGCACCAAAGTCTCGATTCTTATCTCTTCATCCGCTTCCTTCGCATTTGCTGTACCATCTGCTTTGTGAGTCTCTGCCTTACATGGCCGATTCTTTTCCCAGTCAATGCCACCGGTGGCAATGGAAAATCGGAGCTTGAGATTCTGTCCTACAGTAACATCAACATCGACAACTCAACTCAGAGAAACAGGCTATATGCCCATTGTTTCGTCGCTTGGATTGTCTATGGCTTCGTCATGTACACCATCATGCGCGAGTGCATCTTCTACATCAGTGTACGACAAGCTTTCCTGCTTACTCCCCAGTATGCCAAGCGTATCTCGTCCCGTACTGTCCTCTTCACTTCGGTGCCCAAGGACTACCTTGACGAGGCCCGCATCCGCACTCTCTTCAACAATTCGGTCAAGAACGTTTGGATTCCCGGTGAGACCAAGGACTTGGACAAGATCGTCGAGGAGCGCGACGAAGTTGCCATGAAGCTCGAGAAGGCAGAGGTTAAGCTGCTCAAGCTGTGCAACAAGGAGCGCATCAAGTCTATGAAGAAGTCAGGCGCTGAAGCCGAGAAGACTAACTCTGCCACTACCGACCCTGAGACTGGAGACCTCGCCACCCGCTACATTCCCAGCAAGAAGCGACCTTCTCACCGTACTGGACCCCTTGGACTCATTGGCAAGAAGGTTGACACCATTGAATGGGGCCGTGAGGAGCTCAAGACTCTGATTCCCAAAGCCGACCAAGCCCAGAGCGACTGGCTTTCTGGTAACTACGAGAAGCACTCTGCTGTTTTCGTTGAATTCTACACTCAATCTGATGCTCAGGCTGCCTACCAAACCACCACTCACCATCATGCTCTCCAAATGGCTCCTCGACACATCGGTGTCAAGCCTGATGAGGTTGTCTGGAAGAGCCTCAAGTTCCCTTGGTGGCAGGTTGTCATTCGCCGATACATCATTTCCTTTCTCATTGCTGTTCTCATTATCTTCTGGGCTATTCCTGTGGCTATTGTCGGTGTTATCGCCCAAGTCAACACTATCAAGTCTCTCCCAGGCCTTACATGGATTGGAGATATCCCCAGCGTCATTCTCGGTGTCGTCTCTGGTCTTCTGCCCTCTGTTGCCCTCGCTATCCTCATGTCATTGGTTCCAGTTTTCATGCGCATTTGTGCCAAGCAAGCTGGTTGCGTTTCTGTTTCCCAGGCTGAGCTCTACACACAGAACGCCTACTTCGTCTTCCAGGTCCTCCAGGTGTTCCTCGTTCAGACACTTGCCAACAGTTTCGTTTCTTCCATCGCAACCATTGTCAAGGACCCCAGCCAAGTCTTCTCCATGCTGTCCTCCTCTATTCCTACTGCGTCCAACTTTTACATCTCCTACTTCATTGTTCAGGGTCTTACCATTGCCACCAGTGTTCTGACTCAGGTCATTGGCTGCGTCATTTTCAACCTCGTGTACAAGTTCTTTGCCAGTACGCCTCGCGCTATGTATAAGAAGTGGACTACGCTCAGTGCCCTGACCTGGGGAAGTCTCCTGCCCGTTTACACCAACATTGCTGTCATCAGTAAGTGATTTTCAAGTCGTGTGACCAGCTTTCAACTAACCATTATCAGGCATCGTTTACTCTATTATTGCTCCAATCATTCTTTTCTGGTCAACTCTCGCTATGGCCTTTTTCTACCTCTCTTACCGCTACAACATCCTGTTTGTCACTGAGACTACGATCGACACTAGGGGTCTTATCTACCCTCGTGCCCTCAAGCAGCTTTTTGTCGGTGTCTACCTCGCTGAGATCTGCCTCATTGGCATGTTCATCATCTCCAAGGCTGCCGGTCCTGCTGTCCTGATGGTTCTTTTCCTCATCTTCACTATCCTGTTTCACATCACCCTCTCCAAGGCTCTCAACCCTCTCCTTTACAACCTTCCTCGCTCGCTCGAGGTTGAGGAGGAGCGCATCCAGAACAGCCAGCAGGTCTCAGAGGTTGAGGATGGACATGTCAACAACGGTAGTGGTAGCGGTGCTGCCTCTAACGGTGCAGGCAAGAGCAACGGGTTCGGCAAGTTCGTACCTGGTGGTGCCGATGGTGTTCAGAAGAAGGGTAACTTGTTCTCCAAGTGGCTCAAGCCTTGGGTTTACGCCGACTACGCGACCATGCGCCAGCTTGTGCCTCACGAGAGCACCATGGGTATTGAGTACTCTGACGAGATCGAGAGAGAAGCCTACTTCCCCCATTCAGTCACCAGCGATACTCCCATTTTGTGGATCCCTGCGGACCCCGCTGGTATCTCGAAGCAGGAGGTACGCAACACGAGCAAGGTGATCCCCATCTCGGATGAGGGCTGCACACTCAACGACAAGAACCACATCGAGTGGGACACTGAGGGCGCACGACCTCCCATCTGGACGGAGAAGATTTACTACTAGAGAAGGGGATGTTTTTATGTGTGATACCCAAACACAAGCCGGCTATCAGGCTGTGTTATTTTGATAGCGATGTGGGAGTGAGGGGAATAGGAGAAGGATGAGAGTTTGGAAATTAGAGGGATTGGCAGTATGGATATATCATGGATGAGTGGATATGTCATGAGATGGTGACGCCACCCTTTTATGGAATCATCGACCTGAGGAGTCTTGGTTGTATGGTTGTTAGATCAGATAGTTACAGTCAAAAATCATAATGTTAATGATGAAAAGATGCCACTAGATGTGGTGACATTTGTTGTGATATGTCTGGCTCTGCCCAACACAGGAGTTGTTTGGTTCGCTTCAGTTGTAGGATGCGTTCATCGGGTCCAGCGCATCGTCTATCGCTTCAATAAGGTTTCCGTGATAGTTGATTGGGCAACTGAATGGCTTGCCCGTGCTGCATTAGTACGATCGCCCCAGCTTTTCTCTCCACAAGTATCACACTCGGCTGCATTTCCTGGTAATCAACAGCAAGGTGGCAAATCGCAAGAACAGACAGTCTAGAATTGTAACTGAGACATGGGACTTTACTGGGAGAAAGGTCAAGAAACAAAGGCTTATCTTCTGTAAATATCAATGCCTTGTCCGTCAGAAACAGAAGAGCAGGCTTGATGGCCGGTTTGTTGATTGTTGGGGTTGGATGCGACAAGGTTTGTACGATTTTTTCCTTGATTGAATTGGGTTGACTGCAGAACCGGGAAGCGGATAGCGGCAGCCACAAGTCAAGCCACGGCCGCTATTGTCGTTGAAGTCAAAGCCAATAACACGATGCACATGTTTTTGTTTGTGCTTGTTCTTGCTAAATGAGTGGATGTTGTGACTTGAAGATCGATAACAACATATTACTTGTTCAGTATTTTTCAGCAGTGCAAGCAATATCAATATTGGCTGTGTTCATTAGTTGTGGCGCTTCCACATGTCATAGCGTGTATCCCCATACAATCCATGTTCTTGTTCCCGTCCGGCTAGCCAAGGTCAGGGCAGGGATCTTACAGAGCCCCTCCATTCGATGGCCCCACCATACAGAAGCAGCATGCAGCGTTGCTGTGCCAATATCGATAAACAATCACCTCGTCAAGTCCCGTCAAGCAGAAAGCGGCAAGTCATTTGTGCTCTCGCGAATAGGATCGCGGTACGCAACTGACCATCGACAAGATAGGTTTAACCGTGAACCTTGCTCATGCGTCCTTGATGTGATACGGATAGTGCCATGTTCAATACTGGACGGTTTAGATCCCCGAGGTGCGCGCAGCAGTAAGAGATCCCTATCCCTGCTCTGCGCAATACCCTGGCCTGACTACTCTCTCTCTCTCTCTCGCACCTCGTTCTCTTCATGTATGCTGTATGCTTGCGTGGCTCTTTTTTCCACCGTCTCTTCCTTTGACCCTCTTCTCTCTCTGCTTTAACAATCCAATCTAAACCTTGACAACGACTCCATCCGTGGCCTATTCTTGAGGCCCTTCAAATTAGTACCAGACCAACCCAACCAAGTCGGTGCGCATAGACACCAAGACATTGCGCAGAGACCCTTGGACATTCCTCTCTCTGTCAGCAGCAACGTGCGCCGATCCGGAGCCCACATACGACATTGCTGGAGTATTTTCACAGCTACAACATCTAAACACCAAACACGTCCATCGGAAGCGAAGTTGGGGGGAGTGAGAGATAGCAGCGAGATACCTCCAGCTCTCGAGCTATACGGCGATGACCATGGTATGAAAGCTCAGCAATATCGTCGGCGACAATTCAACGCTTGAACAGCGGCAACATCAATCGCATCGGCCTTGGATTAGCGAACCACCTCCACATCCACTTCCACCTCGCATAAATCACAATGACTTCAGCAATCACCTCTAGCAGCGCCTGGTCCGCGCAACCGCAAAAGCCCTCGATGGCTTCAACAACCACTCTCCTCTTTCTCGGCATGGCCACTTCTCTTCTCATAGCACCCACAGCCGCGCAGTCTTTCCCATACGTACCTACAGAGATTCTCATGCCCGACCCAACCTGTGTCGACGGTAGCGTACCATGCAGGGCCTCTGATATCGCCTACGTTTTCCGACAAACAGCCTCGGGCAAAGTCGAATTCCGATCTCTCAACTTTTCCTCCAGCGTCGATGCCGACGAGGTCAACCTTGACTATCCGGCAGACAGCACTGCCCTGCCGTTCCTCAAGGACAAATCCAAGAGCACCGCCTTTGGTGCTGCGAGAACAGCAAATGGCTCAGTGCTCGTGTACGCAGGAGACTGTGAGACCGGCACTGGCGATGTCTGGAGCTTCGACGACGATGAAGGAAAATGGTATCGTCGAGGTCTCGAGAACGGCGGTGACACTCGTCGCGCACCTTATTTCCTCGGCGGAACTGTTGCTTTCTCTTCTAATCTTGCTCCGGAGATGGACCAGCCGACTCTTTATACCTACGGTGGCATGTGCGCTAGACCTGCGTCTGGAGATGATGCGACAGATTGGCAGAGTAATGCCAACTACACCAAATCAATGCTCAGGCTCGCACCCGAAGACAAAGATGCTTACACATCTTACGACATGAGCGTAGCATCCAGTGGTGGACCTCGAACGCCTATCGCAGGCTTTACTCTGACTGGTTTGACGCCCGCGATGACCAATAAGTCTGGTACCGTGACGCAGCAGGCGAGCTATGTGTTATTAGGTGGACATACCAAAACTGCCTTCATCAACATGAGCACAGTGGCCGTGTGGAACCTCCCGGCCGAGTCGTGGAGTTATGTGAATATTCAAGCTCCAAGCGGCGATCTGCCGAAATCAGATCTTGCTATCAAGGACACAAGCGGTCAGGCAAGCCGCAGAAGCACTCAGAATACTGCGAAAAACGTGTACAGCCGCTCTGGACATACAGCAACTCTGAGTGAAGATGGAAGCTCTATCGTTGTTATTGGAGGTTGGGTCGGTGATGTCAATACTCCCGCTGAGCCACAGCTTGCTATCCTTGAGATGAGCGAGATATATAGCGGATGGCAGTGGAAGATCCCTGATGAGCAACCTGACTTTTCTGGAATTTACGGCCATGGAGCTGCAGTGCTGCCCGGCAACATGTTGATGGTTTACGGTGGGTGGGAGTCTTCTACTTCTTCCTCGCGTCTCTTCAAGCGTCAAGCTTCATCAGGGACGCTTCGCTTCTATAACATTACTTCAGGATCATGGGGATCTAGCTATACGAACCCTTTGAGTGAGTCCTCATCCTCAGATGACAACAGCGACGACGCTCCCACGGACAATGGCAAAGGATCGAATGCGAAGCGCCTCGGCCTTGGTCTGGGTCTAGGCTTTGGTATTGCTGCGCTAATTGGTCTTATCATTGGCGCTCTGTGCTGGTACAAGAGACGCAAGCGACATATCAGTGACCGGGACCAAGCAGTCAGAGCGCTCTCTCAAGATCCTAACTACTACAACAGCGAGTATCCCGAGATGGGGGAGACTGACCCCTGGGGACTCGATAGTGGCACTTGGTATGGCGGCGGCGCCGACCCTTATTTTGCTGGCGAGCGATCACTGGGCTATGAATCCATGAGAGGCGCCCGAAGTGGAATGCCAGGACTTCATATCCCACACAAACCTATGCCGAGACCCTCACGTGGAGGTTATGTACCCACGGGAGCTCGACCTGGAAGTTTCCCGGGCCCAATTCACCCAATTTATGAAGATGATGAAGAGGAGTCCTACCATAACCGGGGTTTGTACGACCATGTCCTAACGCCCACATCCGAAGTGCCCTCAGATCCCTTCCAGACTCCGGTCACTGGTATGGGCCCGAACAATATACCCCATCCCATATGCCTTACCCCTGGTGGAGGCAACCGAGCATCGGCGACCCCTAGTCCCGAAGGCCCACGACATGACCCTGAGGTTCAGGGTTGGGTAACTGAAGTCGATGCTGCTGAAGGATTACTTGCACGTATGAACAGTCGACGAAGCCAGCACCATAACCCCCAGAATCATGATAACGCGGAGGGCATGCCTGGCCGCATGAACAGTCGTCGGAGCCAGAACCAAGGAAGTATCGGTCATGGCCAAGGCCGGTCTTCACCAACACGACACAACTCGAACCGCTCAGCTGCTCTGCGGGATGATGAATCACGAAGCGGATCTAACTTGTCCGAATCGGCACGGAGCGCAGCAGAGAGCATCAAGGCTAAGGCCCGGCAGCTCAACCCTCTAGCTCCGGCCTTTTTGGCAGCTGGTGCTGAGCACCCTAAGCCTGGGAGCTCGTCATCCGACAGTTACAACACGGCACGTTCATCGTTCGGTGCTCTTCAAGCCGAGGGACCTTCGCTTCTTATGGGGAACCAAGCTCACCGGTACGATGATGATGAACCTGGGTCGCCATCCAAGTCAAAGCCGCGTCGTGGAGGATGGTTAGGCTCTCTTCGGCGAGTATTCTCAGGGGCTAGTACCCCGACATCCTCCCGCGAAGACATGTCTGGAGTGCGACGTTCATTCGATCAGGAGCCTGTGAGCGGTGACTATGAGCCCGGTCTAGTCGGTCTGCGTGGCGAGCTTCTTAGGCGGAAGAAAGGCCGACAGGATTGGGAGGGTGTTGACGATATAACCCCAGGGCCTGTGATGTCTGGGGGTTCGGGACTAGAACCTGGGGCTGAATCCGATTGGGACATTGAAAAGGCTGTAGAGCAACGGCTGGTACAGGTCATGTTCACTGTTCCTCGAGAACGATTAAGAGTTGTTAATGGCAACGAAGAGGGAAGTGATCGTGAGGACGATGTACCTATGAAGCCACACACGGCTGAGCTCGTCGATCCTGATAATGAGAGTCAGGCATCGAGAGGGGACAGTCTTCGAAGGAAACAAGCGGGTCATTTATATGACCATCCTGCTCTTCGAACGGTAGAGGAGCCTAGAAGGGACGAGGGCGAGATGGATCAAACGATAGCCGAGAAGCAACGGCTTGTTCAGGATGAGGATGAAGAACGGCTGAAGCAGGAGCAGCGACATGAGAATGAGAGGCAACAATTCCTGGACGAGAAGCGTGCTGAGGAACAACGTATAGTGGAAGAAGAAGCTCGACAAACACGGCTCTTGGAGGAGGAGGCTCAACAAATGCAGCAGAGGGAGGAAGATGAGCTGAAGAAACGAGAACAACAAGCGCCGCCCTCGCAAGAACAACCTGCATCAACACTACAACAACCGAAACCCTCTTACCTCCAACCCGTCCATCCTCTCTTCCAGCGCCACTCCCCCTCACCATCAACCTCACCTTCTCCTCCACCGTCTCCATCGCCATCACCCAGTCGTCACCGACACAGCAGACGGCACACACGCGACAACTCAGGCAACTCGGTCGCCGGCTTCCTACACCATCCCGACTTCTCTCCTTTGGAGCCTCGCTTCTCTCATTCAACAGATGACACAGGCCATCGCTCCTCTGGCGTCCTCATGGAAGCCCAGGCTGTTCCTATAACAAGGGAGCGCGCAAGGACGCGTGTTCTGGCTATGGTGAATAGTTTTGAGAGCTTGAGTCGCGAGAACAGCCCAAGTCCATCGAAATTCACATGAGAAATGGGATGTTTGCAAGACAGAAGGATTTGAGGCGAAAGAGTGCATGGTATTTGTGCATAACAGGACATGACACGAAAGGGGATTTGTTACTTGATTTTGCAGGGTGTTTGGGTGCAGGATAAACGGGTCATATTGATTGCTTGGTATTGGCATTAGCATTAGCATTAGCTTAAGCATTTTGGAAGTCCTTGGGGAGGAATTGACTAGGAGGTGCACATTTGAGTTGGATTGTGCGGTTTGGGAGTTGTATATATAGCTTCATGTATCTGTACTTAAGGTCCTACCCTATATCTATATGCATGCAATGGCAATGCATTTAGAACTAACTTCCCTCCTATAATAACACTCCTTGGCAATAGCTATTAAGGAGTTACCTATATATATACCTAAATTACTAATAGACTTAAATAAACTTAGTTAAATAGCCTTATAGCCTTTAACTATTTTAACTTAAGGAAGAAAACCCCTAGGAGACTTAATTATGGCTTAAGGAATATATTTTTAAAAAATAGCTATTAATACCTTAATATAAAAGCTATTATATCTATAAATATATTATAGCTTAGCCTATTAAAGATAATAAAAGACTTTAATTAATAAGCTAGCCTGGCTAGTAATAACCTTATTATCTTTATTAAATTATAGGGACTTAAGGTATTATATTATATACCTTAAATTATTAAAGCCTTTTAAGATATTACCTAAAATAGTTATAATATTCTTAAAGATAAAATTAGGATTATTATAGCTTTTTATAAAGCCTTTAATAAAATAGTATAGTAATTTACCTAAGGACTTAATATTAAGTTAGTTAAGGACTTTATATTAAAGCTTATTTAAGTTTATATTATATTAATTAAAGGAAAATAGCCTTTATAAAAAATAATAATAAAGCCTTTTAAAGTAATATATATTATAACTTTTATAAATAGCCTTTAAGACCGTAAGGTATATACTTAATAATAAGTTAAGGCCTAGCCTAGGTAATAATAAAGACTTATTAAAGTTAATAATAATATATTAAGTAATAATATTAAAGTTTTTATTAAACTTTACCTTAAATCCCTAGTATTTAATATCTAGGTATATAAAATTTAAAATATTATTACTTTATTTTTAAGCCTTAGCCTTAATATTATATTATAAATAAGTTAAATTAAAATAGAATAGGCTTTTTACCTTATAAATTATAATATATATTATAAGATTCTAGAAGTTAAGACTAAGATCTATATTAAGATTGGTATTAAAGATATAAAAACTACCTAGATTTAATATATTTATATTATTATAGGAATTTTTTATAAAATTATTAAGATTAAAATAGAAAATATAAATATTAATATTAAGCTACCTAAAGAGGTCTAAACCTAAGTAAAGATAGCCTTTATTAATATTTATAACTTAAAGTATAATTAAAACTAGAAATTAATAAAAATAATTTTAATATCTTTCCTTAAAAAGCTTAAAAAGAGATTCTAACTATTTAATATTAATTAATTTATTAAATTAATTAATAAACCTACTATAATCCTTTAGTATAATAACTATTAGGATTTTTATTTAATAAATTATTATATATATATTAAAAAATATAAAAATTATAACTAAGGGAGGTATAAAAATAAAATAGTAAATTACTAAACTAAAAAATATATTAACTATAAAGGCCCTTACTTAATAGACTATTAAAAATACCTAGCCTACCTTAAAAGAGAGAATAAATAAGTATAAAGACTTATTAAAAATAAAAAAAGCTAGATTAAATAGGTTAGTAAAAAGCTTTATATAAAAGCTAACTTATTAATATTAAAGAGCTTATCCCTAGCTAGGCCCCTTTATTTCTTACCTATAGAATACTATATAAAATTAAAAGTAATTATATTAAACTATTTAGGCCTTTAATTAAAGATATAATTACTAATTAAAAGGTAGTAAATTAACTCTAACCTTATATAACTTAAATATTAAGCTCTTAATTATAATAAAATTATAATAGCCTACTTTATATCTTTTAGGTAAATATAAAAAAAGGCCTTAATTTATATAATATAGTATTAATACTAGCCTATAAAGAAGGATATAATATTATATTACTATAAAAACTATAGATATTAATAAAATATAAATATAAATTAAAGATATATAATATATATTATAATTACTTACCTATAAAATAATAAAAATAGTTTATCTAACCTTAGGTTATATTTTATATCTTTAAAAAGCTTATAATTAACTAGATTTACCTATCCTAATTAAGGGATATATTATAGTTATAAATAGATAAATATTTAATTATTAATTTTTATAAAGATATTAAAGATAATAATATATTAAAGACTTTCCTTAAAAGTATAATTCTAAGGAATTATATAATTATAAAAGACTTTAATATATACTATAGTTTATAATAATCCTTACTGTAATATAACTAAAATAAGAATATTACCTAATAGGCTAAAAGTAATAAACTTATTATATTAAACCTTTATAATATACCTACTAATCCCTATAAATATACTATAGATCTAGTATTTTTTAATATTCTAGGAGTTAAAATAACGGTAAAGAACTACCTATAGACTACCTTTAATTACTATACTATAAGTATTATATTTCTAACCTACCTAAAGATCCCTACGGTTTAAAAATAGTAAAAGGTTAAAGACCTTAATTACTTTAATAAGATTATTAAAAAAAAAGCTTTATATCTTTACTATAAAATATTTAAAGATAGTAAGGAACTAAATAATTAAGTATAAATACTAATTAATCTATTTAGCCTTACTATCCTCTCTATTAATAACTTACTTAAGTACTATACCTTATAAGCCTTATAGTAAATAAAAGAATATATAAAAGCCTACCTTAAGTATATTATTATAGTCTAAACTAGCCTTTTTAAACTAGCCTTAAAAGTAAGATCTTATCTATAATAGATTATCTATTAAAATAAGAAAAATTATTAATAAAAATAATTATTAAAGATTAAAAAACTTAATAATATTTTTAAAATTATAATATAGCTTAAAGAAAGGAGGTAATTTTACCTCTTACCCCTAAAGTATAAAAAAGTAGTTTATAAAACCTAGTTAAAATAAATAAAAGCCTTATATAGACTTATACTTAAATAAAAAACTATAGATAATAATATTAATAATCCTTAGGGAGGAGAATATATTAAGTAAATACCTTTTTACTTAAAGATTACCCTTAAAAAAATAAAAAATACTATAATCTATATTAATAATACTTCCCTTAGGGTAGATAATATTATAGTTAAGCTACTTAAAAAAGCTTAGCTATATATTAAGGAGTATATTAAATTACTTTTTAAAGACTGCCTTTAATTAGGTTATTACCTAATTTACTTTAAAAACGTAAAGGTAGTTATAATCCCTAAGCTAGGGAAAAAAAACCTCTTATCTTTAAAAACCTAATACCCTATCTCCTTACTTTTATATTTTAGTAAGGAATTAAAAAGACTTATTACTTAATATATTTTATATATAACTATTATATATAAAGTCCTTTACCCTTAATAGATTAAAGTATTATTAAAAAGATTAATAATAAACTTAATATTTACTTTAATTAGTAATATTAAAGATATCTTATAGAAAGGGCTAGTAGCTATATTAATTATAGTAAATATATAAAATACTTTTAATATAATATTAAAAAACCGCCTAGTATTATCTCTTTATAAATAGGGATAGTTAATATAAATAGTTAGCTAGGTATTTTCCTTTATAATTAATAAAAAAATAAAGGTTAGACTATAAAAGACCTTAATAGAGAAGGCCCTTTTTAACTATAGATTATTATAAGGCTCCCTAGCCTTACTAATCTTTTTTTTACTTTATATTATAGTAATTTATAATATTAAAAAGCTAAAGCCAGGAGTAAATATATAGTTAATAAAAAAACACTATTATAATATAATAATATACTTTAGGTATATTAATAATATAGCTATATTAAGGATAGGGAGCTCCTTAAAGGAAACCTTTAAAAAAACTAATTAAGACCTAACGGCCTTAATTAATTAGGGATTTAATAATAATATCTAATTTAACCCCTTTAAAATAAAGGTTATATATTTCTTATATAAAACTAAAAAAGTATATTAAGACCCCTTAATTTATTATAAGAACGTCCCTAAGACTATTAAATTAAAGGCTATATATTAACTAGGTTTTTAACTAGACTAGAAACTTAATTAAAAAATATATATATAAAAGTAGACTATAAAGGCTAGTATAGTCTTTAACTTACTATACTAAATAGCTAATATTAAATATAGCCCTTTATTAAACTATATTAAAAAGGTAATTAAGGTCTATATTAAATCTATATTACTTTATAAGGTAATAACTTAATACCTAAGGAATAAAAATAATAGGAAATTAATTAAGTATATTACTTTTTTAAATAAGATAAAAGTAGTATATTACTTAGCCCTTAAGGTAGTAATATTAATTTAAAAGATAATACTATTAGCGGCTTTATATTATAAAAATAACTTTCCCTTCCTTAAGATACTTTTTAAAAGCTATTAAAGATATTTTATTACTAAACTTCTTAGCCTAGATATAGATTATTTATTAATTACCTAGACTATAGTATATAAAAACCGGTATATACCCCTTACTAAAATAGCTAGTATATTCTTATAGGCCCCTAGGTCTTTATTTCTCCCTAAAAGCTCTTTAACCTAGTTAGTAACTATAAATAAAATAACTATAGTACTTAACTTTTAATACTAGCTAAATTTAGTTTTATAATAAGATTTAATAGTTTATTTAAATAGCTTAATATAAAACTATAAGGTAGGCTTTAATTATAATATCTATAAAAATAGATAGTAAATAATATAAGGCTATAAAGGACTAAGGTTAGTAAAAGTCTTTAATACTAAAGTTATTAAGGTAATAACTAGCCTAGAATATACCTTTAAAGCTATAATTTATAAAATACCTATATATATATATCTTAATAACTTAGCTATAATAATAGGTCTTTAAGGAAAATCTAGTAATTCGTTATAATACTTTTACCTTAGATTTTAGAAAATTATATATAAATATAAAGCTATAAATATTAAATAGTATCTAAAATACCTAGGTATTAAAGGTAATAAAATAATAAACTCCTTAATAAAGAAGGGCTATAATAAACCCCCCCTTAACTTACTCCCTATACTATTCTATATTAAAAGGATAGTAAAGGTAAAAATATAAAAAGAACTTTTAACCTAATAGTATAATAATATACTAAAGTTATATAAATCCCTAAGCCTTAAAATAAAAATAAAATACCTTAAGGAATTAATACTTTTAAAGACTACCTTATATTACCTCTTAGCTATAAAAACTTATTATAGTAATTTTACTATATATTATTAATAATTTAACTATAAGGATACTTATTTAAAATATTTCTATAATTATAATAAAAACCTATATTATATTTTTTATTATAAAAAGGTAAATTAAGGTAAGAGAATATTATTATATTAAGATCTAACTATTATAATTTATAGGCTATTAGGTACTAATTTCTATACTTTTATAAATATAATAGTAAAAATAGATTTCTTTAAAACTATCTACCTTTATTAATAATATCCCTTAATAAAAACATTCCTTTATAACTACCTTTTCTTTATATAAAATAAACTATATTATTTTTATATTTAATTATAAAACTATATATATTTTATTTAATAAAGACTTTTAATCCTAAGGTTAAAAATTAATAAAAAGATAGGTACTTTCTTTATTAACTATCTCGGCTTAAATAGCTATATTAAATAAAAACTATTTATTTTAAATAGACCTAAAGAAAGATACTAATTAAAAAAAAAAGGTAATAATAGCCTTTTATATATATAATAAAAAGACCTATAGATAGGTCTTTAACTTAGGAAAATAGGAAATATTATAAAATATTAAATAGCTATAAAGGAAATAAAAAGGAAGGGATATAATACTAGGTAGCTAAGAGAGGTTTTAAAGACCCCTAGTATATAATATAATCTTAAAATAAAAAAAGCCTAACCGTATTAATAAATAAAAAATTAACTACCCTATATAAAGTATAAATTACCTATCTTATAGCTAGCCTAGTATATTATCTTACGCCAGCAGGCGGTTAGTAGGACCTATATACCTATATAACGAAAAATATACATACACACACACATACAATGCATTTAGAACAAAACGTATACTGAGTAAACGAAAGTGAATGAATGTCAATGCTTGCAAGGCCCCGTTCGACCCCTGTTCATTGTTTAATAAGAGCCGAATGGTCGGGCTAAATGAGGCTCTTTCGGTAGTTGACCATTGATCGTTTCGATATTGGGCCGAACTGGAACTACAGTCCCCATCCAAATAACCAATTCGTCGGCTTCACCTTGTCTTGTCTGCATGCTTGCTATGATTGTGTCTGTTTCTTCAGAGAGGTATTTCGATTGCTTGGTACTCTGAAAACCACATTGACTCAAGTTGTCAGATTGCCTTGACAGAAGAATTGACAATGCATACACTTAGGTGGGTTATTAACAGTTTTGGACTTCGTTGGAGTAACCTAGAGTATGACAAATAGGCAATAGGTTTAATAACAGTATAAAGCTAATTGAATAATTAATATTAGATGAAATATTTCTACTCATACTTCGAAGTCACTATACTGCTCTGATAAGATAGCATTAAAATAAATACTTACCTTGTTGGAAAGTGTTTGTTCAGTTGCATCTGTATGTGCCTTATCAAGGTGGAGCTTGATCATATCGTCATAAGTGCCCGGTGCCAGTTTTTACCTGGCACAGATCTAGACTCACAGAAACGTACAACATTAACCACCCTCGACATTGAAAATGGCTTCGCAACCGGAACAGACTCAGGAAAATGGACGCGCGAACATGACCTCCGAGGGGAAGGTCGCAGACTTGGGTTTTACGCCTATGGTCGTGGTCGACGGTCCTTGGACTGTTGACAAGGTCGTCAAAGAGATTCCTGGTGGTGCTCCTACTGAGGGGTCCTCGTCACCGCTGCCCTTCTTCCATATGCTCGAACGGCTCAAGACGACCAAGCGAGAAGGCTGGAGGCGATTTGGTATCTCTAGGTAAGGACCACGGACAGCTCGACTACAGAAAATTACTGACACAGGTAAAGAGGAGAGTCTATTGCCGACCACATGTACCGCATGTCTCTAATCTCCATGTTCGCACCGCCCTCTCTCGCCCCCAAGCTCGACCTTGCCAAGTGCATGAAGATGTGCCTCATCCACGACATGGCAGAGCTCCTCGTCGGCGACATCACCCCCGTGGACGGCGTACCCAAGCCCGAGAAGAGCCGACGCGAATCCGAGACGATGGACTTTTTGACCAAGAACTTGCTACGGAACGTGGCAGGCGGCACAACCGGCGAGGATATTCGCGCCATCTGGCAAGAATATGAAGATTCCGAGACTCTCGACAGCCATTTCGTGCACGACGTGGACAAGATGGAGCTCCTCCTGCAGATGATGGAGTACGAGAAGCGAGGCGATGGCAGACTCGACCTGGGCGAGTTCGCATACGTCGCTACCAGAATGACACTACCGGAGATGAAGACCTGGGGCCAAGAGGTTCTCAAAGAGCGAGAGGAGTTCTGGGGAAGCAAGGAGCACGTGCATGGCGAGCAAGGCACCAGCGGAGGAGTCACCACAGAGCGAAAGGGACAGCAAGACAATTACTACAACAAGGGTTAGTTTTAGCTGGCGGTCGGAATTGAGAAACGTGGTCTAGAATTATGAGAGACGAGATGGGCTGGATGATACCAACGACATTGGGGTTTCAGGGGGTGGGTGGCATATGAAGGGAATAGAAAGAGATTAGGCCGACGCAGGTCATAGAGACTCTGTTTTTACGATTCGGAATATGAGGCATAGACTTGATAGAGGAACAAGGGCCGATTAACGACATGCAAAGCGTATATATCTAAAGCCCAGATAGACTTTTGATTGTATTCATGACTGTTGTGACTTTCCATCGCTGTCAAGGCGATGATTGATCTCCCTAGACAACCAAGGATGTTGAAGTAATTTAACCAAGACAATAAACCAACGCAATGTAAATATGCGACACTATTAAAGCCGTCTTCACAACTATTTATATAACACCCTCTCGTCATTGTTTAGTTTGAACCCTGCCGATCTCCAGTGGACTCCCTCCAAAACCCGCCACGCAGGTCCCAGTTGGAGCTGCAGGTCGCCAACCAAACCTGCGAAACAGAGCTCCCCCGTCATAAGCCACGCACTATCTTTCAGCGGTGACGAATGACGAATGACAAAAAGATAACAAGATCACCTCCTCAAAATTTGTCTTTTTTTACAAACTCCTTCTCTTCTCTCATTTTGTAAAGATATATCGAAAGTCAATCATTGCGGCTCCCCATATTTCTTTAACGACAGCCCAGGGTTAGTCGTCATCTGACCAATCGCTCATCAGCAAAGACAAAGACGCTGGCGCTGGCCCCCCAACCATTTGTTTACCTTGGCTCAATACTTCAGCCGCCAGAACATTTCATGCTCGAGCCTCACTTTCAAGGCGCATCTTACCGTACCTATCCAGGCACTGTATGTGCATCTGGTTAAGATACTCTGCTGATACGTTCTTCATTCGCGACTAGCTTCTGTTTTTTTGGTCGCGTCTATTTGAGTTGGGCGCTTGTAGCCAAAGTTTCATCCCCTCATGCGCCCGTCATCACAAGACACAACCACCGCCGTTTATCTCACGTAGTCACGAGGCGCTCAACAGCATCGCCATATTCAACCAACAAACCGATACCGAATCTCACTGCATTCTCGATTCCGATCTCGTTTATCGATCCGAATATTCGATTCTCTATCTACCCCAGACCCGCTAAATAGAAACGACCTGAGATGTGTCTCGGCTGCTATTAAGCTTGGCCCTATTCTTACAGCTTCCCCTCCGCTAAGACCAAAGGTTATTTCCATATCCATCGATAACTCCACGCACGCTTGCGTGTGGCATCGCTCTTTCGAATCACTATCACTCAAATACGATGACCATGCCTTCACAATTTCACATGCCCGGCGGCTTCAATCGAGAAGGTGTTCATCCAGGCCTGTTTCGCCCGCCCATGTCACCAAGCGCGAGTAGCTATGGTTACCCTTCCCCATACAGCACTGCAACCCCCGATGGGCAGGCTATGAAGCGCAAGCGACGGGGCCATGAGATGTCACGATCGCAAGATATTCGAATACCAGATGATTTCAATAGGCAGGGCTACTTTGGGACGCCCCTGGCTCAGATGAGGCATGGTGATAGGCACTACCAACTCGCTGGGCAGCTTGATACACCAAGTGCTGGACCTTTTGATAATGGCAACCTTGACGAGAGCATGTATTCCGACTCTGACTATCGCAGAGCACTCGGCTCAAAACGAACCCTCGACGACATCGATCGTAACGACGCTGGGCCTACGCAGCTCTTCAACCTCCCTCCCCAGCCAATGCCGTCACAAGGCTGGGGCAGTTTCGCTGTATCGACTCTCGGCGGTGTTGTTGGCCGCGTGTGGGAGTTCTGCAAGACCGGCTCATTTCGAGGATTCCAAGCCGGCGGCGGAAGGGCTTTTGCAATGAACGGGGGTAAGGTGGAAGAGTTGGACCAGACACTTTTCGAAAGTCAGCATCTTCCTGGCCGGTTCCCGGCATCGCAGGAGGATTACTTCAACCATCAGTCAGATAACGCCGACCAGGGCCATAATAGCGGTGCATCTACACCCACAGCGCCGTGTCCAAAACGGAGACATACAGATAATCGAGACGAACTGGGCAGGAATTGGGTTATGGTGAGTGATGAGAAACCAGCTGAGCCCGAGCCTGAGGCTAGACCTACGCCTCCGCAACGACAGCCATCTTATCGCCCATCCCCTCGATCGCGAAACTCCGGACCCTCTATGGCTACAGGCCGACGCATCAGTGCTGCTCCGTCTACCCGCGCCCCGTCATCCCGTGCTCCGACTACCAGATACTCTTCCGCCTCTACTCCCAGCCAGCGACGATCGACTGTCAACCGCCCTTCTAGCCGCCTGTCAGTCGGTCCCTCGCCATCGGGTCCTTCACCTCGTGCAGCATCGACGGCCTCTTTCGCATCCCTTGCTTCACTTGGTTCTCCCCGCGAGGCGACGCCCAGCAAGATCCCTCAGCCCAGCCGCCGCCGAAACACGATCGTCTCATCCCCGATAGCGAAAACGTCGTCGCACCGACGGTCACACAGTAATGCCTCAGTAGCATCGGGGCGCACCACCACAGAAGAAAGTCCCCGTCTCACTACAGAAGCCAAGCATCTAGCAGCACGCCGTAAGATGGAAGAACGAGATGCTGATGTGCGTATCAATGCATTCAACAAACAGTTACAGGACATGATTCGCCAGGGTAGAGAGGCATTGGGCACAACGATAGAAGTGGAGGGGAACTGGGATGATGACCTGTGAGCAACTCCAGCTGCCATCTATCTCGTGACAAACCTGCCAGGCGATTTTGACCCCACCGCCTTCTGCTTCGAATGCTGTTTTCTCACTGATACCCTCCTTACAATTCGTTTCTTACTAGGACAGCGCCGTTGGGGAATCCGGCTTGGTTTTTTATTCCTCAGAGGAATCTATTTGCGTTGGGAGTTGACTGAACGATCTTGGCGTTGAAGCGAATGAACTGATTGTTTAAACTGTCAGTTTAGTTTTACGAATAACTGACTGCTTGCATTTGTTGTAGCTTAGCTATGGGGATACTCATCCCTGCCCCATAAATAACCATAAATACTCTTTTTTTCTTTCTCACTTTTCTTTTTAACCATAAACTCCAGATCGGCCTAGTGCGGAACCGCAAGGGTTGGCTTGGCTTGACCGTTGACGACGTCTACCAACGGTGATATAGCTGCCTGACATCTGATATGGAAAACAGGAACGCCGCAAAACGCTCCAATGAAGAGAGAAGGCACTGTCATCCCTCGTGGTTTTGGAGCCGGACTTTCGCACCAGATGTGGAGTAGTGAGCCCCGTGTTTATAATTGCGGGTTTGATATCATCGGGGATCTTGGTTCATATCCTTCAGGGCATGGACATTACCTGTGGTATCCGTGCGTATTATATCTAGCATGTCAGCGCTGACGTCTTTGAAAAGCTCGTATTCTGACTATATGTGAGGTAGCTCGTCTGTGTCTAAGGTCTTGGCCTTTTCTTGGCTCGGCCATGACGAACGGGTGGATGGATAGAGAGACAGGGCTGGTGAGGGCCAGATGGGATAACAGCGGGTTAACTATGCACGCTGGTCCCTCTTGTGTCGTGAAGATTCACATGCAGAGGGACTTGGCATGTGTGTTGGATATGCAAACGCATGGATAGCAAGGTACTGGTATGTAAGGTCTCGTCAATATGGAACGAGCTGAGGCTCAACAGTACCCATCTTTGGCTCGCTCGGTTTACTCGAAATGGCTCGCAGCTCATGGTGTTTCCACACACAAAGTGACAGAATGTGCATATCCTGAATCACAGGTGCGGTGCTCACAGAATGTCCCAATATTGACCCATAAATGAAATTCACTCCCAATGAGCAATTGCAGATAATAGGGGGCTTACTCGGAGGTTACGATCTCCGTCTTGGTATCTTAACGCAGCATTATCGTTTTTGAGTTTTTTTGTTTCTTTTTCTTTGCTTTTTCTTCCTCTTTTCTTACCCGAGGACAGACTGTGACTCTGTGAGTGAGTGGAGCAGATATGCTGTGCTAGCATGAGCTCGGTAATCGAGGCGAGGACCAGGTTCTTGGTTCGAGACCGACTCTAATAGAGCACGGATGCAGAGACTTGAGCGGAAGAATTTAACAGACTATCGACTAGTCTAGTGCGTGCAAGTTCAGGCGAGCTGAGGCTTCGTCTTGAGTAAATTACCTAGATTTGTCATGAGCATCGGCAGATTTCTTCGGTTGCAAGGTCGTCGGAAAAAGGAGATTATCGTGATGGTGTTGAGGGTAGATCTGGACATGTACGGGTACCAGGCAGCCACCTGCGGGCTGAGTACATACATACGCCACCCGAAGCCCATTAAGACATTGAGACATTGGGAATCTTCAATATAAGCATGCAGGAGAGACTTTTTCTTTATCTTGGCGTCGTACGTTCGAACCGCGCTCTTATCGCAACCAATGCCACCGTGCTGGTGAAGGAAAATAGGGCCTCGCACCCCTGCTCCCAGCGCGTGCAACCCATGCCCTAGGGGAGTCTCAGGTTTTTCAGCTGTCACCGGCTGCATGTAGCAATTGTGACCGTCCCCTATTAACATGATCAGCCTATCGACAGCCCCGGTGACTGCTATGTACAGAAGCTCCAGGGGTTGCGGGTAGGACCTTAACAGAGCAGAGGTCCAAAGGCCAAGCTCCCATTCGAGGGGTTATTCTCCGGCTTGGATCGTAGGATTTCTTCTGTATTGGGGGGGGGGGGGGTGAGTGAGACAAGCCATGTTCGGTAATCGCGAATAGGAATAAGGTTCGTTAAGGTGTAAACAAGAGTATTAACCTCAGAATTTAGGATTTTAGGTATGATTAAAGAAAGGGGAACGGACCACTTGTGATCAGGTAAATTGACTACGTACCAGACTACCCGCCTAACCCCTGGCAATCCAATGTAACCTTATCCTTTGACCACTATTACTAAGAACTTGTCGTCTTGTGTGAGCGCGTGTATACACATACTTTCACCAGTCACAAGAAGAATACACTCTTTTACAGTCGACGTTTAAACGCTCTCTGATAGAACTTAGCACAATATACCTGAGACATACATGTACGTAGCGCCCTGCAGCAGAGATTGGTACAGTAGATTGGCTCGAGTATTACCGATCGTCCCGCATCATCTAATAGCGCCATTGGGTCTCCTCTCTCTCTCTCGCCCCAGTCCATTCAGCGACTCCAGCGCCGAGACTAAGGTCCAGGATCCCGTAACTGGCTATGGAGCAAAGAGTATGGACATGGGACGTCTAGTTACCGTCTACCAGTTACAGTTAGCCAGTCTACCTCTCTACCTCTGTCGGTACACTCGTGGGATACGCGCCATGGGTCTGCCGTCTACAGTCTCCCCCTGTCATGGCGTTATTTTTCTATCACGCAGACCCTCATCGTCATCCCTAAGCAGTATAAATCGATTTAAAAATGGACAACCCCTGGACAGCCCTGAGCGTTGCCAAGATCTCAGATTCTCCAGTCCTTTGCATACGATGAAACTCCAGCTTGTCCCAGGCCCCCAATCTCCGTAGCGTCCGGCTTCGAGCTTAGAAGAACACTCACACTCACTCACACACAGAGAGAGCAAACCCCTGCTGCAGTAGGACATCTGCACTATTACACGCTTTAACGCTACCGTTCAGGTCCAAGAAGGCCTCGTACGTCTATTCTTGCAAGGTTGTCCTGACTATAGTGCCACACCTTGCTGGCTGGTGAGCTTAGACTGAGTAGTATGTATGTGATTCAGCTCGATACGAGTGCTCATTGTGCCATTGAGAAGAAGTTGTATATAAGGGAATCTCTTTCCTGCTGTTCTAGAAGTCGTTTTAGTCTCTGTAGGTCCAACAGCCGCATTCATTCATTCGTTTTCTTTAAACCACACACTCTTTTTTGAAGCTATTCTAGTTTCACCACTGTCGTTCACGTCACTCACTACCCTTTTTACACCATTAAAAAAACGAACATCTCCATCATGCGTTTCTCTCTTGTTAAGCTCGCCACCTACGCTGGCCTCATCCAGGCCGCGGCCGCTGCTGTCCCCGTCGGTGTCGCTATCACCAAGTGCACTGTCAACAAGAACATCGCCCTCACCTTCGACGATGGCCCCTTCGACTACACCAACGAGCTTCTCGACCAGCTCAAGAAGTACGGCTACAAGGCTACTTTCTTCTTGAACGGCAACAACTGGGGTAACATCAACAACTACAAGGCTACCGTCAAGCGAATGATCAGCGAGGGTCACCAGCTGGGCTCCCACACGTACGTCTTTCTCATCTCATCTCATCCTCCTGTCGTGTAACATCCCGTATATGCTAACAATCCCAAAGTTACAGCCATCCCGACCTGGCCACCATCACCAACGCCGCTGTCCGCACGCAAATGACCCGCCTCGAGGCTGACTTCCTCTCCATCGTTGGGAAATGGCCTACCTACATGCGTGCTCCTTACTTCAGCACCAACGCCAACACCCTCTCCGTCATGAAGACTCTCGGCTACCATGTCATCGGTGCCGATGTCGACTCCCTTGACTGGGAGTACAACACCCCTGCTGAGACCGACACTGCGCTTAAGCTGTTCAAGGCCGGTATCACAAAGGGCGGCTCCATTGCTCTCTTCCACGACGTCCACCAGAACACTGTCCGCAACCTCATTCCCAAGGTCCTCGACGCCGTCAAGCGCAGCACCCGTATCCGTAAGTTCTCCGATTACCTCGTCTTCTCATCTTGAATCAAAGACTAACATTCTTATCCAGCTGTTACTGTCGGCCAGTGCCTCGGCGACCCTGCTGCCAACTGGTACAAGACCACCAAGCGCACCAAGCGTGACCTTGAGGAGGAGACTGAGGAGGATGAGACTGTCTCTGAGCGCTCTCTCTCCGACTTCATGGAGCGATCTCGTTTCCGCCGCCACGCTCACGCCGCGTAAAGGCTCTTCCTGTCCTGATTTTTGTTTGATGTGCCTATGAAGTAACTACTGGACATATCATTGGAAAGCATATTTTACTGCCGATACACCTTTTTGCGTCGATCGCATATAGATGATAGACATGCCCCTACATAATATCTCACTTTAATATCTACTTTTGTTCATGACAATGATATGTCGCCTTGATGGATTCCTAGTGACTTAGACATGATGGTGTGTTGTAGCCTACCAGTTACCTGGTCTTGTTATAGGTCCACTAACGTCCAATCCCTTGCTCTTATCATATGTTATATGAAATGACCCAGGGTACCTATATATGCTATCTATGTTCATAACATTCCTCCCTAAAAAGTCAGCACGATACTTATCCTGAAGTCGGCTAAGACGCAGGACACGAAAAGGGGAGAAAGTGCATTACCAAAAGATTGCTACTAAACTATCTTCCACTTGGAAGTATGAAGACTACTCACGTATTGACAAAGTTAACCAGACTTGTTCAACTCATACTTAAGAGTACATCAATTGTCATCATCAATATGACCACCCAGAAGTCATTTGAAATTCTTTTCCCAATATTGAGGTTATCTTCGTACTGTGAATACCCTAAACTCTTGTTTGGTTCTTCTTGTTGTCACTAAGCATCTTTTAATGGCCTATCTCTTATCATTCATATCGAGCGTTGTATTTATCGGACGGCATGTATGATTATTTAACCTTTGAAGTTTAACTTTACTGTTGACCTCTACAATGTTTCTATGCTAACATTTAAGTCGAATTTAAACCGCTTTCTCTCAAACTAATCACACGGAGTTATTGTGCGAGACCGAGTATATACTAAATTCTTTACTCATAGCTATAGTCTGAGCGATGCTATAGAGAAGCTCCTTGGGGTTTACTTTTTCTCCTAGACTAGATTATATCAGCGACGGGTACTAGCTTTCGTATATCTACATAACGACACTATTACAAGGGCAAAGTGAATGACAATGAAAAAGATTTCGAGTCTATATCAATCCTCTAGACGTGAAGAAAACGTGTCATCCAAGGGTCCAGCATGACTCGACATGCGCGTATCCAAGTCTGATACCGTCGGATTCTCTCCCCAATTTTTTAAAATTCACTACGTATTGGACCCCGAGGTTTCATAAAGACATCTCCATGGTCTTCAACTTCCCTGATCCTGGTTGGTATCCAACGTAGCATTGACATCTGCGGTCATGGTCATGGACTGACTAATTGAGACTTCAATCTTATTCCCTACTTTAAACTTTGGCCCCCTGCTGTGATCACTGGCTATGAATTTTAGTGGTGGAAAGAGTATTCCGTCTCATCAGACCAAGTTGATAACAGATTCTGGTGTTACGGTAGTTTCATGTCCGAGACACCCGGTCTTATTGACCAGATCTGTAGACGAGGATTCGAGGTTCCAAGGCACCGATATTTGAACATGTTCTGAATAAGAAAGGCTTGAAGACCAGTGTTAGTGTATGCTTATTAAACCAACATTGATGTATAATATTAATAAGATAAGGAGAAAAGAATATCGTTTATATACTAGAAAGGCAGTTTGATATTGTGAGGTAGTTGCTATTGTTGAGATATAGGTCTTAACAGCCACTAGGATTTCATCCCTTTTTGTATTTCAACAGCTATTAGTTAAGGCTACGTAGAAAAAGCCCTGGAAGTATAGTAATAGACCGTCCTTTTGCTTTATTTATTATTTACTATAACATGGCTCTTTTACCTGGCAAACACCTATATTTATGTTCTGGGGCTGTAAGTAGTATAATCACGTCTTCCTCCTAGACACCGAAACCATGAACCTTCTTAACAGAGTCTATCAAGCCATTATATCACCTACCTAAGCATATCTTCAAGGATTAAAATAAACGCTCGAGGTGATAGGGTATTTAGTACGAAAATTGAACAAGATCTAGATTTGTCAAATAGTTAGAGAGGCAGTCGCCATAGTAGGTATGTAAGAAACAGTTTGTCGTCTGAGACGGAATAAGAAGCCATGTACAGAATTTGCAGTACAATATATAGAGATTAGCATTATGCTTATTCTATGGATATTCAGAGTTTCTCTTTGCTTCCACGTGGTTAGAGATTTCGCCCAAAGATATAACATTGACTGAAAGTCGAGTTATGTGTCAGTTATGACATGGTCCTCCACCACTGCATTAAGACCACGATGAGCTGGAACAGAACACAGCTGCAGACTTACAAGCAGACAGTATCAACTTCTTTATAAACCGGCGAGCATCATAATCAATTTTGACCACTTGCTTACATCAGAGGATAAAGGGCCTTTTTCGGATCGAATCGCATCTTTATGACTATAACGGAACATCGGTGACATGCTATGGATACGATACGCCGGGTAGAAAACGGGAATGACGCAGTTTGAATTCTTGCCAGTGGCGTCATGTTTTTTCTCTTTCATTTTTTTCAATTTTCGGTCACGGGGAGCTCATGCGAGTCTTGACTCTTAGCGCGTGGGATGTTGATTGCTGGTTGATTAGTGGCGGAAGTCGGAGGATAGGCCGGGCGACGGGCCGGGATAAGAGTGTCGCGTGTGGTTTACGGGGAGTTGATAAATGGTATACAGTGGGATTTCGTAAATTTAGTGAAAGGGACTGTATTTGAAGGTGAGATCATAGGAGTATCATTGTTGCTATTGCTGTAAGAACAGAACATTTAAGTCTTGATCTTATAAACACTGTATAGTCGTGAAATGCATCGGTACGGCTGTCGTAGCGAACATGATGTGAATGAATCTGCCTCTGACGGTGATGTACGTAATTAGTGTTTGCTACTAGACCCCTGCTTCAGACCCGTCTCTGGATATCGGGGACATTGCCATGGACATCGGGGAGGTCGGGGAGTTGTTCGAGGCCTTTGATGGAGCCTCGCAGCGTCAACGCCAATGAATGTAGCCGATGACCGACGGCCGATCACCAAACGGAGCAGCTTGTATCCATTAAAAAGTTGGGAAGGTTTGCAACACTAAATCGACTTCAACGCTTTTTCGATATGGGTCCTTTCTGCAATGGAGAGGAACACGTATGGAGAGTCAGAAGAACAATTATGAATATGAATATTTATTTATTGTTCTTTAATCTCTTTTTTACTGTCCATACCTACTATATCACGTGTCGGCCTCCCCCCGATGGCCCGATATCCGTCCCCTAGAATGCAAATCTCCACTTGGCAAAAAACCAAACGGCGTCTACCGACATCCGCCCCACGCAAAAAATGGCCACCCCGGCGCCCGTCTTAGACCAACCCGCGGACATACCGCACCCGTATCTCGTTAGGTCAAAGTGCAAGGGGGTTAGGGACTAGAGATTTCAGTTCCAACTCTTGCCGTCAGGAACATCAATTGCAATTGTCCCCCGCTGCTGCCTCGTCAAGAATCAAACGACCCTATCCCCCCAACGACCCGATAGGAGAGCGTGCACAGCAACACCAACACCATGACCAGGACAAAAGCATCCTCCCCAAGCGTGTCCGGGCCATCGGCTTCCGCTTCGGTGACGCGCCGACAACCCGCAGGTGCTGCCTCTAGGCCTGGCAAGGCGAGATCCCTCGCTTGTCGACAGTGTCGCGATCGTAAAATCCGCTGCGACGGCGCCCGTCCCGTCTGCGACTCTTGCTCCAGACGTGGCCTCTGCGCTGAACAGTGTGTTTATCCCGAAATTGAGCACGAAGGCTCTATCGCTTCGTCGCGGAGGTAAGTTCCTAAGCATCTTTTAGCAGTCACCATTATCATGCCATTGTGAATAGAATCTAACTATAGCTGCAGCTATATTCGCGCCCTCCAGAAACGGGTGCAAGAACTAGAAGAGAAGGAGAGGCAACTTGTAAGTCTTTTTATACCAAGTAGTTTGCTCATGCTCCTTTCACTCGGGATAGTCACTTATACATCTCACAGGAATTCGTCGCTCATGGCCGCGATGCTTTTGCCGCTACTACACCTGCACATGATGAATGGAGGAAGCACTCTAGCTCTCCAAGTGTTGTATCTGAGCGTCTGGCACGACCTCCTCCGCGACATGTTGACCATGCTCTTCCGCCAATCCATGCCGATTCTGGCCACCCTCTTCCCAGCTTCTCTGCCAGAGCTGGTTCTTTGCCAGTGGTTCATGAGCCGGCAAGCTATTACTCCCGTCCTCACCATCTTATGGGTGCCAGTCCGCCCTTGACAGATGACCTGGAGGATGCTGCTTCAGCTAGACCCTCGTCCTTTGGCTCGTACTCATCCAACGTGAAAGCAGCTCTGATGCTTCAGAAGATCACGCTTCCGCAAGCAGACCTTATGGACGAGCTACTAGCCGAGTATTTCAACATCGAATGGATCACCATGCCCATTATTCACCGTCCGTCGTTCTACCAGCGCTACCACCGTCTCATCGCTGTTGCAAACTCTCGTTACCGTCGCGATATTCCCCTCGAAGAAGCAACTGAACTCGCCGCCACCTATTCTCTCCTCCTTGGAATGCTCGCCATCGGTCAACTAGCCAAAGCACCAATTGCAGAGTCCGCCGAGTCCCACGCATCTCACGCCTACGAGTTCCACCAACAAGCAAAGACTCTGCTACTCGTCGACCTCCTACCTCTTTCATCCCCTGCGGTCGTGCAGGCTTTGATTGTTCACGCTCGGTTCTTGCGACGGGCGGGTGCGGATCAGGAGAGTTGGATGTTTACAGGAATGGCTCAGCGACTCGCAGAGGGTCTTATGCTTCACGTTGATCTACCAGGCAAGGCGCAGGCTGAACGTGAGGAGAGGAGGAGGACATGGTGTGCTTGTGCTCTGCTTGTCAAGATGCAGAACTCCTCTGGAAGTCAACTAAACCCAACCTTTGGAACGTTGCCTCAGGAAATTGATGATGAATATCTCGAGACTTGCCCGAACAATGCGGACCGCGCTCAACCTTGCGATGCTCCTTCACAAATATCTTTCTTCAACCAAACATTGAAACTATTCGACAATGTTCTTCAACCTATTCAAGATTCTTATTTCAAACAACCAACCTTCAATAACAAAGAATCCATTTCCGATATTCTATCCACTGCCCTCAGACTCGACTGCGAACTGGAGGAGTGGCATGCTGCTCTACCTGAGCATCTGCATGTCAAGTTTCCCTGCACTCAACCCGAAGCCGTCTTCCGCCGCCAGGCCACTTTGCTGCGCATGAGGTATGCCAATGTTCATTATCAGGATTTATGATCTTTTGCTAACCCAGTCAAGATACCTTGAAACAAAGGCATTGATTCCCCGCGCAGCTATTATGAAGCTGATCAGCAGTCACGCAACTCAACCAGTGTCTCTGGTGGCACGATCAATGCTTGTTGGACTCTTCGAGTCCTGTTACGCTGCAAGTGTGGAGCTGGAAGATATCATGGCACGCGAAAGGAGACTCATGACTTTCGACGGACCCCCGGAGAGTCACTCTGCCATTGGTAAGTTTACATTCTTTCCCCATGAAACAATTCTCCTAACCTTGAAAACAGCCCTCAGCATAATCGGCATGACTCTCACCGTCTTGATCCAACATCCTCTGTTTAGGGACATCATCACGAACCCCATCCCCATCACCGACGAAGCCAGACGTTGTCTCGCAACCGCCAAACAATACACAAACTCACCCCACCCACTCGCCGAGCGATTTGTTCACGCTCTCGAGTCCGCCTTGCAGCCTACCTCGCGATGCGCCTCTCCCCGCGGTGTAATGGACCCCGCGCTGGAACCCAAGACTGTTGGGCCTGTGCTGTCCAACTTGACCGAGGCCCCTGGGGCTGTGGAGATGGCCTTGCTCGAGGCCTGGTATCTTAGAAGACAAGAGCTTGCCTATGGATGTGGCTTGCCTGTTACGGAGATTGTTTCTCTGTGGTGATTATAGTATATGCAATTGGCATGGGGAAAACTTGGCAATGGGAAATGGAAATGGAAATGGATTTGGCGTTTTTGTTTTAGCTAGCGAGATACCCAAGCATGAAGTCAATTGAATGTTTACGCTGTATCGTTGTTCACTCATAGATAAAAGTTGTTGCTTTTTGTTCTGGCTGCCTCTGGTGTTGGTCCTCGAGGGGCGCAGTTTGGTCGGGCCGCCGCGTTGGTGACCGACATGTACAGCCGCATTGAGGCAACTTGCTTGTCATATTGATGATTTCATTGGCTCTTAAGACTCGAGGACATCATTGCACTTGTTCCAGATAGAAAATTCTGGTCTTCGGGCGGGTATTTGCTCATGCTTTTGGTGGTGGGCCTCCTACTGTCACTCACCGATAGGCAGCCTGGTCTTCAGCAAATGACAAAGTGTATATATCAAAATGATAAGGCACATCGGACATAGGAAAGTCGTGAGGCTATAGGGCGAATTACGCTTCTTGCATTCTCTGTTGTCTCCCAGTTGTCTCTCGATTAGTTTGCTATGTCAATGATATGATATGCCACCATCCAGGGGCCAGGGACTTGCTCAGCCGGATATTCACATCCAAGTGGAAACTAGGAAGGTTGCGTGCAAACAGTGCTTGGCCGTCCTGTATATGCAAGTCATTTTAGTCTACCTAGCTGTGAGATAAACATAGCTCGAGGCTGCATTGGTGGTTCACCTGGATATAAATATGCTGTAAAGCTCCCACTTCTTCTTCCCTTCAACATATCCCAGTCAGAGAAGAGAGACACTACAACACAACAGAAACATCACGCACACTAAAGGCCCTCTGGTTAAAAAGAAAGAGACCAGAAGAAACGCCCCAGCTTACACGAAATTAAACCAGCCAAGATGCCGGGTAAGACGAGCAAGTCGAGCGAGGGTCTCGCAAACCGAGCCCTTCTCGACAAGATGGATAAGCTCAGAGAGCTCGGAATCTCCGACATGGTTCCGCTTCCTCAGGTAAGTCATAGTAAAAACGCATCATGAGACTTCATTACTGATCATAATCTTAGCTGGTCGTCGTTGGTGACCAAAGCGCAGGAAAATCGAGTGTTCTTGAATCCCTCACAGGATTTCACTTCCCTCGCAACGTCAGCCTCTGCACTCGACATGCCACTGAGATTATTTGTCGTCGGGAAGAGACCAGAAATATAGTCATATCCATCCACGCGGTAGACGCCGACAAGGACGAGGCTCGGTCGTTTCGTCGTACCGTTGAGAATCTTGATGCAAAGGAATTCGGCCAGATCTTCCAAGATGTAAGTAACATACTATACTCAATTATATCAGCTATTGACAAAGATGATAGGCCGCCAAGGTCATGGGTATCAGTTCAGCCTCGAATGACGACTCTGAGCCAGATAACAAATCAGCTGGCTCAGCGTTCAGTCGGGATGTTTTACGAGTTGAAATCAGCGGACCTGACGAAGATCACTTGACCGTGATTGATGTCCCAGGAATGTTTGAGAACGAAACTCCCGGCCAGACTACAAAGGCCGACATTGATCTCGTGAAGAACATGGTACGGAAGTACATCAACGAATCACGAACCATTATCCTTGCTGTTGTGCCATGCACCGTCGATATTGCGAACCAAAAGATCCTGACCTACGCCAAAGAGGCTGACCCTGATGGCAAGAGAACCCTTGGTGTTCTCACCAAGCCCGATCTTGCTGTTGAAGAGGCTACTAAGGGTGTTGTAGTCGACCTTGTTCTTGGCAAGCGTCGCGATCTCCAGCTTGGTTACTGCATCGTCAAGAACCGCGGCGCAGATGATACCTCATCCAGCCCCAATGATCGCAATCTTAAAGAGCGAACCTTCTTTTCCGAGTCGCCCTGGACAAAGCTCCCTGCCGATAGGGTCGGTATTCCTGCCCTTAAGACACGCCTAGGCCAACTACTCATGGATCGCACCAAGAGCGAGTTCCCAAAGGTTCGCACGGAACTCACCACCAAGCACAAAGACTGCGAGACGCTGCTCAAGTCGATGGGCGAGGCGCGCAGTACCGAGGCGCAGCAACGAGTATATCTTGGACGTGTGGCCGCTCAATTTGCGCAGATCAAGACCTTTGGTCTCGACGCTTATTACACACGGCACGAGATTTTCGAGAACGAGGAGCTGAAGCTCATCACTCGCATTCGAGAAATAAACGAGGGTTTCGGAAAGGTTCTCTATGAAAGAGGACATACGCGAAACTTCTTTGAAGTTGGGAAGAAGCGAAACTTATTCAGCATTTGGGAGGCATATGACCCAGATGAGAAGCCGACTTCGCTTGCTGATGATCCAGACTCTGGAGATTTTGACTATGAGAAAAGTAGAGCAGATCTATATGACAACGCGACTTTTCCCATCCCAGTGATGGGCGAGGATGACTTGGCGGACGATATCCTCTATGATCCCTACCAATGCCCCCATCCTGAGGACGGAGACATCCTGACATATATCGAAAATGAGTATTTGACTTCACGAGGCTATGAGATTGGAACGGTAAGTAATCTTCTAACGACAATGGCTATTATACGTTGAAGCTAATCCCTGGACAGTTCAGTGGTGAGATGTTGCCCACGACCTTCAAGGAACAGACCAAGAAATGGGGGCCCATGACTCGAGCCCACGTCTCCAACGCCATCCTAATTGTCCACCATTTCATACGCACCGTCCTCGACTCTTGCTGTCCAGATGAACCTATCCGTGAAGAACTGTGGTCATTCCTCCTCGATGACCTACAGGGACGCTACCGTCGCGCGGTCGAACACGTGGAGTTTCTGTTGAAGGTTGAATTTGAGGGCAAAAGCATCACGTACGATCCCACCTTCAATGAGGCCTTGACCAATCTCAAGTTCGCCCACGCGAAAGGCCTCGGTCAAGAAGTCGAGAAGTCGATCAATGCGATTCCTGAAGGAGAGCGCAATCTCCAGCGGATAGCCCAAAAAGCTCGTCAGCTTATTGACAACCGCCTTGAGAACGAAGAAATTCTCAAGACCACGCGTCGAGATATTCACAACGTCCTCCAAACATTCTACAGCAATGCACGTGGTCGATTTGTCGACGTGGTTTGCCAGCAGGTCATCGACCACTTTCTTCTGCACGCCCCGGATGGCCCTCTCGCCGTCCTCTCTCAAGACGTGGTTATTCACATGAATGCAGAACAGCTCGAGACCATCGCCGGGGAAGATATGCTTAGCAAAGACCGCCGCGAAAAGGTCACCCGCGATCTCGCTAATCTGAAGGAAGCCATCAAAGTTCTTCGTGGCTGAGCGGAGAGTTATTCTATCACTATTGAGAACAAGAGGAGTATGGATCAAAACCACGGGCTGGACAGGGAGGAACACATAGATGATGCATGTTTTATCATGATAGGACTTAAAGACGAAGATGAGGGCATTCGTATCAGATAAGGTAAACGCAGGTTGGCTAGGTAATTTCGTACAGAAGAGCAAATTGCATAGCAACGTGCGTTCCTCTCAGCATTATTGGTCACTGCATAATACTCAGAAATTGTGAATCTTGTGATGTATATGCTTCATTTCGTTATTCATTCGTACAAGTTACGAAGCGTTTCTGCTCCTTAGCCTCCAACTGCCGGTACTCAGCCCGACATATGCGAAAAATCAAACTCCAAGGTATCATAGTCTAAATTTCATTATTCCCACAAACGCCTGAGATATGCGAACCATGCGTGACTAACACCAGTTTTGTCAATCAGAACATCATTTTGTAAGCAGGCTGCCAACATCCTGCAACTGAACAGAATTCAACAACGGAGGGGGTCCTCCCCTGTCTATCCGTCCCCAACCAGCCCCCCAACTTGGCGGTGGCGGCGGAGGAGGACTAGTCGATATAGGCGCAGGGGCACCTGCTGGGAAGATTTCGTCGTCTGCTGTACCGGAACTTCGAGTACTCAAAGCAATATCCGTACCACTGCTCGACTTGGCCTTACGGTGTCTCCTCCAGAGACGGGATTTTCGGAGTCGGGATGTTTCGGCCATAAGCTCCGGCGATGTCATGATGCCCACACGATCGCTATTTCGGAACTGTCTCATTCTGGATCTGGGATACGAGAATCCTGCAGGCTGACCTCCGTGGAAAGGGTTCCATGCCCTAAGCTTTGGTGACCCGAGACTTATACTACCATTGCATCCTGAGTTGTAGCTTGTTCGGGGTTCCCCAGAGAGCTCCTCCAACGTCATGCCCTTAGTTTCCGGAATTAACAACGAGACAAAAGTACCGAACAGCATGAAAAGGGCAAAGAGCTGAAGCAAACGATGCATGTTTGGTGTGCATTCAGTACCTTGACACCCTTCAAGTGCTCCTTGGCGTACCATAGGGATGCTGATACCCTGAGCCACTATAGCGCCAATTTTACCCATAGCAGCTGAAATGCCATGGCCGGTCGATCGATATCGAGTGGGAAAGCATTCGCCAGGAACGATGAAAGTGGTCGTATTCGGCCCAGCGTTGAAGAGAAACTGGCCGATGATGTATAGCGCAAGTAAGCCTCCCTGTGATAGGTTATTGTATGCGAATCCGAGCACACAGAATAGGATGGTAAGTAGGAGAAAGCCAATGATCTGTAATAGCTTGCGGCCAAAGGTATCAACGGTAAGAATGGCAGTCCAGTAGCCAGGGAGTGAGCCGGCACAAGTCAGAATGATCATTCCCACCGATTGGTTATGAAGCTTCTCGAAAAGTGTGTTGCCAGCACCATAGCCCACTGCCTGGAGGACAAAGATGTTATTCAGGCCCAGGCCATAGAACGCAAGATCCTTCGTCAAAGTTAGTTGGAGCAATCAGGGGTTCCATCACAAAGCTTACCAGAAAGAACCAAGACAGAGTTGTGCCCAGCAGCATCTTGAAATTGGTCCATTGTCGGAAGAAAGAGATAAGATCAGACCAAGACGCGCGAGGGACATTAAGGTTGCGCCCAGCTATGCGCTTGGTCTTGACCTGATGAACAACATCGAAAGAGCCCTTGGATTTGCTGGCCACATAGGCTTTGATGTCGGCGTCAGCCTTCTCAATGTCGTGTTCAACATCGAATGTGTATCGAGGTGTTTCCGGTAATGTTATACGATAATAGAGGGCAAAGCAGGCAGGAATGGCACCCACGCCGACGATAATTCGCCATGCTCGGTCAGCAGCCAATCGACAATCGTATCCGCATTGACTCTCGTCTGCAGCACCATTAAAAGCGTCCTTGAATGCAACAGTGGTGATCAAAGCAACAATAGCAGCCGCCAATTGCCCGAGTCCCTGCATAGAGAATACAGCAGCAACCATGGCGCCACGCCACCTCGTTGGTGCGAACCTAGCGAGATCTCGGTCAGCTCGCTTCGTTAAAAGTGTAGACATCAGGGGTTCAGTAAACTAAACTCCAGCCACAAAATCTACATCACAATTTGAAGATAGTGAACTTACTCAGATGTAATAACACTTGAAAGAGGATAATCTCCGCCGATGCCAATACCCTATTTGGTCAGTAAATACCACTAGGTTGCAAACAGTGAAGGCTTACCATAATGATGCGCCAGAATATTAGCAGTCCAGTCGATCCCATCGCCGGACTGGAGGAGATAAGAGCACAGCAAAGTGTTGCTAGGATAATAATACCCAGTTCAACACCATACATACGTCGCCGACCAAAACCACTATTTGAGTTGTCAGTACATTCTTGCGCAGCTGGGTGATCTACTAAGTTGACGTAGATAGGGAGGGGTACTAACTCTGCTAGCCATCCGAAGACGATCATACCCACTACGATTCCTGCGCTCGTGGAGGCTTTGAAAGCCTGGTTGACTCGGTCAGGAAGGTATCCGTCATTGCCACTGAAACCGTTTTGAGGATTTTTATCTCCCCAAAATACAACACCGAGGAGGATGGTGATAAGGTTGATGGCAAATATGTCGTAAGAATCCAGGAAGAAACCAACGCCTGCAACTAGAACAGCGCGAACGTCTAAGGCAAATGGTCAGTATATGAAGAAATACCTATCGTTATGTTACATACGGTATGCACCAAAAGGGACTTTGTCGATCTCAGACAAAGCAAGACGGCGGCGAAGATTTGGGTCAGAGATATGAGAAAAGTCGTTAAAGAAGTTGTGAAAAGCATTGTTACCGCCCCAGGTGCGATCCTGCTGAGAGCCTGAGGCGGGCGGAGGGAGCATATCTTCGTCGTAGTCTGGCATTTTGAAGTTTATGGCGAGTGAATATCGGGAGCGATGATATCCGTGATTGACGACATGGGTTGTTCTGTATGGGGATACGTTAGGATGAGTTTGGCGATACTGATCTCCACCTTGTATTTGGCTGATTCGTTAGAGGTCAGATGAATGCATGAGACTTGGCTCTCTTTCTCGACGTAAGTTTCTGCGATAAATCCAACTCTTCCCAAATGGTATCCAATTCAAGCCCCTCCAATTCAATTGGCAATCCTTTCCTTTGTGTCGTGGTCCGTTGAATGCTGATTTGGTCCACCAGGACAGTCGACAGATAATGGAACGTCCAAGCCGGTTGGCTTCAATATCAATAGCAATGTCAAATGTTCTTCTAGCCAATACCCCCAGCTTCAATCGGTGATGATTTATCGATGACAAGAGAGCGTTGTTTTGATGATCAAATGCGACATCGATGCATAAATCGGAGTTCGGCGTCGATGGCCGTCGGAGGGCGCGGGTTCGTGGAAGTGTATGCGATGGGTGGTGATGCAGGTCAACGACAAGCCACAACAGTTGAAGATACGAAGTGGGTATTGACGACGAAGAATAAAAAGAAGAAGATATTATGTTCTACTAAGAAGAATGAAATGGAGAAGTTGGAGTTTGAGAGAATCAGAGGATTCCTGACAGGTCCAGACGACTGGGATTCGATACGGCCGGATATAGCGTACTTGCCGTGCTTGCCAGGTACCTAAGACGTTCCTACCTCACTTCTACGGATGGAGATGGGGGATGCGATGGCTAATGGATTATGGATGGGTGGTAGTTTTGAGGCAGGTGCAATGGGTGGAGACAAGGCGCCTGGACGCCAGGACGCATCAGTCGCATCTGCGCACGCCTTCCATAATGGAATCTCCGGGCCAAGCCACTCACAGTCTCATCCACTCTGGAAGCCGAGGAAGAAGCAAGATGGAAAGTCCACTGCACACCCACTTGAACCTCCCCGGGCCAGTCAGAGTTGAGTATTGGCTGCAGACCACTAAGACGAATGGAACACCAAGGTGTCCATGCTTTTAGAGAGCCCACCAGGCCCGCCTTGTTCAAAGCAGGTCATTCTGCTTAGGCACCTCCTCTATCGAGCATAGCATCCACCATAGACATAGACCGGCCCGATGCTCGTAGCAATAGAATAGGCCAGCTCCAGTAGAGAAAAAGCGCAAATGAATCTAGCAACTAATCCATGGTTTCAAGCTCAGCTCGACTCCGTAATGAGAAAGACTCCTCCTCCTCCTCCTTCAGTCCCTGTCCAAGCAGATGCACCCTTACAGACCCCTGTTGCTCACTAAGTATCTAGGCCAATTGGAAGACATCGGAGGCAAGTGGCCAAACTCGCCCTGGTGGAGAGCATTCGACCTAACGCCCGCGTCTTACACTGGAAGGGCTGCCCCCCACTTCAACTCCAGGGTTGTTAGGTCCTTTCCCTCTGACTGAGTGAGTGTGGTGAGATTTCTACGGATATGCAAAAGAGAGTTTATTGAATAAGGCTATTTGATTGATTCAGGGTCATCTTGCTACTGGTTCATCTGTCGTCTCTTGTTTTGATTCGATGTCGTATTACAAAACTTGGCATGGCCACTGCTGTTGCGAGGAAGACAAGACCGGGCGCCAGATAGATACCCCTGCCCCCTGTTTTCCAGAACAAATCACTGACAAACCGTTTGCCTCAGGCATCAACACCCGCTACAAGTTTGCTTCTGCTTCTGTCACACGGGAAGGCTTCCAGAAGCAATGGAGTCGTTCCGTGGATCCATCACACCCCCATTGTGCCGCATTGAGTATCCCATCCATCTCACCGTGATCACTCGGTCGCAGATCTCGCCGAGTTGAAACTCTCAAGATTTTACTGGCGCTTCTTTTACTCATTCGCGTCTTCTGATCGCCGCCTAAAATGCCCGAAGCCATCATAACCGTCTCTGGTGCGTCCCATCGATGACGAAGGAATGAAAAGGATCGGCAACGGTTTCTCTTGATTGCATTACACTGCATTGCACAGCATTTTGTTGACTTTCCCCTCTTTCGTCAAGGGAAATGCAAACATGTGCCTTGTCCACGCAACAACACGATGAGAAGGAAGAGCACACCGAAGTGGGCGTACTTTTTGCTTTGTACGTAAAAACTGCACGTCGTTCAATTTGCCCAGACACAAACTGTGGGTTTGTTCTCTACTCGTCAACCTAAGGAGGACGGAGGGCTTCCGGTAAACAACAGAGCAAGCAAGCTCTATCCCAGCTTGCCCCAGCCTGAACGGGTCATGTTGCGCACGCGCGCTGTCGCATAAGAAACAGTTGAACAAGGCAACACGAGAAGCGTGACTCTGGCGTATCCATTATTCACACAAGTGAAACGATCGGTATCCTCTTTCTGATTCATGATAGCAAAGAAGAAACAAGGCCTAGGCCAGACCCATCTTACACACTGTTCAACAGTCTCCACCATCTCAGCTTCGAAAATGATTCTAGCCGCATTCTCAAGTTTGCCACAGCATGGGCCCTGGGGAGAACAATGTCGAACGACTCGCATGATATTAAAAGTTACGTATTACGGGTCTGTTGTGCTGACAGTTGAACCGAGCTCTATGCCTGGCAGAGTTTGCCAATCCTGTCAAAATCTGCGACGCCTAGACACCACCGCTTGAAACCGGTACCTAAAGCATAAGCTTTTAGTAATCTGCTGGAGATTTTGTATCTTTCGGGTGCGTTTCGTGACTCGAGCTATCGTTTTCATCCCGCTGTCATCTCGGTGAAGAAATGCGTTCCGGCAGCACTGACCGACTCTGACCAAGAGTGGTAGCACGCCCGACGAGTATGGATTCCTCTTGTCTCATCATATTCATATTCTCGCCTTGTTGAATTGATTTCGAACTTTCCAGCCCATGATCCTGTTTCGCCAAATACAACAGGGGCCGTATTGCACCTGGCCAATCGCTTCTCCACGTGTGTTACTCTGTCACTTGGCCTGCAATGTTTTGTCGCAATCCTTTTGCTGTGCAATACCTCAGTATAAAAGCTGTCATTCTTTTACCTCATCAACTATGGGGAAGAACCCGCCTCGTTGAGTGATTCGTAAGTCAGTGGGCCAGCGGGATATTAGAGAGTCACAAGCCAAGGAAACACATGTGAGACTGGCTTCTGTTTCTCTATCACATCCAGTAATTAGAGTAGAGGATGCTATTATGCAAATTTGCGTAGCAGATATACGCTGTTTCATATGTTTTCCAGTTGATGAAAAATGCGTAAGGTGCCGATTCTGAAAGTTCTTCGTCATCTATTCGGATCTTCTATGCCTTACACATTCCATCATGATGAGGACTAACTTAGGCTCTAGTGGTTCTGCTGAGCTATAGTTTGAAATGATCAGACTATGTAGGCTTCTCTTCACAATCCTCAAATTGATTCTGTGTTGAGCTGTTGCTTTACCAAACACGACGTCTTACTTTGACTACGCTCTATGCAGCTCTAACAGTACATGCCAGACGTCCTTTGATTGACCCTCAGATCTTCTCTCTGTCATAGAAGTCAAACTTAGTTACAGTGACGAGCAGGGATATACAGTCCAACGACTGGAGCCTTCAAGTAAGTTACAACCTTAATCAACCTGGATCAGTCAGTCGCACAGCTCCCGGATCGAAACGCATCAAGTGTAAATAGGCGATTACACATATCATTGGTGCCTCTGAGTAACTCCAGACTTCTCTCATCCATTTAGATTCCATTCACGGATATATAGCTAGAGTAAGCTCTGAGATCAGCCTGGCCGCCGCCACAGTCGTTGAATCTCCCGCGATACCAGTACGCCATATACTCAGTGGCTTTACGGGAATAACAATACATTATACCCTGTGTTTATCTTTGGGAAGAACCCGGCTATGTTTGCATGGACTATTGAACTCTCTTCTCTTAACGCCCGACACCTGTGCGCTTTCATGCAGTCAATGACTGGTGTGTTGGGACAAAGAGGATGAAACGAAGTTGAGTGTAGCATCATTATGCCGACAAGGACTTATAATTATTACTCAGTAGCAGCCTTGTGAGACTTCTATGCATGAGCCACCATGCCCCGAGGGGGTTTCTCACACATCCCACCATGAAGAACTTATGATCCAGTCTTGGTAGGGCATACAACCATGCTTGTCGTCAACGAACCACATCTTTAGAAAAAGAATGCAGAACTAGCAGTACGCTAGATTCATTTTCAACAGCCTAGAAAGCTTGTTAGAAAAAAGCTAACGGCGTAACATGGATTGATAGCGAGCTACGGAGGAGTTCCGCACGACTGACTCAGTGCTTCTCTATCACTTGGAGTCAGACAAACATACGCACGCACCCCTCGTTTATCTAAAACGAACATGGAGTTTTCATATTATTTCAATTCTGACGCTACTACCCTGGAAGCGCTACCCAGCTACAAGTCAACAAAGTAACATGTTTCGAAGGAAGCAAATGGCAGTGACAAATTCATGGTGGTGGTTTATCTTGGTATTTTTTATTCACATCTAGTTCTTTTCAAATTAAAAACCATATGTATACTGCCTTCATTGTTTCAAGTAGTCTATGTTTTACCAGGCAGTGATATCCTCGACCTCAGCTTCACCAAATGTGCTTGACTTGGTGATCTGTCCAACGCTAGCATCCTCAGGTTCGGAACCATCCTTGGACATGATGTCAGGCAAAACTTCCTTGAAGAATGAAAGGACATAGTTGTTGACCTGCTCGAACTGCAACAAGAACGCATCGTGGCCCTCTGGACTATCGATTCGCTCGAGTCGTGCCTTGGGAACATGTTTCGCGATCTCCTCTTGTTCAGCAAACGTAAAGAGGCCATCGCTTTCAATTCCCAAAACAAGTGTAGGCTGCTGGATCATAGCTAGTGCATCTGCGATAGTGTCGGCTCGGTTGCGGGACACATCATGTGTGTCAAGCTTACGAGTCATGGCAATGTAGCAGTTGCTGTCGAATCGCGAAACAAATTTACGGCCTTGGTATCGCAGATACGATTGAGCAGAGAAGTAGTGCGATTGCGGCAGATCTCCTCCAGTAAGGCTGCCGTTGCTAGGTCCATGGAACTGAGGATCCGCAACGTCATCGGGTCCTGCGGGTGTCTGAGAGCTCGGTGCAGCATCAGTTGTGCTGCCTTGGCGAGAAATGGATGTGCGCTTGACAACATGGCCGTCATTGTGAATGTTGAAGTGTGCCTCTGAAGGAGTCGAGGGGCGTGGCCGGCCGCCAATAGTCTGGACCTTGGAAGGATCGGGAATGTTTCGTCCGAATCTTGACTCGAAGGAGTTGCGACTTCGATACGTGAGCAGGGCAGACATACGAGCCGCCCCCAAACCAGTTGAAGGAGGGTCATCAAACGAGTAATACCCATCATCGTACTTGGGGTCAGCGTAGATGCTCTGTCGCTGAGCTTCACCCCAGCTGATACCCCAGGCACTGTGCCTGCTTGATGTGGCAATGGGGACGATACAGCGGATATAGTCTTTGCCAAAGTACGCCCACTCGAGCACGAACATGCCGCCAAGAGATCCTCCAACAACAGCAGCAAGCTGCTTCACGCCTAGGTCATCCAAGACGAGCTTATGCAGGCTATTGATAATTAGTACAGAAGTTTCTTAGACTGAGCATAGGAGATGGAACTTACTTGACATCATCGCGAATGGTGGTCAGCGGGAACTCAGGTCCATATCGACCCTTGCTTGGGTCGTTATCCTTTGCTGTCACCGGGCTTGCAGTGCCATAGGGACTACCCAGACTGTTCATACAGACAATGAAAAATCTTGAGGTATCGAAGGCTCGACCAGGACCTCCGAGTAGAGGGCCCCACCAGTCGCTTACATCGGCGCTTCCAGTGAGTGCATGGCAGATCACCATAGCATTGTTTCCCTCATCGTTGAGCTTGCCGCGAGTTGTATAAGCGACGGGAAGGTTATAAAGTGTAACCCCGGACTCAAGGGTGAATTCTGGAACGATCGCTAGCTGCTGCTCAGGAATGAGAGCAGCGAACGGGTTCTCGGACTGCAATCGCGTTCTTTCTTACAGGTATTCAGCCACTATTCTTTCATGATGATTCAAGGCAAAGATGGGTATGTGTCACAGGAGTATACAATGGACGCAACTAGAGAGTGACAGAAAAGACGAGTAAGGAGTAAAAGTAAATACTGACCGTATTGCTTACGGGGACCACCATTCGTGGCAGTGCTTTCGGCCATAATTTCAGCTGGCATGATTGTATATGGTTTGTTGAAGTCTTCTCACGATAGGATAGTTGTAACTTGTGAGAGGTTATACAAAGAAGTTCGGACCGGGGTCGCTCCCGAGATGTCCAAGCTTGATATTGGAGCTTTTAAACCACAGGACCAAGAAAAGGGCTAGGATGCTGGATCCAATGAATGAGCGAATTCCAACAGAATGTAGATTTAACCTTATTTCACCTAAAAGAAGTGATTTGATGTGAGTTTGAGTGGGAAAATTCATTCCTTGCTATGGCGTAATTCTCGCTGGTCTCCATGGGTGCTGTGACTCAACCAATTACGGTGCTTGGATCTCTGCAAGAACTGGCCGGCAACGGAGACCGGGACGATCACGTGGAAGCATGAGGGAATGATTCGGGAATAAACGCTCAAGCTATCAATCGTCCGAACCTGCTGACACTTGAAAGGGAATTAATATGAGTAATAAGCCGACTATAAACGTAAGTGCCTTCAAACATGACTCTTCAAAAGAATTGAATACTTTGGCCTCACACGATTTGACGCTTGAAAGTGATATCCGGTCATGAATCTGACAAAGACAACTTCCCAATGGGGATGAATCTTGAACCGTCGCATGTGGTCCGTGCACAGTGCCTGTATGTAGGTACTCCGTGCCTGCCACCGCGTTGGCAACGCTGGCAGTGGCAGTTGCAGCCTCGTTTCCCCAGTAAGGCTGCCACTACGTCGTGACATCTTTGTAGGAGCTTCTCTTTATTCCTTTCTCCTCAAACCCATCGCGACTGGGCTCCCCCACTCCACTACGAATTGCAGACGCCGCTTGCTTCTATATCTCAAAGCAGCATAATATTGCGCACTGTTGTAGTTTTATCACTACCTACTTTTCTCTCCAGTCATTCCCTTGTCAGCTTTGTCGCGACCATTACCTTTCCCCACCCATTACTCCTTGTCGTCAAAAGTCAGTCTTTCCTATCCGCGCCGCCAGCATTTGCAGCAATAGATGCCACTCCCTTCGCTTTTTTCGAAACAGTCAACTCATTTTTTGCTCTTCCAGACCTCGGAACTCATAATACCTGCCGACAGCGCAACATCACGCTACCATCTAATGAGATAATCATCGCTATCAGCTCCGACTTCACTCTCGCGAGGCATGGGCCCGAAACGTAAGAGGAACGATCGCCCATCTCTCGAAGGTGGTAGGTCTTCCCCTCATCGCCCTGGTGATACTGCACTTGGACAACACGATCGCGACGATAATATGGGACGCGGTCGGGGTGGCAGAGCACCTCGTGGTCCAGGTCGACGCGATTCATCACAAAACCAAAATCGAGCACCTCCGAATCATCAATCGAATCCTTCACCGGCACAACGACGACCCAGTTCTTCTCATGCACCACCTCCGCCCCCTCCGCCAGCGATGAAGAAGCCCGCCTACGTTCCGCCGCCACTATTACGACCGCCCTCTCCGGTCCGTTCTAACTATCGCTATAATAATCTTACGGACGAAAAGGTTAGCGCTTGGGCCGAGAGCGGTCGGGATGAGATTGTACAGCATGGGAAGCAGTCGCGAGACGATGTTGACATCACCGAACTGTCAAGTTTGTTCCAAGAGTTTGTTCATGCAGTTGTTGAAGCCCGATTATCACCAAACGATGCAGGTGCCTGCGTCAAAGAAATTCTAGGTGACGAAACGACGGAGATTATTAAGGATTCATACGCGTTCGCTCCCCACACTCTATTTCTTGACTCTCTGTCTATTGTCATGGATAATGAGCCCGCCATCTTCCGACCGAGCCTTCGCGACTTCGTTTTGGCGGCTGGCGTATCGTCCAACTTGATGCGACAGGTGCTTGAAGCTGAAATTCTACAGCAGCTGGGATTGATCAGGGATAACTTCGTCAAACTGGGTATCAAGCAGGCGACGAACCTTCTCTATCGACAAGCAAATTACAATCTGCTCCGCGAGGAAACAGAGGGCTATTCTAAGCTCATTACGGAACTGTTCACGACTAGCAGTGTGGCACCTCCACCCCCAGAAATGGCTGAGCAGACCTTCGAGAGAATCAAGGCTTTGATCGGAACTTTTGATCTCGACGTTGGGAGGGTCCTTGATGTCACTCTGGATGTTGCAGCTGCCGTCCTCATTAAGCAGTTCAAGTTCTTCGTCAAGTTCTTAAGAGTGAGCTCCTGGTGGCCTCGTTCACATCTCAAATTTAGTGCTGCGGTCTATGTTGGTGGCCTGCCTCTGTGGGCAACACCGGACTATATACAGTGGACAACGACAGAAGAAGACGAGAAGCTCCTGGAGGACAAGAAAAGGGTTCGAGACATTGCCTTTTGGAGCCGAGCCCGAGAAGTTCATATCGAAGCTTTCTTTGAACTCGGTGGTCGGCAAGTCGCGGACTCCGACTCCCAACAGCTTACCATTACCAATGGAGTCAAGGGGGATGATGCCGCCGCTGATATTGAACGACAGTGGGTGCAGGAAACGAAAACGCTTCCACCTCCGGGTAACCGAACGGCCGCACAGTTACTTGGATTCAAGCTGCGTTTCTACAATTCCGATGCTAGAGATGAGTCGGATGTACTTCCTGCAAATCTGCTTTACTTGGCTGCCCTTCTAGTCAAAATCGGTTTCATTTCTCTAACCGACCTCTACCCACACCTTTCACCGGCCGACGAAGACATGGAGAAGGTCCGTGAGAAGGAACTGAAAAGGATAGAAGAAGAGGAACGGTCTTCGCGAGGCGGTCCAATGAACGCCCTTCTTATGGCTGGTGTTTTGCCGCAGGGCGACGACGACAACCCTGCCCCTTCGAATCTCCCTCGACGGGAGCTTCCTAAGAAAGCCGAAGCTGACACCAAGGAAGCCACTACAGAGACAGCGGACAACAAACCAAAACTCCCTGAGCCGTTGGAGCAGAAGGTGGCATTACTCACCCAGTTGTTGACTATTGGTGCCATCCCCGAATCATTGTTCATCCTCGGTCGTTTCCCATGGATACCAGAGGTGTTCCCCGAAGTACTCGAACGAATTCATCGCATTCTTCACTATTGCGTTGACAAGGTCTTCCATGATAGTCGACCTATTGTGGTAGGCGAGACTGGATGTCCCACAAAGTCTGTACCCGATTTTGATCAATCGGGGCTTCCCAAAGGCAACGTTCGCTTGAACAGATTGACAGCACGCAAATCACTCAGGTGGCCGTTCCCAGACAAAGTTGACACAAACGAGTCACAGAACTATCGGTATTACTGGGACGAATGGGCCGACAACATCCCTGTTTGCCAGACAGTAGACGATATCTTTACTCTTTGTGGAACACTGCTCAACATTTCTGGTGTCAATATCGGAAAAGATGAGGCTCTACTGACCAAATTGGCTAGAATTGGAGCCAAGAGCCTCGCGGAGGATAAGTCGGAGCACAATCTGACTCGATGGCACGGCCTACTACGACGACTGTTGATGCCAGCTTTGAGCCATACCAAGGCCAATGCCTCTGCCGTCAATGCGATATGGGAACTTCTCAGGCATTATCCCATCACTACTCGTTATTCCATGTACGCTGAGTGGTTCGAGGGTCAAATCTCTCGACTCCCTGCTATGAAAGCGGCTTTCGCAAGAGCAACATCTGAGACTCGAGGCACCATGAAGCGAGTCTCTCTCACAAATCTTGGTGAAATGGCCAAGCAACTTGCCAAAACGAGTTACTCGTCTCCTGGCATTGTGTTCAGGGTTGCTTTCGAGCAATTGGAGTCTTATCCAAACCTGATCGACGCCTTTGTGGAATGCGCCAAGTACTTCACAGACTTGTCTTACGATGTGCTTGTGTGGTCCTTGATGAGCTCTCTTGGTAAATCGAGAAGTCGTACCCAAGCTGAGCACGCTCTTACTACCAGCAAATGGCTCCAGGCTTTGTCGAGGTTCTCTGGTAGAGTCTTTCGACGTTACACCGTTCTAAACGCTACTCCCGTTCTTAAATATGTCAACGAACAGCTCATCAAGGGCAACTCTACCGATCTAATCATTCTAAAGGAACTCATTACGTCAATGGGCGGAATCGTGGATTCGGTTGATTTTACGGATCATCAAATCTTATCGATGGCTGGAGGCGAATATCTACGACGACACACCCTAATCCGTGGTCAGGACAAACGCTTCGAGAACGTCAAGAGCTCCAAACGTCTCATCCAAGCTTTGACAGACTCCAAGCTTGCTGCGCAGGTTCTTGTAAACCTGGCGCAGTACCGACAATCCGCGCTCTTTCAAGTACCAGAAGATGAAGCCCACATCAAGTATTTGTCCTCCATGATCGACGACTCGCACCGCATTCTGATTCAGTATCTGGATCTACTTTGGAGCAACATGGACCCGGCCAGCTTCGAAAGCCTCGTACCATCAATTCCTGAACTCATTCATTCCTACGGTTTGGACACCAGTCTGGCATTCTTGATAGGTAGAGCTAGCCTTGCCCATCGCATGTTTCCTTGGAAGCAGAAGAAGCTGGATGAGACCAAAGAAAAGGCTCAAACTACCCAGTCTACTGATAAGGAAGGAGACGTTTCCATGTCTGATACTCCTGTCGTCAATGGCGGCAACGACACCCCAAGCCAAGAGACACTTCAGGCTGATGATCAGGTGGGTGCTCAAATATTACCAACATCAAACCCTAAAACTAATCCACAACAATCACAGAAGTCCGAAGACCCCTCCCTTGTCAGGTCTGCGCTGCAACCTATCGTGGAAACTATTCAAGATACTGCTCGCCCTGAGATCTGGCAAAAGATCACCCCAGACCTTTACGTGACCTTCTGGGCTCTTCATCTAGGAGATCTCTATTGTCCTGACAAGATCTACAGACAGGAGAAAGAGCGCCTTAGAACGGAAGAGGTTGCTGTGTCTCGAGATCGCAGTGACATGTCAAGACGAGGACAAGAACGCAAAGTGGAGAAAAGAAAGGAACTTATGCAGCTCCAAATCGGTCTTTCCGAAGAATGCGGCGAACATCTTTTACGGCAGGCCAAGTGGAAATTCTATTTGAGCAAGCAGTTCCAAACCTCATTCCCAGAGCCTCGAGCCAAACCAGATAGCATTTCGGACGCCTTGCTCGAGCAGTGCTTCCTCCCCCGCATGCTCCTGTCTAAGGCTGATGCTGAGTACACCTACAAGTTCATCAAAGCACTTCACGAAGGAAATGCACCAGGGTTCCAGTTGATGTCGCTATATGATCGTCTGTTTAACGCCAATCGCTTGAGGGCTCTCATCTTTACATCTACTGTCATGGAGGCTGAGTATCTCGGTCGTTTCCTGAAGCTTATCCTAGAGGACTTGTCACGTTGGCACAAGAACGCAACCGTTCCTAACGAGAAGGACAAGTCAAGGGATCAACCTAGGCTGGGCGCATATGAGAAGGAAGGCAAAGGCCCGAGTGACCAACCTCGTCTTGGGTTTGCCCTCACCTTTGACGACAACGGAAAGCCATTAACCTTCGTGGAACATGAGCAATTCCGTGATCTACTCTTCAGATGGCACAAGAACCTAAATAGTGCTCTTCGTTCTTGTCTGGAGGGAACGGAATGGATGCATATCCGAAACGCCATCACAGTGCTGAAGGTGGTCCTTGATGTCTTTCCTGCGATCGACTTCATGGCGACCAAATTCTCTTCCCTTCTTCAGACTATCACCAAGCAGGAGTCTGCTGCCAAACCATCTCCTGATAGTGAGATTGGCGGGCGTGTTGACTTGTCAGTCGCTGCGCAGGGTGCGATGTCCGAGCTTCAAAGGAGAAAATCCAAATGGGTGATGGTCCAGGCTTTCCGCCCTGGTGGTGTAAGTGTCATCAAAGTAGATTAATCGACATTACTAACGCATCATAGGCTGGGGCTCCCCAAAACGAAACAGAGAAGGCCCCTGGCTTGCGTGCGAACGCGCCAGAGTTTAAACCTGGCCCCGCAAAGTAAGCAACCAAGCCAAAGCATGTCATTCCAAGGCTAACATAAGAAGGTCGTCTAGAGGAAAACAAAGTACTATTGAAGAAGAAGACGGCGAGGTCAAGGATGGCAAGGACGCCAAGAACTCAGCAACAGATTCGTCAAGGGGCACAGGTGCTACGAAGGACTTGTTGCCAGCCAAGCCAGGGTCGTCTAGAGACTCACATAAACGCGATCAGACGCCATCAGGGCCTCGGGCCTCAAACAACAGTTCTGGAGCCGGCCCTGGTACAAAGCATGACTCCAGGCCCAATACGCTTCCCGAACGCCCGCCTCACACTCTCCCGAGTCGGCCTGACGTGCCCATTCCCGCTCACTATACGCCCGATCGTTTTAATCAGTCTAGAGGGCATGAGCGGCGCGACGGTAAAGAGCCACGGGACGCGCGCTCTAGAGAATCACGCGATTCCAGGGAACCTCGTGATGCTAGGGACCAGCGAGAGCCTAGAGAGCCTCGTGACGCTCGTGAACCACGAGAGCAGCGTGATCCCCGACCTTTTGATCCTGCCCGTCCCGACCGTCCGCGCGACTTTCCTGACCGACGAGGACAAGATCATGGCCGGGAATCATCTCGATCTGACGGATCAGCGCGCCGCGGTGAAAGTGAGCGGGAGCGGCCTAGGGATGCTAAGAGTGGTAGAGGCCAAGACCACGGCCGCTTGACAGAATCGCCAGCCTCTGTTCCTACAGCCTCTGTTGCAGCCGTCGAAGCCCCTGAGCCACATATCAACCCTCAAAGAGCTGCCCTGTTTGCGCAAGACAACGAGCGTCCTCCTCGGGCACCTGACTCTGACCGACCTAGCAGGGGCCGGAAGAACGCTCCTGTAGAGCCAATGGATACAGTCAATCCAGAGAGAGCAGCCTTGATAGGCAACAGAGATCTCACACCGTCGCGCGCTCCTCGAAACGATACACGGGAGCATAGTTCTCGCGTTCAATCTCCTCGTCGAGGCGGACGCCACGGGCATGAGAGTGGTCAGCCAGAAGGTGTTCGCGAAGACAGGCATGATCGCAACTATCCTGCAGAGCACCGACCTTCGTCTGCCAGAGATCCTCGGGAGCGATCACCTCTGCCGGGCAATCATCGTGGTGAAAAACCAGCGGACCGTGACAACGATCGAGTTTCTGCACCCAAGGGCCGCGACGCTTCTAGTTTCCACGGAACTACTTCTCGGGTCTCCGAGTCAGATCAGAAGCAAGCTCACCAAGACGATACCTATGGGCGCCTCAACCCCATTCAGACTGTCCCTGATATTCCACACGGGCCAAGAGCTCGTGGAAGAGGCTTGACAAGAGGCCATGGTGGACCACAAGCTCTGCCAGGTCGACTTGACGGCCGATTTGCCGGTTCTGATGCTGACCGTCCACCTACTCCAGATCGAGCTCCCCCAACCGGCCCATCAGGCCGGGGACGGAGGGGCGGTTTTGAGCAGAACAACGGGCCCGTCACTCCTTCTGGTACACCTAGCGGCCCTCAAGGCAGAATCAGAAATGCTGGCCAGGGCATGCCTTCTCCCGTTTCAACTAATGCAACGCCTGTTGGAGTTCACCCGGAACGTCTTGCTCAAATTGGCGCTCAAACCGGTGGCTCTGTACCTCCTCCACCGCCAGGTCCACCACCTCATAACCATAGCCACAACCATGGTCGTCAATCAATGCCTGGAACCAACACACCTGACAGAAATCCAAACCAGGGGCAGCGACAAACGCCTGGAAGCTATGCAGGATCTCCAGTAATTGATTCCAATGTGCCCACTGGACCAGCTTCTTCTAACGAACGTGTTCGTAATGGCGGCGGTCGAAGACAGCTCGCTGGCATCAACAGTACACTGCAACAAGCACAAGCCAACATGCCCGATGTAAGTCGAAGCAGTAGTGGAAGGAGGGGTCAAACACGCCAAACGCTGGGTGGCTCTGACGCACAAGTGTTGACTGGGGGGTCTCCCACCGCTACACCGGTCCAAGAGCGCCAGGACCCCATCAGGAATGAATCATCTAGCCGAGCACCTGCCAATACCGAGGAAAGCTCAGGCCGTAGCGAACATGAGCGAGGCCGGCGTGATCGGGAGAGTCGTTCCAACCGAGCCTCACGCCGCGGTAGCCGTGAGCGTGGCGGTCGTGAACGAAGCCCTGGTCGCGAGCGAGAGGGTAAAGAGCCCCGCGAATATCGGGAGCGTCACTCGGCAGCTGGTGAGGGTGGTAGAGAGGAGCGAGAGTCTAGGCGCTCTACAAGAGACCACCCTGTGGCTCCACGTGAGCCTATGGGTCCTCCTCCTACTGGTGGACGAGATCTTGTTCAGGGTCGTGAAGGCCGTCATAGAGGCGATAGTCAAACTCGTAGAAGTGGTGAAGATTGGGGAGGCAGTGGTAGAGGAGGTCGTGGAGGACAACGCGAAGGAGGCTTACGACCCGACGATCGCCGCGAAGGGCGAGAGGATCGTGGACGAAAGAGAAGAAGCGAAGACGGAGTTGGAGGATTATCGAGCGATCGTGAGAAGCGAACCCGACGATGAAAGACATAATTTGAAGGAAAGGAAGTCGGCATGTTTTCAGTACGAAAAAGAAAATTACGAAAAGAGGGAGGATTCGGTTCTGGTCAAAGAAGAGATATCATATCACATGCAACCCGTACAGAAGAGGAATTCGGACACGGCCAAGCAGAAGAGTCGCATTTTCGGGCGTTTATCAGGACTTTTGTCACATTATGCTCCTTTCGACCTTGCGTTTCAGTACTCATTCCCTTTACTACGTTACTACAATTTACTGCTTTACACACATTTGTTCCGTCTGAGGCTACACAGTCTCATCAGCATATTTGAATCGGCTCGCGAGGCATCAAAACATGGGGCATTCTCATGAGAGACGAACTCGTCTCTTTAAAAATTGGTTATAGAGGGTCAGGCGTTTGGTTGGCACAGCGCACTTGCGTTCAAGATACCCTTTTGGCAGTATTGTTGCCTATTTGCATAGAGTGGTGGCTTAAATCAGGGATACACCCTTGGTCAGGTTTCTTGGATACAGAGAGGCCTTGTAGAATATAGTAGTGCGCCTTTGCTCAGGATGATCGAGTCCATCTACATATGTACATCGGGTGTTCCAGCATCCCATCGATCTTGGGAGATTCGATCATACATTGGGCAACAAGGCTTTAGTTCCGTCTCTGCTCCCCGGGCACGCCTGAATCGTGACTTGACTTCAGAACATGATAATGCACGACTTTAATACCTACTGGTTTGCAGTTGACTCGCTCAAGTTAGTGGCATATTGGCGTCGCCGAGTGAAGTGGAGTTGGAGTTTACACACCCGCTACCAGAAAGGGGTCCGCGGCGAAGAACCTAAGCTATTTCTTATGATAGTTGCCACATTGCCTTGGAACATTTCATGGAGTGTAGTCCTATACAAAAGTTCTGATAATGAGCGCTAGGAATGTATAATACTATTCTGAGATGAAATAAGATCATATATAAAAAGAAAGTGCATTGTAATTATATTATCTTGTATGAACTTTAGAAGGGAAGTTGTGACAACTTTCGGACACCCACTGTAAAATAATATATTAGTCACAAAAGCATGCACCAGGGCTCAATTGTACTATCGACTACCTTCGACTACCTAGAGCGATCGGGCAACATCCTAGCATGTTTACAGACCAAGAAAAAGTATACCTTCTGGTCGTCGTTTCAACCTCTTCGCGTTGCGTATTTATGCTAATTCTATGTACATAGCAACTGACCCCAAATTGACAACGACGACATGCTTATTAGATCCAGACTTTGAAGCCATCACTGTTCGCTCGTACAACGTATTCAAACTGAGCAACACCACCACGTACTACAGTTGCCGTCTAACCAACCATCGTATCATGTTTGCCTAGCCAAAATCGCCGTTGTCGTAATGCAGTAAAATATAAATCCGAATCGAAAGTGTAGCAGTCAGCTACTGCTCTCATAACCATGCATAGCAACAGTTACCCAGCCCGCTTATTTATGTACCAATACCATGATCTCACCAGTCGGAGAGTCCGTCCCTTGTCCCGTTGTGTATGTGTCCCTTGTAAAATGCCAACGCCATCCTGGTATCTCGAAATGCAAAACCCCCTGAGGTTGTAAAAGTGTGAGCCGGAGAAAGTGAAAATTCGTGTGCTTCATAGGCCTTGGTGACCTTTTGTCCGCTCGTGTGGAACATCCTTCATTTATCCATTTGCCGAAACCCTGTCGGCTCAAGGTTCCGTTGATGGATCGGGGTTGGTTGCACGCAATACTTTAGGTGGCTGGATTCTCCTCGAATAGTCGTGGTCGTCTCGCAATGTGTTGATGCTCTCGTGGCTCGCGCTTCTGACATACAATCCCTGCTTAAACGGATCCATTCGCGGGTCGACTTGTAGAGTGCTGTTACGACTGCCGGCTGCACCGGCTGCTATCTGGGAGCCACCGTTCATGCTCATATCAGGCCGTTGAGCAATACCCGAGGAGCTATCTCGGATACTGGGATCATCCTGGTAGGCTTCCTGTTCGTTCTGCTGCTTCTTGCGACGGAACCAAAAGAATAGGGCCAAGGCAGCTGCACCTATGACTGCAACAATGACACCCACCACGATACCGACAACCTGGCCGGTATTCATTCCACCTTTATCTGTGGCCTCGCCAGCGCTTTCGCTTGCTTGGGTACCGGCGGTCTGCTGTGTCGGTGCCACAGTTACTGTCCTGATAGTACCCCCGGCAGTGACGGTCTGAACGATAGAACTGGCCTCTTTTGTTGCACTGGCTGTGGTGGATACTTCCTCGTCGGTCGAGGTGGCCTCTGCCTCCGTCGAGGTCTCTTCTTCTTCTTCGGTCTGAACAAGTGGTTAGTGTCTATTGCAAACCAAGTTGATCACATCACCAAATTCCCGGAATGGAACGACATGCATGTCGGAGCAGGCATACAGTTGAGATTTCTGGCTTCGATGTGGTTGTCGATTTGGAGGTTGGTATTACTGTCACTGTGTTCTGCACCGTCTCAGTCACCTTGGACACGGCCATCGTAGTAGTAGGTTTTGCCTGATTGTCGCCTGTTAAGCCGTGGTATCTTACCAACCCCAAAAGGGTCGAATTGGAGTTTGGATTGGAGTGTGGAGGTGGAGGCTGGGAGGCAGACACTAGTCCGATCACGGCATGTGCAGCATTCACAACACAAGGCATAATCATATCACAGGATATTACTTACTTTGGTTGATGATGGAGATGGCCCCCGGCTGCCAGATGGCTCGATTTCGAGTGGCACGTACCCGTATACGCCGGGACCGCCACAGAACTCTCCGGGCCATGCGGGACAGGTCTGGTCGCATTTCGAGATATCCTCTTGTGATGATTTGGAAGGGGCGTAGTTGGAACACCAGCATAGCTTATCCTGGGTGATGGCGAAGGCATAGTCGCCAACACAGCGGTCATGGCAGAGGCCATTGGTTTGGTAGATACTTCGGTCTATAATCAGGTTAGAGGCTTCATCATCACGGATCTCTGGAGGGAGTGCATACTGCTGGATGTTTCGGCAGTATTGAAGCTAGCGCAGTAGGTAATATCCAACGAGCTGGCCAGAGGTGCCCATGATGATGCTACTAGGAGCAAACCCGCTGACAAGGCATTCCTGTTGGAGGACAACATGTTGACTATCGGTTTGGTGGAAAGACTGAGAGTTCGGATTAGAATGTGTTGATTTAAGGGGAAGACAACGGCCAGCAAGGCGAAGGCACCGCTCGTGACCAAATGTAACACACCTTTACCAATCAAGATGGCAGCAAAAGAGCATGAATTTCGGGTGTGACAGAGATGAAGCAGGTTAATCACAGCTTAACACGGTCGCGGAGTACTCTGAGATGGTCGAAGCCATACCACGTCGAACGTCGACTAAGTGCGGTGTCACTGGATGATCTTCTCGTGGGTGTATGTCTCAAACCCGGAACAAGATAGCCGGTATCGTCAATCGTGATTCGAGTCAGGCAAGGTAGCACAATGAAGTGACCTAGCAGGTTAAAAGGCGAGCGAGAGTTCGACAACTTCTCGGAAGAAAACGACAAAGTTCGGTAGCGATGTTCGTTATGGAGTTTGTTTCGAGTTCGTCAACAGCAATTTTCTTGTCGATGCAGTGTTTCGGTAACCGGTGCCAGTGATGATTAAAGAGCTTCAAGTTGAGGCTCAAGTGTTTTTGTCGATAAAGAGTTCTGGCAGTGCTTGTACGGAAGCAAACAATACGATCCCAAAACTTCAACAATGCCAATGATCGTCCCAAGAAAACCCCGAATCCAAAAAAAGACCACGAGAGGAAGAAATTGCAGCCGGCTCCAGCGATCGAGAAAGGATGTCGTGGAGATATTGTTAGGAGAGGAGGTTGGGGGAGGTAGTGAGAGTTATTGAGAATGGGTGACTTGGAGGTTGAGAAGGAGAGACTGCAGAAGGAAAATGGTGTGAAGGAAGTAGCAACACGAGTGGTCGAATCAGGTAAGAACTGGGTAGGTATCTGTACCTAGCACGGTAGTCCCGGGCCCTAGTGGAGGGGCGGCGGCAGCAGCGACCGGGATGGGAAACAAGGAAGGAAGAGCGAAGACGAGGATGGCGCTTCTAGCCGAATCTGGCTGAACTTGAGAGAGCTCGGAAATAGCGACGGAGGAAAGAGCAGAGGGAGGGAGTAATCGATGATATTGAATCGCCAATTCCTCTTCGAAGGCGGTGGAAGTATTCCTGGTGCTGTCTTTGTCTAGGTATATCGATGAACTTCTCCCTGTCGAGGTGCCCTTGGAGAGAACAATCTTGGATAGAGTTGCACTCAAGGTTTGGGATACGACCTGGCAGCGATTCCTTGAGTACGTACCGTCCAGTGTCTTGCAGGGGGGCGCGATACTAAAAGGGAAAGGCTTAAACCCTCTCAGCTCGAAAGCCAAGGCTGGGCGAACAAAGGAGACTCCACGCTTGGGAAAACCCAAAGAGAGTAGGAGTCGAGCTAAGCGGAAAGAAACAGATCCGAGGAGAGAAGAAGGAGTTCCGTTTAGGCGTGATGAGGGTGATAGTGGTGGTCGCGGCAGCAGTAGTGCGCTTATCCTGGCGTAAAGTGACTTGTTTTTTTTTGGTGTTGTTTGTTTTTAGATAGTATTGGTGTAAAGAATGAGTGTAAAATGAGGTTGTAACGAGGGAATATTGAGAATGGAAACTATTAAGGAGCGAATTGAAAGGAATGAAGGACAAGTCAATTGTACACAGTCAGGTTGAACGAGACAAAAAGAGAAATACAGGAGAGGAACTTGAAGAAATTGATTGACCCAGAAGAGACAGAACTGATCGACTTCGAGAAATTGAAATTGCCTGAGGTAAGCAAATCCTCGCCTTGTTGCTGGTCAACAGCAGAATGGAAAGGTCCAGTTTGAAGCTGTTCCTGCCGAGTCACAGTGACGAAATTTCACCCTTGCCAAAATTACATCTACGCAAGATCTTCTGCTCGGAGTGAATCTGATCTGATCCATCCGATCTAGCTAGCAGCGCAGCCGAGCCCAGGCAGCATGGACAAAGTGAAAATATTGGGAAATAATTAAAATAAGATAAAATAAAGATGGATCCTCGTTTTGCTCCTCCCCTATCCATTACCAACACAACACTAAAACACGCGGCGCCTGCAGTGTCCCTTGGCCTTTCCACGATGCCTGTAGCCACAGGGAGTGAAATGTCGTCACCACTAGAAGCACAGCACTGAAAGCCGTTGGTTCCAGCGCGTCCGTGTTGTTTGTTTTAGGGGAGTGCCAGTGACCATGATGGGCTTATTACAGTTGGATGAAGGGGGAGGCGTGTCGTGTCATGTCGTGTTGAGGTGCAGGGGGGGCGCAGAAGAGGGAGTGGGATCTACATGGGCCCTGGACAAGGGTTCGAGCGGCGATCTTGATTAAAATGTACAGATACGGAGCGGAGAGTTGCAGAAGCCCGGCCGACAATCGCAATTGCACGTCTTGGATCTAAAATGTGGTGATGGGTTCGTATGGGAAAGGGAGACTTGGCGGATCCTTGTCTTTGTTGCTGTCTTCACTTTGAAGCCTCTGTTAATATTTAAACAATTTGCTCTCCTCAGCCATGGTCGTCATGTTCCTGACATGTTAAAATGAAGGTCTAGGCCTGAACCGATCTATTGAATTTGGCCTTTGACTTTAGCTTTGGCTTGCCGCTACGCGCTTGGGAAAATGAAATTGGATAGTGACAACCCATTTTGACCTCTCCTCGGCAACTCATCATCCGGATTGGCCTCAACCCTTGGCACTCTGTCACTGCATTGCCTCCATAACGATCTGTCTCTGCTCTGTGTAGCTTAGAATTCATCTTCCTTCCTGCTAATACTTTTGTGCTTCTCATGACGAGTCGGGTGAGAGTAAAAGAGCAAAGAACATAAAGTCGGAGACACGCACCGCTGCGTCTCTATGCTCATGACGCATGGAAATCTACCCAAGATAACAACGTCCGACGCTAGAACGAGATTATTGAAACACCGCCGCCTCGGCGTTTTTTGTCGTTGTTGAAGCCATAATTCGCGCCCCCAACCAAGATCTCAGACATTAACGCGAAGGTGTGGAGGGGGTCAGTTGAGATGACAGTATTGTCAAGTCATGATACACTCAAAAAATATGCTATCTTGCTGCATGTTTTTGTAAGCCCCATCTCCATCATCTTGTTTTGACTCCACCGTTCCCACTCGTCCAGACGCGCGATAGATATCGTGAAGCTAGCGGCTCTTTGAATGGCAGAATGAGAAGTTGAGAAGATGAATAGGGTTGCCCGTTGCCGCACATCCCGTTTGATTACAACTCGACTTTTTAGTTTCCCCGCCAGATCGAAGCACTATCTTTCACTTGCTATGCCCAACGTAGATAGATTCTATTCACAGCGCCGCGCCGTTAGACGTGGCATCGCCCAGTTTGGGAAACGGTGACCTCCTGTAACGGGCCATTTCCGGCCCCTTTTTGTACGCAGTTGGTTTGGGTTCTTTTAGACTCCAAGACGATCCCGCTGCCGGACCAAGGTAAAGGTGGCAGGTGAGAATATTGTGATGTCTAAATAATGCGAAAGCGCGCGATTGTTTGATCGACACTATAAACCTGGGTTGACCCAAGAACGTCAATATCTCGCAAGTCGCAACAAATGCTGGCCGCTCCACATTGAGGGAATGGACAACCGACAACCAACAGGTTACTGTTCAGCGTCCAAGGTCAAAAAGCGAATGAATCCCTGCTTCGAGAACAGGTCGTTTCAGCCGTTTTGGATACCGGCCCGCGGAAGGGAGAAGGGAACATGGGTCAACCAATACCAGGCGCAAGGTTATGGGTGCGATAAGTTGGAGGAAACATTGTACGCTCAAACCTTTTCGGCCTTGTTCTTGGTAAAAGGCGTGCGAATGACAGTAATGTTTCGCGATCGGGTATCGAGCCCTAGAACAAGCCTTCTTTCTACAGATGCTATCAGTCCTAATCGTCCCCGGAATGGCCGTTTATCTTGACACAGCCTTGGCCTTGAACAAACGAGCATAGACCCTCTCCCCACTCTCGTATACACAATCCCATCAGATCATAAAATAACCCTTGCGGTTTTAAATAAACAACATGTACACAACGGGTCTCCCTCGCGATTCTCAACGTCACTGATGGGGGAAACTCGGCTCTGTCCTTTCCCCATTGTCGTGTGACTGGTAGACTAGAGAATGGATATCTACAACTCCAATATTTTGGCCAGGTAACGATCTAGCCCGACTTTTCTTACTCTTCCCTGCACCAACCTTGGCTGACTCAAGGAGTCAAGGGTGAAGCCTTATTAACGTACGGGCTGCTTACAGACCACACTAAACAAAAAAGATTACTACGGTACAACCCTGCAGGCCTGAGCAGCTGAACACGTAAACCCACTGTGGTATACGTATCTTTGGATCAAAGTCAATTCACAGACGGTCCAAGAATGCTGACACGCTAAGAATATTGCCCATTCCCTCTTCAGACGGCGTTGCTACAGGAGGCCCGGTCTTTACAGTGGGATAATGGCACGATAAGGCAAGTGATGGGTGAACTTGCTGCATTTGACTTCAACGCTACCTCTGAATCTGGGGCACTCGTAGAAGTTACATCGCGGTACCATTTACAAGAAGATGCAATCAAGATAGAACTTGGCACGTGTAATAGCTCGATCAACTATTATCCAGGAACCGTGGCCTTTTAATTTACATGTCGCTTGCGTGCCAATAACGAACCGTTTGTCTGTCTACAAGCAATATTGCATTGTACTTAGCTACACCACCTTCCTATCGTTCTCAGTCCCCGACTTCAACACCACCACCAAAAACCAACACGAACTCCAACTGCCGCCAAGTGCTGTCATTACTACCCTATCTATGCAAACGACTACACCCTCTTTTTCTTTTTATCCACTGCTAAACCTGAGCATTCCCCAATTGTCCAATAAAATCGCCCGGTTTCTCGATTTCCCTTACATGTGCATCGTATTTTCGCATGGCCCCTTGGTACTTGGACTGAACACGGGCGTGGCGAAATAATGTCGCTTTGCGATATGTCTCAATCTGCGACGCTATTCCCAACCAAAACTCAACTCAACTCTCGGCTGGGTGCTTGTCAGAGTCACGCAAGCGTTGCGTGGGGGGTTGAGTGAATTCTGCACGTTGGAGGCTGGGACGAGCATAATGCTTTGTGATTCTTAACTCTTCTGTGAGCAGCGTGCGTGTTGTTTATCTCATGTTTGGCCCAGTAGGCGTGTTTTAAGCCTCTTGCATTGAACAGTAACCATGTATCAAATGGTGTCATGTATCGGCATCATCGAGCCATCAACCGAGGCTGTCACCATGTGTGCACATTCTTGCCGCCGTTTCCGCGATATCCCCTCTGACCGCTGCCTTGTATAACCTTGCGTAGTTGAGGCTCCGTTGGTTTAACCTTAGCATGAACCCTATGATCGATTCCCATGATCCATGCCGCAACAATTCACACATGCAACCGAATCCACTCGCCTGTCAACCCCGTGCTGGTGACTTCTCGTCTCGAGGTTGTGTTACAAAGCACCACTCTTGTTCATGTGCAGCCGACGAACCCCAGTGTACTCCATACTGCACAACAGTTCTGCATTGATCCCTTGGCGCCCCATTCTGTGAGTTTAAATGGGCTGTTTCTTACTGTCAAACAAGTCTGAGTAAGAAATCACGATTCCTAGAGGTTGAGGTGATAAACTTTGGTGGGCAAATCACAAGCTTAACCAGTGTTGCTGTTGTGTGTTGCGCTACGCCGTCAGACCAGCAGAATGCTACTGTACTTCAGGGTCCACCATCTGCAAGCCGCCCGTCACCAGCGGCAGTCGGTTGATGTGAGTGCATCGTGAGGGTGTAGAGGGGCTCAAATTGTTGCGCTGCCGGAGCATTTTGTGAGAGGTTGTAGTAGCCTTTTTAGACATATTTTCTGGCGTGATATTTAATGGTGAAGGGGGGTCACAGTACCTCTACTTTACCATAATTATCGTCATAGACGCTTGCATGGTTTTTATCATACATCGTGATATGCTAAGATGTGGCGCATTTGTGTCTTTCATGCATGACTGCAGCCATAGGGTGTTGAGCAGTATAAGCGAACTGTAACTTATTGGGTTTACCTTTGCTTACGTTTTTCAATATTTTGCGCGTCCTGTCGTCTTTCAAGCGTCATTATCATTGCACTAATTGAACCGAGTTCTCTTAAGTGCAGAGCTAATGAAGCTGATCGAGTTGAAGGGAAGTGGGCGAATCTTAGTTTTACTAACGGAAAAGATATCGCTCGTTTCAGCATGGCACTAACAGGAATTTACCTACAAAGGCCCGACTATACTGTGAATATTTTGAGGTTGGTTGCTTGAAGTTTGCATGTTAGATGCATATTCAGTTCAGATGAATCTCAGTTAGTGGCTCAGGTCCAGGGTAAGCTGGTGGGCTGGAATGCTTCCACCGTCACGTCTCATCTGGGGTAACAATAGCGCTTGGCTCTCTTGCTGACCATTCATGGCCCTTACCTGATGCAGGTGCTACCGCATCATGGCCCAAGCTCCTCACTGTTATGTCATCTCGCCTTGGCTGCGCAACCCATTGAGCTTCGCATCATCAGCCTTATCACCATCAGTACCAACATCAACGCCGCATCTCTACATACAACACTTACAAGACCTGCAAGAGATCTCAAAAGCAGGCCTTTACAAGCTCTAGTATCCTTTCGCTGATATTTATATGTCGACGTGACTAGCCGACCGAAAGGTCCATTCCGGCGCCTCCGGCTTCCATCTCCATCATCAGCCTGTCGCTATGGGCGTGAAACCAGGCTTCCGCGGCCTCTCGAGCCCAATCACTCGATCTCGACGTCTTCCTATGTTCTTCGGAGCTGCTGCATTCTTCATTATGTGTCTGATATATCTGCTTCTGTCGGTGGCACCTTGTATGGTGTATGGGAACTGTTATCGTGGTTATTCGAGTGCCTACAGTTTCGATGTTGACTTGGCTCACAACCCGGCTTGGATGGCTGAGATACCCGACGATGTACCCCTTACGAGCCTCAGTATACCTGGCACGCACGACACTATGACCTACGAGATAGGGACCGAGGTTCTACAGTGTCAGAACTGGAACCTCACCATGCAGTTGGAAGCAGGCATTCGCTACTTTGACATTCGCGCTCGTGTGCGCGACGACGAGTTGCATATATATCATGCCAACGGCTATACTGGCTTCAGTTTTGAGGACGTTGTTGGCTACATGAACCAGTTCTTGGATAGCAACCCTTCTGAGACCATTGTCATGCGCCTCAAGCAAGAGGGCAATGGTATTGGAAACAACAACACTCTCACTTTTGAAGCTGCCTTCAACCAATACGCTCTCGAGGACCGTCTGTACAAATACAATGCTTCGGAGCCTCTACCGACACTTGGTAGCCTCCGCTCCAAGATCTTTGTGCTTCAGAACTTCCCAGCTTGGCGAGGAGGGCCATATGGTGTCAAGTGGGAGGGACCACAGATGATATTGGAGGATGTATGGATCATTCCCGACATCTACCATCTATCAGAGAAGTGGACTGCGATTCGCGATGCCCTTGAGCTCGCGGCGACCGCGCCCCTTGACAACAAAGTACTTTATCTGGCACACATCTCCGCGTCCGTCGGCGTGCTGCCGATCGAAGCTGCGGCCGGACCGATGAACCGGACCGTCACTGGGATGAACGACATGACTGGCCAATGGATCAAGGACTTTGAAGACAACCCGGACACAAGTCGCACTGGCATCATCATCATCGATTTCCCCGGTCGCAAGTTCATCGAAGCTATTCTTCGATGGAACAAGTCATTGGCAAAGAAGCAAGGATAACCAGGTTGTTAGTCGCTGGTCACTGTCAAGCTTTCTCAACCAAGAGCCTAAGACTTTGACACCTCACTTTATTGGATACCCCACACCGCATGTGCACATATACTTATATCTAAGTAGCTATACCTCATCTACAGATTGTAGTCGTCAGCTCCGCTGAACAAGGACAAAGAATTGAGCGAATGAAAATTTTGTATAATGATTTCCAAGATTACGATGTTCACTTTGACCCCCCGTTGATCAATTCCATGATGCCCCTGCATCTGACGTGGGGAACTGTGGCGTCCGCATGCGTTTCACCAAAGCAAAGTACGAGTCAAAAAGATAAGATCGTCAGGGACAGAATCAGAATCAGAAACATAATCACCAAAAAATCAAGGCAGGCGCCTAACACAGAAAAAACACACAGAGTACTTTATACGCTTTCAGCTCGTGCCATGCCCCGTTCGATCACTGGTGTTTCAAGACCTGGTGTATGCCCTGGCACCGGGTCTCGATTTCAATGCGTTGTTTTTTGCTGCAGATTAGGTTGGTTATGACGTCTGGAATCGCTGTCAATGTCGATCGATATATTGCAATGATGACAGGGAAGTTAATGAAGGAACAAGTTGCAGGTTAAGATTGCGTTATTATGTTTGTGGTGTGTTGAGTGAATGATCTGATCTGCAAGTCAAGTATAGGGTAGGAGATTTGATACCACTTACACGATGGTTTTGTTTATTAGGCGTGTAAATTTCATCCTTTCTTGTACAGACAGTTTGAATATTTGACAAGGACGATTATACTACGTGTGTTGGATGTCCTTTTTTCCCCAAGGGTAGATACGTTGGCTACAGCGTTGAAGATTAAAGTATTAGTATAACAAATCCAAGAGGCATACCCGTTCTGTGACAAAATTGAACACCAGTTGGAGAGCTAAACAGGAATGCTTGAGCAATGGAGATTCCACGTTCGGCTTTTTACATTAACTCACAGCAGTTCTCCACAAATCTGGTAGATCTTCTATGGTGCAGTGTACGATACTAAGAAAGATAGAATTACGATCTGCTTGCCTATGAACAAACCAACTTCACAAAGTCTACTTACCAAGGGCAGCCACCATGAACGATAGCCTCTACATATACCCAACTGGCATATTAGCAGTTACCTACTCCGTAGTTCCCGAGAAATTTAACAAGAGCTGCTATGTTGGGCGGGCAAATATGTAGGGCATGGCTGTTAGCAGCGCCACAGGGTACTATAAGAAATATCTAGTGTTCAGTCTATTCATTATAAGCTATATAAATACAAGTAAAAAATAAATAAAAATAGTATAAGATGAGGAATTATTTAAATAATATTTATATTGTAGTAGTTTCATATATTGTAGTATTTGTATTTACTGTATGCAGTATTGTTATGTGCTGTAGTTTTGTTATGTGTTGTAGTATTGTATTATATTTGTATTATTTATATTGATATTATTTCATTTATGTATCATCTCATATTCACATTACTGCATATTAGTATCACTTATGTTATTACAGATTTTAGAAGTAACAGAGATGCTGGTGAGAAATCGACAGAGCGGACATTTCTATGGTACCCACTATCGGCGGTCGTCGATAGGGGGATGATTGGGACGTGGACCGGTTCGAGGTGGAGGAGGATGATAAGGACGAGGACGAGGACGACGGGGAGGACGACGGGGATAGGGCTGAGGAGAACGACAACGATAAGGACGAGGATGATCACGTGGACGAGGGGGAGGATGACGATGGCGGCGAGGGGGAGGTTCAAGGGCGAGGGTGAGGGACTCGAGCGTCGTGATGGGATTCGAACAGGAGCGCAACAGGTAGAGTTTCGAGGGGATCAGGAATTACGAGACGACGTGGTATGTTGACCGCTGCGCCAGTCGGAGGGTTGTCGTTCGATATGGGTATTAAGCTGAAGTGAAATATAAACCTAGGTGGATGTAGAGAAGGCTGTTATTTAAAACTAAGAGTGTAGGTCTTGAGGTGCTTGTGTGGCGTTGCTGTGAAGCTTGACGAAGGTTATCATGGGGTCTGCTACGAGGCACAATGACTCTTGAGTATGAGAAGTGCGTTGTTGGGGCCATGTCTGAACTATACGCAGCCATTGACGAATACAAGGCTGTCACGAGGAGATATTGCAAAACTCAGTAAAGCATCTGCTCCAGTAGGAACAGTATTTCCATTCCAAATCTCAAGCCAGGGCTATCAAAGTTCTGTTGGCTTAGACATATCCTCATCAACCTCCAGTGCTTCACTAACACAGCCATTTTTACTGGCTCCCAACGTGGGGTCCCGCCCACCGAAGACTAAATTTAGCTCTGGATGCATCATCTCTTGGAGCCTCATCTCCAATAAATCTTGATCAGCCTCAAACCTCATTCTCGCATGCGACTCTTCAGAAATCTCAGCAAGCCTCTCTTTTCACAGGCTCGTACGATGACTACTATTGCCACGCTGAAGCGGCTGTCGGCCAAATCCCTCTCGGAGAAAATAATCGAGGAAGTCAACGCCACGGATCCCACATTCGCTGTCATTGATGTTCGGGATAATGGTAAGTTAACTTTTGCAAGAGGATACATAATCTGCCTTTATTATGGTCTTTCTGACGAACCCTAGATTACATTGGTGGCCACATCAAGGGCTCAACAAATATCCCTGCGCACACTCTGGAGGCTATGATGCCGACTCTAGTGCGCCGCTTGAAAGACAAAAAGACAGTTGTTTTCCACTGCGCCCTTAGCCAACAGCGGGGCCCGACTGCGGCACTCAAGTACCTCCGTGAGAGAGACGGTCTGTTGCGCTCTACGGGTGAGGACCCCAAGGGAGAGAGCGGCCAGGATGTGTTTGTGCTGGACAGAGGCTTTTCTGGATGGCAAGAAGTGTACGGAGAGGATGAGCGGTTGACTGAAGGTTATGTGAAGGATCTCTGGGAGAATTATTGATTTGACACACACTTTGAAGGCAAGTCTCTTTTAATTCATATCTGATATAACTTGAGAATCCTCCCCCTCGCCCTTCTATTTCATCCAAGTTGAATCCTGTAACTCCCAAGCTTAGGCAAAACCCCCATTGCAAACACTGCGATCTTTCCCAATTCAAGCATCATATCCCAAATCACCCACGGACTACTTTTTATCTAGTCCTACGTTTTCATAAGGAGGCGGAGGCGCCTCATCAGACGAGCGAGACGATGGTCTCTGAGCCGTCAAATCCCTGTCCTGCGGAGGAGATGTCTGGTTATGCGGTGGTGTAGGAGGTGTGTGAGTGCCATGGCCGCTAGAGCTCTGCTGAACTTGACTCGCCGGTATCCTATAGTTGTCTTGTGGGATGCTGTCAGATTCATGTTCAAACAGACGAGAGTAGTGACGAGTGAAGGTGTTGCATGTGCTATCGTAAGGAGTTTCCAAGGGTGTGAGGGGGATGTCTTCATTATCCAGAAGCTCTCCCTTGCGAGGTGGGTAATCAGTCTGTCGAGGTTCCATTCTCCGGACACGGCTCTGAGGAGGGTGAACCTGCTGCCAGCCTTCAGCACGTCGTTGAGATCGTCGGGTTGTGTAAGTGGAGTGCAGGGAATCATCCTTCTTGTTCTTGTTGAAACCCAGAGGTGTGAGGCAGCCCCATCCCCACGTGTCCCCTTTCAGCAAAGCGTAAACGACGAGGAGAAGAACGGGCATCAGGGAAAGACAAGCGATCATGATGATGTTTTGCGGCTTCTGCCACCAGCTGCAGAACTCATTCCATGCTTCTGTAATGGTCTGGAAGTGCTCTGGGGTAGAGTAATTGGAGAGATGGTCAGCCTGAGCGTGGAGGTTCTCCATGGCGGTGTAGGGTGAAGATAATCCTGCAGAGAGATCAGCGAGTTGCTCGCTGATGTCTGTCTCGTTGAGTGACGTGGGGGACATTTGGACAGTATGGCGTAGATGGTGAGCCTGTGACGGTGGGAAAGACGGTGCTTTTGAGGACTCCTGGAAGGAGAGAGGGGAAGTTATGTTTTATAAAACTTGGCTTGACGCACAAAAACATCCTTTTTTAATCCCTCGTGCTCATCCATCGCGGCTACGCCGGAGGCAAACTTAATAAGGTACATCCTTGGTGTGTTGAGATAGGGGCTTCCGTGTAAGTTTCTCTCAACAAAGTATACAAGTAAAAAGGGTTTGCCACGTCATTCAGTTCATAAATTCCAAGAAATGTGCTCAAACTTCTCACAGAAACTGGACTTTGATACAAACCCTCACCCTAATTCTCCCCAGAGTGTAATCCTGTCCCCAAAGTTCCCTCTAGTCGAGGTCCTTCACATATCTCTTCCTCTGCAAACAACCGCCCCTTCAAGCAAAAGCATACCAATATGGCACCCATCCCTGGACTTGACCCCCGACAGGAGGCTCCCGTTCCTCCACCGGCAAACCCCTACGCTCGACCACCTGGGCCACCAGGGCCACCACAGAATCCAGCCCAACTTCCCACTCCTTACTCAGGAGGTCGCGTTGACGTCCAGAAGAAAGGTGCTAACATATGGCGAAATTTCCTCAACTGGTTCAACGACCCAGGTCTGGGACAAGATCGCACGGCAGTCGTCATCGCCGTTGGCATCATCAGCCTGTTCGTCATCGGTATCCTTGCCTACCTCTTCATAACAAAGAAGAAGAAGCTCCTGGCTACCCGCGGCAATCTTGCGGGTACCCAAGCTGAACTCCAGGCATCACGGGCAAGTCACAGAGACATTGAGATGGATCAGGCTTTGCATAAGGATCCCCCAACAAAGGAGGAGGATGCAGAGAAGGCCAAGATCCAAGAAGTGTGTGACGAAAAATGCAATGACTTGCAAACACGACTCGATCGGTCGGAGCAAGAGGTGGAAAATTTAAGAAAGTAAGCAACCCGCCCTTAGCTAACCAAATTGAGGATTAAGGATATGTATCTGACTGTAATGACTTAGACAAACCAGTTTCTTAAACTCATTCATGAGTAATTTGAGGAGGTAGTGGGGGACCATTGAAGGTGTTGAAATCATGCCCTGAGGCAGACATTCTTGATATTACTCTACAGGTGGTGATGACAGTATGGTTTTAGATAATAGGTAGTAAGGAAAAGTCTTCATTCAGTCTGCCAAGGGGTATTGTGTGAGATGTCACCACGAGTCTTCCAGACTTCGCAATAGTATCACAAGTACACTTCGACACCAATGTCAGGAGATCACTGGTACCGTATTACGACTACTTTAAATAGATTATTGTAGTTATGTTTTCGATGAGTTGCGTGTTAATTTACGTGACTTAATCACATTTAATACTCATCCATACATTGGAATTTGGTATAAAAGTTCTAATATTTGGGATATTGTATCCAACTTCTCTCAGAGACCTAATAGCATGATGGAGAGACCGGAAGTCTACAGTACTTACAAGTCTTTCGATGAGTCCCAAAGGTGAGTCTTGGTAGGATTATATGAGCTTATACAAGATCCAGATAATTATCAGAACCTCTGCACGCCCATCATACCTTACTTAGCGAGCAGGGCAACCACATGTCTTGGAGTTATTGAGTGCATTACGCGTTAAGATTTCTGGCAATCAATGGCAGTCTCTGGGATCAATAGTTTATTGTGGCATCAAAACAACAGAGTTATCCATTCTCCAGAAACATCTCCCAAAGAAGTATCCTTCAAGAACACTAGGTACCCAAAGAAGCATCCCCTGAAACCATATTAAAGAAATATCCTTTAAAACACCTCCAGAAATATCCCCAAAGGCATTCCCCAAAAAACATCCTCCCAAAACGTATCCTTCAAAACCATCCTCTGAAAATAGGCCCCGAAAGCAGATACCAAAACCACACCCAAAGACATTCTCTGAAGACGCACCCTCCAAAGAATCAACCTCCTGGGAGCACTTTGATAGAACCTTCCGAACACAACACCCTTTAAACTGTAGTTGGCGGGGCTGGCTTCGGTGGTTTTATTCGTTTTTGATGCCCTTCACGCGGGTCTACGTATCCCGGGGCAAAGATTTGCACTCCGACAGTCCAGGTCACCCCAACGAAGAGAATGACACATACTAAGGTGATCAATGCAATGCTTGTGGGCGTCCACCTAAACATAGTGACGAGAGGCGGTTGATGTTGGTGTTGGTGTTGATTTGTGTTGTGTATTGTGATTTGTGTTGTTTTATTTGTGTTGTGTGATTTGTGGTGTGTGGTGGAATATGAGATAGGGTTGAGAATAGAAGATTGAGATGAAACAAAAAGACCAGAAGGATGAAGTTGCATGGACGAATATATGAGAAGAAACAAGCCTTATGTAGACCTGAGAATTGAGTTCTCATATAGTCAATGCTGTGGAAACCTTGTTAGCTGGCAAAACCTTACGGGTTGAGGGTTGAGGGCTGAGAGTATGTGTGTTCTTACCATTGGCTCTTCTAGTCTTTTTCTTGTTCACGTTATACTGGTGCAGCAACTCAATTCTCTCAGGTTTCGGAACTGTCGGATCCCAATACACGTGCTTCTTGTACCAGTCAAGCACCTTTTCAGGATGCGTAGGCATGGGTTCCAATGAGGGCAAGGGTAAGGGATGGGGGGAATATTCATAGATAACCTGTGGGTTCGGTCTTTTAAGTACGTATCTGCAGAGAGAATACGACAATATAAAGGCGCACAAGCTGCCGACCATGATGAGAAAGAACTGCCAACTCGCCAATGAATGCATGGTTGCAGATAGATATGCGAGGAGTCTTATGTCTTGCTTAACAGCAGGGAGGAAGATGTCCGTCGAAAGGAGGTGTATGGCAAGATTGAGATGGGACTGAGGAGAAAAGGTATTATTGTAATGATTCGTTTAATGTAACACACATATATATATACTTGATTAGGTAGGTGCATTCTGCAAAGCCTATTTCAGCTGTCCCGAGCAAGAAATACCATGGAGGTATTCTGGATAATGACAGATAACCCAACCCATTAAACTTCACAACAACATCCCGCGATTGCCCGATGGGCATCAGCTGCCTACCTCAAAGAACCTTAGTCGAGTTGCCCTGATCAACGCCGAGTCAAAAAAAGTCTAATCAGAAACTCACCATGATCCAAGTTCCGTGCTGAACCAACTAATTCCACATGCTTCTCTTTCAAGTCATCATCCCGCACCTTGGAGTTTCAACCCCGACACTCCACGCAACCAACAACGTCAGCTGCTCCCCCTCAATTGTATTGGAATGATCCTCTTTGCTGCTTGGATATTATTCGTGCGGCAGGGTCTGATATCTGTTCAAGGCGGTTTCCATACTCCCAGTGAATGAGGGGTTAGAGGAGAGGCAGAAGCCCCCTGACGCCGTAAAGTAGTAACTGGATATGGATGAATCACTAACAGTGCCGCTTGACGACCAAAAACTGACAATCTACTTCCAAGACCTAGAAGATCTATATAACACCATCTTTTGTCTTGCTGTCTACATCATTCCCTCCTGTGCATCAGTATTCATAACCCCCTATTTACATCTTCAGCTCTAACTCCAACCCCACCTCCGCCAACCAGCACAAAACCCATCATGAAGTCGATAAACTTTTCAACGTTAGATCAATGGCTACTCGTGCTGCTTTGCGTGGTATTCTTGTTTTTCCATCTAGTGTTCTGTTACTACTGGGAGGCAAACGAATGCAAACCCGAGTACAATCCAGAGCTCGCCCGACCCTTTATACCGCGGCCGGGCCATTCGAGGAATCCTCTGATAGACTATTTGCAGCTGCAGGAGGAGAGGATCGCAAAAAGAGAAGGCAGACCCGTCTTGCCTCACAACCGGGGTCTTCCTGCAGTCGCGAAAAGAGGAGTGAAAGGAGAGTTCCCGTGGCCTATGCCGACGCGACATCCTGATGATATGGGGTCCTTGGACTGGGGAGTCTATGTATGTCTTCTTGAAATCCCAATGTTGCTTCAAGTTTTTCAACAGCTTACACTTTCACAGAAACAACGCATGAGGGAGATGGGGCGCTTATAAACCAGCTTCCTTATACTCCTCTTCGACTATTTCTTCTTCTTTTCTTCTTCACGTCTTGGGTTTGACAATACGGAAGGATTGGACTGCCAAAAATGAAACAAAACTCTTTGTTTTACGACTTGAGAATCGAAGCTAGCTTTTCATCTTAAAAAAGGTTTACTGAAGTGGGTAGTCAATGTTGGATTCTGTGCTTTAATAAACTCTTAATCTCAAAAGCTGTGATGCTGTTCCTACCGAGCAGACCCTCATGTTAGCTGCAGGGGTATACCATATTAATCACATCAATAAGACGCTGTCCATTTACACATTGTTCTAGTATTTAACATCACTATTATAACACCTAGACACTATCACTCCACATATAATCCCAACCAATAAGTAAGTAAATGCCAAACGCTGGGCGCCAGTTCCAGTCCGCCGTCTTCGCAAAGGGTATTTTTAAACAGTAAACATCCGAATCACGCCTTGCCCACCCAGCCCGAATTGATAAAGAAATCGAATATTCGCCCTCCCTTTTGAGAATCCAGCCGGCAGATCTCCTTGGCCTGTTTCTTCTTTAATGTGCCGTTGCTCTTGAGTGCTTCTTTGAGGATCTGCTCCTTTATCATCAGGTACGGCTTGGGCTGTAGTCTGATCACTTCGCACAGCTTGGCCTCTTCTGGTGTGAGAAGATGCAAATCCGGAGCAGTATCCTGGCTCATCGGCATAGGCTGTACGCCTGAGATGGGTTGGGCCGTGTATTTCTGCTTCGGCGTCGTGTGGCCGTTGACCCCATTAACTCCATTGACTTGCCCATTCGTCTGGCCATTAGTTTGTCCATCAGCATGGCCATTAGTTAAAGCCTTTCCATCTCCATTCACTTCCGCACTAGGTGTTGGCAATAGTCGTGCAGGTAGTTCTGGAAGGATGAGGAGAGCAGCTCCGCTTGCAGGCTCAGGTGGAGGGGGCTGCTTAGACCGCTGAGCAGACGCTAGGCGCTCACGATCCATAGAACCCATAGGGATCGCCTTCTGTATTCGCTGGGCCTTATCCGTCTCGTATTTTTCGCCACTTTTAAGATCACCAATACGGACGCCTCGCCATTCTTGTAGTTGTGTGATCGCTTGTCGTAGGTTCAGCTCATCAAGGAGGCCTTGGCTAAGCTCTTCGAAGTCCTGTTGATTCATCATGCGTGCGAATGGCTTGGCCTTTTGAATCAAATCTTTCTCTTCTTTGGTCCGCCTCTTTTCAAGTTTGGTGTTTTCCCTGTAGTCGAGAAGATTATGCTCAAAGATGACCTTTTTACGCTCCACACGTTGTGTCAGGCGAGCGTTGTATATATCCATGACAGTAAGCTTGAGTTCCATTTCAGGCTCGAGCTCGTTGGTTCTCGGGTTGAGTCCATCACCAGGATCAAACTGCATTAACTGGACAGCTTCTTCGGCCTCGTTCGCATACTCGGTCTCGAACTCTAGGCGACCAGGCATGTATCCTTGAATTTCGTGACAACTTGGCACACTGGCTGTTGGCTTTGTCTTTGGTTGGAGGGTTGGCGCATTCTTGGCAGCGTCCCGTCGCTCTTCTATTCGTCTCTTCTTGCGTGATTGGAATTCTTCTCTGGGAATTTCGTTGGCCAATTCGCAATCATGGGGGCTGCATCGTTTTGGTAGTGGAAAGGCGGGCGAGTCAACGTAAGTCTGGAGGTAGTGATCGCGAACTTCGTCTCTCTCGCGAAAACCGCCGATATGGTCTGCGATATCGGCCCATGAGCCGAGTCCATAGATCTCTGCACCCTCAAGGAGAAGTAGTTCCTCGTCGGCGCCCCATTCTCGATCGAAGATGGGAAATGAGTTTTGTTCTATCACCCGGAAAGCATGTGTCGCAGGATTGTGGGAGTTTCGAGCTTCACCCTTGGCGAAACAAGAGACACAGAGATCGAAGTCACTGCAGGCGACGTCGGCACATCTGATGCGGACCTATATCAACACCAATATGATTAGCGACTCCATCATGACATCGTGTAAGATTAGCCGGAATATCTCCGAAGCGCGTCTTGGACGCTCTAAACAATAACCAGGCAACAGTCAACATCGCAGTGGAACATACCGTAGATGTGATGTCTGATGAACAGACGTCGCAAACATACTTGACACCACCTTCACCACCTCTGCTGATCGTTTTCTTGCGTATAACACCCATATCGCCCGCTGCGATGTCGGGCCGGGGAGCGGTCGATACCCCCCCTGTCTGCACTTAGCAACGGGTTTGGGACCACGCAGTACGCGATAGAGGCACAAGAGAGGGATGTTGATAGTGCGCGAATGTTGTGAGAGATGATGCGACGCGAAATTTGATGGAAAATGCTCCTTCGGAGTTGTTATTGATGGAACTGGTGATGGGTCGATTGGTCGAGGGGCTTTGAAGTTGCGATGTTGTTGATTTTGGCGCTTGTCTGAGCCGGTCTGGCTGACTTCCAGGGCGGCCTGGCCTGTTTCGGATGGGGAGTCAGCGGCCGCTAGCCGTGACCCCACGCTGGAGTCGTTAATGGTCACGTGCAAGCTTCTCGTAGAGCTATCCCCGCGACAAGCCAGTGACGCTGGTTCCCCAACGTGGGATCTCCACAGGGTGAAGATGCCCGGATTTAAGTGACGATGCTTTGGGGAATAGCGTTCTACAGCTCTTTTACAGTGCATTCCATGATTTGATGGACTGGTTACCGAGAAGTGAGATATGAATTTGTTCCGGTGAAGCAGCTTCCAATATCGTACTGCATGTATCATCACGATTTCTCTTGATAGCGTAGTCTGACAACCAGCATGAAATCCAAGCAAAACAAGTTGTAGACTGAAGTCCACTCTCGCTCGAACTAGACTCCTCCGAAAGCACGGCCGAGAATATTACCGTTGATCCGCACCATTCAGCTTCTCGAGCCAGATTCGATGTAAGAGATATTAATCTCTAACCGGCTCGACCAGCAGCTGCGACATTTTCCTGTTGATAAATTGGCTCGCTCACCAGGTCTTGAAAATATTCTCTGACTGTTCTTGACCCCTCACCTCAATTACATGCAGTTGCTTCTCATATTGTCACCCCACCATCATCATGCCTGAGCAAATCCTTGACGATATCTCTCATCGCAGATACAATCCCCTCACGGATTCATGGCTGCTTGTATCACCTCACCGCACGAAGCGACCCTGGCAGTGGGTTTTTAATTCTTCTCACAACGAATTCTTCTAATATGACTTAGAGGCCAGCAAGAGATCGATGCCGCACCTAAACTCCCCGAATATGACCCTCAAGTACGCTCATGACATCACATCACAACAGCTCCATCATCTGACAGTCTCAGTGTTATTTATGTCCCGGCAACCCTCGAGCCGCCGGCGACAGTAACCCCAAGTACGAAAAGACTTTCGCCTTTGTGAACGACTACAGCGCCGTCAAGCAAGAGCAACCTGATTATGACGCCAAGGCCTCATCCAATGACTTGGAATCGCTTCTCCTCCAGGCCCAGGGCGTCAAGGGCGTGTGCTATGTTCTCACTTTCTCCCCCAAGCATCATGTTACGCTCGCCGATATGAAAGCTGAGGAGATTGTTCCTGTGATTGAGCACTGGACACGCATCTATGCCAATCACCTTACAGCGTCAAACCCTCGCGCGGCTGAAGTTGACCAGCTTACTATCTCTATGCCGAAAGACGCTGCCCCTAGCCCTGAAGAGCAATACCGATATATGCAAATCTTTGAGAACAAGGGCGCTGCTATGGGCTGCTCTAACCCTCATCCTCATTGCCAGGTTTGGACCACATCTACCATGCCCGAGGAACCAGGCAAGGAGCTCGTGCAGATGTCGAAGTACCGAGAACAGCACGGTGGCCGACACCTACTAGGCGATTATGTTAAGCTGGAGCTTGAGAAGCAGGAGCGAGTTGTTTGGGAAAACGACGCTTTTGTTATCGTATGTCCTTGGTGGGCTGTATGGCCCTTTGAGGTGCTCGTTCTTCCCAAGCGACACATCCGATCTCTTCTCGACTTCAAGCCCGAGGAGAGACTCCAGTTTGCTGAGGCTATTCAGGAAGTAACCCGAAGATACGACAACCTGTTCGAGTGCAACTTCCCCTACAGCTCTGGTCTTCACCAGGCGCCTCTTGACGGAACACCTGAGGAGTTGGAAAACGCTTATTTCCATATGCACTTCTACCCACCTCTGCTGCGTTCGGCCACGGTCAAGAAGTTCCTTGTCGGTTATGAGCTTTTGGCCGAGCCGCAGCGTGATATCACACCTGAGCAGGCCGCTGCCCGCTTGAGAAACTGCGGAGGAGAACTCTACCGAAAGAATCTGTAGGCTTGAGAGCCATACAATTAAGCCATTAAAATCTACACTATTTTATCTATCCATTAAATATCATTATAACACACTCGGCAGCAATTAGCCAGCATCCTTGCCATGCACATCTCACATACGATTCCTCAGACCATTTCTACTATGTCCCCACCTATTTTTAGTTGTATTGGACATAGTGATCACGGACGAGAGGCATCCAGATCAGAAAAATGGAAGCCAGAGTGAAAGGGAAATACTGAGGCAGACCGAAAGTCATGGTCTTGAAGATGAAAAGCTCGCTGGCGAAGTGCCCAAGAGCGACAATGTAAGTCCAGTAAGCGATGGTATAAACAGGACCAATGTGGAGGTTGAAAGCCGCATAGCATCGAACGATGCAGGTGATGACCGTCCAGGTACCGAAAAGTCTGCCCGCGAGGGGAGTCAACTGGTCGGTGGCCTTGGGGTCGTCGTGAGCAGGGACCAGCTTGTTTGTCTGATCCTCGGGCTCGAAGTTGGCGGTTTTGGGAGCGAGCTTGGGATTGCGGATGAAACGCCCGTTGTAGACTCGTCGGGAAAAGTGTAGGGTGGTATATGACTGCAGCGAGTTGCCAATCGAGATAATGGAGAGCTGCGGTGGTCAGCATCTTATTCTGTAGGGGATCAAATGCTGGGGGGCACTTACGAGAATCATGCAGTAGGGGAGAACACCCTTTGATTCAGGGAGGAAAGATTTGAGGACGTCCATGATGGCGGAATTGGATAGGCTCGACTGGAGGCTTGGTAGAAACACGTAAATCCAACAATTGCAACTGTGATGCACGGAAAACAATTGTAGAGAGGGAACGGTAGGCTCAGATCGGCCCAAGACGTACGGTTTTTGGTGGGAGATACGGAGCACCTTCGGACCTGTCATCGGGGACCAAAGACCGTAAGAAGCTTGGACCATCTCAACAACGTCAGGGGTAATACCACCTAAAATTCAATTAATTGTCCTTGACCCAGCCAAGACCCAGGAGCCGAGGGGCAGAGGAGCCTGTAGACCACCTAGACTACTACTTTGTCTTGTGATTGGCACCTTTTTTTCGTCTTTTCTTCTTTTCTCCTTCACATAGCAGCAGTTTCTTCTACTTCACGCTTTAGCCATGATTGCCATTGCAGACTTTCTTCAGAACGTGCCGCAGCCTCTGCAGTGGGGTCTTGCTGGCATTGGCGCCCTCTTTTTGGGCTCCAAGATCCTGAGCTATCTCCAGCTTGTCCTCAGCGCTTTTGTCCTTGGAGGCACAAACGTAAGCGGTCTATATCTTGCAATTGAATTCACCGGACTAACGATTATATCTACAGCTGCGCAAGTATGGAAAGCCTGGTACCTGGGCTGTCATTACCGGTGCCTCTGATGGCCTCGGCAAGGAGTACGCTCTTCAGCTCGCTGCCAAGGGCTTCAACCTCGTCCTCGTCTCCCGAACCCTCTCGAAGCTAGAGGCGCTCTCTGCCGAAATCCGTGAGAAGTACGCTGGAAAGGGTCTTCAGATTAAGGTTCTGGATATGGACTTCACCAAGAACGACGATGCCGACTACGAGCGCCTTAGCGAGCTAATTGATGGTTTGGATGTTGGTATCCTCATCAACAACGTTGGCCAGAGCCACAGCATCCCCGTTCCTTTCCTCGAGACCTCCAAGGAGGAGCTTCAGAGCATTGTCACCATCAACTGCATTGGCACCCTCCGAGTTACACAGGCTGTTGCTCCTATCATGAAGCAGCGAAAGAACGGTCTTATCCTCACCATGGGATCTTTCGGCGGCTGGACTCCTACAGCTCTTCTCGCAACTTACTCTGGTAGCAAGGCTTTCCTTCAACAGTGGAGCAACGCTCTCTCAGCAGAGCTTGCCGACGACAAGGTTGACGTCTACCTTGTTCTGAGCCATCTCGTCACCACCGCCATGAGCAAGATCCGTCGCCCCAGCGTCCTTGTTCCCAACGCTCGCAACTTTGTCAAGGCCACCCTCAGCAAGGTTGGCCTCGGAGGTTACCAGACCGCACCCTACACTTACACTCCTTGGTGGAGCCACTCTTTCATGCTGTGGTTCATTGAGAACATCCCCGGTGCCAATGGCCCCCTCACCATTTACTTTAACAAGAGGATGCATGAGGATATTCGACGAAGGGCTCTGCGCAAGGCAGCCCGTGAGGCCAAGAAGCAGTAAAGGAAGAAAAAGAAGGGAGGGACAAAGCGCATGATAAAAAGGAGAGACAAGGAGTAACATATGAATGAGTATCTAATATGACAGAAAAGAGGAACAAGGTGACTGATAATGTTAACTTTGTGATCATGCAGTCTGCGCTGGATTCTGTAGGTAGATGTTGATGACCCGGAGTGACTGGCTGGCCTTTGTAGTCTTTACTTACAGACGAAAATGACATGAAGAAACCCAGTTATAGCATATAATTTGATGATTTGTGAAGGAATGATCAATGTCTCCAAAGTAGCTGGTAGAGCCATCATATTTTCTGTTACTGGGACAGTCGACAATGGATATACATTGTAGCTGCTCCACTGGAATAACGTCGAAAGACCCTTCACGTGGTTGAACATGTTGGCTTAGCCTTTTCATTACCCTTGAGCTTTATGAATTTACTTGAGATAAAACACATCTCGCATTGAATTAATTCACCAAGCATTGGCATCTTTCATCTTTCATGACGCGTGGTTGATGAACTCTCAGCCTTGCACCGAAACGGTCTTAGCGCGCAAGCCCCAGTCGCGAAAAATCCGTGCTCCATATCCAGCCTCCCCAAGCTCTAGTCAAATTGTTTATCACCTCCATAGCGTACATCTCTCACAATAGACCTTGTCTGAAAACCCGACGACGACGCGACGGAAACCGAAAATTCCAACGAGGTCGACTACGCGACAACGAAGGATTGAGATCCTAACCGCAATTCATCTGCGCGCCTTGAGTCACTCGCTTTCGATAATCCGCGATTCGTCTACAGCGGTATAGCAACGACACTGGTGAAGCTACGCAGGCCCGCCAAGGGCATCGATATTACTGCCCATAATGTCGTTTCCACAAACAACTCCGGTCCGGCCAGTTCCAGGCGCATTCTTGAATACGCCAGCCGTCAACTCGAGGTTTCAGTCGGGCTCTGATCCTGTGCGCCGACAGCTGTTCGCAGGCACTGAGAACAACCAGTCTGTCCAGCCTCTCAAGACTACTGCGCCTGCTCCATCTTCGCGAAGCGTCGCGGCCACGGCGCCATCAGCATCGAGAACACCTACGAGCGATAACCTGATTGCACCGGCTGCGCTGCCGCCCCTACGATCCGAGAATGTGCCTCCCGTTGTCAAGGCGGCCAAGGCCATCAACACCTTCCTTCAAGCCGATGGCCGGTATCCCGATTTAGATTCATACTGCAGACGTAGGTAGTCAGAGTTCCGACAGGAAGGATTGAGCTAACGTGGAACAGAGGGCGCTTCGTCCGAATACGATCTTGAAAATACCGATTCTGCAATGGCCCCCTTCCACAAGACACAGATGTATCCTATCCCAAACCAGGTTTTCGATCACTACAATTCTGGCGAACTCCAGACTTTGATGGGTCTCTTTGCTGAGATTAACCATGCCTGGGTTGTTATTGACAACTCATTGTTTCTATGGGACTACACACATCCTGACCCTGAGCTGATCGGGTTCGAAGACCAACCACATACCATCCACGCCGTCGCGCTCGTGCCTCCTAAGCCAGGCATCTTTGTCAACACAATCACACATATCTTGGTCGTCGCAACCTCTCAGGATATCGTTCTGTTGGGTGTGTCGGCCACTGATACTCCCTCCGGTACTAAGACAGTCTCTCTTTACCAAACGAAAATGCAGCTCCCTCTCCGTGGTACCGATGTTCGTGTCATTACTGGATCCGCAAACGGCCGAATCTTCTTTGGAGGAAGCAACGATATCGATATTAATGAGCTTTACTATCAGTCTGAAGAGAAGTGGTTTTCGAACCGGTGTGGTAAGATCAACCACACGAATCCCGGCTGGTCTTCAGTCGTCACACTACAAGGAGGATTCTGGTCACAGAAGACCCCTGAGCATCTTGTTGATATCGTGATCGATGACTCGAGAAACCTTGTCTATACCCTCTCGAGCCGATCGACCATCCGAACTTACCATATGGAGGCCCCTGATCGACTGAACAAGGTTATCGAGAAGGAGAAGGTGCACTGTCTCCGCGACATCGCTCACATGATCAGCCAGTCTAGACTGTTGAACGACCGAGTGAGCATTATCGCAATCAGCCCCATCACAAAGCCAGAAGCGGCGAAGCTACACTTGATGGCTTTGACAAACACTGGATGCCGTCTGTTCTTTAGTGCGACTAGTGCCGCCTCCTATCTGTATGGATCCTCGACCAACTTGGCTCCCCAGAGCATGCAAGTTCAGTTCATCAAGTTCCCCCCTGGACAGAGCTCCCGTCGATCCGTATACGCTGGTGGTGAGACAATCACCGACCTTGAATCATCCTCTTTGACAGTCAGCCGACAAGGTGTGCGATTTGCGCCTGGTTATTTCTTGGATTTTGTTAGCAAGGAGTCTAACCCCAATGAGGATGCTCTCTTTGTTTCTGGACCTGAGACGGGGCGTCTTAAGAACACGTCTCCGACATCTCCTCTTAAATATCATGAGAGCGCTAGTTGGATCGATATTGGTAGCCGGGCTGAAGCAGTTGGATTGATTACAAAACCATTCGCAGCGGCACCACAGCCGCTTGGCTTTGGCAATGAGCTGGCTGTGCAGTTTGACGATGCGCCCAGCGAGTTCGCAGTTCTTACCAACACTGGTGTTCATATTATTCGACGAAGACGATTTGTGGACATCTTTGCTTCTGCGATTCGCGGTGCTGTGGGAGACGAAGGGTTGGAGCTTGTCTGCCGCCGGTTTATTAATAATTACGGCCGCGTGGAGACTGTTACGACTGCTTTGGCTGTGGCTTGTGGTCATGGAGGTGACTCTCGACCTGGTGCAGCTCGTGCTATTGATCAGGCAACTGAAGATCGGGCACGATCCGTTTTCGTCGACTTTGGTGGACAGCCTACGATGGCCGAGACCGATAGCACATCTCTTACAACCGATTCAGTTAATCTCTCCTCTCGTCACGACGCCCTAGCTCTATACCTCTCCCGACTGATACGCCAGCTGTGGAAGTCTGTAGTTATTGCTCCGGGTGTTTCTCCTACTGGTGGTATTACCATTGGCTCTACAATTCCTCTTTCCAAGCTGAGTACTGTTCAAGAGAACCTGGAGCGTTTAAGGAGATTCCTCGACTCCAACCGGGGTCTCATTCAAGGCCTGTCAGGCCCATCTGATCTCCAGCATGTGTCCAGTCGCCAGGAGGAAGTTGCTCTCCAGGCTGAACACCAAGCTCTTCACGCTCTTCAAAAGTTGATGGAGAGTATTTCCGAGGGTATCTCATTTGTGCTCATGCTCTTTGATGAGCGTGTTGCAGACATCTACACACGCCTTGATGATGCAGCTCGACAACAACTCAGGGAGCTCACCTATGAGAAGCTGTTCTCTCAAACCGATGGCAAGGATCTCGCCAAGTTGCTGGTCAAGGCTATTGTTAACCGCAATATTGAGAGCGGCTCCAATGTCGAGACAGTTGCCGATGCTCTGCGAAGGAGGTGTGGTAGCTTCTGTAGCCCAGATGATGTTGTCACTTTCAAGGCCCAGGAACAGCTCAAGCGGGCTTCTGATCAGCCTCTTCAGACCAACCAGTCGCGAAGTTTGCTTCACGAGAGTCTAAGGCTCTTCGAGAAGGTGGCTGGCAGCCTTACTTTTGCCAACCTTCAGAGTGCTGTTGAGCAGTACATCGACCTCAAGTACTATGCTGGTGCAATTCAGCTGTGCCTTGTTGTCGCCCGTGAGAAGGACAGGGGCAACACGGCTCTGTCTTGGGTCAACGACGGAAAGCCTTCAACTGACCCTCGAGCTAACGCTTTTAACGACCGCAAGCGTTGCTACGATATGATTCACGATGTTCTGAGCCACTTGGATGCTGCATCAAGCAGAGAGCCCGAGATGGTTGACGGCAGATTGACTTTGATTGCTACCAAGAGGCTTGAGGCCTATGAGGTTGTGAACGGATCAGACGATGAGGTCTTCCACTTTGACCTTTATGAGTGGTATATTCAACAAGGCTGGACAGACCGCATCCTGGCTATCGACTCACCTCACGTTATTACCTTCCTTCAGCGACTTGCCGGCACAAACATCGAGCATGCTGACCTCCTCTGCCGATTCTACACCAACCGTAGTCGCTTCTTTGATGCAGCTGAGGTGCAGGCTGAACTTGCTAACTCCGATTTCCCCATCAGCATCAAGGACCGAATCAGGTTGCTCAGTTTGGCCAAGGCGAATGCCAATGTTTCCACAACTGGTGTGAGCCGACAGCAACAACAGTTGCTCAACCACAGTGTTACCGAACTACTTGAGATCGCTCACATCCAGGATGATCTTCTGGAGCGATTGAGAGCAGATGACCGTATCGACCCCCAAAGATCCCTCGAGATTGAGGAAGCTCTCAAGGGCAAGATTCAGGGACTTTCAGAGGTAAGCCTCCTTTCTTACCGGATGATGACTTTTGCTTACAAGATTTCAGCTTTTCAACGACTATGCCGACCAGGCTGGTTACTACGACCTGTGCCTTCTCATCTACCACGTCGCCGATTACCGTAACCATATGACCATCTCGGGCACATGGAGTAACTTGATCCAACAGACACACGATGAGGTCATGTCTCGCCTAGAGAACTCAGAACCTGGAATGCCCTCGCCCCCAATGCCTTACGAGTCTGTAACGAGCAAGATTCAGAACATTGCCCACCGTACATCACTTGACAGCTTCATTTTCCCCATCCAAGACCTCCTACCTGAGCTCTGCCGTTACGCTGTGGCTTACCAACAAGATGCTACCATTGGTGCTGATCCCACATGGCCTGTCCAACTATTCCTTACGCTGGGCGTTTCCCATGACATGATCATCCGTGTTTTGGAGGGCGTTTTTGACAGTCAAGATTACGGTTTCAGCGGATCCGTACGAAACCGCATGATTGAGCTTATTGTTTATGTTGTTAACGACTGGGTGGCTGAAGCACGTCGCCGTGGAGGTGCAGGTAAGGGCGGCGCCATTGGCGCATCTGTAGCCGACCTCCTCAAGAGATGCGACGCTGCCCTACCTCCGCCCGGACACGGCAATAACGCCGGCGGTGCAGACCTTGCTGATGTTAGGCGAGTGCTCAAGCTGTTGAAGAGAGAAGTGGATGGTCTGTCACAACGGGTGCCGACAGGAAGCCTCAGATTTGCATAGGGAGTGAACTGGAACATGAGAATGAAGATGGAGAATAAAGCATAGAGATTTGGAAGCTTTGAGTAGTTAGTTGGGGCGCGGCACATGTTTTTTTGTCAACGGGATGATGGATATGCGCCAATTGGCATGATGGTGCGTTGTACTGTACAGGTCCAAAGGTATTTTTACATGTAATTATTAAAGACATGGGGGGTTTGATAAAAGGCGCCCCTTTGAAAAGAATGGAAGGAATGTAACCGACAAGACGTGTCCAAGTGAGGATGATATGAGAGCCCGGCAATATTAGGCTGCGATTCCTACCAAGAGAGCGGTATAGCCAGCCGTTTCTCCAGCGATACCCAGTCGTGCCACAAGCTGCTACAAGGCAACTGCAGGCCACGTTAACGCCGTCCGCCCTGCTCAAGGCCGCAAGAGTGAGACTTTGGGTCGTCGTGTGGTGGCGGAGAGACGTGGTATTGGAGGGTTGAGGCCTGCATGTGCTCGCCTCACTTTTGGGGGCAAGTAGGCGAAGGGCGACATGCCACGCTTGAAAATGAGCATTGGAAGGGGCCTCACGCAGAAAGGGAAGAGGTCGGTGTAGGATTGTAGTCATTGAAGGGGGCGAAGAAAATGGGATATATAAGATTGGGATGTGTTGTGGTTGTAGGGAGATAGACAGACTTTACTTCCTTTTGTTTTATGCCATTGTCCACAGATACAATTGTCTGTAGCAATGGACACTCTCAACAGTCTATGACAACCAGAATAGTACTGGAATAATTCTTTATAACAATACCTTGACTATGTCTTGATGACACAGCGACTATTCCTTCTGTCTCTCACACACGGAGCCGGCCTCCTGATACAACATATATCACGATAAGGTGGCTCATAAACAATGACCACCTAAATACGTTTACCACGCTTTCTGCGTGTGTTTTATACCTAGCGAAGAGCAAGCGCAAAAGACAAAACTAGACGCCCTCGCTGGGCACCACGTTCAAGACCAACCTCGCCGAGTTACGCACTCATTTCAACTACAACCTCGCGAGGTGTGGTCGCCCATACTAGACAAACTGTGTCCAGTATGGTACAAATTCACTTCTTGTATCTGGTTTATGGATACTTGGAGTTGTCAGGTGTTGGATCTAATTGGAGGAGCTCGGTCATTTTTATAGATTGGGAGGAGTTGAAAGAGCGGTGGGAGGTATAGATTTGAGGCTCACATAGTGGTTTGTGAGATGGATTAGGAAAAGCGTTAGCATTTGGATCAAAAAGCGGTCGCTCTTTGTATTGCCTGTATGTTCGTTTCCTATTATTCTGTACTTGATGTCGTGTACGATTATGTCAAAGTATGGATGGGGATGGGCTAGATCGGGAGGTTACTGTCAGACGCATTTAGCCAACATATAATCTAATTCTCATGTTAATAGCTTTGATAGAATTGAGCTAATTATTACTCATCTAATATCGGAGACTTGGCAATGAAGTTTACAGTTAGAATACCTTGATGAATGTTCCGATCTAGTCTCCGTAAACGGCGACATTTCGGAAACATTCACCTGCATATATATCCCTGTTTTCAACTTCAACTATTGGTATCAACAACTCGAAGCCTATTTATGATCAAATCAATAATACCAATTACAGCAGCCAAGTCACAGTTATTAAGAATGGCCGCCCCAAACGTCGACCCAGCCATGAAGACCCTTAAAGAGTTGTACAGCAACATGGGCAATGGCAATCTGGAGGATCAGATGCTGTATGCCTCACGAACCATGCTGCCTCATCTAGTCAAGCCTCTACGGCTTCAAATGGGCATTACGCAACAAACTTCGACGCCTGTGACATTTCTGGACAATGCATGTGGGAGTGGTGTCTTGACGGAAGCAGTTCAGCAGACTTTGCCCAAGGATGTTCTCGAGAAGAGTACATTTGTCTGTGCTGATGCTGCAGATGGGATGGTTAGTGTTGCAAAGAAGAGACTTGATATTGGAGGGTGGGTGAATACAGAGGTTAAGAAGCTGGATGCTACGGTGAGTTCTTCTCTTATAAACCCAGAGGCCAGAGGCTAATGGATATACAGAATACTGGCCTGGCAGCAGGTTCATTTACACATGTTGGCCTTGGTCTAGCACTTCACCTTATTCCCAAACCAGATGCTGTTCTAGCTGGTAAGTTTCACCTCATCACTTCTTAGAGCAAGACTAACACGCAGCAGACTGCAAACGCATCCTCAAACCAGGCGGTATCTTCGGCGCAACAACCTTCCACAAGGACAACACCTTCTGGCTCCCCGACGTAAGATCCGCCTTCGAAAGCTTCCCCTTCCACGCGCCCTTCCCAGAAGTCAAGATGCAGATGCACGACCAAGGCGACTGGACAAACCCCGCATGGATCGAAGAGCACCTAAAAGAACAGGGATTCCAGGATGTTAACGTGACGGTTCACAGCGACAAGTATCTCGTCAAGAGCGCGGAGGAGTTTGTGCTGCAATTTGGGATGATGCTGGGCTGGTTGATGAAGACGTGGTGGAGTGAGGAGGTCAGGAATGAGCATGGGATGGACGAGGTGAGGGAGTTGATGAGGAGACATTTGGAGGAGAAGTATAAGCGAGAGGGATGGGAGATTGAGTTTAAGATGATTTGTATGACGGGGAGGGTTGATAGTTGAGGCATAGTACGGAGTATATTAACGTTAGACATTGTATAAGTTTATAGAATTGGAACCGTTTTTGGATTTTTTGGAAATGTTTATCAAGGTTTGGATTAAACTTTGTACTCCGTAGCCGGATCTTAACGGGAGACCCCTGGAATTGCTTCCACAGCTGATGCAGGGTCTTTTCAAGAAAGCCTCGTCCACAAATTGACAACCGCCAACGCTCAATTTAATCGTACAAGTAATTGTAAACTCATGTTTGATACCGACCTATGCAAATTTATCAAACATGCACAAATATTCAACAAAGTCCTTCCTACAATTGGTCCCCTTTCCTTCTTGGCGCTGGAATGGAAACGACACGTGATGCAGTTAAACAAGGGTGGGAATCTTATCTCCACATGGCCTCGACCTCAGCTTCGTCGATCAAGGAGAATCTAGAGATAACCGACTTTTCTTCTTCTCTTCTTTTTTTGATCGCCATGTTGTGAATCTTGATGCTCAATCTGGTCGCCACAAGTCGCCGAATACCGGAGCGTGGCTATCCATAAACCACGTCTTTGCGCCCAAAGCTCAAGCCCACGCCCTCGCCCACGCCCACCCTGCTATCATGATTGCTCCTGTTACTTGGGCTGTCGTCGCCCTTGGCGCATTGACGCCTTTCGTTGCTGCTGCTCCTGAAGATGGTCTCCCGTCGTATCACTACGGCGCTTCTATTCCTGTTGAGTGTATGAGTCGAAACTCGTATGTATCTTCCATGCGACAATCAACCCCTTCCTTGCTAACAAAAGCGCAGAGAAACAGGCGAACACATTGAGAACGAAAAGCACGAGATCGAATGGAAGCCCTTCCCCATGTGCAACGAGACCGGCCGCCCTCTCGAGTTCAACTACGGCACTGAAGGCGAGGTCAACTGCACCATTGCCATGATCGACGACCCCTTCTTCCACCTCCTCGAATTCTACATCCACTCCGATGCGCCCTTGTCGTGCCGCGTCCCCGCCCGTCCAGCTGCCGAGATCGAAGTCGTGGGCGAGAAATTGCCTGCGCGCGAATACGTCCCTCTTGTCTTTGCTCTCGCTGGTACGCTGCAGCTGAGCCACATCCATATCAGCACGCACATGAACGTCCTGCTGCACAGCACGCCAAAGCACCACTCTCATCCCCACGACAGCGGTGTCCTCGACTCGGCCATTGCATATAGTACAAGTCCGCTGCACCATATACAGGGCTCACATACGCGCAAGCTAGTAATTGGCGACCCATTGCCATTAGCTTTATCGGTGCGGTGGTTTCCTACACCGGCGCTGCCCAAGACGGAGGGAAAGGTCGAGTGGCAGGGTCTGGGCGGTCATATCTACGCTAGTACCGTATTTTATAGCTTGGTATCCTTTGGCGCTGGTGTGCTGGTAGCTGCCATGTATACACTGGGTGTGGTGCTGCCCAAGAGGCTCAAGGGACGAGCCCTCGGAGGTGCGACACCTTTGGGATATGGTGTTAACACTGTGGGTAACGGATGGGGTTACTCAAAGCCCAATAAGAGAACAGACTGAATGGTCGGCTGTGTATAGTGTATTTATGGAGTCAGGGGGATAATGAGATTCTTTGGCGACGTAGAACGTGAATGGGAAAACAAGCCGCAGGCAACAGTCCATGACGGTTATGTACAACATTTCCAATTGACTTCAGTCTATTGTGTAGTTTGACGAATATCGTAGTATCTATTGTGTCTTGGATTTGGCATCGTTGCTCACACGGCGAAGCAATCTCATATACATATCCACCGCCATAAGCCCAGCTTTACTCATTAGCAAAACTCACCACAAATAAGAGTGAAGAAACTTACGAATAAGTGCATATGGGAAATACGTCCCCCAAGCCAAGTTCCTCTTTTGCTCAACGCTCACCAACTCAGGGCCCATAGACTGAAGCTCAGCCACGCAAGCCACAGAGCCCATAGCAGTCAAACAAGCAAAGACCAAACCAGCGAGCTCTGTAGCCCCAGAAGAAGGCTTCTTAGACGCCAGCTTCCAGGCGACATACGCACCGAAGGGGAACTGGACAAATAGTTCGACGTAGTACAGGCTGTGAAGCCATTCACCGTGGAACTTTTCGCCGTAGAAGGGGTCGCCTGAGAGGGAGAGGTAGGTGTTGCGGATGATGGTGAGGAAGTGCAGGGGGGCTTTGGAGGAGGCGTAGAGGGAGGTGGGATAGAATTCAGTGAAATCAAGGACTGGACATGTCAGTGAGTTTGTCGGGATGAAGGGGGTGGATGGTTGAGAGTGAGGGTGAAGTACCTATCATGCCCAAGATTTGAGGGATGATTATGGCCAGGTAGACCCAATCGCGGATGGGCTTTTGTGCCATTGTATGGGTATTTTTTAATGAACTGAGATAAACGAAGTGATTGTGAGATCAATTGATAGGAAATTGATAGTATTGTTAAAGATTTGCAGTATTTATTATGAGAATGTTGAAAGAAAGCCAATGTTAGTCTCTGTTGGGAAATGAAACATTGCTTCGGCGGCGGACCCTGGTTTCGCCCGGAATACCCGGCCAATGCCCGGTAGACAAAAGCCCATGGAAGTACCCGGAATTACCAGAACAATGAGATCTGGTTTATATGAGAGTGAGCCATAGTTTGTAAGTTGTAGCATATTGCTGAGGTATCATTTAATGTAGGTACGTAAAGAGAAGGCCCAATGACTACCGCTTGCTTGTCCCGCTTGTCTGTTAAATAGACATTCCAAAACTAACACACCCATCACATTAATATTCCTCCTTCATCTCTATTGAACAGCCGCAACAGTCGCAATCGACTTCTCAAACGACTCAATATCACACCCCGCCATTAAATCCGCCCAAAACTCATCATCAAACTGAAAGTCCGCCGCCCAATCCGGGTTGTTCTGCAGCACACTCGACGGCTCCATGGCAGTCTGCTGCTGCTGCAGCTGTTCCTCCTGCGGGATCTTGGACAAGTACCACTGCCGTAGCCAGCGGACCTTGAAGCTCGATTTGAGGAACACGCTGCTGCCGTCTTCCATCACACGACGACGGCGTTTAAGGCGGTGTGCTTCTTCGTCGGCTTGGGCGAATTGATCGCTGAGTTTCTGGAGGATGTTCTGGAATTGGAGACGCCGACGTGCCAACTTTACGTCCCAGTCTGGCGTACTCTCGCCGAGGACGATGCGTGATGCTGTGACGGTCACGAAAGCGAGGACACAGCTTACTGTGACGGGGAGGATGGAGATCTGGTCGGCGGGGAGGGCGGCGTGGAACTCTAGAGCGTCGCAGATGAATTCGAGACATTTCCAGAGGTATTCTGCGCGCTGGAGGGGTTCGGAGAGGGGCGTGTCGGGTGTCGATAAGCTAGAGGGTTTCATGGCGAGGATGGGCTCATAGAGACGAACGAGGAGGGAGTTGTAGTGGGATCTGAAGCCAGCTGGTCTAGTTAGTAACTGGTTATATAGTGAGGTGTGAGGATACTAACGAGTGTTTCTGACAGCGTCCGGTTGAGACTTGCAGAAACTCTCCAGCTCGCGATGAACAGTGTCGAGGGCCATGGCTGTCGCGGCTTGGAATGTGGGAGGTGTGGGATCTGATGGATCAAAGGTCGGTATGACGCTGAAACCACGATCGGCTATGTGTTGCATGCGGACCAGCGCAACTAGATATAAATCCGATTCGTACTCGTGAGTTTCAGCGAGAGCGTCGCAGCATTGGGAGAGATGAGCACTCCAGTTGAAGAGGGTGCTTTTTCTGAAGTACGGATTGAGTCTGTACCTGGTAAGCCTGAGATTCAACACCAACAGTCGTGAAGAAGGGGCGGCTTACAGGTTTGTGATGTGGTAAACGCCCAGCACGGCACGTTTATCGGCTGGGGTCTGATGGGCCTTTGTCTTGATACAGGGCTTACTCATAGACGTCCAGGCATCTCCGAGTAATGTTTTTGGACCACCAAGGAAACACCCAGAGTGCTTGTCTAGCCTCAGATCGATGACTAGACCAATGGCCATTTGCACAATATTGGTAACTTGTAGTTCTCCGTAAAAGTGAAAGTCATTCCTGGGTCAATTAGCACCTCACTTCCAGAATACAACAAAAGGCTAGTGAACTTACCAAGCCAGATATATCAGTATCGCCTGTAGGATATCTACCGACTTCTCCTGCCGAACAACAAGATGCTCCGCCAAGTATTTGCGAAACCACAGCTTAAACTCCATCTGGACCTTATCCTCCAGCGGCGAAACAACCGCCATAACGGTCCAGAAGAGCAAGCTCGACTCTACAAAGAGCTCGTGGGAAGTCATGTGCTCCGGCACAGAAACGAAGGGGAAGTGGGGTACATAGTCTCTTCGGTAGCTGTTGAGATATTCTGCGGCTTGTTGGTGTGTGATGCTGAAGCCGGGGAAGAGCTCAAGGGTGCCGCTGAAGTGGACGGGGATGTCTGAGTGGGTAACTACATCTATCGGGATGGTAACAGCGGAGTTAATTGAGACTCCTTCGCCGTGACGGTGGGCGTGGGGATGTGGTTGTTGGTGTTGGTGTTGGTGTTGATGTTGATGGATTTGGGGTTGAGTTTCTTGAGGACTTTCGGGTGTTAGAGGGGCGAGACCATTGCGTTGGTTTGCTGCAAGGAGAGAGACGATGCCATCTATCTTTTTCTCCAACTGGGCGACTCTCCTATTCAATTTTGTTAGTTATTATCCAATGATATAAGTGAAGTACTTACGTTGACTTGCCACGCTTCTTCCGTTGTGTAACTTGGGGCACTTGACAATCAAGCTTCATTCTTGAACATCTACCAAATATGAGCACTTACCCCATCCTATCATTCCTCCATGGGATCAAGTAAATCATACCTTGAACAAGTCTTTTCTGATCGTCCCGACCCAGATGAAGGCCACTGACACTTCATCTTAAGCCTCGCGCAATTCGTACAAGCCCTCGTTTTCGTACAAGTCGCGTCACCATCTTGATTAATAAGACCTTCATCCATGACTACGAAAAAGAATGCTACGACGCGGAAATAACGTTACGAAGAAAAGGATGGAGAATTAATGTAGAGAAACGATGAAATGGAATTAGGAATTGGGAATTGCTGTGAGTCTTCCGGAGGTAAAGATGGGTTTATCGGCCGTTAAGCCCGGGCTTCGGAGGGTTTTTTAACGGCCGGTTTAATATGTCTTGTTGATTTATGGGGAGATTTGGCCCCAATTTTTGAGTCTGGGGTCGGGGATCGGAGGCCTTTTTAACTTCCGGTGCCCGGTTAGCCTCTGAGCTGTAGGTAGTGCTTACGGTGAAATGATCAGTGATGAGATATCTTAAGATTCTTCCTTTATATCTATAACATTTTCCATCGATATAACTAGCAAAGAGAAATAGACATCTAATACAATGGTAAATAAATCTGTGTTCTAATTCACCCAGTTCTACTTCTTCTCTGCTTTTGCTCCTGTGACTGGACTCTGAACGCCGAACCCCTTCTGACTGCAGCTGTAGCCTGTCAGACCGGCTAGAATTTGATCCGACTTTATCAACTACGGGAGTGAAGGAAGTACAAGATAAAACCTAGGTATGTTTGTGAGTCAAACCAATACATGCCTTCATCACGTGTATGAAGGATTCAGGCACAATTAATGTTACCCCTAATCACATTGTCGAAAGGGTCGATTAATGAACATCTTTTCAAAATACTGGGCCTTAAAGATTGACTTTACATACATCACCAGTCAATCTTAACGTTTCATTCACATCACGTAAGGAAATCAATAAAAGTTAGGGAATAATTGTTAATTCCTAGCTATATGCCAGCTCGGTACCCGCCGATCCTGGACTAAATATCAAAACAAACTCCTTGCTACCCTTTGCTGAGTGGAAATCCTGCACAATACTCTTGTAAATGATCAACGAATCCCAAACCAAAGTCCCGAAAAATTCCGTTTCCACCATCGCCCATCTGGTCCGGAGAATTCAGATTCTCCTACTGGCGGTGCCTTGTAGACACTGGGCGTTAGACCACTTGTCGTGGTGGTCTTAGATGTTCCGGGAGAAGAATAGAATACTATGCTACATGTTAGTTAGAAATTACATGCCATAGTAGAGAAGGGGGAAGATGATTTACTTCTCTGGTTCACCCTTCTTTTCGGCCTTCTTGCCCTTCTCCTCTACTTCCTCCGGGTCACACTGACCGAAGGACATCTCAGCCTGGAAGCTGAGGGTCTGACGGCGGGCCAGGCGCTGCTGCTTCCGGGTGGTTGCAGTGTCCTGGCTGCGGTCGACACCGTCGTTGCCAACGTTGCCGAGAGCGGAGGAGGTGGTGGAGTCTTCTTTGGTAGGAGACATGATGGCTATGATAGTCGGTCAGTTGGCGAGTGTGATAAAAGTTGTTGGTATGAGTTTGTGAAAAAGGAAGAAGTAAAAAACTGTCTTACTATGTGTGGGTTGATGGAGGAAAGGGGAAGGCTCTGGTTCAGGAAGAACCGGCTGAATTTATAGGGTTCCAGACGAGGCAATCTTGAAGAGTCGAGTTCTGCTGTTCAGATGAAATTGGGGAGTGCTTCCTATGATATATAAAGTTCATCCCATCTGATCTAAAGAACAGAGAGGATGAATGGCATGTACTCTTTTTGGTCTGAATATGTTTCGTCACATCTCTGACGAACAATGAGAACAATGCCGCGTGGTGTAAGTAGTTGAGTGTGGAGCAGGTAGTGACCAATTTCATAACAAAAACCTGGGAGAGCCATGTTGGGAACAATACTTCAGGTAGCATTAACCTTTGGCGGGTTTCATATTCACAATGCATGAGTGTATGGACAACAACAGACGACTGCTGAACAAGGGAGAGGAAGCTGAAAGTGATATCATCAGGCGTATTATGAACAAACAATTCATTGAATGTTTGATAGGCGAAAGGAAAGCTGCGATTGTACTCTAAGTAAATTTTATTCACTGCGCTCTTGACGCATACATTTTCTTTGTTTCTTAGTCTGCGATTTAACACAAGAATTTTGGATACTTTCGGTATTCTCCGACCTCACATCAAACAATCCCTGTGGGTCTTAAGAGCTACGATTTCATTCTTACCAGGCATTTTGTTGCATATGATCACGCATCTCATGGTGAAAGGTTAAAGTAAACCCATCATGATCTAGTATACAACGTGACTCCAAACTGCTCCACAGCATTGTGATTTACCCTGTAGGTGGTAAATTTGGGTCTTGCGAGCATGTCACAGCCATGAAAGTATTGAGAACTGTTACACTGACATGTATATGCTCAACAGTTGAAGCTTAAACCAACATCATATTCCTATCGTTGCAGTACGAAGAGCCATTGAGGCTTGATCGTTGAGTTGAGGGTTTGTTCTACGAGGAAAACCCTGGCTTTGTTTGCTTAGCCTCGCTTGTGAGCCGCTGTGCGCCACAAACAACGGGCCATTGGTACCCTGATATCTTGATATTTCTGATAGTTTCTGCTTTGTTATTTCTAATGGGTTGGTGAATGGGTTTTAGTTAGGGTTCCTAAGATCCTTGACTGAAACTGCATAACGCCAGGACACGGTATCTAATATCTCAAGAGTCTCTTTAATCATGCGATCGATATTATGGATGTTCTTATAGTCAAGTGTGGATTATCAGCTTGACCTGTTTGTTTTGTGTGGGGTTGTATTACCGACTTCGTCAAACCCAAGACGTAACTTTGGTTTATCAAAAGACACCCGTACGTTAACAAGAGACAAGTTCAAATGGCAGCAAAGTAAGGGCAATATAAACAAAGAGAGGAGTAAGAGATAAAAACAAAGAGATAGGCGAGAGAATAGAGCTAGATCTATGTCTATTCTAGCCCAAGCTACACGGAATCGAATAGGTAATGGCTTGCACTGGTTAATGGTCAACTTGACTAACAGCGTACCCCTTTCCTCCCCGTTTGACACACGTTGGTGAAGGTCAGACAGAAGATCTCTGCAGTAACACAGCTAGAGCTGTTCCCCTTAAAAAACGAAGCTATTGTTGCGTTTGTATCAAGAGGTTCGCTAGCACATGCCAGATTCAGCTTTACTGAAAACACGCACCTCCAAACGATCGCCCAACAACCCATGAACCCGCTTTTGTTCTACTAGTCAGTTAGTACAAGCCTGTTGTTTGTGATGCATAAAGATATGACTTGCTGTTCCATCAGGGGATGTCTAGTTGAATAAGACTACACCACCCAGCCATTGTTCGATTCCACTTTGCACTGTACATCCAAAGCCGAAATCCAGACGATGTCCAGCATTCAAACAGTTTAGAAAAAGGAACAACAACAGATAATTGCTCAAAGCATTAGACTTGTTATATAAACAATCACACGCCATTCTTTACTCCCTAATTCAGTCCCATCCCACCAAGCAAACATCAACCACACACCCACATCTTCACCAAGAAACAAAGCCTTCATCATGCCCGACTTTCGCCCCCTTTTCTTCATCGCCAAGATCCTGACCTGCTGTTGCTATCCCCGCAAGTCATCTAAGCCTGAGGCTCAAAACCAACCCTACCAGGTCGAGCCAGTCCCACGCCGAAACCGGGAAGCTTCTTCTGACTATTCTCAACGCTCGGGTATGCCCCAGTCCCCAGGTGTTCTTCATCGTTCTGATGTGTTTGCGGATGTTCAGATACACGATGACGCCGGTGCAAATTCCGTTGCACCTGGATCTTTGCAGAATCACGGCAGCAACTTGAAGTAACTCGGATGGCTTGGCCCTTTTTGCTATTTGCTTTGTTTGTACTGGAACTTTGTTTTGAGGATTTAGGATTGCTTGTTTAGCAGACAAATATTATGCTGTCGTTAGGTGTGTGCTTTTCATACTGTAAACAGAATCTCATTTTACTCTCATCTTGAATGATGCAACGCTGTTCAATATATGTTGACTGAATGAAAGCCTTCTCGTCTCTTGACTTATGAGGTAACCCTCTCCCCTATACTCTGGACACAAGGAGGTGTTTGGTATACTGTATCTTAATATTTGTGACTTATATGATACATTATCACTGGTTCGCAACAAGAGTTGGTTGAGTGATTTCAGTTATTTGCATTAATTTCATCTAAATCGATAACCCTAACCTTGCATCTTTGAATATCCTTTTCCGCCAGGAGGAATATTCCGCCTGCAATGTCCATAACTACCATCAGACTCCAGTCTCACCACGAACAGGGTCGGGTCCAACTGGTTCCTGAATCCAACCCTTGGGGACCTGGTGAATAAAATCATACCACCAGTCCCCCATAACCAAATATCCAATATCTTCTGGATGAACACAATCACCCAAATAGCTCTCCTTGAACGGGCCAAAATCAGCTGCAAGCACATGATGATTTTGTTCCCTAAATTCCACCGCCAATTCAGCGACAAGGCCTCGATAGGCCTCTATTCGCTTTCGCTGCTCGTGAAACTCCTTTTTGTTGCATACGTTGATGGGCATGCCAAGGATGATAGTTGCGTCAGGACACATGTCTACCATGTCTTCCACCATCAGTCTAAGCCGTTCGATTGCTGCCTCTGGGTCGTTCCCTTCGGTCGCTATGTCGCGGTTACTGTTCATGTCGTTTGTTCCGGTGTCAACGAGGATGAGATTAGGACGTTGTTCAAGGGATGGCTCGATGCGGTTATCCATATACTGGATTGTTTTGCCTGACCACGCTGCCTATATCGATTAAGTTAGCTTAAATGCTAGTTGTTCTTGTATGAGGCCCGACTTACAAAGAAACCGTCTTTCATGTCACCTTCAGGGCTCCTCTCAGTCCCGGCCCAGACAACCTCGTTCACTAACACGCCGTTAGTTCCATATTCTCGCTAAAATACATTCTGGTACTTACATGACAGGCTGTCTCTCAAGCGTTCTCTGTACCCATCTCCCTCTTCTCCTCGTTCATAGCCAACCGTGATGGAAGCACCCACTGGAAGAATCCGTAGTTTGACTCCACCTTGAACGATAGTATGACGGGGGGTTCCTTTGAAGCTAAGAAACTTCTGTTTGTGTCTGCCTTTGACCTTATCACCTTTCTTGGGGTTTGAAGGGGGTCTAATTATCGGACCTGCAAAGGTTTCATACGACCAAAGGGACGTGAGAAGCAGGAGGGCGATTTTGCCGATGAAATGCATTTTGATAATATGACATGTGGGTTTGGAAATATTACCGGTAAGAATTCGGCGAGATCAGGCTTTTATATAGATATTTTATGAGAATAAACTTTGTGATTTTGGGAATAAGAAAAGTGTCCTGATGGTTGATAGCTTTTTACTTTCATGGTTATCAAACTCAAATTCACAGCTCACTGCTTCACGAGCCATTTCTCTGGCCAATCAATGCATGACTTACGATTGGGTTTACTAAGTTATAATCTGCCTAAAAGTCCTGGAAACAAGATACATAGGCTCGGGTGAATGGAAGTTTTAGTAAATTAAGATTGAACGACTTCTCTGGATACCAGACGGTGGATTTATGGTACCACTTTCTATGACAGAATCCCGCTCCAACGCCACCAATAGCGCAAAGAGTACCATCCATTTAACTCCCTCCGTGGGCTACTCTGATGTCCTCGTTGCATCATCGCCATCTTCGTTCGAGAGCTCATCCGTCGAATTTTGCATCATGGGAGAATCAACCGGCTCGTGTATATATTACATTGTACCCAGGCAAGGATCTTTTGGCTGTGCTAGTAGTGGTGGCAACCAGGATAGTCATAGTAAATCAAGAGATGTATCCGATTGAATAAAATACTCTCTAGTGGTTTCCATACCTTTTATTTGGTAGTCTTGTCTCGCGATGAATTGCAAGGTTGCGTTGCGAAACTTGAATCTCCCCTGTAACAGTCACATAGGAGTGTTCGGCCGATTTCGCAGGTCCATAGATCTGAACCTTTTCTGGGCTACCCATGAGTGATTTCGAAAGGTCTTAAAACTACTTAGTCTTTCAAATGTTCAACTCAATAGACGGACAGTGAAATACAGGAATCGCTGAGTCCGGGTACTGTTTCACGGTTCTACGAATGGAGGCTTAGGAGAATTGAAATATTAGAGACTTGAAAACAGATAACTCGAAAGAGTCATCCCTAATACAGGGGAGATCATCCCAACATCCAAGTTGGGCATACACAGGATCGCCAAGGAGGATCATAGTAATTCAGCTGACAGCGCAATAAGTCGCAAATCAAACATATGTTTCAACCTGTTCTGGCATTCAGTCGGCAGAGTGTTTGGCATTTTGCGTCATCTATACGTTAGTCTCCACATCAAAAGCATTAATATTATCTGTGATATCAAGAATTTGGCATTAATTGGAAACAGAATTGTGTCAAGAGCTTAGGGGTGGTTCATGCCAGCGTCAGATGCAGGGGTTCCCCTTCATTGGGTTGGGTATCAGTCCCTCAGCCGGGTCATCTGAGTCATTTTGGGGCACACTATCCGTACGTACAACGAGCTGAACCGTGCCGGAGAGTTGCATCAAGGCCTGCATGACCCTGCAGCAAGGGAACGCTATCTGCAAAGACTACCGATGGGGATGGGATGGCCTCAAAGTCAAAGTGTCTCGGCAGGACGGAAAAGTCCGATGGTTCATCAAGGGCATGCCTGTTTAAGTTTATATCCTTGATTTACCGGTTCATCCACTAAGAACGCGTAATATGTGCCAAGGATTATATCAATTACCGGTATTCCATACATGCAACAGCCTAATATGACATAGAGCTATTGATCTTTTGTGTCAGCTCGGATGGCCATTCCGAGGGTTTTGTGCAAGGTCAAAGGTGGCATGATGATTCTTCACGTAAAATTGCCAATTCTGTTACACAAACTACCTAGTCTGGTCACACAGACGCCACACGACATGATTTCTGATCGTCTCTTACCGCAAATGGTCTGACTACATGCACAAATGGAAAGAAAAGTGATATGCTCACACTATCGTCACCGTGCAGCAATTTCTAGCGGTCATCTCCATTCTTAGTAAATTCCCAGTGAGAGAATCAAGCATACTTGAGGTGAATTCTAGATGAGAAAATGCAATAGTCTTGTAAAACAAGATGCGGATATCATTTTAGAAACGCCGTATGAAAACCAATAATGCCCAGCCCAAGATGTATCTCCAGTAAATAAATATGTCAAGGTGTTCCTCCACCATTCGGTGTGTCATTTTGCCAAACTTGATGAACGTCCTGAGAGAATTGTGCCGTTAAATCGCGAATTTTACTATTCCTACGGTTAGATAAGACGATACCAGATGTCGCCTCGAACGCACCTAAGTTTGCTGAGGTCCATATCCATAGAGACGACAGTAGATAGATCAGAGAGATGATTGTTGGACATGGCTTGCTCATGGGCATCAACCACCGCTTGTTTCACCTGTCGACTCTCCACCAGGGCATCTGTTAACTGTGCCCAAGCCTGGGCTGCTTGGATGAGATATTCGCCGATATCGCTGACGAGAGTCTTTGACTGATCAGGCGAGGGAGTCTGCTTGGCCATGGTGTTGGAGGTAACTTCTAAATGCTGGACGAGAGATAGCAGATGTTGTGTAGATTGTGTGTCGTATTGAGGGCGGACAACGGAAGCTCTGTCTGGGGTAGTCATTTGAAGTGGTGTTGTGAAAGCGGAAAACGTTGATAATGAAACCCAGCTTCTGTTTGCGGAAGTTCCAAAATGTAGCGTAGCGTTGCCGACGTTTGCGGGATGGGGGTTAACTCTTTATGGAATACAAAGATTTTCCAGTCCAGGGGAATAAGAACAGGGGATGGGTATAATAAGAAGGAATTGATAGGGGAAAAAAGTAAAAAAAGGTACGGTAATAATTTTCCGCAAGTGGTCAGAGGGTAACACAAAGCCAAGACGCGCAATACACCCAACGGCCAACGGAAGAGGGGGGGACGAGGATGAAATGATCTGAGCTGAGCCGAGCCGTTCTTGGAATGTGAAATCGTAAAAGGGCGAAACGCCTTACGACGAGAGCCGAAGCTTTGGGCTTTTGGGGGATGTCACGTCTGAGCGGGCGGTGGAGAAGCTAGAAAGGGGAGAAACGGCGCAGCACAAGAAGAAAGGATAGGCGGGAGAAGAGAGAACAGGGCGAAAGACAGTCTCTAATTTAGCGTCGCAGGCAATGAAAAAAAAGACGAGAGATGCTAGTCGAGTTAAAGAAAAAAAACGGAGGGGGAAATAAGTCCTCGTGCTCTGCTAAAAGCAGCGCCAGAAAGCCACCAAACTCAGCGCAATCGGATATGATATGCAATGTAAATGCAGATGCAGATGCAGCAGATGCAAATGCAAAGGGAGAGTGAGGAGGAAAGTGAGGAAAGAAAAGGAAAAACAAAAGGCCTTCTAGAAGAACTGGAAGCTTGGGGCTCTTTTTCACTGAAAAGGGATGTAAATTTATCTTGGTACGGATAAAACGGTAGGTAGGGCTTCTGTTGGTGTTGTCTCTTTTCTCTTCTCTCTTACAACTCTTTAGAGCCAGGGGCCAGGGGTGTGTGAGATCTTCAAGGTTTCGCCTGTCTCCGGAAGCCAAACCCGGTGAGAAAGCGAGCTAAGGTCTCCACTGTTTCTCTTCTTGTCTGCCTTCAAAAGGAAATAAACCGGCTGAGGAGGAACAAACCGGCACAGCTAGCAGGAATTGTTAAGCGCGAGGTTTGGGGGTCTGAGACAAATACCCATGCTGAAAGATAATGGAAAGGCTAGGCTGCTAGGTTACAGTAGGCCAGTAGATGAATGACATCAAAAAACTGTCATTGACCGTCACGTCAAAGTCCCGGTAATTCGGAGCTTCTGCCCCTCTTTCCCCGCGATAGGAGGCAGACGCATCTGTCATTTGGGATTGGGACTGGGCTAAGACTGGGAGGGGTGGTACGCAACATCGTGGATGCCAGCCTCGTATCATGGCTTTGTTGGAGGCAAAGACCGTGAACAGAATGTTTTGTAATCATGCCATTTATCCCGTAATCACATATCCTACTCCAACACCTTGACCGGTCCCTATTATTAAAGTGGAAATCATGCCCAAGGCAGTGAACAGTGAAACTTATCCTCATCCAACACATCTCCTCTGTTGCCTCTTTCCTCCATCGGCCAAGTCCGACAAACCTGGAACTCTCACGATATCTTCCTATTCCCTCATCTGGTCATTTGGAAGAGGAGAGGGGCAGATGATTCTCCACTGCGAAGAAACAAGCACCGGCAATCGAACCGGGACTTTGTGGTGGCACAGCGTGACGATATGCGGTGAACAAAAAGAAGCAAAAGCAACACCACTCACACGAGAGGAGAGAACAAAAAGAAGAGGGAGAAAGATACGCTAATGCACCCGAAACAATGGCTCGGTACCTCTGCAAAATCCGCCGAATGGCCAGTTCCAGACACATGCACACCCCAAATTTAGCCAGGGTAGAGAGGAATCAAGGGGAAGAAAAAGCAAAGTGAGAAAGAAATGAATGAATTGCCGTAGCCTTGCTTTGATGAAGATCGAGCATGAAGAGTGATTTCTGACGATAATTGCGGGAAAAGCAAAGCAAGCCTGTCGAAATGTCGTGCAGCGCTTATACCATAAGGATTGGTTGGTATTTGCGGTGAGGAGGTTTGGTTTCGGATTGTTTTTGCCTGTGTCGTTTGGCAGCTGCAGACTGCTGGCATTTGTTTCAAGGGTCTGAATGTCTTTGCCGGCTCGTATAAGCATGCGGCAAATCGTGATATTTCTTGTTTTCGTAAATCCCTCTTTTCTAAAATTCCTATAATAGCAGGATTCAAGTTTCCTCCAAGCACAATGCATGAATCATGTCTTGACCCGTGCTTGTACTCCGCCAAGGTTTTCTCGTCTCGAGCCCATGAATAATCTCTCACTCCTTCATCATTTTACCCAGCAAGACAGAAACCATAAACGGCCACCACACTCTGTGCGATTGGAGAGATCTCCCTTCTCTCTGGCCTCCGAAGTGGCGTCGTACGGACCATGTTCCACCCCGGTGAGCTGTAAGGGCAACTCGTGATACATGGGCCCTTGCAAGGTTGTTGCTGGGTGAGGTAGAAATTGGCTCACGCAAATGCCGAGTCATGCTACGATAATTGACGGCTAAAGTGCTGCGGCTACGTCAATATGCATCTGCTGACTCCCGATTGCCACGTTGTTTGTGAAATTGTGTCTAGAACGTTGGCTGGTATGCAGGGTGTGTCGGTCCACCGTAGAGACAACGAACTCCACGCGGATGTATGTTGACATGTGAATGACCCTGATGGCTGGCCTATTGTTGGATTATTAGTGACTCTATCTGTTCTTCGGTCAGTAAATAGAATAGATACTACCGAACTACAGCGTAGTCTCCAAGAAGTACTATTGCTCTCGAAGCTATGTATTACTTGTAATTTCCCTACAGACACCTCTTTGAATAACCAAGCTGCATACCGCGTCCCTGCATTTTAAAAAGCCACGAGTTTGAAACTGACATCTCATTTCCTACTGCAGGTTGACAATATGAGAGAACAATCAACGACCAATCACCGTGATTACCCATTTGTTCTCCCCAGAAAAGAGGCAAGATCTATAGATCCGTCCTCGTAATAAATACAACCCTAGTCTAAGCGAAGAGTTTTTGGTACCAAACTGTAAGAGTATACCTTGCGAACCCTGGGTGCAATACAAGTGGAGGTTATTCAAGGTTTTGCAATCCCAATCCCCATGCTTCAAAATCCCGTCCAGTAGCCACTAGCTAGAAACTAGGACTAATGTGTGTCAAGCTTTAGTGTCAAATCGGCCGCTAATGCAGCCTAGCCCGACGATCTAGAATAGGACAGGACTGAGCTGAGGGTGTTATAGGTACTGTTTGGCGGGGGGTCAATCTACAGCGCAACCACTAACTAACTCAACAAGCCAGTTGATCACCAGGCCTCGGCAACTAACGCTCGTTGGTCCGACTGCGCGATTGTCTATCGCGACTTGTTGATTGGATGTTTCAAACTCGAATAAGAGGCAAGAAAACACATACAATCGAAATCTTGGGTGATTTCCTAATGTGAACTTTAATGCTTGTAGCGGGAAGGGGAATGAGAAAACTACGCCAAAGTTGTACTTGTCAAACACAAGGAAACTTAGAAGTCTTACATCGACCATGCGAACCAGAGGCAATCACCAGGAGCAAATGCTCGGAAATGACTATAAATATTCCAGCCGTTTCTTCAAGTCCATAGCTATTAACTAAGACTCACATCATTCCTCAATACTCACAGCATTCTTGCTACAAATCACATCACCTTACTCCACGCCATGAGTAAACCCTCAGTTCTCATCATCGGCGGAGGCGTCTTCGGAACCTCCACCGCCTACCACCTTGCCCGGCGCGGCTACGACAACGTAACTGTCGTCGATCGCTTTGCCGCTCCCTCTAGAGACTCGGCCGGTACAGATCTAAACAAGGTCATCCGCGCTGACTATCCCAACCCACATTACGCTCGACTGGGACTGGAGACCATGGGCGTCTGGAAGGATCCTGACTCTCTCTTCAAAGGTCTCTACCGCGAGACTGGTTGGATCATGGGTGGCCATGAGGATACTAACGTGTGGTTGGAGAATGCTAAGGTATTGGCGGACAAGACCGGTAGATCAGGTGTGGAGTACCTCTCTGTTGAGCAGATGAGGGAGAAGTGGCCTGCTTTAACGGGGGAGTTTCCAGATTGGACTAATCTGTACAGTCCCCAGGCTGGTTGGGTAAGAACCCACTCAAAGAAACCAAGTTGAGCACTACTCACTGACATTTCTAGGTTCCCGCCGGCCAGGCTCTTCTTCGCATGGCCATAGCCGCACAGGAGATCGGCGTCAAGTACATCACCGGCGATGCTGGTCAGATCAAAACACTGCTATACGAAGATGGAGCCTGCACGGGTGCCATCGCTGCCAACGGCCAGCTCCACACTGCCGACAAAATCATCGTTGCTGCGGGAGCAAGCCTTCCCGGTCTTATTGAGGGCGCTAGGACCGATGTCAAGGCAGAGACGTCGGCAATCTGTGTGATCCAGCTTGAGCCGCATGAGATTGAAAAGTACAAGGACATTCCCATCATTGATGACTTTGAGCAGGGTATGCTAGACTGCTCTGATGATAAATGAGGAGTTGCTAACAGTTGCAGGCATCATCTTTCCTCCAGATGAGAACGGCCTTATAAAATTGTGCAGCGTGAGACTTGTGACTAATTTCTTCAATCACCAGCATGAGGGTGCTTCTGTGCTGCACTCGTTTGGTGACTATCCTTTTGATGGATGCCCCAAGGAACTCGAACTTGAGCTCCGACAATTCGTAGCCGACATGATCCCCGAATTGGCAGACCGACCCTTCATCCACACCCGTCTCTGCTGGTACGTACAAACCCGCGTATGCTCATCACCCTTTGCTAACCACCATCCAGGGACGGCATGGCCACAGACCTCAATTTCCGCATCTGTCCCTACTCCGAGTCTAGAAACCTGTACATCGCCACGGCCGGTTCAAACCATGGTTTCAAGTTCCTGCCTATCATTGGAAAGTACGTGGCCGATCTGCTGGAGGACACTCTTGACCTGGGACTGAAAGAGCTCTGGAGCTGGAAGTTTGGAAAGAAGCCCGAGGGTTTCCAGGATCCTCATCCGTTTCCACGTCGCGACCTGGCTCAGTTGACCGGTTGGAAAGGAAGAAATGCCCCCGCTGCCGGAAAGCTGCCTTGGACGTGGAGTCAGAGTCGACTATGAATGCATTGCAGTGTGTAGTGTGTAGTTAGTCGTCCAAGTGGATGGGGAATTGCGTGCACACCCCACGTAGATGTAGCGTTTAGTTTGCTCATATCTCATCTCATCAGAGAGAAATCGGGGCACATGAGCGGCATTTCTCGTACCTTAGGTTTAGATGGAACAATGCACGTATTCAGTCTAGACAAGGATGTATGTACCTCCCACGGATAGATAATCATCACATGACGAGTTGTACTAATTATTAAGAGGATCCAATAAGCGGCAAATCCACTTTAATGGATTTTTAGTTACGCTAAATAGTACTGGCCTCATTTAATATCTGATTTAGCGCTGTTGTCTCTAGGCGGCTCTGTTTTCTCATCTTGGTTTCTCCGTGGCTTGTGGCAATTTCCACGGATGGAAAACGGACTCAAGAAAGACCGAACTGAGTGAATTTGTTAATCAATGTAATGCCGCAATTCGTGCAAAGGTATGATTGCCTGGCGATATGGGTCAGGCATGTGAGTTCATAGGTCACTCTCAGCGGCTTATACCGGCACTGAAACAGTAATATTTTCCGGACTCACTTACTAAGTCATCTCTCAATCAATGGTTGTTGAAACTTTGCTTAAAATATAATTGAATTTCCTCCAGTCAATCTCTTCTGCATTTTGAATTTTTATTGCCCAGAATCACAGACCTCGATAAGGGATCAACGCTCAAGATGAGTAGATCTGAAAAGCGAAACCCTGTAGCCTGTACGGCATGCCACTCACAAAAGCTAAAGTGCACTGGAGGTACGTGATTCAACCTATTTTCCTTTCTTGATCATTAATACTTTGGCTTAGAAACTCCTTGCGACCGCTGTGTCCATCGTGGCAGAGAATGTATTTACCCAAAGAAAGAGAAATTCATCACGGTGCCGGAGAGTTACCTACGAGAGATAGAAGGAAGAGCAAACATGAACAGCCCGATCAACACACTGGCCGACTCGCAAACCCTATCCTCACAGTTCGATACAACCCGCTCAGTACTTGAGAACAATGAACTGCTGGTGACCGATCGTCTACGACTACGAGTCGACTGTCCAGTGGAGCACTTTGTTCAGAAGCTTAAGGATCTGTCTTCTTTACTGCACCCCTTTCTTCAAGCTAAAAACTCCTGCCAACCCCTAGAGTTGAGTGAGGACAGTCAATACGTCTATTTTCGCTTGGAACCTGACGCCAATGGTAAGTTGACCCAATAACGTCCCGTGCCAATAACTTACTCCAATACCACTTCATAGAGTCCAAGTTGTTGGTCAAGTTACCGTTGCAAAACCAAGTTATGAGCCTGGTCAATGTTTTTGAGGAGACTAATGGTAACTATCATTGGTATCTTCGCAAAACGTTTCAAGAGCGTATACGTCAGACATATTCCGACCCCACAGGCCAGGCCGGCGATAGAAACTGGTTCTGTCGTCTCTTGGTTGTTTTGGCGATAGCACAAGCTCAGAAGCCTGAACCAAAATCACCTTTAGCCCCGATGACAGTGTTGTCTGGATTAGATCTTTTTGGACAGGCTATCTCATTATTCGGCATTTCAGAAGTGCCAACCCAGGACGATATAGAGGCTTTGAATCTTATGGTAATCAGAAAATTCCTAGTGTGTTGATTACAAGTAGAGACTACTAAGCTAATCAAACCTAGGCATTTTACTACTACTATAACAACCGCCTAAACATGGCTTTCATGTACATCAAGCAGAGCATTGCACTTGCGAAGCTCCTCTATCTTGAGAAAGCTACAACATACCTGGACAATGATATCGAAATCTATAACAGAACGCATCATTACGCCGTGGAACATCTGCGGAGGCTTTGGTGGACAGCCTTCTGCCTTGAAAAAAAGCTGATTACAGCACTTGTCATATGCTCTGAACAGACGAACACGTCACAGGATATACCACTTCCATCCTCGGATAACATACTGACGGAGGACATGGCACAATTCTTTGATACCGAGGCATTTCTGGAAAATATACAGACGAAAAAAGTGTGACCTGCTTGAGATTATATTGGTGCCAACACACAGAAAGCGTTAGGATCATGGGGTCTACTAGGCCTTATATCTCAGCATTGACAGGCAGCCATGAGCTGAAAATAGGTATTCGCGTTCCGAGGAAGTTGGCGGCCTCGTGCCACATCGAAGAGACTCATTGTATGCTTCGGTTTGTTCGTAAATATCTCTGCGACTTATGCCTATAAGAAGACTTGCTATAGAGCTCGACTTCAAGGGTCGTAGTTTTCGAACATATTCCACCAGAAAATAGAAAATTATTAATACACCGTTCTTCCTGTGCCGACTAAACCCTTGAAGCTACCAGACTCATATAGATTCCCCAAATTAGACCGATGAAGCTCAAAAAGACGATCCGTCGATGAACAGGAATGAAACTGAAACTGATGATAGACGCAATCGGCCAAATCTTGTAACCGGCAACAATAATGGGAATCGTTTCCTTTGAAATGTTAGAATCCTATAGCATTTACGAGACTTTGTAACTCACCGTCTTGATATTGGTCCAGATCTGAGAACCACCCTGTCCTTTGAGCAAGCCCATAATCACCAAAAACGTAACTGTGTTCATGATCGCACCAGCAGTGATGCAATCAACGAACCACTTGGTCAGCGTGTTGCGCGTGCTAAACTTGGATTCTCTGTCCTTGGTGATTTGCGCCATGCGCTCTTCGTAACCCTCCTTGAGCTCCGGCGCGTCGTCACCCGACTGCATCTCAAGATCGGCCAGGCGCCCGAGCTGAGGTCCCTGGCCAGCAGGGTAGGCAGGGAATTGGCGCTCCAAGAATGCTTGCCAGTGATAGTTGGGAGGGGCGGTCATTAGTGTGAGGGTGACGAAGCGTAGTAGTTGCACGACGTCTAGGGATGCTGGGCGCTGGTAGAAGTTAGCTAATCAATTTTAACACCTCCATTATCGCGATTGTGATTTCAGATTTTGACAATCATTGCAAAGTGACTTTTCAGCCGAGACTAACATTTTGTTGGCGAGCCTCAATCATCTGGGCAAAGAGGTTAGAGACCGTCGATAAGGCCGCAGCCTGAACGGTAGCAGTAACAATTGGCGAAGGCATTCTGACGATGGGAATAGTAACGAACGACTGGTATAATACAAAGACACGGCACTACAAATTCAATTGCGACTCTGTTGTCGATGTTGAATTGTCTTGTCAGCTCGTGAGATGAGTGAGAATCTTGAGGTGGAGAGCGTCTCACGTGCGTGCTCGGGATAAGTAAGATCCGCTAAATACGACCCCTTTTCCTCCCTCGTATAGATGAGTCCGAGACATTTGGCGACTGATGAAAACAAGAAAATGTATGAGATTATAGAAATAGGTTGCGGGACAATTTGTCAAATATTTTGGGTTTCTGTCTATAAATATATTATCCAGTACTCTGGTACTCAACTTACCAAATTTTGGTTCAAAATTAATATGTAAGTTATTGGCCAAGATACTATGAACTCTAACTTTAGTTACACGCTGTATAAGAGGTATTTGCTGGTAACCACCCTCGATGACTTCCTCCAAGCTATACGGGTTTATAGCTGATCGGAACTGTTTATGTGTAGGTCTCAACAACAGCCACTATGATCACATTTTTCTTCTTTTTTTTTCCAACATGAAATAGTATTCATTGTTGTGACTACAAACAGCATTGTGATCAAAGATCCAATTAAAAAAGAGAGTTTAAGTAATACCAAGATGCAGCAAATTCAAAGTTGTGAATTCCTGGAACCAAGCTATCAATGGACTCCCCATTCAGCAATATACCATATGCCAAAGACAATACCTGACCATAGAATGCAACGAGTGCAGCTGGAGACCCATGGACATCTCCCAGCCGTCTGTAGCCGAATACGAAACATAAAGAAGAATATTAATTGCTCAAAAGTCGAGTGTCATGGCCTGCCTCACTCAGAGTAGAGCAACCCGCCAATGAATGCAACATAAACAGGTATATATCCCCAGTGAAACCACTCCTTACCACCAATGAGCGACCTGCTCACGAACCCATCAACCAAAACAATGAATACCGTTCCAATCAACCCCATCCCCATAAGTCTCCTATCTCCAGTGAGGGCATTGTTGACAAGAAGATAGCTAATGACGAGATTGCGAGTGCCGTGCAGCCGCCAAAAAGACAAGGCAAGTTTCCGACTCTGAGGCTCTGTCGGGATAGGGAATTCAACCATCTTTAGTGTGATCTCTGGCTGGATCATTGCAGACAGGCCGAACACGCCCGGGACTAGCGAGAGGGCAAAGGCGCCGCGGTATAAGAATGTGTCCCACATTGTGAAGATTTGAAAGATTTGAGAGAGTTTATTGAATGGATTGAATGGATTGAATAGATATACCTAGGTGTTTATTATATCTGGAAGTGAAGTTAAGCCGGAATGTCCGGGTTTAGTATTATCTCCATTGTTGTGTAAGCATAATCTTTGTACGGGCATTTTATAATTTCCCGGGCCGGTTGTACATTAGCAATCTCTCATAAATCTTACTAAGTATCCTACTAATTTATAGTAAGCAGGAGGGAAGCTTACACGCCTTTGCAAAGATGTTCTACTTAGCTGAATTCAGTAAGTCCTTGTAAACCAATGAGTAACTAGCTTTGCTTGGTCTTTTTACTACAATGGCTCCGTGTAGGAGTCTCTGATGAGGAGTAAAGAGGTATGTAATTATAAAAGGAGCCAACGGGCACTTGTTTTATGGTTGCCTATACCTTGTAGTTATCCAAATGACTTCTGATGTTAATTGTGCATGCACAGTGTAACTACCTACCTACCTAGGAGCTGTATTTGGAAAAGTTGTTCTCCCCAAAGGAAATAAGATAAAGGAAATATCTGGGGAACCTTCACAAGGTAAGAAAGGGAATCATTATCTGTTCCGCATGGAAGGAGAAGATGCTGATAAACTAACAGTGGTTGATTCAAATATCCAGATATTTGCCATGTCACTCCTAGCGGGCTACTCTACAAGGCACAATCCAGGAACACAAAACACACATGATCACAGGCACTGATAAATCTTGATTTTAGATTAAGTGCGACTGTCTTATGTCAATACCCCCGCGACCTCGCTGTATTATCAGGTAAAGAGTCCCCATCACCAACATTGGGACCACCAGCTCCAGCAGTTAGTCAAGTACAGGTAATATGGCGTTTTATCATGGGTAAACCACCATGCTGTTGACCTGAATACTTTTATAGATACTGACCAATATGTACCAGTGATTTGTGAGGATGGCTATTCAATTCTAACGCTTGCTACGAGATCTTTGAGACTACGTTGGAGGTTGAATCTATACCTATCTATCCACTATGACGATTATGGTAATATAATGCAATATATACATGTGATCTAGAGCTGCATGCCCAGATATAGTAACCGGTATCTAGTTCTTCTTCTGCCTGCAAAAACCAACCCGATAAAGACCAAATGCAACCCCATGCGTATGATAAGCCATCCCCTCTTCCAAGCGTTATACCGGCATCGTTTATCCATGCCACACGCTCTACCCGTAAAACCTTTCCCATTCCGTGTCGTCGATACGTTTATCTGTTTGTTTATCAACAAACCACGTCACATGTCCCCACGTCGATCCGATAAGCTCCCTCCTCAACGCTACTGTACCCCGCGTTTTAGATGCGCTCTTTTGACCATCCCAAAGTGGTTATGTTAACCCGGCGATAACTCCAACGTTGACCGAATTTGGGTTTAGCAAGCGTCTATTATGATAGGCGGTTGTAGGTATCTTTCGTCAGGTGGCTGGCGTGTCGTTGGTGATGGTTGTGCAGCAAGGTTTGGTGAAATGGGTGGCATAAAGAAAAGGGAGCTGCTGGTAGTAGAGTTTCGACTGCGTTTATCTCTGTGATGAATTATTATTTGAATATTTGTTTCTGCTGAAAGCGTCTAGTCTTCATCATGCTTGTATTCACAGAGACCTTCCATCCAAATACAGTTCATACTGTCCTGGCCGTATCATTTTGCGTCAGTGTGTGTACATGTCTGGGTCTTCTGGCTCATGCTCTTGTGTACAAGCGAAAGACTCTCTCTCGATATGCCTACCGGTCATCGCCTCCTCCAGAGCCAGTAAAGAAGACTGCCCCTGCAGATTATACAAAAGTTTATCCTCCGTCTCAGCGATACGTTCTCTTTGAGATCTTGCCAGATTTGAGAGCCGATAATGTAGATCTTTCTGTGACCCCAAGGCCCCTTCTGAGGCTGGATGAGAACTATCGCCATGCGGACTCAAAGTTATTCAACTTTACTGGCTTCAGTGTGGATGAGATTCGGCGTCTCGGTGACTTCCCCGATTACTCCAAGTTGTCTGGTGTTCCTCTTCCCGACCCTCTGAAGAATTTCAATATCAACACGGCTGTCCCAAGGCCTTATCGCCCGTTTCGATGGGCTTATCATCAAACTATGTGTAAGTCAATCTATAGAGCCTGGTCAGGATGGCACTGATAGTCAGTCAGCTCTCAAGAAGCTAGATCCAGACTTCTGGCTGGAGATCGAAAGCACATACTGTGACAGGATCGCTCAACGAAAGGCACTCTACGCCAATCATGGCACACATGTTCTACAGGCTCTTCCAGGTTCTGAACTAGCCTGCAAGGAACTGATGGAGATGGCGATCCAATTTCTCTGCGCACGATATCCCCAGTCGTTCGAGCTGCATGGCAAGATCTTTGTCAACCACATCCTTGGCGAAAAGCAGGATCTTGATCAGATTGAGCCCCTGCGCTTCCTTCTGAACCACGTCCCTGAAGACTTTGCACTAACCCTACGAGACCCTGCCACAGGGCGCTATTGCTTCCGAGCAGGCGTCATTTGCTCGTCTGTTGGCTGGAAGCTAAGTGAGAAGATCGGGCTGGGATTGCCAGAGATTCACGCCCACGTGCCTGATTATAAAGAAAAGATGGAGTTTAGCATGGATCGGTACGTAAAGAACCCTGGGTTGACTGCTTGTAGCTAATATGGAGATAGGTTCTTCACCAAAATGCCTACCAACTCTCCCATCCAGCGCGGATCATGGGGTCTCGAAGTCGGACAACCGCTATTCATTCCCTCAGAAGACCCAGAGTTCAAGGTCAGAGAGTCCCAGAAACCATCATTGAGCGAAGAAGAAGTACACCTGCGAGTAGACTGGCAGACGTTACGCAGACTGCCACTCTCTGGCGCCATCGTGTTCAACTTCAAGGCTCTCTTCACGCCCCTTACCGAATTTAGAGACGAGCCTTACATTCCATCTCTTGTTCTAAAGGTGCTAAATGAAGGAAAGGAGAACATTATGCGGTACAAGGGTACGTGGCACGTGGAACATGTGGCAAAACCTGCATTGGGGAAGTGGGAGATCGAGCAGATGCACAAGGGGATGATCCCCGCTGATTGGGAGCCGACTACACTGGATGAGAGTCCTTTCTTCCCGGGATGGGAGAGGAAGTGGATTGTTACTTGAGCGATTTGGGACTTGTTTGGACAGATTACGTAGCGAATTTATTGTTATTCTTCATCTATATTGCAAATTCTCTATGTGAGCGTCGTGATGACTTCATTGCCTTGTTCAGGGTTTTAAGAGGGACAGCCCCTGCCATGGATGATGACTGTTGTCGCTTGCCACCAAGGCCTGTACTTACTATTTGTTTCCAGCAAGGGATAAAAGAACAACTATCATCACAACTCGCCAGATTAATGTTCATCAACTAATGACTCAAGACAGTGATTGCTAAACTAAATACTAAGAAACACTACATCTACCAAGGGTATTTCCTAACTTCCTTATCCGCCTCAACATTCAGACCCCTCGCCACCTGCTTCTCATGCTCTTTATCAAGATACTCCAACAAAACATCGCCATACTTCTGCCGCCCCTTGTAGTTCGCTACCTTATCATCCCAGCTCCTCACAGCACTCGCCAGTCTGCCCGGCACGTAATCCTCCTGCGCAATCTCCGTCACGGGGTGGAAATACGTACGGATTGTGAACACTACAGCACCCGTCTTGGGTAGCCGCCGGAGCGACTGGCGTTCGGAGCGGAACATGTGGTGCTGCACCGCTCGGTTCTTCTCAGCCGTGCTCCAGCTCACAGAGGGCGCGTCTTCGCTGCCGATGCTCCAGCTCCAGGCGAGGCTGTCGTCAACTTGCAGGAAGTAGTTGTTGCGGTTGTAGACTGTCTCGGGCCGCAGACGCTTGAAGAACTTGCACATGCCCGTCTCGAGCTTCTCTTTGAAGTGCGGGACGTCGCCGGAGGTGTGGATATCGGAGAGGGACATGCCGTATTTGTCGGAGAGACGCCAGAAGCCGGCGAGGAGAATTGCACCTGCGAGGAGGTAGTATTCACCGTCCGGACGCTCGATCATAATGGCGAGATCGTCTTGGATGAGACGTGCGCAGATGGCCATGGGGTCTTCGGCTAGTGGACGTTCAACAATGTTGAAGTCTTCGCCAGACCATTTATTCTTGACACCAACGGCTGTTCTTTCGAAGAGACTCGGGTAGCGAGCAGGGAGGTAATCAGCGAGTTCCTGCAGAAGCTCAATGGCAGCAGGAAAGGCATCAGGATGAGTATCAACACATTTTGTGCCCCTCTCCGCGATACGAACGGCTTTATCAGCGTGGTATTTAGGATAATGGTTATCCAGCTCGACCCATTCCTGCACGGGGCATGTCCGCAGACCCATATTGACCTGGTATGTAGGTCCATAGCGGAAGGCCCTGTAGGGAAGAGGCTTGGTCAAGTCGAGAGACCAGTTGGGATATGGCTCAGGGACGGGAGTTTTGTAGTCACTTGGTTCGTAGTTATGAGATACGGGTGGGAGTTTGCTCTTGTAGCGGAAACTTCGACGACTTAGAACTAAGTCGTAGAGTTTGTAGGTGACTAGTCCTAGACTTGTGATGATGGTGAGCAGGATGACAGCTCCATGGGGCCCAAAGGACGATAAAGAGAGTTCCATGATGAATACAAGAACAAAAGGCCCTGAGAATACGAATGCCCGGGTTAAGATAATAGGAATAATGCTATTATGGAAGAAACTGTGTAAGTCAACATAGATATAGACCACCAACAACCAAGCCTCTCCCAACGGCCGCTACAATGTATTATAACCCCACCGCCCAACTAAACACTTCATACTCCATACTCCAAACTCCGTAATTCTTCTCCCCATATCTCATAAACCTCTCCGTATGAGGCAAGTATCCATCGCTATCATCACATGCCGGGAACTTCTTCTCCAAGCGGCCAATCTGGTCGGACCCACCCGGATCGGAGTGGGGCCATCCCCCGCCATCTCAACTCCCGGCCAACTTGACCGGAATAGGCAATCCCATGCTATCGCGGCTTATCATCCCCGCAACGACATCGGTAACATTGGTCCAAAGAGGGAATGCGAGATGAGGGCGATTTCTGTTGTTTCTGGTTGCCGCTTATGTGTATGTTTACAATGAGGCGTTTTGACGTTGTACGGAGGCGGATGAGAAGAGGGGAAAGTGAAGGAGAAATGTGTATATGAAAGCCCGTCTGTCTTCTCAGTCTTGGATCTGTATCAAACTCAACAAGTCAAACAAACTATACCAAGCTCATCAGCCCCAAGCTTCAACTCATAAAGACATCTTTCAAAAATCTTCAAAATGGCCTCCTTCAAGCACTTCCCCGAATGCCAATCCAAGTTCGAGATCCCCCATCTATCAGGTGGCAACACCTTCATCGGCGACATCCACTCAACGCCCGACGGCGCCGAGAAGCCCGTCACCATGGGTCTCTTCCGAGTCAATAAGGGCGAGCCTCTGAAATACACGTACACATACGACGAGACCAAGATCATCCTCGAGGGCACCTTTATCCTCGAGGATTCGACGGGCCAGAAGGTCGAGGCCAAGGCCGGCGATGTCTTCTTTATTCCCAACGGTACCACTGTTACCTTCACTTCGCCTGATACTGGCCTGGCATTCTACACTGGTGCGAGGAAGTTTGGCGCTCTTTGATTGCGAAAGGGTGCGGATATGGAAGAGATCGTGGACATCTAGATAGCGACTCATGATAGCATAGCACTAGAATGCCTTGATACCATAATCACAATAAAGTATGTGAAGCCAATACAGGAGACTTGGTGAAGTGTTACAATGATATTTTGTCCTATAATAAAATCTTAAGCCCAAACAAGGTCTGGTAGGTATCGTGATAAGTCCCAGTGCCAACACCAATCATAAACACCAATTATCATAGCCCAACCACAGAATATTCTGGTAAACTCCCCAAATGCCATAAATACTGAAACATAAATATACTTGTCCCCCTTCCCATGATAAACTCCATATTCTTTCTCAGATATCATTAGACACATCCCGTTTCTAGCTATCCAAACATCGACCGCAGATTCTTCTCCTCCATAACATCTACCCAATGCACCAAAGCCGACCCAGGCGATTCATTATCATAAGCCTCCCATATCGCCTTGATCAACTCCTTTGCCATGATAACCGGCTTCGGCGGTAGACTATTCTCCAGCATGTTGAGACGCCCGGTGATGAAGTGCCGAGCATTACTAATATCGAGTGACAGGCGTGATATCAGATTCGCTGGCGGAGGCGACGTAGCCAGAGTTTCCATGGAAGAGAACGGATCGGCTTGGAAGCTCGAGGGCACTATGCTAGAGTCAAAGGACGAGCTTGAGATATCTAGTAATGTTGTCGTGTCGTAGCGCAGACCTGAGCTCGCGGTGATGTATAACAGTGGCTGGATGACACGGGTGCCCGAGTTGGGTGGGATTTGTTCGAGGACATTGACGAGGCGGAGACTCAACGGGATGATCCACTCCTCCCAGGGAATATGCCGACTGTTCGCATGAACCGAATTACTCGGCAATCGTAAAGCCACGAGATCAGGGAATGTCTGGTACAGCTGAAGTAACGCTGCAAGTTTATAAGCCTCCGCGATCTGCGTGAGATGATGAGACGGTGTTCGATAATCCCCCGTGTTAGCGACGCAAATGTTACTCTGGAACTCAAGGCTAAGGAGCCTTTCTTCCAAACGCTGTGCTTCTTGGATTTCCTCTAGCGCTCTCTGGAAATCCCGCCCTGTTTCTTTTGGTAGTTTGAGATTCCGCCGGAAGCTTCGGCAGAGTCGTATAGACTGGGCGAAGAGCTGAGATGCAAGTGGGGATATTCCGGTCCATGGATGTGGTGAATTATCCATATATCGCTCTGCCAGTTGCATTGAGCTGTCTGTCTGGGGCCCAGTCACCGGATCTTCTGTGTCGAGAGATTCATCGTCACGATTGACTGCCGCAAGAAGCATCTCACAATACGTGAGACTTCTGTTGAAGAACGATAGAAGCTCTAGGTCTTTTGCTGAGAGTCTCTCGAGACGTCGATTCAACCGGTCCAGGATTTTGCGCGCCGATCGGAAGAATGGTAGACCTAATTGTCTTGCATCCACCCAGCACACAGTCGTACCCAGACAAAAGAGCGAGAAGAGCGCACCAGCGGGCATCGTGTCGCCTGGGTTTTGGAGAGCGGTTTCAGCCTCAGAGAGAACAGCCCCGGTGGCAGCTTGTAAGAAGTACATCGCCGATTGTCTCATGTGCGGTAGTCGTGTGGACAAGAATCCAGCCGACATGCTTTGCAGTGAACTAAACACAGATTGCGAGCTCGTGCATAGCTCTAGAGCTAATTTTCGGTTTAGATTAGAGTCTGAGTCAAAGCCTGACCATAATGAGCAGACTTGTTCGAACCAGTTACTGATTAAAAGTGACGAGGTGTCGGTGATGAGACCAACAGTGAGGGGCGTCCCTTCAAAGAACTGTGGTTCCATCGTGGGAGTAAGAGCTGTTGAAGTGATTTCCATGTTTGACACCGTCATATCGCTCATGTCACTCGTGTCAACAATGGAATTAGACCGCGCAAAAAGATCATCTGTATCGGTACAGGAACTAGTCGTCCACGCAGCATCGCCCAGGATTGAAGTGGCATCTTCGATAGGCAACTCCTCGTTCTGTGAAGGACCTGGAGTTGTATCAAGCGCAATGGTATCGAATATCGTAGAAGAGGTTGCTGCGTATGGCGTCTCCGGGTGAATCGTAGAACCTCTTCTTGAGGACGTGGGCGATGTTCCGGTCGTGAGGTCCACGTCTATATCGCCGGGTTGATGCTTGAAGGACCATTTGAACTCTTTCCAATACCCGCCACATTTTACGCCTTTGCGAGTGCATCTTAGACATTCGGGTCTTGTTTCGTCGCATTTCGTCTATTGATGTTTTTGTTAATTGTTCAAGCTCAGCTAGCCATGGGGAGCATCGCGTACATGTTTGGCTTTGCAAGTAACACACCCCGACCGCGATCGCGGATTAGATGCATTCTTTGGCTTTGAAGTGCGTCTGCAGCCGCTTTTTGTAGTTTCTGTTTTTGTGTGCATTTCTGTATTTTCGGGGGAAATTCAGATTGATCAGAAACAAGAATGTCGTTGGAACTTGTGTTGAACAAGGAACAATCTCAGGCGAAGGACATGGGGGGGTGGTAAGCTATCTTCAGGTCCTGGTCAACTGGACGAGATAAAAACGCGGGGAAGTGCATCACTATCAGCCGCTAACGTTAGTGCACTTCAACCGACATAACCAACAGATAAGGAGCCAACCAACCAGGCAGCCAATGTTTGTCTGAGGAAGATGGGTTTAATAGGTCAGTCAATTTGAGCTTGACAGGGAGCTCTTCTTTGTTGAGAAACTACCTCGATTGCTCCTATCCTCTAGATTAAGTAGCTTAAGGGAGTGTTGGAGTCGCTACTCAACAATCGATAGATACAGATATCGTACACCCTTCCCCAGATGTCCTCCTAATCAATCGGCTGTGCTTCCCGAGGGAACTTGAGCTTGAGTGGGTATTGTGGAACACGGCATCGGCATTGGCATCCATTGGAAACTCCACCAACACACTGCTCCGGTACTCGCTACGATAACGACGCTACCCATGTACACGGCATCCGGTCAAATCCAACCCACATGTTGGCAATATCTGATATCTGATATCTAGCTGTAGCTTTGTTACTGTTCTCATATCATACTACGTCGTGTAATACCTAACCTAATTCGATTTCGACCTTAAGCTTCTTACAATGCCAATCTCAAGCGTTAAAATGAGATGGAAATATCTTATGAACTAGGTATGTGTCTCTTCCAGTGTACAGTATAAGCTTTTCATATCCTCATCTAAACTTCTATTTCTAAACTCCTAATCTACTGGTTCAAAACTCCTAATCTCCTCCATCTATAGCCTCGCTTGCACATCCTCTTCCCCTTTCGCACTCGCATTCCATCTCCTCCAAAGAATCTTCCTCAACTCCGCCCCCTCTATAAAATCCCTGAACCATTCCCTCCTAAACTTTGGTAACTTCCTCCCCACGCCCGGCTCACCCTCACCCGCCAGCTCCCGCACAGTCTCGAAGTAATCCTCAAAATCTGGAAACACAGCCGTGAACTTGGGCCCGTCGCCATGCGTCGTGATCCGCTCATCCTCCCACCGCTGCATCTCTTCCCGCGGTGGCAGAGTCCCCCGGCCTGCGAGGATGCGCGCCGCGTACACGGCTTGCCACTCGAAGATCTTGAATGTAAGCCCAGCGCCGACAGCGCCGACGAAGAGAAGCGTTGGGTCGTCCTGCCAGACGATATGCTGGTATAGGCCCGGTACGCGGTTGTTGCGTACTGGGACGGAGGGGAGGAAGGGGAGGGTCCAGCTGTAGCCGGTACCGAAGATGATGTGGTCCACGTCGGGGATGCTGGTACCGTCGATGAAATGCACAGTCCGGTCGGTGACTTTGGCAATGGATGGGTGCTGCTTGATCTTGGGATGATCGAATGCAGTGTCGCCGAAAAAGACGTTTGTGGTATGGCCGATAGTGACGCAGTGAACGGGCGTCTTCGCCGTATTGACGATATCAACTGCAATGTCTGCTGCTGAAACAGAGGCGCCCACAACAACGACTCGCTGACTTCCCATTAGCACGATCTCTCACTCGTGATGAAACGACCTACCTTGTCACGAAAAGAGTCTCTGCCGCGAAAGTGCTTGCTATGCACCACACCCCCCGGCCTTGTCTTTTCAAACTGCTCCAACCCTTCAACAGCTGGAATATACGGCACCCAATAATGGCCACTAGCCACAACAACAGCATCAAAAGTCTCCGTCCACCAATAATCCTGCTTATTTCCCTCCTTTCTCAGCACAACCTTCCACTCATCACCTGTTTTTTCAACATGTTCCACGGTGGTGTTATACGAGACGAGATCCTCATAATGGTTACGCTGCAAAATTCCAGCGACATAATCACGCATAACCTTCCAATGCCTGAACGGCGTCTCAGGTCCGTGCATGCCAATTGACCTCTCACTACGAGTTGCAGGAATAGGTTCCTGTGAGAACTCCATAGTCGATGTAGCGACATTGGTTTCTAGGTACGGATAGAGAGAGGACTCTTCATGGCGCGGTTGCGTAGGCTTTGGTACCAAAGCCGGCAACTGCGCGGGAATGGGAAGTTGCTCATCTGCTGTGCGGTCTGCAAGTTTTGCCAAGTTGGAGATTGTTGGAGGTTGAGTTTTGTCTCCGATCCTGCGACTGTGAGCACTTCTTCCATCACAGGGGTTTATACTCTGTTGAGTTGATGGAGTATATATGTAACTTACCAACATCCTCCAGGACCTTCACGGCGCTCAAATACTCGGATGAGGTCAAATGTCTTTTCTTGAGCGAGAGCATCAACGGCGATGGCACCCGCTGGACCGGCGCCGATGACAGCTACACGCTTCACACGAGGGACCGCCATTGAGAGATCTACAAGGTTAAAACAGTGAACATAAAAAAGGATGACTGAGTTAGTGACAGTAATTTCGCATTCAAGTTGCTAAAGAGGCGAAATAAGAGAAAAAAAAGTCCCAGATCATTCATCGTCCTATCTTATTAGTCTCGGTAGAATTTAGCGGGAATTCTCCACTTGCAATTGGGTGTTGGATGACCAGACAGAGAGAGAGGCCCTGGATTATGCCTCAGATGCGCTTTATCACGCCATTGCCAGGTACCGATCTTGCGAGCTTATTTATTTTCGCTATGCGCTCCAGACTGAGGATATGCGATGTTGCTTTCTCTTTAATTGTTCTCTGAGTATTAAAATCTTCACTCGTTGCTCAACGTTCACAGAAAATCATTCTTCGTATTGTAAGGCATTTATAGTGAATCACATATACTTATATTTTAGTACATCTTAGCAAAGTATGCTACTTTGAAGAATTCTAATCATTGGCTTATATGATTCGTCATTGCGTTTATGAGTATGTGGAAATTGCTGCTGGATGAAAGACAGGCGACTTTAGAAAACATCCACTATCGATATAATAGATGCTGGGCATGGGAGCTTTATTATAGTTCAGATGAATCCAAGTCTGACGTAGTTTGCTGGTCTATGCTATCGGTCGTCTACCATCTAAAACACCAGTGGTAGTCCGGCTTCCTGATCTCAAGTTCACAAATAGTTCTATCGAACCTCAAATTGTGCGAGATGGGAAGAATCTCGATACTCCTCCACCTTGAAGAATCACAACACTCTCTTCAAAAAACAGACATGATCAAACTCAAAAGCGGAATGGTATTGAGCAAAGTATAAAAACAGCAGCAAATCATATGCGATCGCGGAAGGTATCAACCCAAACTCTAAACGGTAAAAAAACAGCCTCCAAATGCATAAACCTTCAACGCCATCGCAGAAAAGACCATCCCAATCTTGAACTTTTTTCGCCACATCCATAAACACATAACACATTAACAGCAGCTAAACAATAGCCCCGTACTGCCGAAACGAAGCCCGCGACGATGGCGGCACGGACTGCTCAGGGCGATATGTCTCGGGTTCGTATCGCTCGAGCTCCCTCAACCACGCATTCATCCTCGCCTTCTTGTCGTCGCCCAGACTGCACCCCTCCTGCCCCGCCCAGTCATCCTCGCTATAGCTCCATAGCGTCAAGTGCTCGAAGATGGCCATGACTGCGGAGATGACAATCACTGCGATCGGGTTGCCCCAGTCGTCGGACCACGCTGCGTAGAATATAAGCACGAATGCGTCCAGCGCATCGCTGAAAAGATTCGTCGCCAGCGCGCGGGTTACTTCGCGACGGGCCGAGGGATCGGTGGAGGCGTTGGCTGTGTCGGTCGTGTACAGCAGGCCCGAGAGAAGAATGTCGCGGATGCCGATTAGACTGGCGAGCATGTATGCGGAGCCATCGGGGGCTATATCAAGGGCCCAGAGGCCAAAGCGCGGGTAGGCTATCAACGAGACGCCGCGCAGGAAGCGGGCGAGCGAAAAGGTGGCAATGGCGAAGCGCTGGACATGGCTCGCGGCTGTTGGCTCTGGAGGAGGAGGCGGCGAGTGCTCGTACGGCGATGCGATAGCTGTGGGCGTGGAGATGGGGAGTAGAGGAGACGTTGAATGTGGCGGCATTGCCTTTACTTGTGGTGGTCAAAGTATTCGTGAGTGTCGTGCGAAGATGTTGGAGTTGGAGATGGAGTAAGAGAGCTTGGAGTAGGATCTGCGAGCTCGAATTTGTCCCGCGACTCGATCAAGAAAACAATGACAAGGTAGGACAGAGGAGCGATTAAAAGAAACGGGACAGTTACGAGTAATATCAAGACCATAATCACAATCACACAAGCATATAATAAGCTATGGATATCCTTCAAGCTCCTCTCATACCCTGGCCTAGCACGAAAAAAATAGAAAGAAAAACCACTACCAAGTAATACCTACATACCAACCAAGGCTGGCTAGGCTGGCTCACGCGTTTCCCCACAGATAAAGTGGCGTCAGTGAGGGTGTCATGACCCCCAAAAAACCGCTGCAACCAAATGCGATGCCCAATTGCTGTTGCCCACTGAGCCACTGAAACTGATGCACCCCATCACGATCTCGATGCAGCTAAATGCTGAGGGGAACTTTAGGTCCGAGAGTCGGTGAGCGGGACCTGTAACGGAACAAAATGCTTGGCTCATGATGGGATGATGAAGCCATGGATGGTATGGGGGATTCGTGATTTTGAGAGGGTTGCGAAGATCATGGCAATCATTCTGCAATAGGGGTCCTCTAGTGGCGATGAATCGCTTGTGGTATATTGGATGTGTCGTCTCTGGAGGAGATGATCATCTGCGGTACTTATGTAGGATATCGAAAGATTTCTCATCGTCATCTCGTCTGCACTGCATTGCACGCACTGCACTGAATGCATCGCAGTGAGAAATGAACTGGTGGAGATAAGTTCTCTGCATCATCCCACCCATTTCTCACTCTGATTCAGGTGGGCTGTCTTTTTATCTCAATCAAACGATTTGCAACCGCCAATCTCTCCTCCCCGTGCTTCATCACCGTCGTCCAAGGGCCGCACATCAGCTTTTCGAATGCGACACTGAACACACCCTCACAAATACAAGAAGGCTGCGACCGTGCATCGCGTCTCTCCCGCCTCCGAGCGGGGAACAGGCTAGTAATATCTCATTCTGACTCGCGACAGGGTATCTTGTAGCTATGAAATTATTACGACAGCTTCATTTTCATCCGTGTTGTGAGGGTGTACTCGGACATTTGCCATCTGTTGCTTTGGGTCTTGTGCAGCACCAGCCTCGCCACTATACGAGAAACCTTAGACCTCTTCCAACCACATTCGCCCTGGGTTTCTAGTGAGCAACACTCTGGTTCTATCGTGACTCTGAACATGGTGTTGTGATTGATTATCTATCGCCCACGGACCGAAGCGGCAGCTAAAAAGAAACCGGATCGTGCGGGATTATCCCACCCTTTTCACCATCACGCGGACAGATCTCTTATCTGTGTTATCTCAACTTGTTGCCAGCCTTCCTAAATAGCGTCAGCTCTAGGCTTTGCAGGACGTAGAAGCAATGCGGGACATGGCTAGCAGTGCATGGTGCATGGGTCGACATTGTCGTAAATGCAAATGCACATGCACACCAATGAATCCCATAGTTTGAAGAGGGGAAGATTACGAGCTGACAATGGTGCCCCCATGGCTGAAAAGGTCTGTCCGCGATGACCTCCTTTTCGTTTATTGTCCACTCATTGAGTGATGAGTAAACTAAATCAAGACATTTGATCATTACGAAAAATGGTCTAGTTTGGCGAAGTATATACCCTTACAGGCTTACACCGGCTTCAACTCAAACTTATAACTCCCTTCTCGAAATAACATTCACCCTTGTGCTACCTACCCATTGGCTGCTCAAGCCGTTCTTCAACCTTGTGGACAAAGCCTCCTCAGACTAACGCACGCCTGTCTTTTCCAGAAACCTGCCAGGTCCAGGTCCAGGTCCAGGCCCAGGCCCAGGAATTCGGAAGCAAGTATCCTAGCAATAAAGAAGTGTTTGGCTAAATCTCTCTTCAATAACGCAAACATAGAAGACTGTCTTAGTTGTGTAGTTCACTACCACTAACCCGATGCCTAACACCTGGTCGCAGTGATAAATGACATGGATTTCAGAATGCTTGACCTCCAAGACACCCAAGCATAGTGAATTGACTTACATGCTACCGCAGCCACGGACCCGCAACAGGCCCTAGCAATCCATGTTCATGTCAGATCTATCTCTTGTCAACTCTATTTCATCTCCAGTCGCTTGAACTCTCTTATGCCAAACGTCCAAATGATTCTTTCTTCTATATTACACGCTAATCTTCACAAGGGAACATTACCCGGGGGCTTTTCTTCTATGTCGACTATGCAAGAGTAGTCCTCGATACTGGCGCGCGCTCGTGCCGTCTCGACTGGCATGTTTGTTACGCCAAGCTTCCCATGTCCAGACCAATTCTGGCACTAGAGACGTCAACTTGCTGAGATGGAAATTCCAAGGCATGCTTGATAATATCTTCGTAAACGGGTCGAGCTATTTTAATCTCAATGAAGGCTGATTGTTTCGTCAGTATGGCGTACATAGTGTAGTCAATATATGATACTTTGACAGCTCTATTTCCTCTTTTCTCTTTGGAACCTGTCATATTCCATTCGCAAGCTGCACGACACCTCATCTATAGGCTTATATTGGACGATATACTTCCGTCAAGAGTTTCATCTTGGTAGCACTGCATGATCGCATGAATCTCGGGTTTTTCCCCCTCACTTGTCGTAAGGGTTCATGCTTTATATGAGGCTTTTCGACAAGAGATTGGAAACGAGCACTGGAAGCGAAGCGAAAGAGCGGCAGCTATGAGCGCTCAGGAGCCTGGAAGCAAACGGGCGAGTCCGAGAAGTAGTCCACCAATACGTGACGCGACAAGTCCGTTGACGAAACCAAAAGGAGCAGGTATGACAATCGAGCAAGAGAATAAATTCTTACAATTACCTATATCTCTACCAGTGTTACATACGCAACTCATTTGTTAACAAAGATCGCAAGTACGAAAGGAATGCATATGACTGACAAACATCCCAAGAAACCAACCCACCAAATCTCAGCCTCGACCAAACCGGCGGTCTATTACACGGCAACGCCACAATCGAAGCAGGCGGCAGCGACGAGGACGGGGAATTCTCCGCCAGCGACTTCGACATCGAAGAAACCTCCTCCCTCACAAGCACAAGCCGACGCTCTTCGTCCACATCCGTAAGCTCCAGCATCCTCGAGCACACCTACGAGAACGGCCGCCGCTACCACCGCTACCGCCATGGCCGGTATCCGCTGCCCAACGACGAGGCCGAGCAGAACCGCGAGGACATGCTCCATGCCATGATGCTAGAGGCGACGGATGGGAGGTACTTTTATGCGCCTGTGGGGGAGAACCCACAGCGTATCGCGGATTTAGGGACGGGGACGGGGATTTGGGCTATTGAGGGTATGTTGAGCTACAGTGAGGGGTGTCAAGAAGAGGAAGAAGCTGATTGTGGTAGTGGGAGAGAAATATCCTAGTGCTGAGGTGCTGGGATTGGATTTGAGTCCCATACAACCAACTTGGGTGCCTCCAAATGTCAAGTGAGTCATTCCTTAGTATTCATTAATCATACTCCTAACTAATACGCAGATTCTTAATCGACGACATTGAAGATGAGTGGCTCAACGGCGACGACTTTGACTTCGTCCATCTCCGCAATATGATTCCCATCCTCAAATCACCCGTTCTGCTACTGAAGCAAATATATGCGTAAGTCCTAGGTGTCCCTTACCACATGCCCCATTGCTTACAACAATAGAAATATGAAGCCTGGGGCTTGGGTAGAGTTGCAGGATGTAGACGGCCAAGTCCACACCGACGACGACAGCATCCCCGAGGACTGGCCTCTAAAACGCTTTACCGAGATCATCCTACAAGCATTCGCTCTATACGAAACCAACGCGCACGCCGCTGTTTTTGGGGGGCAGTATCTCGCCGAAGCGGGATTTGTGAACATCAAGCATAATTTTATCAAGCTACCCTACGGGACATGGCCTAAAGACAAGTGAGTCTCACCATCAGATGTGCAGGTGGTTTTACTGACAAATTAAAAGAGTGATGCGTTTGGTGGGTATGTACTATCGTACTGCATGTGAAGAGTTCTTCCCAGCTATTGGGAACCTTCATTTTCCGCAACTGGGGTGGGAGAAGGCGGAGATGGAGGTGTTTTTTGCTGAGTGTCGGCAGTCCATGAGGGATCCCAAGGTGCATGCCTATGGAAAGATGCATTTCTGGAGTGGTCAAAGGCCGCTGGATGCATGATTTTGACTCTTATAGGGCAAACTAGCCAGAGAGTGGTGGGAACGTAGAGGCGTTCATAGTATGCTGTTATGGGGAGCAATTATTTGAGCGTGGTTTGTAACCAGAGACATGGAAATAACTGGACAGCATGTTTAATCAATGATGGCTATCAAATACCAACTTTTTAATCACCCAACTCCAAGACTCTGACCAACCATGTATAAAATCTCCAATTACATTAGCCACCTCATTTTCTTCCCTTCTTGGCCTTCTTAGTTCTAGGCTCCTCCACCTCCTCATCTCCACCTCTTCGCTTCTTCCTGCCCTCCTCCAGCAGCTTCTGCATACCCTCGGTAGCCTTGAACTTAGGATTAGAAGGATCGATAGCGTACTCGTGGCTCTCAAACACGGCCTTGAAACGGTCATCTCCAACGTCCATGTTAAAGTCCTCCTGGAGGCCGCCGCGCGACTCCTTGGCCAGGGCCTTCTTCTTGGCCTTGCCCTTCTTGCGATTGGCTTTCTCGACTCGCAGAATCTCGTTCATGTCGAAGTGGTCGAGATGATCGGCTTGGTCTTGGTTAACATCGGCCATGACAGTCTCCAACTGTTTCTTCTGTGCCTTATCCTCGGCCTCAGCAGCTTCACGGGCTTCTCGCTTCTTGATGCGGTCGGCCTTGCGGATAGATGCCTTGGATGCTGCGGCAGGTTCAGCGGCGGTGAAGAATGGATCGTCGAAACCAAGATCATCAGTCTCGCCCTCGGGTGCCTCTTCAACTTCCACTTCCTCCTCCTCTTCCTCCGCTTCAGCTTCAGGATCCACACCTGCGCGTCTAGCTCGTGCTGCTTCGCGCTTCTTCTCCTTTCGCTCCTTTTCCTTTCGGATGTACTTCTCGATTGTTGTCTCTTCTTCGGCAGTCTTCTTGGGTGCGGACTCTGAAAGCGCAGGGGTAAATGTGATCTCCATGTCTCCGACAGGGGCCTTCTTGGAAGACTTGGTAGGTTCCTCAGACAAACCCAGAGCAGCTCTCATCTTTCGACGGGCTAATTCCTTCTTGGAAAGCTTGGGTCCATCTTCTCCGTTCTCTTCGGCGACTTCTTCAACATCCTCTTCCATATCATCATCATCGTCGCTATCGCTGGCTAGGTACGCACGAAGATCGTTCTCTTCAATCTGGTTGCGACTGCCACTGAAAGCGCGGTTGATAGATTCCTTTCGAGATGACTCCTCCGGGTGCATGTCCCAAGTGAGCTTGACCTTGGAGCTCTGTAGGGCATTGGTCACAAACTCGACAGGCTTGTATGATTCGGGGACCTTTTCGCACTCGTCTCTCGGCTCGTCGTCGAAAGTAACATCGTCGGGGACGAATCGGAGATCAAGGAAGTTTGAAGATGACTGGTACTCTCGTCCATCGACTGCCTCGTAGAGCTTCTGGGCAACTTCGGGGCTTGAGCAAACCATAACGGCGTAGTAGTATCGTAGACGGTCAAGTTGGTATGATCTTAGTGCATCGCTGTCGAAATCTTGATCGTCACCCTCCTGGATCAAATCCTTCTTGATGCGCTCGTCTCCTTCATCACTGTCTTCGTCACTATCTTCGGAATCATCGTCCGAGTCATCGTTCTTGGAGCTCTTGAATAGTGCCTTGGGAGGCCCCTCTACTTCCTCCTGCTGCATGCGCTCCTTGCCGAACTCGCTGGGGTATACTGAAATCTTGTCAATCTTTCCACCAGTATCGGGAAGGAAGCTGCTGAATAGAGCCATAAGGTCGGCGGATTTGACATGGTCCCAGTCAAGGTTGACAATCGCAATTCGTTTTGTCACGTCTCCACTCTCGGCCTCGTTCTGCTCGTCCTGGAAGCGCTGCATATCTCCCTCAGTATCGACCTGTGCACCACCCTCCTCTTCATCCGATTCTGAGTCTTCCTCCTCGGATTCAGATTCATCTTCTGAGGAAGAGAAACCACCGCCTCGAGCTGGGTCATATTTCTCATGTGCTTTTCGCAGTTCTCGCTGAACAACCTCGTCATCGTCGACCTCGATGTCTTGCTCTCCGGCCCCATTCTCTTCCTCCTCCTCCTCATCGCCTTCCTCGCGATACAGTCTCTGGAGCGCCTTCTTCTTGGAGTCGGACTTTACTTTGCGACCATAGCGATCGACCTTTGCAGTAGCAGTGAATTCGTCATCGTTAAGCATGCGCGAGAATCGCTTGTCGATCGTAGTCTTTGTCTGCCTCTTGGAGGGCAATCGAAATCGAGGATCAGTCTCGAAGTCGGCGAATCGCTGATCGGCGATGCGACTCGCGGGAGGAGCGCCCTTCTTGGCCTTCTTGTCGTTCTTCATATTGGACATGATGAAGCTGTTTTGTTTTTTTCGCAGCCAGAGCTTGCTTGATGGAGGGGCAGAAAAAACAGACGGGTTTGATTTTTTGGCGGTGAAACCTTTCTGCCACGGGCGGTAAGCTTCTTCCGGCCAAGCGTCGTGCAGGGTTCCAGAAGAATAGTCCACCTAGGACTGTTATTTCTCTTTCTCTGTATAACTTGGGAGACCAAAACTCTATAAGTATGTCTTAATGTCCAATGGGTATACAAGTCACTGAACTGCACTGTCTCATTTATTCTACTTCATATTTTCATTTATTGTATTGAAAATTGACTCTTTAGACTAATATAAACTTTAGTGAGAGGATGCTGATGGTACCTACCCAGTCTAGCCAGTACTCCATAGGCGCCCCACTGTCGGTCATCGGTCATGCCAAGCGCCGCGCATTTTCCAAAAAATTTCCAGCGACTTCAACTTTGGATCTGCATTTGGATTTTGGTTTGCGCCAGAGAAAATATCCAGCAACACTCGTCTCAATTTTCCATCACAACCCAACTCTGCACAAATGCCTCCTAGTGCGCGATCTGGGCGAGGTCCCAAGCCGCCGCCTCCAAAGAACGGTCGCACTGAGCTGCGACAACAGAAGCGCAAGAGGGAGCAAGAAGACCTCTCACAGCTCGAACAACGAGTTGCCGAGTTGGTACGCATCCCGGCAATGTGCACATGACAATTGAGTCTTGACTAACAACATCATTAGGACCCTAAATCAGAGGCCACCAAGAACTTCTCCGATCTCCCCCTCTCTGTACCGACCGCAAAGGGCCTCGAGGCCTCGCATTTCAAAGTCCTTACCGATGTCCAAACTCACGCCGTTCCACTCTCCCTCAAGGGCAAGGATGTCCTAGGAGCTGCCAAGACAGGAAGCGGAAAGACTCTGGCCTTCATCATTCCTGTCCTTGAGAAGCTCTACCGCGCCCAATGGACTGAATACGACGGCCTCGGCGCCCTCATCATCTCCCCCACCCGAGAACTCGCAGCCCAGATCTTCGAAGTGCTCCGAAAAGTCGGAAGATATCATGTATTCTCAGCAGGCTTGGTGATTGGTGGCAAGAGTTTGAAAGAGGAAGCGGAGCGGTTGGACCGAATGAACATCCTGGTCTGCACGCCTGGTCGAATGCTGCAGCATCTTGATCAAACAGCCGGTTTCGACGCTAATAACTTGCAAATCCTGGTCCTCGATGAGGCGGATCGTATTATGGATATGGGTTTCTCACATGCTGTTGACGCCCTAGTCGAGCATCTTCCGAAAGAGCGACAAACACTTATGTTCAGTGCCACCCAGAGCAAGAGAGTCTCGGATCTTGCTCGTCTCAGTCTCAAGGATCCCGAATATGTCTCCGTCCACGAAGATGCCGTCAGCGCCACGCCTACGAACCTTCAACAAAGCTACCTCGTGACTCCTCTGACAGAGAAGCTCGACACACTCTACGGATTTATCAAGGCGAACCTGAAGAGCAAGATCGTTGTCTTTCTAAGCTCAGGTAAACAGGTTCGATTCGTCTACGAGAGTTTCCGTCATCTTCAGCCTGGTATTCCTCTTCTCCATCTTCACGGACGACAAAAGCAAATGGCACGAATGAAGATTACTTCAACGTTCACATCTGCAAAGCAGTCATGTTTGCTCGCAACAGACGTTGTCGCACGAGGAATTGATTTCCCTGCAGTCGACTGGGTCATCCAAGCCGATTGCCCTGAAGACGTTGACACGTATATCCATCGAGTCGGCAGAACAGCTCGATACCAAAGCAATGGCCGAGCTGTGCTTTTCCTTGACCCTAGCGAGGAGCCGGGTATGCTGAAGAAGCTAGAACAGAAGAAAATCCCCATACAAAAGGTCAACGTTAAGGAGAAGAAGAAGAGAAACATCAAGGAGCAGTTGCAAAGCATGTGCTTCCAGAATCCAGATCTCAAGTACCTCGGTCAAAAAGCGTTTATCAGTTACACACGGTCAATCCATCTGCAAAAAGACAAATCCGTCTTCAAGTTTAACAAACTCGATCTCGATGGTTTTGCTGCTAGTCTTGGTCTCCCAGGTACACCACAGGTCAAGTTCCGAAAGGGTGAAGATATCAAGAAGATAAAGAACGCCCCTCGTGCGGGCATGTCCAGCGGCTCCGAATCAGACGATGAGGAGGGAGAGAAGAAGCCTGCGAAGAAGAACGAGGTGCGCACAAAGTACGACAAGATGTTTGAGCGAACAAATCAGGACGTTTTGTCAAGTCATTACAACAAGCTCGTACTTGATGGCGAGGGCAAGGACGATGATGAGGATGGCGATTTCTTGTCGGTAAAGAGAGTACTCAAGGATAGCGACCTGGATGATGAGGCAAACAACGCGTACAAGAGCTCAGCGAGGATCATCCAAGGGCTTGGTGGTGATGAGCCTTTTGTTGTGGACTCGAAACGTCGCGAGAAGGCCCTCAAGTCAAAGAAGAAGATGCTCAAGTTCAAGGGCAACCCTAGCAAGGTTGTTTTCGACGAAGACGGCAATGCCCATGAGATCTATGAGCTGAAGGACGAGGACGATTTCATGGGAGAGGGTCCAGCCGAGGAACAGCGCCGCAAGTTCGTCGAAGACGAGACATCGCGCGTTCGCGAGGCAGATGTGGACGACAAGGCTCTCGCCAAGCAGAAGCGTCGCGAGAAGCGAGAGAAGCGCAAGGCTGCCGAGCGAGCAGAGCTTATGGGTATCGTTTCAGACGACGACGGCGATGCGCCTATGCTTCACAATGCATCAGACGGCGAAGATCCTCTGGCCCTACTGCGGTCGCTGCCTGTTGGAGACGACAGGTCCGACAGCGAGGGAGAGCGCGAGCCGCCCAAGAAGAGAGCCAAGAAGTGGTTCGAGGACGACTCAGACGACGAGAAGAGCAAGGGCAAAGGAAAGGTCTTCAAGGTGCAGGAGGAGCCCGAGACGTTGGAGGATCTCGAGGCACTTGCTACTGGATTGCTCGACTAAGGAGGTGGATAGGTTGGATACCCTTGGGACCCTTGTAGGGATAGATAAAAGTCGCGAAATAAAACGCATATTAATGGTTTCAAAATATTCATCGTCGCGTTGTTATATGTTGAGGGAATACTTGAATTTGTGTCGTAGAAAAGTTCATAATTGAACTGCAATCAGCACCTGTCTCATAAAAAGCTATCCATATCCCATCCAGCTCCACGCTTCAATCCACAGGAATACATCACGTATATAAGCCACGCTCTTAATACAAAACAAGTATACATGAATCAAATAACTATCCACCAACGCCCCCGACCCAGAACCAGAACCAGAACTAGAACTACACAAGCTCATCCGTCTTTTCCTTCCCAAATAACCTCACTCGATAGAAACATGTGTGGTCCTTCGCGCCGTAGTTGCTCAAAGCTCGGATGATAATGTGGTCTGTAGGAATGCCGAGATTGACAAAGTCGCCGCTGATGCGCTGCACGTGTACACCCTCGTTGAGCTGATCGCCTTGATACTCGAATTGGCTGATTTTGACGAAACTGCTGTGTATGGGTGAAGGGGAGAAGTTCCAGCCATCCACGTTGGTGACCTGGCTCGCGGAAAAGTCACGCACAATTGCAAGCTCTTTTTCGTCCTCGAACCTAGCAAAGACTTCAATGTGCCGCGGTCGAGCGTCGGGATCTGTTGTCGCATCGGGGTGAATATGTTCAATAACAACATTCTCAGGAACAACGAGGTGACCCAGCTGGATAGAGAGCCTAGCACCATGGGGACGTCCCTGACCATCTAGATCGTGTGATGAGCACCAGCAGTCTCCTTCGTCTTGCCATGGAAGAAGCGCTGCAATGGGAGGCAGTGGCAGTGCGCCCGCCAGGCCTGTTCGGTGGGCACCCTCAGGAGGAGAATCGCCTTTACCATATGGAGCCCATGTAGGAGTTTTAAACTTAGTTTCGATGGTTGCACCAGCTCCAACAGCGAAGAAGTTGACCTGATGTTTCAGGTCGGAATTATAGTGAGCGTGGATGTTGTTCTTGGCGGCAGCCGCGAGAGTACCGTCAGCCAGGGTTTGTCTTACAATCTCCCGAATCAGCTCCCTCATGTCGTTATCAGAAGTTCCCTTAGGGACCAGCATCCTCGCAGAGCGGACAGACTCTTCAATGTGACTCTTCATGCGCGACTCAAGATTCGCCAATTGTTCTTTGATGTCTGCTCCATGCGTCGCAAAATCTCTCTTCAGATGCGCCACAAATTCTTCCCGAGAAACAGCAGTCTGGTTGTATTTGTTAAGCTCCTCGTTGACGATCTTATAAAGCTTCTGGTCGAACTTGGCTCCCGACCCGGCAGTTTCTCTCTTAGCCATTGCCTTGTCGAAGAGCGGCTCGAGCACATCGTTGTTGTTCCTGAACCATGTATCCCAGAAATTGGGGAGCTTATCCTTAATGCTGCGATCCAAATCGGTGTTGAGCTTCTTGTTAAAATTCGAGTCCCTTTCAAGACGCGAGACAATGGCTCTCCATTGCTTTTCTGAAGAAACCTCGTAGTTGCCGTTCTTGTGATCAAGGTTCAAGAAGCTTCCATCCTTCTTCAGCAAATCCTGGAGGGCATGCCAGAATTCCTGTTTGATGACAGGGCGTCCATCGACAAGATCCATCTGAACAATAGTGGGCAATACCGACTTTAGTGTGTCGAGTGTTTTCTTTTGCCCATTGGCGTGTTTTTTCAACTCGTCAAGCGCATGCTTGTAGTTGTCCGGGATCGCAATGTTGTCAATAGGGAAAGCATCCCAGGGATTAGGAGCATCATCATCGTCACCTCCCCATGAAGGCCGTGAAGGCCATGAAACTGAGGGAACAATGTTTCCAATCTTGCTCGCAAAACCAACCGGGTTTGGCCAGTGCATACCGCTGGTTGGCATCGATCCCATATCAGGAAAGTCTGGTATAGATGGTCGCAAAGCTGCGGCCCCCGAAAGGATCAAAGCCCCCAATAGCAGGCCGACTGTGCCCACTGTTACAGTCCAGAGCAGGTTTTCCAGCCAGGAATTCCGTACCTGGATTCCGGATATTCTGTCGATAAGGTTGATAGCACGATCTATAATCTTCTCAAGAAACCATATCAGAGAATCCAGATATGTGATGGGATTGAGCAAACGCCGCCATTCTGTAGGCCCGCCTTGGTTGGCATCGTCGTCATCAAATTCGTCGAATTCGTCGACCTCCCGTCTTCTCCATATCAGGTTGAATGGCCAAGATGATAGTAACCAAGCGAATTGCTGCATGAACCAATGTTGCCATGTCCTTGCTTGAAAGTGGACATGTTCTGGATCCTCTCTCTCAGCTCGCTCACGGGCAAGTTGATCCTCAGCTTCCTGTATCTCTTGCTGGATTAAACGATCACGTTCTCGTGAATCATCCGGAATTTGTAAGACTCTCTCAAATGCTGATGACCTTGAATCGGGCTTGTCTGCACGAGAAAAGAAACCCCCCTTGTCATCCCGTGGTCTTCTTTTGTCCTGGAATGGCTCTTGAGAGGCTGGTCGATATCCAGCATATGGACGCGGCTGTACTCTGTTTGCATTGGCCATAGGTTGTCGCTCGCTTTCGGAGCCACTGTCCTCGGAGCTCTCTTCTTCCTGGCTATCCTCAACTAATTGAGGTCTTCGTGGCTGTAACTTGCTGGCATTTTGGCGTATCCTACTCATAGCAGGTGTGTTTACAGACTTACCAGCCGCAGGTGCTGTAGTCGTTTTTGGTTCTGTCGTATTCGAGTCACGCGACTTTTGTCGTGTGTGCCTCGTAGTTGCTGTCGGTTGAGACTCTCTGCTCTTGCCCGCTTGCGTTGAAGTAGTGGGCAGATCGCGCGGGCGAGGTTGTGAATCAAGCTCATCGGTCGAATCTCGCTGCATTCGAGAACTTGGTTTAGAAACAGCTTGACGCTTTTCAGCGCCCGATGTCAAAGTTGGCGCCGATCCTATCGTCGCATCTTCGTAGTAGTCACTTTCCAGTCCAAAGCTTCGCGAGCTGTCATCATCTCTTGCTGATGCTAATTGCCGGGCAGCCCCTAGTGCTATCCGTGATGCATCTGTAGCGTGTCAGTACTGTTTGAGACCTGCGAGAACATTACTTACTATCTCGAGCTGCGTTGTCTTCTTCTGTCCTTGTGGCTGCTGACCTTGGTCTCGTGGGTCGTACAAATTCTTCCTCCTGGTCGGGTTTGGAGAGTGCCTGATTCACAGCATTCTGCAGATCCATGCGCTGCAAACCGGCTCCTACTCTAGGCGGCGGCTCAACAGCAGAACCGTAGGTGTACTGTCTCCGAGAACTGGGTGTTCCCTGTAAAGGCGGTAACTGGGGCCTCACCAAGGCATTTGGGGAGTCATGCGCAGGTCCTTGTTCAGGCTCCCGACTGGTGAAGCGGGTGGTACGTCTGGCAGGTCTTGGAGGCATGATAGCAAAATGTGAGTGTTGATTGAAGTTGATGTGAACGGCAAGTTTGACACTAAGAAATGATAGATTTGAAAGGAAGTGCGTCCTTTTGTGTCATGAAAGTTGCCGTAGTTATCCTTTGGAAGATGGTGGAAGGATGCGCTTGTTTTCTTTGTTCTTTGAGATGAAAATAGTAGCACGGCCTTCGGTGTATACCGAACAGTGCAATAAGGCGACACCACCAAGTATCTCCTCGCTTCTCTTCAGCTTGCAAAGACAACCCTGAGGTGCGCCAGCTCGACTGGCCAATTTAGATATTGAGTTGTACACAGTAACAACAAAGGGTCATGTTGGTGGCGGTGAGGCGAGCTAACAATGAGTCTTTATGAAAGCCGAAAATGTGGACGCAATCACAGCAAGCTGGTTCCCTCCTTGTTGATGATGGCAAGTCTCTTGAAGTTGCAAAAATGCGTGCCGCCTTTTTTTTGTCGATATTCCCGTGATGCTATCGCGAAGGTGCTATGATGCGCCTGAGACGCGGTGCGCGCCGAAGATTAGGCGGCGCAAATTGAGAGGCTGGCGTACGTAATCACGTGCCCAGGCGTTTCTCGTCAACTGCCAGAAGTTTGGACTCTGAATCTGCACCTCCATTTAATTTGATTACCGATGCGCTTTTTCAAATCTTCGATTGGACAGTCGCATGCAGGTATTGGTTTCCGGCTCATGAATGAGCTCTGAAACGAAAAGATTGGAACCATAGCGAATAAGCATGGCATGAATGAGACGTGTGGCTGAGTATTTGGTTTAGGCTTTGGGCATAGCTTAACGTTGTACGTTCCTGCGGATATTTCACTGGCCATAAAAACTCTGATGATTCGAGTAGGTTGTTTGTTTTATGTTTATTGGCTTATTTGAGGGTTTTAGGTGTTTCCATCACAATATACCTCTGTATCATATATACGCGTCAATGATACATCGATTAATTAAGGCGATTGAGTTAAGCCATTGAAAACCTGCGAACAAGGAAAGCGACTGGTCAATTAACAATAATAGATAAATAGTCAGCCCAAGCTTTACTTCCTTCGTCAAATGCAATCCAACGAATGACAGATCTGATGTTTTTACCTCATTCATTACAAGCTTCTCCACCGTGACCCTGCTTCTCACACCACGATGGAGCGCTTGTGTTGAATGGCAGCGGAATTAACGGTAGACACAAGCGATTGAATGGAGCGCATATAAACACAAGTTGAGTTGAGGAGTGCATTTGGTTCCATATCATCTCGCCAAATCATGATATCGGTACAAATGCTTTCACCACTCTCTCATGCGAACCAATAGTGGCAGCATGAGGTCTAATGCTTCAGCCTCATGAACCCCCGAGCGCCCGAGCAATTCTCCATATGGATACGGTGGGTAGCGAAGTCCCTGGTAACGAGTGGGCGCGCCTTTAATTAGCACCACCACCACTTCAACGCCCCCTCCTTTGATGTGCATCCATCCCACCACCTAAAAAAAAGTTGCCCCGCCATTTCGACTCCGACCACTTCCCTTTAACCCCGCCGTTCGCAACTACAGCCTCTTCTTACTTTGACCTTCACCGCAAACTCTCATTATCCCCAGATTTGAAAACAAAGAAATCGACCGAAAATGCCTGTTGGAACCGTTCTTATCACCGGGTACGTCACTGCATCCTCGCTTATCGCTCTTACCCCCTGCCTGCAGTCGTTTGTCCTCTGCATCTTCTTTGTTCCTGTCGCATTCAACGCTCAGAGGACACGGATCATCCGTTGTCGCAATTTAACAACAAAGAAAGCTGTCGCTAATTCTCTATTTCCCAGTGGTACCGGATACATTGGTTCTTTCACCACCCTTGCTCTCCTTGAGCACGGTTACGATGTCATTATTGTTGACTCCCTCTACAACTCCTCCGAGGTCGCCCTCGACCGCATTGAGCTGATTTGCGGCCGCCGCCCTGCCTTTTACAAGCTCGACATCACAGACGAGAAGGCCATCGATGAGGTCTTCGCCAAGCACCCTGAGATTGACAGCGTCATCCACTTCGCTGCCCTCAAGGCAAGTAGCATGCCAAATGTCGCGATATACTTACAACTAACACCTTCCAGGCTGTCGGCGAGTCTGGCGAAATCCCCCTCGAGTACTACCGCGTCAATGTCGGTGGCAGCATCTCTCTTCTCCGCTCCATGGAGCGCAACAACGTCAACAACATCGTCTTCTCCTCCTCCGCTACCGTCTACGGCGATGCCACCCGCTTCCCCAACATGATTCCTATTCCCGAGCATTGCCCTATCGGCCCTACCAACACATACGGCCGCACCAAGTCTATGATCGAGGACGTTATCACCGACTTTGTCAATGCTCAGCGTGCCAACTTGGAGAAGGCTGGCAAGGAGTACAAGCAGTGGAACGGCGCTCTTCTGCGATACTTCAACCCTTGCGGTGCCCATCCCACTGGCATCATGGGTGAGGACCCTCAGGGTATTCCCTTCAACCTCCTGCCTCTTCTTGGCCAGGTCGCCACTGGTGAGCGCGAGAAGCTCTTGGTGTTCGGCGATGGTGAGTTTCCTATTAAGATAGAATTCTCCGCGCGATCTCTAATATTCTTTAGACTACTCCTCTCGCGACGGCACAGCCATCCGCGACTACATCCACGTTGTCGACCTCGCCCGCGGCCACCTTGTCGCCCTCAACTACCTCCGTGAGAACCAGCCCGGTGTCAAGGCATGGAACCTTGGTTCCGGTCGTGGCAGCACCGTCTTTGAGATTGTCAAGGCATTCAGCAAGGTCGTCGGTCGTGATCTTGCCTACGAGGTCCGCCCCCGACGACAAGGAGACGTGCTTGACCTTACTGCCAACCCTACCTTGGCTAACAAGGAGCTCAACTGGAAGACTGAGCTCACCATGGAGAAGGCTTGTGAAGACCTCTGGCGATGGGTCAAGAACAACCCCAAGGGCTACCGACAGGATCCTCCCGCTGAGCTGCTGGAGGCTGTCAAGTCTTCAAAGGCTTAAAATACAATAATAATAAATTAGGCTACCCGTGTGCGAGCAGGCGTCTCACAAAGATGAACAGAAATTAAAATAAAGTATTATGAGGATTTATGCTTTGGATTGTGTGGTTGAACCATCCATAGCATTATAGACAGATAGCGCATTAAAATTAAAATAAAAGGGCTAGAATTAATCGATCTTAATGAGCAGTTTTCCAGTCGTCTTTCGGCTCTCAATGTCTTGGTGTGCCTGGGCCACGTCCTTGAGAGGGTACACCTTGTGGATAGTGAGCTCAAGCTTCTTGGACTTGATAAGGTCGAAAAGCTCGGATGTGTACTTTTCGAGATCAGCTCGCTGAGAAACATAACCGTTGACCACGGGGCGCATCAGGCGGACGTTCTTGGGGGTGAGTCGGAAAAGGCTCACAGGGTCCACGGCGCCGGACTAGATAACCGCCGTCAGTTTGAAACGAGAAGTTGGTCAATTCGTCACTTACTGCGTTGCCGAAAGAGATGAGACTGCCCTTGGAAGCAATCAGATCGAGATCTCCATCAAAGGTAACCTTGCCAACGCCGTCAAAGATGACATCCGCTCCATGACCACCGGTAATCTCCTTAACCTTTGCAACAACATCGTCGTGAGAGTTGATGACCCACTCGGCACCATTCTTCTTCGCCAGCGCAAGCTTCTCATCTGAGCTGGCTGTGCCGATGACCTTTGCGCCTACAGTTCGCAGAAGTTGAACCAGCAGCGTACCAACACCACCAGATGCCGCGTGAACAAGCACCCATTGACCTTCCTTGACCTGGCCAGCTTCTCGGATGAATGTCCATGCTGTAAGACCTTGCAGGTAAGCAGCAACAGCTTGCTCAGTGGGAATATCGTCGGGAATGACGATGGCATCAGAGGCGTTCACAACGCTGTATTGAGCGTACGCGTTAACGTTGCCCATAAAAACCACACGAGTGCCGTTCTCAAACCCCGTTACAGAAGAATGAGCGTCGACGACCGTTCCAGCAGCTTCACGGCCAAGTGTGAGAGGAAACTGGGGCGCCTTGTACAATCCCGAGCGGAAATATGTGTCAATATAGTTAAGCCCAGCAATCTGGTTCCGCACGAGGATCTGCCCCTCTCCAGCTTTTGGAACAGCAACGTCGTTGAACTCGAGGACCTCAGTGCCGCCATTCTTGTTAATTTGAACGGCCTTCATCTGGGGAGGAACGGGAGACATTTTGACGGCGGTTGATAGCTGTGAAGCAAGTCTAGAGATACGTTGAGAAGGAATTGAGGTTGCGACAGGTCTTGAAATGGCACAAGTTCTAAGCAGTGAACGGCGGAAAGGTTGGGCCATTGGAATTGGGGGGGTTTGTGTAAGTGTAAGTGTCGGGTGAAGGTGGTTTATAATCAAAGCTCCGGACCGGCCCCATCCACTGCGGGGTCCATTATGGCGGGGCTATCTCCACTTGCGTGCTTGCACGTCATGGCAGCGGTTTCGGATATTGGAATGGGAATGTTTGGATATGGGAGAGAAGGTGAAACAGGATGTAAGGGTTGAAGTTGACTTATAAGTATCATTTTATGTGTGTGATTAGGTCCTGACCGTCTATTGGTGAGATGCAACCAAAAATGGTATGCTTACAGAAAACTTCCAAATCAGTTGTAGACTCACTCGACTTATACAGGTGCAAGCACCCAGCATAATACGCAGAGCCGAGGTAATCAGCAATTTGATATTGAAAAGTATATTAAATAGGTATGCACGATAAATCATCACAGCTGAAACTCTATTATGTCCTTGATTCAATTCCCTGAGAACGAATTATAGTACTACGCATAACTGAGTGTAACAAAATATATTCCTCTACGTGGATAAATGCTTACCCTCAACTAGAAATACGATCCTATATCCAAGTAAATAGCAAGCATATCCTCGCCGGGAAAGAAAGCAAAAACGATACGAGTGATATGCTGAGTTATCAAGGCCGCAAACTACCAATGTGAATCGTAACACTGTGTCTATAATAAGTAGGTGTAGCCATGTTCGAAAGTGAACACACCGCAGCACTCAAAGAACAAACAGCGATTCGTCACAAGCTATGCCAAGCCAACTAAGAATATGTATACTAATATACAGTACGTATAAAAATATATAATTATTAGAGTATTTTATATATAATCTTATCCTATAATTATATAAGATTATAAAGAGTGGAAAGTTTTAGTAGAGTTTATTTAATTTTATATAAACTATACCTATTAGCTCGAGCTAAGAGGGGGCTAACTAAGCAAGCTTAATTAGGTATATTTAACTAGGATAGGTATATAACCTTAGGATAACCCTATATAGCTAGCTATTTAACTTTTATTAATTTTTATATTAAAAATTAATAAAAAGCTAAATAATAATTAATAAAAATATTAAAATCTTTATTTAAATTTAATATAAGCTTATAGATAAATATTAAGGCTATATAAATAGTTATTTTTTTATATTAATAATTTTAAAAAGGCCTTTTTTAATATATTACCTTAGCTTTATATAAAGCCTTTTTATATTAAAATATTAAAATATAATATAAAGGCTTTTATAAAAGTAATATTTAATAACTTATAAAATAACTAAAAGCTATAAATACTTTAAATATTAAAGACTTAATTAATTTATTAAAATAATTATTATAATTACTAATTAATAAAAAAAATAAAGCTATTATAAACTTTATTATTTAAATAAATAAGGCTAGATTACTTATTTTAAAGAAAGAAATTAAAAATATAATAAATATTTTATATAAATATAAAGATTTTATTATAAAGCTAATTAATAAAATATAATATAGAAAGTTTTATAATAATTACCTTAAGTTTTAAAAATTAATATTAAAAATAAAAATAAATATTTATATAAAATATAAAATTATAAAAATAAAGAAAATTAAAAAGTAATTTACCTAGCTTAATAAGGTTATTATTAATTATAATATTAATACCTTTAAGTATTAAAATATTAATTAAGCCGGTATTAAAATAAGGATATTATATAAATAGGTAGAATACCTTATTATATATATATATAAAAAAGGTTATTATAGAGGTTTTTTTCCCTAAAGATTATAAAATTTATATAATTATTAAAATTAAAAATATAATATAATTAATAATTCCTTTTTAATTTATTTTTAAGGTATTTTTAATATTAAAGTAATTAATTATTAAAATTAATTTTAATATATATTTTATATAATTAAATATAATATTTTTTAATAATAAGATAATATTTAAATAAGTAAAGTATTTTAATTATATATTTTAAAAGAAATCTATTATTATATAATATTATTAATATTATTAATAATATTATATATTATATTACAGAAGTAAGTATAATAGGATTTTAATAAGGATTATATAATCTAATTTAATTCCTCGGCCTAAAGGCTACCTTAACTTTAACTTTAACTCTAACTAATAGAATATATATTCCTTTAATATATTTTAACTTTCTACCTTTCTACCCCCCTTAACGCTTTATATATAATTCCTTTTTATTTTTTATTCCTAAATATCATAATTACCTATTTAACCTACTTTTCTAAGTAATTATATTAAACTATATAGTTAAGCTTTAACTTAAATACCTTAATAAAAAAGGTCTTAATTTTAAAGACTAACCCTTTTAAAAGCCTATTTTCTAGGCTTTTTAGGCTTTTAAATTAATTTTTTATATACCTTAAACTTAGTATTTTTATTTAATAAAAAGAACTTTAACTTTATTATATATAAAAAAGTATTAAAAGATTATAATTAAAGGTAATTAACTTAATTAAGTTATAATTATCCTATTTATTATAAAAAGGTAATAAAAAACCTTTAAAATCCTATCCTATTTTAATCTTAAGGTTTTTAATTATATATATAAATTACTTACTTTTTCCCTTACTATAGTTATTAATTACCTTATAGATCTTATTATAAATTAGGCTAAGATTTATATTATAATATATATTTATTATTTAAATAGAATTTATTATATTAAGTAATAATTATAAAAAAGGTTAGTAATATAGACTAAAAGGGGACTAGAGATTAATTAATTAATTATAGCTATAAAGATTAATTAACTAGCTTATAGTATAGATTAAGTTAAAGGATATAAAGGAGAAACTAGCTTTTATATATATAGCTATTAATATATATATTTATTTAATTAAAATTTAATTACTATATATAATATTTATTATCTTAATTATTAAGTTTTAACCTTAAAAGAGGTTATTTTTATTATTAATATTATTAAAAGATTTAAAAAGCCTAGGCTTAATAAAGTTAAAGGTTAAAGTAAGAAAAAAAGAATTTATAATATTATTAATTTAATTTTAAAAAGTAATTTAAATATAATAAATACTTAAAAATAATTTCTTTAAGTAAAGCCTTTAATATATCTTTAAATATTATTTAAAAAGATAATAAAGATTTTATATAGTAATTATTTATTATTAATAGTTTTTTTAATTATAATTTCTTTACTTTTTATAAATATTATATTAAATTTAATATCTTTATAATATATATATTTTCTTTTTAATATATATTTTTTATTTAATATATAATTTTTTTTAATATATATTTTTTAATTAATAAATATAAATATATTTTCCCTAATTAATAATATTATTAATAATATTATATATTATATTATAAAAGTAAGTATAGTAAGGTTTTAATAAGGATTATATAATTTAATTTATTTCCTTAGCCTAAAGGCTACCTTAACTTTAACTTTAATTTTAAATATATATTCCTTTAATATATTAACCTTCTACCTTTTTACCTTAGCCCCTTAGTGCCTTATATATAACTTCTCTTTACGGTTTATTCCTAAAGATTATAATTACTTTATTAATTTATTTTTTTAAGCTATTATATTAAACTATATAGTAAGGCTTTAACTTAAATACCTTAATAAAAAAAATATTAATTTTTAAAACTAGCCTTTTTATAAGCCTATTTTTTAGGCTTTTTAGACTTTTAAGTTACTTTTTTATATATTATAAATTTAGTGTTCTTTTCTATATAAAAAATAATATTAAAAGCTTATAACTAAAGGTAATTAATATAATTAAATAAAGATTATCCTATTTACTATAAAGAAATAATAAAAAGCCTTTTATTTCCTATTTTATATTAATTTTAAGGTTTTTAATTTTATATTTAAGTTATTTATATTTTATATTATAGTAGTTTTTTAATATATTATTAATCTTTTTATATAATAAATTAAGGTTTATATTATAATAGGCTTTTATTATTTTAATAGTAATATTTATTATAATAATTATAAAAAAGATTAGTAATATAGACTGAAAGGGAACTAAAGGTTAATTAACTAACTATATATTACTTAACTTAATCTTTACTTTTTAATTCTAATCTTTATTAAATAGCTATAAAGGTTAATTAACTAACTTATAGTATAAATTAAGTTAAGGATATAAAGGAAACTAGCTTTTATATATATAGCTATATAATATATATATTTATCTAATTAGAGTTTAGTTATTATATATAATTTTTATTATATTAATTATATTAAGTTTTTAACCTTAAAAAAGATTATTTTTATTATTAATATTATTAAAAGATTTAAAAAGCCTAGGCTTAATAAAATTAAAGGTTAAAATAAAAAAATAAAAAGAATATATATTTTAATTTTTAAAAGATATATATTAAAGAAAGCTTTATAATATATTATAAAAAGAAATATTAACCTTTAATTATTATAATTTTATAAAGGCTTTTTAAATATATATAAAATAAATAATTAGTTTTTTTATTTTTTAATATTTTATAAATTAATTTAAATAAAAATTAAAAGATCTTTAATTTAGGCTTTATATTTATATATATTATTAATAGGTTTAAAAAATATAGAATTTTCTTATTAATAAATATATTTATAATTATTTATTTTATAATAAAAAAGCTAAAAATAAACTAAATTATTAATCCTATTTTTATATTACTTTTTCTATATAAATTATATTTTAATATTACTTTTAATATTATAGAATATATTAATAAAATATATTATAAGATTTTAAGTTTTTTAATATATTAAGGTATAAAATATATTAAGAATATTATTAATAAAGTTATTATATATAATAATATAGTTAATTATTAAATAAAAGATTAATAAGGTTATATTATTAAAAGATATAACTAAAGGAA